TGATGACGTTGGAGCCAGTTTCGGTCTGCCAGTAGGTCTATAGATTTAATACGTCAGTAATCGCCCATATGCTGATATTGTTATCTCTTCAACTTACGTCAACGACGTGGGAGCTCTCCTTGCCAACAACCTCGTAGTACCACTTCCAAACCTCAGCGGCGATGGGCTCACCGACTGAGCCGAGAGTTCGCAGGTACTTGAAGTTGCCGCGGACGTGCTCGTCACCAGCGCGCTTGAGCAGTCTCAGGGCTGTGGGGGCAACGTAGAACTGAGTGATGTTGTGCTTCTCAATGATATCCCAGTATCTTGAGAAGTTGGGGTAGGCTGGTGTACCCTCAAAGACGACTGTTGAGACACCCAAGAGCAGGGGAGAATAGACGACATAGGTGTGGCCAGTGATCCAACCGACGTCACCACCGCAGAAGTAGCGATCGCCATCGTGAATGTCAAAGACGTACTTGCCGGTCAGTGCAGCGCCAAGCAGGTATCCGGCGGTGGTGTGCATAACACCCTTGGGCTTTCCGGTAGAACCAGATGTGTAGAGAAGGAAGAGGGGATCCTCCGAGTTCATGGGCTCGGGGGCAATGTAGCTGGGCCACTTCTCAACCTCCTCGTGCCACCACAGGTCACGGCCGGGGACCATGTTGATATCGGCGCCAGTGCGGCGGTAGACGAGAACGTTGCTGACATCGGGGCACTGCTTCAGGGCATCGTCGACAATCTTCTTTGTGCCAATGAACTTGCCGCCTCGCTTACCCTCGTCGGAGGTAATGACGAATCGGGACTTGGCATCAATGACACGGTCGCGGAGAGCGTCGGCAGAGAAGCCGGCGAAGACGACGGAGTGGACGGCGCCGATACGGACACATGCCAGGATAGCAACAACAGCTTCGGGGATCATGGGCATGTAGATGGCGACGGTATCACCCTTCTTGATGCCGGCCTGCTTGAGGACCCAAGCAACCTTGGAGACATCGCGAAGAAGCTCACCGTAGGTCACGTTGCGACCATCGTCGACCTCGTCAGCCTCATAAATGATGGCAACGCGGTTGGGATCCTTGTAAGCATGGCGATCAACGGCGTTGTAGCAAGCGTTCAGCTGGCCCTCGACGAACCACTTGACATCACCGTCAGCGAGGCTGCCGGCGGAGACAGTCTCAAAGTCGCGGGTCCAGGACAGCAGCTCGCGAGCTGTTCGGCCCCAGAACTTGTTGGGCTCGGTGATGGACTCCTTGTAGAGCTTCTGGTACTCCTCTAGGCCTGTGCAATTTCAAATGTGGTCAGCACTCAAGGCCTGCATATCCTAAAATCGCGTACCTGCGCCGGCCGGCCGGACAGGCGGAAAAAACGCCGTTGATTTGACGCAATTCCGGACGTCCGGGCCAGGTCGTGGCATGTGCGCCGACACCGGTGCAGATACTGCTCTTTGAGGTGATTTTGGGAAAATGATGCACTTACTGCCAATGTGGGGTTTGCTAGGGTGCTCTGCCGAACGGGTGAAGAAGAAAAAACATGTCAGCAAGATCTCACTCAAAAGCAGCTAAGAGCTGACTGTCTATCGGAGATTTCGAGGGGCTACTAGCGGGTGGCAACGTACTTGCGAACATCTTCTGAGGAGGCTCTGTTGCGCGCATAAGTCAGTCTCAGCTTCCAACAAAAAAGGACAAGCTGCGGAAGGTGTTCTTACGGAAGGTCTCGATCTCGTGGGCCTCCACGACCACTCCCTGGTTGTCGGCCATGGCTGAAGATATTGGTGGTTTTGCGGCTGCTGCGCGTGTTTGTGTGTGGAAAAGGTGTAGAAAAGGTCTTGGAGGGGTCGAGCGGCAATACGCGCTGCAGAAATCCGGCGGAGTGCGGGGTAGCTGCGAAGTCCCAGTACTTGGTGCTACGTTGCGGCTTGTGGAGGGTCTGCCGCGCCGCAAAAGCCTAGAGGGCGAGGATGTTGCGAATGCGCTGCGAAGCTTCAGACAAGCAGCAGCGGTCGCTGGACAAAGACGTTGTCCCTTTCCGAGTCGCGACGGCTCGAGGAAGAGGGAGCAACTGGGGATGCTGCCAAGCAGAGACAAAGGCGTCGCAAAGAGAAGCAGATGAGATTCTCTATGTGTCTGGGGCTGGACTTGTCCAGAGGTGGTTGACGGCGATTAGGAATGTGAAGAAAAGATCAAGCAACAGAAAAAAGGGAGGAGAGAAAGACGGCGGAGGGCGGAGGGGGTTTAAATTGCTTTATACTCTCATAGGGCTCTGGACGATGATGCTACCACATCAAGGGATTTTGCCTTCTGGGGATAGTTGCCGACCTTGACGCTCGCTAGCCCGGCCTCCGTCTGTGATTCTTATGGAGCCCATGCCGTTGTAGTAGGTATGGAGCGTCAATCTTAGTTTCGTGGCTCCGTCCGTATTTGTACGAGCGTGTACACGATGCTGGGACCACAATTCTCCATTTCCCGCGCTTCGCAGGCTTACGATACTTTGCCTGTTGCTGCAGAACAAGTACTGTATGTTGCAGTGGATCACGATGAGAGGTAGTAGATATTACAGTCTACTTGGTAATTTCCTAGCAAATGCCACCTACGTGATTTGCCAGCGTTGAGCAGCGGTTTATACCAAGTAATGCCCTGGGCTGGCCAAGGCTTGATACAGCGAGGGAGGCCCAAAGAAGGGAGCATCTCGGCCATGACCAGCCAACATGGCCACGAGGACGTCTAGAGTCTTTTCCTCTTTTCCCCGTCTTTCCCCAGGCTGATCTTCCCACCCCAAATTCCCTCCCCAGGAATCCTTTAGCGCGGGCTCGTCCTACCACTTGCGACTCCTCTGCCGTCTTGGAATCCATCGCCGCGGCGCCACGTCTCGCTCTTCTGGTGTCTCAACAGCCTCCCTCTCACCCTACGAGACGGCGCTTGCCCCGATGGGCCGGGTGGAGAAGCAGCACCTCCGTTGCCCCGAAGCGCGTGGCCAACAAGAATCAGAGGCCCTTCCGTAAAGGGGTCGCAGAGACCCAATGACCGTCCACGAGTCGGAAGGGCGCGGCTCATCAGGGTGCGACCTTTACCAGCGACTCCTCGGCCGCTGATATGCCTGGCACGGTGTTTTATCGCCTTCTGCCATGTTGCCGGCGCCGCACCACCTGTCAAGCAGCGAGACGAGCGCCTGTCGCCCGAGGAGTCCATGGAGCTACGCATGTCTTCTGGGCATTTCTGGCACATTATCCTCGGGATATCTGCCTTTCCCCTTGCACCCGTCCATACACATTGCATATCCCGAAATACCTACAGTATTGCCTTTCTTATCCTGTGGCCGCAGCCTCCGCAAGCCGCCTCCTTGGCTTGATCCGTCCTATCCTGCAGAACCCACGACCGGGGTTCTGAGAGTTTGCAGCTCTCGCGGACGCAAGCGTCTCTCTCGAGTCGGCGACCACCAATTATCGCGGGTGCTGAAATTGCTGCCCACGATGTGCTCATGCTAGCTGCATGCATCCCGGACAGCGTGAATAAGCGATGCCCCCATCTAGGCACTGCGAACGACAACTGCTAGGGTAGCACGGAGCTATGGAGCCCCATTCCGTGCTGCTACCATGGACTGCCACGTTATAACTCAGCGAGGGTTCTCATCGGCCTCCATGGGTGACTGAATCGGGTCCTGCTAAAAATTGGGGGTCTAGGTGGGTGGGTGCCGGCTGTGATGTTCAATATCCGCTACCTCGCACGTCACTCTGCTACGAAGAACTACCGGGTTGTACATACTACCCTAGTAGTACTGTAACAAATCTCCTGTTTTCCGTACCGAGTTACCCGCCTGCGGGATTTGCTTGATTGAGCACGGAGTGCTGGGAAATGGAGGCGTAGAAAGGGGAAACAGCTGCTTTGCTCGCAAGATTAATGAAGATCAACAAGATACTGTAAGCAACCCCAAAAGATAGGTAGGCGGTGCTTCTAAAATCCTTCGATGCTACTCTGCCTGGCGCTGCCCCTCTTTTACCCTTCCTTCCACCCATCCACTCCATTGTTGCAGCGAAACGGTTACCCTACAAGATTCTGGTAGACACACAAGCTGCTACCAACGCACCCAACCATTCGGTACGGGTTATGCGTTATTAAAAGCAGGCTGTTTCGCCGATGGTGTGGCCGCCTTTACTTACTTAGACCATCTGTTGCGAGGCTTGCGAGGCCTAGAGCGGTGCTGCCCCCGTGAACCTTTTTTTTTCCAGTACCTTAATTTAGACGAGGTATCTTAGTGGCCAAGGTAGTAAGTCTACGAAGCATCTTCACATACAACCGGTTAAATGGCGAGACGTTCCGAATACAAATGAAGAGTACCAGGCTATATGCAGGTTCACTCACAACATATGGCCTGCGCTATCCTGCTGCCCTGACTTAGGTTGCACCACCACTACTTCGTAGATCGGACGGGGGCCTTGGTGTAGCGAAAACGAATTCAATATGCTTTATGCGGCACGACCCGACTCGAATATCATGGAGGACGTTGGTTGCAGCCACTTCCTCAACGTCTAACTAGCATGTGAATACCTACTGCTAATATATTATTTACATACAATATTCGCTATATTGAAGAAGCAATTTTTTCCAAAACAAAGTCACCCGCCCTGATGTAGCTTGGTGGGGTATCTTGTATTGAAACCAGGTACGCTATACGGAGTACACTCGATGCAAACTTGAAAAGGTAAAAAAAAAAAAAGAAAGAAAGGTGAAAAAAAATTGGAGAAAGGACCGAAACCAGGAATGTATCAATCAGCCAGAGAGTTTTGTTGAGAGCGCTTGTAATGTTGCATCATCTCCCCTAGCAGCAGTATTTTCTCATCTTGCGGGGCATTTTATGTTACCGTACACAAAAACACAATTGCATGCATAAATCTCCACGAGAACTGGTGGGGCATGCCGGAGCAAAAGGTTACGCCTGAGAATTGCAGCAGCGAGATTAATCAGTAGCAGCGAAATTTTCTTTTCAAAGACTAGAGGTACACATGGATTACTACTTACACGCACCCCAGATGTCTTAGTAGTATATGATGTATAATGTATATATACAAGCGCCGCTAACGTTTTGCTCTATCCTTTAATTTTTAATTCAGGCTTGAAGACAAAGTAGACGCTGATTTTGAAGATTACAAGAGTAATTGACAATGATAGGAAACTGCAGCGGTAGCAAAAAATAGAAAAGGAAAAGAGACTTCGGGACAATAACTGCCTCCACCCAACAATCCTAACCCTGCAGCCTGGGCATTCTCGCGTCACCGACGTCTTCATCTTCAGCAGCAGACTCCTCATCAATGTTTTCAAAATCATCCGCGCCGCCAAGACTCACTGTAGAGCCAGACACAATCTCTGGCTCTTCAACATCGTCTTCTTCAAGTTCCTCTGCAGCAATCTGCGTAATGTATTCATCGCAATCGCCTTCGTTTTCGTAGCTGTTGAAAGCAAATCTTTGATATTGCGAAGCTAGCTTCCCACTACACTCAAACTCTAGACCATCTCCTAGTCGCCGCGTGGGCTGGAAGCTGGGGCGATTCAACCCTTGGATAGTCATAGAAACGTTTTCATCTGTGTCGTTATAAAGGCCGCCGCTTTTAAATGAGCCCTTGTTAGCTTCTTTGAGGCTTAGTCGTTGCATATCTTCATTGGCGGTCTTCAATAAACCCTCGCTCGTTCCTTCAGGGGCCGAAAACCGCAAGCACAATTGGATCTCTTCGATTGTTCCTTCACCAAGCTTTACGGGTATAGTCCGTGTGCCCCGTTCGGCACTCTCAGCGCCTTCTTCTTCATGGTTAGACATTGCTTGTAGTGTGAGGGCTCAGTGGGCCGACTTTAAATTCTACCCAGTTCCCTCGCGTTAGCCTATACCGAAATTATAAGAGTAGTAGAGATGTATAAACTCATTTATCGTATACTCACATAAGATTGCTAGCAAGAGCAATAAGGCTCTCCCTGAATTGTGCTCGGATGTTATCCTGCTGGCTTGTAGTGCCATCTTTGGATTGAATTGAGTGGGAGTTTATATAAGTAGATGGCTTCTTTTATTTCGCAACTCTACTACTGTCCCCTTTGTTCAATGTTGTGTTTTTTGCTTTAAAAAATAGGCATGAATGACTGCAATCACCAAACGAATACATCCAATCAATGCACAACAAGTGGTAAGATTTTAAAGGATGGCATAACAAAGGCTTCCTTTCAGCTATTTTTTGTAATACTCCAAACGCCCTCCCTACCCAGATGCAATAATCACATGTCCATGCTCATCAGATACATTTCCAAGATGCGCATGAATTTAGCCACAAATGCTTCCAGATGAAAGATGACTTTGGTGCCTGTCTTTATCCGGTGTTCGTAGAAGGCAGACCATTTGATGACCTCTCCTTTCAGCCCATCATCAATGAGACCCAGTAACTTGAAAGTAAGAGTCTTGAGAATCGTCGTAGGGGGGATACAGTGCGTTAGTAGGTCGTACAGCTTGGCGCGCACCTGCAAGATCCTCGCGGGCGTGTGTTCCTCGATAATCTCCTTGGCGATCTGGCCGATCAGTGCTTCCCAATCTGCGGGGGGGATTGGCGTTGTGTCTGTCACTTTCTCACTGCAACATGGAATCAGTAACAAGCAGAAAGCAGAGCAACTGGGCTGTCTAGCTTCCACTTACTTTTGTGCATGCACGGCCTCGTACATCAGCAATGCACGACGAAGATTCCTTCCACTCTCCACAGCTATTCTTTCATGTAGACCTTTGACGACCTCCCAATTCTCTTTCTTTGCTGATTGCGCAAGCACGTCGCAGATTTCCTCGTGCGTAGGAGCGGCAACTCTGACAAGCAGCGTTCTTGAACGAATTGGCGCAATGATATTTGCTGTCGAATTGGCTAAAAGGATCAGACGCAAGTTTGGCGAGTACTTTTCCATTGTACGACGAAGCGCGGCCTGAGCATCCCTAGTGAGGTGGTCTGCTTCGTTGATGACAACGACCTTGAATCGCTGCTTTGCGGACTGGTCTACCTGTTGCGTCTGCGCCACCTCTTTCAGGAGATCTTGAACGACAACTCGATCATATTGCCCTACATCGGACGGCGTGATTTCCAGGTGGTAATTCGAAGCGACAATGTTGAATTCCAGCTTTCGGTTGCTGGAAGTCTGGAATACTCGTGCGTCGATCTTGATCTTCTCTACACCTGGGCCAAACAGCTCTTTCAGTGTTGCCACTATTCTTGTTTTCTTTCCAGCTCCTGATGGGCCGTAGACTAGAAGATGGGGGAAGTCACCGCTCTGGGCCTGTATGATTGATTGGGAGCGTTAGCTTTTGTTGTCGTGAAACTGAGTTGGCATGGACGAGGGCCGTACGAGAGATTGAAGTCGGTCTGAGAGCTCTTGGTGGTATGAAAGAGCCTCTAAGGACCGCGGACGATGCTTGTCGACGATGAGGGCCATTGCGCTGGCTATTGAGCTGATGTGCTGATGGGATGCGGCGAAGCTACAGGATTTTGACAGATGGAAGACGCGTCGTCGCGTTAAGTGCTGTAGACGGCACCAAAATCCATAGTGGGGTGCCTGCCTGTCTGCCTGTACCTTACAGCTGCCAGCCACTGCCTAACCATTAACCGGACTCGAGCGCAGAACGAGTGCCACATCGGCTTGATGCAGCCATTTATGCTGCCTTATAAAGTTCATTCTAATTTTTAGACTTTTCTTAATCTTGCTAAGTTTGATTATTATTGAATTGGCAATCATTGATGATTTTGATTCTAAAATGCACACTTGATATGAGCTTGGTGGGGTTAGAGAGCTTTATAATCTTTGTGCCTGCATGTTTGTCATTCTTTTCATTCTTTCATCAGTCGGCTTTTATTTCATATATACAAGATGTCTATGGTACATGGATTTTCTCTCTCGCTACTCATGAAGATCCAGAGGATGCGGGTGTGCTTCCAGCCTCTGTGGCTGTCGTAGAGGGGGATGCCTCAAGAAGCTCTTGAGGGGCAATTTGCTTTCTAGGTCTCTTCAGATCCTCCAGCGTCACACCATCCAGCTTGGTGATTCCAACAACGGGAGCATCTCCCTTCTTTACGAATTCCCACTGGCCTGTGACTGAGTTAGCATTGGCGCCAGAATAGGAAGAGAAAAATTTCCTACCAGGAAGCTTGTTTCCAGCCAACCGGAAGGCGTCTCGAACGATTTGCTCGTGAATTCGGCCCTTGATCTCAAAAAGAACCTGGCTGACTGCCATCCTCGTAGCCCAGTGGTCGAATGAACCTTTTCCTTTACCCATACGCATCTATTCCAATAGTTAGCTTGGTTCCGTCGCTCGAACAGGCGTATACTCGATCCGCACCTCATTACCGCTGACGTAGACGCCGACATTGCAGCATTTTCTCTTGTAAAGTCGGTATTTCTCTCCTCGAAGTCGCACTTTGATCGTATCTTCAGCCATTTTCAGAGACTTGGCGCTGATTCTTCGGTGGTGGTCGACCATCCGCAGTCCGTAGTCACCCCAAATGACAGTCGTGCCCTTCGTTGACCCTCCAGTCGCTACTCGAGGTCGACCCTTGGCCATCTTCTTTTTTCGGTTCAGGCTGGGTTCGAGCCATGTGCCCATCATGGCGGGGCTTGTGGAAAAGGCTCTGCCATTCTGAAGCAGCTGAGCGGCGCCGAGGATCTTGGACTGGCGCTGGACGGGGGCCCTCAGTTGTCGCAAAGGCGTGGATGCGGAGATTCTCAGTCCCTGGAAGGCATTCAGCAATGCCGCAGCGCCATTGGACCTCATGGCGTCGGTTTTGGCCGCTTATCGAGGCTTGTCTGGAGATTGTCGCACCGCTGGGCCCTCGATATCTTGAAAAGAATCCCAAGACGGCAAGCGCCAAAATCGCAGGCGCAAAGCGGGGCCTGAGATGTCAGGCCCCAACATTTTCTGCTAATTAAGCTCAGGTCACGCACCTCGCGTCAGCTTCGCGTTGCGCCGCAGGTGGCACGTCACTGGGATAATTTCTAGGCTGCTTCCTCTCTGCACGCCGCTAAACCCGCGATCAGTCAGGCAACAGCGCCGAGATTGCGGCAAAAGAGGGCCTTTGGAGGGCTATATTTTCGTCCTCTTCCTTGCCATCTCATTTCCCTTTGGTAATTTTCTTTTTTTCACCCAGCAAGAAGAAACAATGCCTGATATTCGATCCTTCTTCACGCCAAAGGGTGGTGCAGCCCCCCCGAAGCCCGCGGCCGCCAAACCAGAGCCACCAGCGGCCAAAGGCAAGCGAGGGAGTAAGTGCTACGAAATCATCAGTCTTCAATTGATGCTAACTAGTCTATAGAGAACCGGAAAGTTGTTGAAGATAGCGATGATGAAGCTATAGAGTATTATTGCCCTGCTCTCCATCGTCGCATCTAGTTCACGCCCCACCACTAACCAGTCTTATAGAGAGAAGAAGCCTACACCAAAGCCCCCGGCGAAAAAACGGTACGTATTGTTGCATTATATTGTACCGATTTTAATTGAAGACCACTAACATTTGTTTAGAGAAACAGAGCCCAAAGGTGTAGCCATATCCGCCGATGATTATTTCGCCTCTTCTAAAGACTCTAAAGCGACCAAAGCATCTCAAACACCCAAGAAAAGTGCCACCAAATCCACTGTCGAAGTTGACGTCCCTGTTCGATCTAGTCCGCGAAAGAAACCCGCAGCAACGGCAGCTGCACCAGAAGAAGACGAGGAGGGAGACATAGCCCCTCGGTCCAAAAGAGCCAGGACCTCGTATAAGCCGGCTCCCGTTCGCGATGATGAGGATGCATACATGGAAGATGGCGACGAGGATGCCGATGATATATTCGCTGCTGACGCTAAGGGCCGCAGCAAGCGTGGAAATGACGAATATGAAACGGAAGAATCTGAAGACGAAGTTGTCCCCAAATCTAAAGCACGAGGACGAGCTGCTCCCCCTGGAAAGAATTCTGCAGACAAACCGACGGCCAAGGCCACACCTGCCGGCAAGAAGCGAAAGTCCCCGGAACAGGAATCGGACGAAGAGGAAGAAGAAGTACTACCTCGAAAGAAACCTGCAGCGAGCAAACCACGCGCACCTAGAGCGAAGAAAGCAGACGAACCTGAGGATGAGGATATCCAGAACATCTTAAACAGCGTGGCTACTGTAAGAGCGCCAACACCACCACCTAAAGATCCCAACGCGAAATTCGATTGGAGAAAGGCTGCCGCGGGCGGCGGTAATGCTTCCACACAACCCGCCCAACCTACCGGAGAGCTTCCAGAAGGCGAGGAAGAGTGTCTCAGTGGATTGACTTTTGTCTTCACCGGCGTGTTGCAAACCATTGGCCGCGATGAAGGCCAGGCACTAGTCAAGCGATATGGTGGTAAAGTTACTGGTCAACCCAGCAGCAAAACCAGCTTCGTTGTTCTCGGAGACGATGCTGGGCCCAGTAAATTAGCCAAGATCAAAGCAAATGGTATCAAGACCATTGATGAGCATGGCCTTTTCGACCTGATTCGCAAACTTCCGGCATTTGGTGGTACAGGCAAGGGCGCCCAGAAAGCACAAGAAAAGAAGAAGGCAGAGGAAGAAAAAGTGAAGCAACAGATTGCGGAAATGGAGGCGGAAGAGAAAGCAAAGAAGCTGGAAGCGGAGAAACTAGCGAAGAAGAAGGCCGCGTCTCAAGGATCAACGAGCAGCGCCGCGGCTCAGCCTGCACGAGCACCCGATATGCTCCTCACTTCCAAATATGCGCCGACACAGCTAAATCAAATATGTGGCAACAAGGCGCAGGTGGAAAAGATTCAAAACTGGCTTCGAAACTGGCCAAAGTCAAAGAAGTATAATTTTCAGCGGCGTGGCGCGGATGGCATGGGAGGCGAGCGTGCCATCATTATATCTGGTCCTCCTGGTATTGGAAAAACCACAGCGGCGCATTTGGCGGCCAAGCTCGAGGGCTACGATGTTTTGGAGAGCAATGCGAGTGACACACGAAGCAAGAAGCTTGTCGAAGCTGGGGTGAGCGATGTTATGAACAATACTTCATTGCTGGGATTCTTCGCAGGAGACGGTAAATCAGTGGATAACGCTAAGAAGAAGATTGTACTCATCATGGATGAAGTCGACGGCATGTCGGCTGGTGATCGCGGAGGAGTTGGCGCCCTGGCCAAATTCTGCAGGAAGACGGAGGTGCCGTTGATCCTGATCTGCAACGAGCGCAGGTTGCCAAAGATGAAGCCCTTCGACCACGCTGCGTTTGATGTAAGATTCAACCGTCCGACGGTCGACCAAGTACGCTCCCGTATCATGACAATCTGCCACCGAGAAGGCCTAAAACTGCCACCACCAGTTGTCGATGCTCTCATTGAAGGGAGCAATAAGGACATCCGCCAGATTATCAACATGATTTCCACAGCGAAACTCGACCAGTCATCAATGAGTTTTGATCAAAGCAAAGCCATGTCTAAAGCATGGGAAAAGCATGTCGTCCTCAAGCCGTGGGATATCTGTCAGAAGATGCTTGGCGGCGGACTCTTTGCTCCTGCGAGCAAAGCAACCCTCAATGACAAGATTGAGCTCTATTTCAATGATCATGAGTTCAGCTTCCTTATGATCCAGGAGAATTACCTCCGCACCAAACCCATGGCCCTGGGGGGTAAGGGATACACCGGTCGAGAAGCCACTTTAAAAGCGCTTGAGCTCTTTGATCAAGCTGCGGAGAGTATCAGTGATGGTGACTTGGTGGATCGTATGATCCACGGACCGCAGCAGCACTGGAGTCTGATGCCTACACATGCTGTTTTTAGCACTGTAAGACCTGCCAGTTTCATTGCTGGCCAGTTGCTGGGATCTAATTTTACCTCGTGGCTTGGAAACCACAGCAAAGCTGGGAAGCTGGGTCGATATATCCGAGAAATTCACTCTCACATGCGGCTCAAGTCATCTGGCGACCATACCGAGGTTCGACAAGAGTATTTACCCCTGATGTGGTCCCAAACAGTTGATCGACTGCAGAAAGAAGGTGGTGAAGCCGTGGGAGAAGTGATTGATCTGATGGACAGCTACTATCTCACTCGAGAAGACTTTGACGCTATTCAGGAGCTCGGAGTTGGCCCCATGAGCGACGAAAATGTCAGTATCGAATCGAAGACGAAGGCTGCCTTTACTCGAACGTAAGTTCTACGCGTCTCTATCTCTCATTAGCTTTTTGATGATACTAACTGGACATAGATACAATGCCATGAATCACCCACTACCATTCATCAAAGCCAGCAATGTTTTGGCTCCAAAGAAGCTGGCTAAGGAGGCTCCAGATTTGGAAGAAGCTATTGAAGAGGCAGATGATGCAGAGGTCCTGGAGTCGCCAGATGCCGAAGAAGATGACGAAATTGATCTCAAAAAGGACAAATACATCAAGCAACCAAAGGTTAAGAAGCCCTCAAAGAAGGCTGTGAAAGCCCAGACCGCAGATGACGGTGACAGTGAAGAGGCCAAGCCAAAAGGCCGCTCCAAGGCCAAGCCAGCTGCAGCAAAGGGAAAAGCAAAGAAATGAGATGCGAGTATAAGGTGGCCTACCACCTGTCGGTCTCAAGTGTATAACATACATTATGGGGAGTCTTGGAGCTTTTTTATGAAGACGTGAATATAATGTTGACCGGCGGTCGTCAAATGTAAAAAAGAGGAAAAAAGAACAGAAGAATTGGAACTCCGAGGCAGTGCAGCAGTCTGCAAGCATTAAATGAGGGAAGGAAACAGTTGCTTTTTATGTCATTTGAGCATCGAATTTTACGACCATTAATGTTTAGAAAAGGATTCCTTTATGGCAGAGTGGGATGGTAGTTATAGAAATAGGAATCGTTCAAAGTCACAAAGGTATATGGGGTGAGATAGGTATGCATTGTTCCGCTTTTGGAGCGGTTGATTAGAGGGCGGCTCGCCATCTGACAGCCGCTTAGATGACGCAAAGTCGTATATACATGTATGTTATATCCGCTCATACAGATGATTCTCTCTCATTTTCCTCTTCAGTCTCACATTCATGTGTCCAACTTTTGTGGAGTGTGTAACCCTTTTGTAACCCTTTTCCTTCGTCCCTCTTCTCAAGGTTCTTTCCCGAACCCACCATGCAACATGTTATGTTTTTTGTCTTTTCAAAAACCGTCATCGTGAGAGGAGCATTATACATTTTTTGGTTTCGTGACCCAACGCCAAGCCAGCGCAAAATTCCGGTAATACTAGTACAAGTGAAAGAGGCGTTGCAATGATTTTATGTTTAGATCATTTCCATCCACGCATCTTTAGGTATCTTTTTTTATGAATTTTTCTTCTTCATCTTCTTCATGTCTTCGAATAAGAATATCTTGAAAGATGATTGTAAAAGAGAGAAGATTTTTTCCTTCAATTAGGAAATAAGCTCTTAAGCGTTCTTTACGACGCCGACCTTGGCGGCACGCAGAACACGGCCGTTGAGCTTGAAGCCCTTCTGCTGGACGAAGAAGACGGTGTTGTCCTCCTTGCCGGGCTGGGGGGCCATGAAGGTAGCCTCATGCTCGTTGGGGTTGAACTTGATGCCGTCCGGCTCCAGTCGCTCCAGGCCGTGCTTGGCCAGTGTCTGGATGAGGATGCTCTCGGTCATCTTGAGGCCCTCGTAGAGGTTGGCGAGCTCCTGGAGATCCTCGCCCTTGATCTCGGCCTTGAGCTTGTCTGCGGGGACGGTGGACAAGGCGCGGTCGAGGTTGTCGACGCTGTCGACGAGGTCCTTGGCGAACTTCTGGATGGCAAAGTCGCGGGCGGACTTGACCTCACGTGCCGTGCGGTCCTGGAGGTTGCGGAAGTCGGCGACGGTGCGAAGGCATTTGTCCTGTAATGAGAGAGAGATTAGTAAGGACCCAAACGAGATTATTTGAGTTTTTGGAAGATTGATCGTGAGAAATTATATACGAACCTTCCAGTCACGAGCCTCAGCATCCTTGGCCTCGAGATCCTTCTTCAGTTGAGCGACAACGTCAGACTCGCCGTTCGTCTCTCCCTCCTTGGTCTCGGCCTTTTCCTCAGCCTTGGGAGCCTCCTTGGTCTCGGTAGACTCTTTGGATTCACTGTACCACCGGCTGGCGGCAGGTTGGAATGATCTTATTGAGACGGCGGGAGCAGCAGTCTGAAGCTGAGGCCGCAGGACTGCTCGGCTGGCGGCGATGCTCGGCGTTGAGCGCAGAGCTCTGGAAGAGGCGGCAATGGCTTGTCGGAACATGGTGAAGGGGAATCACGGAGATGCGAGGTCGGCAGAGAGCTGGGGAATGGGCCAATTGGGCGGACTGAAGCGGTGGACGGCAATGGTTTGCTATCTGAAATTGTACGCTCGGCACGTTCTATGCTCTTCTATATGAGGGGAGCCCGCTATAAAAATTCCGTTGCGCTGCATGACTGGCCCCTCCGGCCTGCGCCGGTTCAGCCCACCGAAAGCGCAGCCGGGGCGGATCATTGACGGTCCGCACTTTGCAACTTGCGCCCAGCAGCTTCCACGCCGCCAAAAGTGGGCAAAGTAGCCGCTACTGCTTACGGCATGGCGCCCATTGCCTCTGACTAAGTACCCTGTACTCTGTGGCCTTGCTGCGGGCTACGTCGCGCTGTGTCTACCTGGAGGGACAGGCCAAGCTCGGATCGAGATTGTGCATCAGCTTCAGCTTCAACAACCCAACTCCGTTATTCGCCCATTCCAGCCCCAGACGAGCATTTCCTGTCTTTCAAGCAGAAGCAGAATAGACAGCGTCACCGATTCGACCACTCATATCCCCCCACCGCTCGCAAACCCCTCCCGAAGCTCTCTCGATTCTGCATCCAACTCCCACCATGGCCACCCTGGTCAAAGAATCCCCAGAGCTGGTGAAGGCGGACCAGAAGCAGGCTGCGGCAGAGCTGGTGAAGAAGGATCCCAGAAAGGCAGAGGCTGCGTTCAGAGAAATCATATCAAAGGCCCCTGCGGCCACCTCAGACGCCGCCACGCGCGAGTATGAGACTGCATTGATAAGCTTGGGAGAACTCTACCGGGATGAGAAGTCAGTGGTGACAACTATTGCACTGCATTTTGCTTCATGAGGCTGAGCTAACCTCTCCATCAGGAAAACCCAAGAGCTTGTAAACCTGGTACGGGAAAGCCGGACAGTATTCTCATCCTTTGCAAAGGCCAAGTCCTCGAAGCTGGGTACGTCATTTTATGCTGGAGCTCTAAAAGAACTAATATCTTGAGACCCAATGACTGATACCTGGTAATGTCGTTTAGTCCGCCAGCTCCTGGACTTCTTCAAAGACATCCCCAACAGCACCGACGTTGAAGTTGCCGTCACAAAAGACTGCATAGAATGGGCCACCGCAGAGCGCCGTGCCTTCCAGCGCCAGGACCTCGAAGTCCGCCTCGTCACACTCTACATGTCCAAGCAGACCTACTACGACGCTCTCACACTCATCAACGGCCTCCTCCGCGAGCTCAAGCGCCTCGACGACAAGCTCCGCCTCGTCGAAGTACAGCTCCTTGAATCCCGAGTCTACCATGCTTTGGGCAACATCCCCAAGGCCCGCGCTGCCTTAACAAGTGCGAGAACGAGCGCTGCCAGCGTTTATACCCCACCGCTCCTGCAGGCCAACCTCGACATGCAGAGTGGAATGCTCCATGCTGAAGATAAGGACTTCAACACGGCATTCTCTTACTTCATCGAGGCGCTGGACGGATACCACACCCAGGAAGAGGCTGGCAAAGCCCAAGCTGCGCTGCAATACATGCTCCTCTGCAAGATTATGTTGAACCTTGTTGAGGATGTCAACCAGCTCATGGCATCCAAACAAGCTGTCAAGTACGCCGGTAAGAACCTCGAGGCCATGAAGGCCATCGCCCGCGCCCACGCCAACCGATCTCTGGAAGAATACGAGCGTGCCCTGTCTGCCTACCGCTACGAGCTCGGTAGCGACACCTTTATCCGCAACCATCTCCGCCGGCTCTACGACGCCATGCTGGAGCAGAATCTCATCAAGGTCATTGAGCCCTTCTCAAGAGTTGAGATCGATCACATTGCCAAGATGGTGGGTCTGGACACCCAGCAGGTTGAGAGGAAGCTGTCACAGATGATCCTCGACAAGGTCATCATTGGTGTTTTGGATCAGGGTGCTGGCTGCCTTATTATTTACGACGAGACGCAGAGAGACGAATCATATGATGCTGCTCTAGCAACGATTGAGAAGCTGAGCAATGTGGTGGATGTATTGTACACTAACCAGGCTTCTCTGCTTGAGTAGAGGAGGAGAAAAGAAGAGTACAATGGGAATGAAGATGGAGGGAAATGATGGCTAGACAAACGGGTCTCGTATTGTAATGTGTTAGTCAAGTCACGGTAGATCAGGTGTTGGTTTATGAAAAAGACCCGTCCGTGCCGAAACAACTCATTGCGCCTTTTTTGGCTGCTTGTAATTGGAAGAATTTGGGAAATAGAAGTGCAATTGAGAAGTGTTCTTTTCTCATTTCATCATGCCGTAACTCATTCCCTAAAGACAAGGCAACACAGAAAGAAGTATCCTAGATATCTGTACGTACAAATAACACTGGTGGTACATCCAAGTACAGCCAAAAAAANAAAAAAAAAAAAAAAAAATGTTTGTGTGAGAGACAAACAGCCAGAACCGCCAAAGTGGTATCTTTTCCCTTTAAATACAACATGATGAAGAAGCAAACCAAACCGGAGCCAAACCAAAAACGTTAATCGAAACCCGTTCCGTTTTCCAACGCCACTCATGCATAGTTCATTTTCATTCCTGATCCTTGGTTTCCAACACCGGTGAAATGCTATATCAAAATTTTAACACACACAGAAAAAAAAAAATTGGCTTTGTGCCAATCTGCCGCCGTAAAAAAGCAAACTTGACAGCAGTAATAGAACAAAAAAGTCAATAGGCTAGAAAGCAACCTCTAACTCTCTCTCATCCTAATTTCAATCAATGGAATATAACTCCGGGAGACCGATTCATAGAGCTTCGACGGCGTTTCGCTTCTCCGAGAATGAGCGCAAATAATCTTTTAGCGAGTTCGCCTTCATCCCAGCCGCCGATTTGAGACTTAAAGGCGTCGATGCATTCGAGGTGCCATTTCTCTAGTACCATGGATTCGCCCATGCTAGTGATCGTTTTTCCGAGGTATTTTTGAGAGACTGGCGCGTACTTTTCGCTAAAGGGGCTCTTTCGCCGCATTTGTAGGAGTGTGTCAAGGAATAACCAGTGTTGACGCGTCCAAACCGTCTCTGAGGGCGGCTCCCGTCTCCGACGCCTCTTTGTTGGTCGTTTCTTTGTTATGCCCGCAGGTTTGATAATCCTTGATGGAACAATTGTTGGCGGCTGTTTCTGCTGTTGCCTACTAGCCATACTTCCCTTGCCTGCACGCGGCTCTACTCGGGTTGATGTAGTAGGGACAACGCTAATATCCTCCCCTGACACGTCTTCGTTTGCTCGGTTACGGAGTTCGCGAAGTCGAGCTTGCTCTGCAGGTGATAGCACATTGCTTGTGAACTCAACAACCCGCCCTGGTGTATGTGGCTTTAGAGGAGATCGGAGACTTGATTTCTTTGGTGAGGCATGTTTTGATGGTAACGGCCTCAGTAAAGGTCGAGAGTTCGACGAGTTTTCATCGGCATTCGATGTTTGTTGTTGCCACTTCTGAATATCTTCATGAGTCAACTGCGTCCTCGGTGGAGTCGCCGCAGCATGAGATGAAGTGGGCTGGAAGAGTGGGTTACTGGCCTGCCTTGGCCGCGGCATAAAATTTTGCTTCTGAGAAATGGTAGTAAGATGAGATCTTTCGGGAGAGGCTGGTGATGAAGAGCGTTCATTCGTACGATCATCATCATCTAGTGGATCAGAGAGAATTGGTGAAGATATAGGATTTGCACGATGAAGGCTTGGCTGTCCAGTAACATTTGGAAGTCTCGGAAATATCGATGTGGGGGACATCGCTGGGGGCTCCTGTCTAGGTTTGGTAGACTCTGCTTGTTGAGTTGGCTGGGCAGGAGCTTGGTGTTTCACCGACCGAAATTTCTCAGCCAATATTCCTGTGATCGCCGCTGGCGAGGAAAAAAAGGATGATAGGTCAAATCGCTTGGATTTGGTCGCAGTTTCTGGCTCTTTGTCCTGTTGATTCCGTGAAATTGGAGAAAGTTCTTCATCTCCAACATTCTCGTTGGAGTGCCGGTCGATTGTCCGCTTCACTTGAGCAGTCTTTGACACATCAGTAGGAAATTTGGCGGTTGCTTGCTGTGTATCTCTCCAGGATGTTGAAGGACCCGGTACCACGTTATGGCCTTGTGCTATAGACACCGTCGTAGACTGCAATGCTTGATGAGGTAGTTCCGGACGAGGTGGTACCTCCCGCTGAGCTTCGTACTCCCAAATATCGATATCGTCGTCATCGTCATCGTCATCATCTTCTTCTTCTTCTTCTCCTTCTCCTGCCCCTTCTACCTCCTGCTCTTCCTGTTCCTCTTCATGCTGTCCATTTTCAATTTGCTCTTCCACTTCTTCATCCGCATGCTCCTCCTCCACTTCTTGTTCATCCATATGCTGCTCTCCTATTTCTTCCTCTCCCGCTTGCTCTTCGTCCACTTCTTGTTCATCCATGTACTCATCTTCCATGTGCTCCTCTTCCACCTGTTCTTCTTCCATTTGTTCTTCTGCCACTTGCTCCTCTTCCTCGGCCATATCTAATTCCTCTGCAGCACCGTCAACCTGACCAAGACGAATCGTATTTCTCATAACCGATGAACGCGCTGCTTGTAGTAATGATCTCTCTCTCCTCACGCTAGGGCTTGAGGGCCCCTCATTTTCCGCCCAGTGCGCGGCACCGTTACTCGATGGAGTGTTGCCCAAAGAACTTGCTATCGATTCTCTTGATAACAGTCGTTTCTTATGCGCGAAATCCCTTGTGCCGTGGCCGTATGCAGGGTCCATACCATTTGCATTCATACCAAAAGCCTGAATCTCAGCAGTAGCTCCATAGTTTACAGGTACCTTGACAGCAGTCAACTGGCTACTACCAAAATTCATCGGCTGTGGTGGACTTTTGCTTAAAAGTTGGTGCCTGTCTTCTTTGGAGGTGTATGACGGCTCTTTGTTTGCGGAGCTTCTGAATGGGCTTCCTAGGGACATCTCTCGGACTCGTGGGGAAGGAGGGTCGGAAGTAACGCTTTGTAAAACTCGGCCAGCTCGCATAATGGAAGAGAAGTTAGATCGTACTGCTTTCTCCGGTACTTGTTCTTGTGGCAGAGATTGAGGCTCCTGCAGCGGCGATGACATCTGATGGAGGGGCGTGACCTTTGCTGGCTGCTCTTCCCGCTCTGGCGTAGGCTCTAGCTGCTCAGGTGGTTGTTCCGGAGAAATGGAACGCATTTCTTCGTCAATATGAATGTCATCGCGATCTGGCTGCTCGTGCGTATGATTACCTGCTCTCATACGGTCTGAGAACTCGTGTATCTGAAAAGTCGTTGGATATTCCTCTTGGTCTTCGTGATCTTCGCGATCTTCGTTGACTTCATGTTCATGGTCGTCCTGCTGTTGGTCCTCGTGCTCCTCATGTGCTGGGTATTCCTCAATATCCTCTTCTTGCTCGGCGTATTCTTCCACCTCCTCTTCTGGGGTATGGGTCTCGAGCTCCTCTTGATGCTCTTCAAGGTCCTCCACTTCTGCCTGTTCCTCATGCTCTTCAACTGTTTCCGGCTCCTCGTCTTCGTATCCCCCTAATTCATATTCTTTTTCTTCCTCTAATTCTGGCAAATCGGAATCGAGCCTCTGCTCTTGCAAATCCTCTTCATGCCCAGGCTCTTCGCGTTGCTCTTTGTACTGCTCTTCGTAATGTTGTTCGTGCTGCTGCTCATCCGGTTCTTCTTGCTCTTCGTATTCTTCGTGCTCGTCGTACTGGTTGTCTTCTTCTGCTTCTTCGCCCTCCTCCTCTTCTCCCTCTTCTTCAATGACATGACGCACGGGTGAGCTCATCTCAAAGGTTGACAGTCTTCTCCTAAGATATCCTATCATACCACCCAGTACGCTCCCTCTTGTGGCGTTTTCTTCCGCTGGTTCTTCTTCCAGTTCCTCTACCGGTTCTTCCTCCACCACTTCCTCCAGGTCCTCTTGGAGTTCCTCTTGGAGTTCCTCTTCCTCTTCCTCTTGGAGTTCCTCTTCCTCTTGGAGTTTCTCTTCCTCCTGCGGCTCCTCTTCCTCCTGCGGCTCGTCAATATCTTGAGCATGTTCCAGCTCAACCTGGCCCTCATCCCCCCCCTCCAATCCGAATTTCATCAAATCGACTTCCCGGTCAGCTTGAGGGGCAGCAAAGTTTATAGGCTTGGGGGTCGGAGCATCGAGGTAATTCTGAGGAATCTCAGAAAATGAATCGCTAGAAACATTCGGGTGCTGTTCGCGAGAGTACGTGGACGCCGTCTGTTTACCAGCCTTAGTCGGTGTCGGCTCTTCCGTATGCTCTACGCTGAATATTCTCCCTGATCGTTTTGCGGCTGATCTCATCAAGGCCTGGTGCTTAAGTGGTGATGTGCCCATCTTCTTAGGCTTCCGGGACCACCATGGACTCAAGCTCAGGCGCACACTTCTAGCAGATTCCCGTATAATCGGGACAAATACCTCTTCTGCTGGTTCTTCGGTCTCCGGGATGTCAGGGATCGCGATGGTTTCCGTAACATCCTCTACTGGGTCACTGGTCTGCGCAACTTCTCGCCTGAGGGATGCCAGAGTGTTGTTAATGATAATGTGTGTCTCCTCGCCAAGCTCTTCGTCTTCATGTAGTGTGGACATGAAGGTGCCGTTGGCGCTGAGGTTCCCTTGAAAAGACGGAATAGAATCCATGAAGATCATACTAAAGTCTTCGCCTTGTGCGATCGTATCGTTATTCTGGGAGCTAAAGTCATTAGGTTGGTCATCCACGGAAGAGTGATCGCTAGTTTCTGGAGCATGATAGCTTCGGTCGGCCTTTCTCTTTCTCACACTACCGCCTGTCGATCTGCCTTTTGAAGGCGACTGTGTGGCTGAAGGTCGTACCGCGGGTCTAGGTGTCGCTTCGTCGACTATTGTTCTCATCCATATATCGGATGCTGCATCTGCGTTGGAGACTGCATCAACTTCGACCTGCTGTTCCGAGTGAGCAAGTGCGGAATTTGCTCTGTTTGCTTCAATTGTCCTGCCGCTATTCTGCACAAAGCTCCTTTCCGCTGCTGCTTTCGCTTCCTCAGCTATTTCGACCAATTCATCGGGCGCCATTGCTCGCCGCCTCCGCCCTCTTTTCGTAGTGTCAAGCCCGCTAGATGGTTCGACAACTGGGTTTTTGGGAGGACGTCCTCGTCTTGGGGATGCTTTTGGCGTGGTGGATTGGACATTTGCCGGATTTTTGGGTGGACGCCCTCGTCTCGGGGATTTTGGCGTCATGGATTCAATATTCTCCTTCTCGTCAAGGTGTAGCTCTGTATCATTTCCTCCTGTGAATCTCTCGGTGCGTTGACGGCGTGGGTTTCGACTGATCGGTGATCCTGCCCTCCTCTTCACCCCCGCAGCCGGCATGGGTGTTCCGTTGAGTAATCGAGGGCGGCTCCGTCTCCTCCCTGGTGTCGTCGCTGTTGTGAGCTCATCTTCGCCGGATTCCCTCAGCGGGACTGAGGTTGTGATGGTATCATCGCCAATGCGCCGCACTGTGGGCGACTGAGGTACCGGGGACCTAAACAGCTTCCTCCTCGTGCCGCTCGAAGCTGTGGCCATCTTGTCGTCGGCTCGATGGCCCTCCGTCTCGACCGTGACCAGTAACCGCTGTGGCGACGAAGATTCCCCTCCTTCCAACTGAATAATCTGTATTCTGGGTGCCTCGACTTGCGATGGGGATTTTTGCGATCGCTGGCTGCGCGTGACGCGTCGCGACGCGGACTGAGGCTCAAAGCTAGGAAACGATATAGTGGGTTCATTCAGCGGGTCAGGCGAGGACACAGCATCAACGCTAGACGTGCTGGGGTCGGCGATGTTGTGCCAGCAAAGGTCGAAGCCGTTGGTTAGAAGCCAGCTTTCCTATGCCTGGACATCTGCTGCAAAGAAAGTATGTCATTCCCAGACCTGGGTCTGTGTTTGCAGGGGATTAAGCGCAGGGCCAGCCACGGCGTGAATGAAGCTAGAATCCAGATGAGGAGGTATTCGATACCGACCGTGATTGTGGAAAGCTACATGGAGAGGTTGTACCTGATACTGCCTATAGCGGCTTAGCCCCAAAATTTGTTGTGATGCTTTTTGCTAGTCGAGCTCTTCCAAAACTTTCTTTGCTCTTGTCGCAATATCATTATTCCGTGCGATTGTTGCTGCCAACACCATGTACTGTTTGTCAAAGTACCTACCTAGAGATGTAAGGAGTACAACAGTGAGCTCAGTGACATTCTCTCCTAGCTTCCCAGATTTCCCTTGCCGTGCTCATAAGCATGGTATTGTATTAGTAGAATCCACGTATATAAATGGATACTACCTATCTTCACGAGAACTCAAACTCCTGCAATTCACCACCTACAAAAAAAAATCCCAAAAACACCCCGCCAAATGTCACATGCAATGCTCCGAAGCTTAGCACGCTAGCCGGGCTTCCCCGGGAAAAGGCATGACTTCATTCCAGCGCACTTTGCCGCACTAGCGCCAGACACAAGCACCGAGCCAAACAGCCGTTTACAGCAGCTTCCCCAGCCAAAATTGCCCGGCCCTTCACCACCACCCAAAGGGTACCTCGGCTTGGAATCCATCAGGGCCCGTTCAAGTCGGTTAAACATTTAGACAGCCTCTACCTCGCTTGCCGTTATAGCATCGGGTCTTCGCACAGTCGCATGCGATCCAGGCAGGGCTGCCACAGCTTTTTTCTTTTGTTCAAGTCATCTTGCCGTTGGGTAGCAATTCAGACAACAACGCATCACTGATCGCGTGGGTTCCGCACTTCTCTCTCACCGAACAACCCAGCATATCAAATTCCTAGTCCCGACTCGGTCTCTCAGCACTCCAATACAATGGCCGCCAAAACTCCGATTCCTCAGAACGACAATGTCGCCCATGCTCTTGCCGGAGCAGGTGGCGGCATTCTGTCCATGATTTTGACGTAAGATACCCTATGTCCAAGCTATCAGTCGCGTTGTTGTAGCCTCTGGGTCTTTGTTCCGGCGTGCGCATCGCATATTGCGAACCACACACAGCGCCCTCGACTAACATGCACTTCCGCAGCTACCCTCTCATCACCCTCTCCACCAGAGCCCAGGTCGAATCCAAAAAGGCCGAGAGCAAATTTGTCGAGGCCGTCCAAAAGATCATCGCGCGCGAGGGCGTCTCGGGCCTGTACGCGGGCATCAACTCTGCGCTGTTCGGCATCAGCGTCACAAACTTCATCTACTACTACTGGTACGAGTGGACTCGGGCCTTCTTCGAAAAGGCCGCCACCCGCGCCGGCCGCGCCAGCAAGAAGCTGACGACGATCGAGTCCATGATCGCGGGCGCCATCGCCGGCTCTGCGACCGTCATCATCACCAACCCCATCTGGGTCGTCAACACGCGCATCACCACGCGCCGACAGAACTCTGATGATGTCGAGGCCGGCGCCGGCGCCGTTGCCAAGCGGAGCAAGCCTCCCAGCACCATCGGAACCCTCATGGCCCTCTTGAAGAACGAGGGACCCCAGGCCTTGTTCGCTGGTGTCATCCCGGCGCTGGTGCTGGTGGTGAACCCCATCCTGCAATATACCCTCTTTGAGCAGATGAAGAATACGGTGGAGAAGAAGAGGAAGATTACGCCTACCGTAGCATTCGTGCTAGGTGCCCTGGGAAAGCTCTTCGCAACATCAGTCACATACCCATACATCACTGTTAAGAGCCAGATGCACGTCGCTGCCCACTCTGATAAGAAAGAGGGCATGTCTGAGACTTTGAGGCGCGTTGTGAAAGATGAAGGCTATTCTGGTCTGTATAAAGGTAAGCCTATATCCAGGCAGAACGCATTAATATTGGTAACATTAACTAATGAGATACAATAACAGGCATTGGTCCCAAGGTTACCCAGAGTGTCTTGACAGCGGCCTTCCTCTTTGCCTTTAAGGATGTCCTTTATGAGCAGATGGTGAGACTCAGGATGGGCCGCAAAAAGGCGTAAATTAATTACACCACACGATTGGCTACTTGCTAGCACAAAGATGCGTTCAGCATCTTTTATTCGCTTCCATTATGCAATGGAAGGTAGGCTCTTCGGAGAACCATTAGATAGAGGGCTGTAATCTTTGGGCTGTACTATTAAGTGTAATTAACATAGGTAAGGTGGAATCGACAAGGGCGGATGATACTCCTATCGGTAGATATAGAGCTGGATTTATGGAATTATCTTCCAACGGGTTTTCGGGTTTGATGAGTTGAACGTACATATTACGATTGTATATCTGGGGATCTTATGTCTCTTCTTTTCCCTTTTCTTCCACTCCGGATAACGGGGATGGAAGAAAATAGGAAACGCGACTTCAATTAGTCTTTTTTAAAACTCTTCCTCATTAAATACTTATTTTCATTTTACATGCAATTATGCCACAGGCAGCACCTTCGGAACAATCCACCATTCGTGATATGCTTTTTGTGGAGTTGGGACATCCACCTTGATCTTCAAATTATCCAGGCTCGGCGAAGTCTGAATCACCTTTTGCACCGCCGAAATGGCAAGTTTCGTCGCAATGCACGACTTGAGTCCATTCTTAACGGACGAGGACCATCGGGCGTGAGAGCCCACTGAGAAAGACTCCTCAGCCGTCATCTTGCTAAGAGCCTCGAAGCCTCGTTTGGCACCTTCCACTGCTCGCTCCGCATACTCAAAGAGCTCATCGATTTCGGTGTCGGGCTGCAAAGTACCCGCTGTGAATTCTTCAAAAGTGGGTAGGACGGGGAGGCCAATCGGCGCGAATGGTCTCATTCGAATCTCGTATCGGAGTTCGTCGGTGCTGTATGGCCTTGGTGGTGCTTTGACGAGCTTAAGGCGGTTTAAAACGGTGTATAGACATGACAGTGAATCGGATAGCTCCCAGGTTACAGCGGCATCGAGTAATGACAGGCGAGCATACATCAACGATCGCTGCAGCTGTGCGTCGATGGTGGGATTTGAATATCCAGGGCGTCCGTGTGTCTCTTCAACTCTTTTCATCAAGAATGACTTGATTCGTTCGGTGTGGTGGAGACGGGATTTGGAGATATAATTGAGGTACCAGTACATGCCGGCGAGTTCATCAGTCTGGTAAATCTCCAGCTCGAAGCCCAGCTGGATAATTTGCTCCATCTGACGCAGCTTATACAGATATGTCCATGACGACAGGGGCAGAGAATAAGACTCAACACCACTGCCGCTCATTGCCGATCTGTACATAGTCGGCCGCTCTTCAATCTTGACCTGAAGGATCTGGTCGATTTCTTCTGCGTCCATCTGGAGGCTCTCCCAATCGCGTAGAAGATGGCAGAGAGTCCTCCTCACACGGCAGCGGTTCTGGCACGCTGTGCGGAGGATATCTAAGAACGGCTGTGCTGCCCTGGTCCTGAATAACTCCATCTGCTGCGCCATGGCATATCGTGGGTCGTGAACAACCTCAATCTCGTCATTTGCTCTGTCTAGATACTGGTGTGCTGGCATTGTGAGAATAGAAAAGTCGTCGTCAAGAAGTTGGCGAATACTCATGCTTCCCAGAACCTCCATAGCGTCGAAGAGGAATGTCTGCAACAACGTTCGCACATAAACAATGGGCTGCGGCTTCTTCGCTTGAAAGCAAGTTACAAATGTCTATGATTCCTCGTTAACATCAATAATCATCTGTTTTTAAGTCGGTACAACTTACGAGCAAGCTCTGAGAATCTGTATAATTCAAAACGTCGATTAGCTCGAGGCCATCTGCGAACAGGCCCTTTAGGTGACCAAAAGCAACGTCAAACTCCAGTTGAACAATGGGTCGTGGAGGCATGGTGCTGGCCAGTCTCCGCTGTAGCGTAGCACTGAAAGCCTCATTAACCCGCACGGCCAGAGAGTGTGTTTTGCTTAGGTCTGGTAACAGCTCAAGGCCTTCTCTCCAGGGCTTTTTCGCCAAGTTAGGCTCTTTCATATTCTTGGGGCATTCCACAGCGTCCAAGAATATGCGTCTCAGTTCCAATCGTGCCAACAGGGCTTCGACAAGGTTGTCAGGCATAGAACCTCGCTGCGACCTGAGGGCTGCAATGGCCTCTATCAAAACGTCACGTATCGCACTTGTTGGCAGACTTGCTAAAAGAGTGCGGTTGTACGTGGTGGTGACAAAATCTTCTTCCTGCACTCGGGATTTAACAACAAAGGGCCACTATTGGTGCATTGATGTAGGAAACTTACCTCATAAAAGTGCTCTGATTTGATCCTTTCATTCACGTAGCCGCAGCTTTTCAGCATGCCTAGACAGTATGCTCGGAGGGCCTGTAGCATGAGCTGTTCATTTGGGTTGTGGTTGCCATTGCGAACGAAGGTAGCTTCTTCAATACTTCGTGGCTCTGGCATAGACAGGGCTTCTACGTAGAAGCTGGTAAATAACGTTTGAGAGAGGGGGTATCCCAGATGCCATGACATCTAATGCAACATGAGCGCTTGGAGCATGGCACGGTAAGTACGGGCCTTTTGAACTAACCTCATGACATAAAAGCTGATCTATGATACCCAGCACCTCTTCTGGCAGCAGTGATCTGGAAACGTCGTATGTTTCCTCCACCTCAGCTCCGGGGCGGCTGCACCCACTATCCATCTTGGGATCCATGATCTATCATAGTATGAGAAGACGGAAACCCTCGCAAAGCGTAGTCTAGCATAATACGTACCTCCAAAGCGGCGACAGAATCAAACAACGTGAAGAACCCATCCTTAACGATGGCTCCAGGCTCAAGAGCTGTGGTTATAAATCAGCTTACGTGCACTGCGGCTCAGATAACGTGAGGATGTGTCGGCTCACTCTTAACAGCTTCTGAAAATTTTGCCGTTATATCCACGGCGACGATGCCATCGCTCTTGATATTCGGTGGCAGCGTCTCCGGGGGAGCAGAGCCCTGGCCCAGCGATAATCTCGCGATTTCTGCGCAGCTTCTGGATTAGCAATTTTGTTGAGGGCGAGGGGAGAGAGATTATGACGGTTTTCAGCCCATCATTTTTTTCCGCACCATCTGGTACCCCAACGCCAAAGTCCGCCATGCTGTAAAAATGGTTTGGCACTCAGATAGATTATATTGGCATTATTGCGCGGGTGATGAGCTTCGAATCAAAGATGAAATGCCAAAAAATAAAGAGTTCCCTATGCTCCCTCGCGCGTGGCTTGAAATGGGTCTGCTGTTGATGACCACTAAAGTCACTGTTCGCGGGCCGAGACACACAGACCTAAGACAGTGCTATTAGGCGACTGAACAATAGTACCTTCCCTAGTTTTCAGCAAGAGGTTCAAGCGGTTGAAAGCGCTGGATTGCAAAGTTTATCTTCCAAGGTTAATAAAGGCAATTTCTTTTTTAGATTTAACAGGCCGCGGTATTTGCATAATACCACACGAGGCTTCAGTCGCATTCTCCACCATCGGTATATATCTTGCTAAGCAGTCACCCCTCACATATTACATCTACTTCCAACGGAACATTACGGAATGATCTTGCAGCCGGATGCCATGATTTGTTTGCCATAATATATTGGTGTATTGCAGCAGTTATTTATTTTACAATGCCAGCAATTTGGAGTTCTAACCCATTCGCATGGCTCTTCTCATGTCGCTTCCCAGCGTCTATTGTAAGATCACTCCCCACCCCTTCTCATCCACTCGATTTTTTTTCCCCCACACAGGCAGATTAAGAGGAGGCATTCTCGGCGGTGGCAGCAGCGTTCGCGGCGTTGAGGTCTCGGGGCTCGCCGGCCTTGCCATTCTACTGAGGCATTAACAATCGGTTCCTGCTATTGTCTATGCGCCCAATTCACATACCTTCCATGAAGCAAATCGCAGCTCGGAAGTAGCACGACGCTCAGCAACGATTCGCTTGTCCTCCTTGAGGCTTCGGCGAATGGCGCGGGCCGAAACGGCCAGGAAGCGGTTGTAGCTATATCACAGCATGTTAGCCGATGGATTCGCAGAGTCGGTTGGAAAAAGTCGCAGCGCAGCGCAGCGGTCGAGAGGGTGATCGAGGCGGCGAAGGCGAGTGCGCTACGGCAGGGGATCAATCGACGTACGTCAAACCGGCGGCTTTCCACGCAGCAGTCATCTTGGCGGATGGATGGGTTAAACGGCGAAAATAAGCGTTGTTAATGATGCCGACTGAATCTTTGCTAGAATCGAGCGCTCGACAATGCGCTAGCGCGCCTGAGGTTTCAAAAAGTCACGTGTGTCTCAAAGGATGACTCAGCGGCTACATCCGACTTGCTTTCCCGTTTAGTACCTTGCCCACTGACATGCCGTAATTCATATTGAAGCTGGATGATCTATGCCCAAGTTCGCACATTCCATGGTCCAATTAGATCTGGTAGAAAATTTGACTTAACTCCGTGCCAGGATTCTTCAGCATCGCCCCGGCAAATCTACAAGCAGCACAATCCCGGATGATGAAGTAAGCAGGCTTCTGTGCTGAGCTGAGACAAGCCAGGCGCAACTTAAGAATACTCCCTGTAACGCCGCCGATTCGAGGCGGAGAACTTGATTATGCCAATGGAATCTCCGCAAGGCGAGACACACCATTAATCTACCAAGGACAAGGGTGCAGTAGGGACTCAGCTCTCCATACCGGGAAGTTTGCTTTATGTGTTTCCGCTCGCTAGAGCTCTCCGTGTCCTTCTTGACAGGGAAAGCTCCTTAATCACATTCGTAAAAGGCTTTGGCCTGTGTATTGATTTGTGTCGACCCTCATATTCCTTATCCATCTAAAAACGTCAGTACATTTCTCACTTCAGATATGTCGTCTGTGCTACAGGGAAGAAGACGCCGGCCGCGAGAAATCTTGCTCCCTAACGGCAAGAAGATAATCGTGACGCTGCCCGAGGATCTCGAGGAGGTTCGCCGCAAATATCCCAGAGGTAGCGACGACATACAAGTCGAAGTGGTTGTTCACGGCTCTGTAGAACACAGTCATCATCTTCGACAATCGCGAGACCATCATGAAGAGCGCCGACAGTTGCTACGGGAGCAACATGGGCCTGCCTTTGAAGAATGGGAAGACGTCCAAACGCAGCTTTCCTTGGTGACTGCAGAGTTGGAGCGTTTGGAGAACCAAGCGTCGGGGCTCTACGGTAACTTTAGTAAATTTGGTTACGATGCTGCTATACGAACATACAGTGATGAAGACCCTCCTATCGCATCTTCGCATGCGTCAATCTCAGAGAAAGTCCGTGGGCAGCGGGACCAAGACGGCGACCGGCATGGAGAGACAACCAAGCTATTTAAACGGCCTGTGATCAGGCAATGGTTTCATCAAGGTTTGCTATGGAGAGCATCTGAACAAACGGAAGTTATGGCTATCGAGCTCTTCCTCGATCTTGTATACGGTACGATATTGTTTGCTCTATGGCTCGATCGAAATGGAGCAGCTAATAACGCTTTCCTAGTGGGCATCATCCATTCCAATGGCGAGCACATGGCAGAAGAAGCGACCGGATACGAACTACTCCGCTTCGTGATTACGTTCATTATGACCTGGAAGATATGGACGGACATTACTCTAACGCTTAGTTGGTTCGAGACAGACGACGTTGTCACTAGATTGGAGGTTTTGTTTTGCATCTCTTGCCTCATCGGGTAAAAATGGCAATCTCCCTCTGCTGCAATATCTCGGCTAACCTTTCTTATAGCTTTACTACTAACATGACCCATATCTTTGTCGATGATCCGGCACACAATACCTACGTGCAACTTGTGTCGTTCTATCTCGCCGCACGAATTTTTACAGCGATATTTTATGGAATAGCGGCTTATCTCCTACCCATGATCAAGGGTGTCATGATTACCCAGATAATATTCATTATTATCCCTACCGCTTTGTGGATCGCCAGCATTCACGTCGATATGCCTGGCCGCCTGGGGTTCATCGTACCAGCTCTGTTTCTTGACATGTATGGACAAGTAGCGTTCTTCACAATAGTTCGATACAACCAAATTCATGCCGCAGAGAGCGTTTGGAAAAGGCGTTTCGATCGCATGTTTGAGTTTTACCCTGCCATCAGCATCGAGCACAGGGTCGAAAGAATGAACGCTTTTGTCTCTTTAGTTTTCGGATATTCCGTGGTCGCTGTCCTGTTCCAAAACCAAGGTGGCTACGATATAAATGCGTTTCTAGGAAAGGCTATTCTAGGTTTAATGCAAGCATTTACTTTCAATTGGATTTATTTTGATATCGACGGACGAAACATCAATCTACATGCAATTCGACGCTCTCCGACCACCGGTTAGATCTCATTCATTTCCCCTCTTATCTGTGTACTTCAAAGCTAACAATAGCATAGCTGGTCTTTGGGGGGTTTCTCATTTACCTTTTGTAATGGGATACATCGTCGCCACATCAGCTCTATCAAGGCTGGTACTTGCTACTGACGTACCAGGCACTGACTCGAATCAACTTGCTGAACCTTACAGAGACAGCGCCGAGGATCATTTCAACTCAGGCGTCCGCTTCTTCTACTGCCATGGCCTTGCTATCGCCCTTCTCTGCATGGCAGCCATATCCTTTTCACACGAACACAAGAAGCAACCGACGCTTCGGTTGAATAAAAGTATTAGGCTCGCAAATCGTATTGCAGTTTGCATCATCATGTTCTTCTTGCCGTTGGCGACATCGCTCCGGTCCCTCGATCTCATTTCCATCACACTAAGTCTGACGGTATGGGTCCTGATTGTCGAGCTGTGGGGGAAATCGTGTACAGACGATCCATTTATCGGTGAGAAAGACGGTTGCTGTATAACGTATTGTGCGAGATGCAAAAAGTATGATGTTGGGGGAGCTGTTGGTTCTGATGGAAGGCTTCTACGCGGGGAGATGTTGGAATTAGACAGGGCGGAGAAGACGGCGATTTAGAATTATATCAAGAGTATATAAATAAATATTTGGCCATATTATACGAAAATAAATGAACATTAATCGCTAAATATCTTTCACACGCACGCCCCTGTTACATACCAAAAACTGTGGTTAGCATCCTTCGCCCATCCAATACCCGTTAAGCAAAATAACAAGGCGTAGTCATAGTAATAGCCTGATGCATCCTCCTCCTATCAACCTCCTTCTTCAGCATCACCAAGCAGCTGGCCACCACCAACACCTCAACCTGCTCCGCATCCCCTTTAGTTCCCTCCCATTCCATCAAATTCATCATCAATCTACCTCCATTCCCCGCCGTCGTAATTTTCGTCTCCTTGGACCTAACCTCTGCATTTCTCACCAGCCTCGCCACGGGTATCCTCTTCTCCTCCTGTTTCCCGCCCTCAAGCGCCACTTTGATTATTCGATCGAGGACCATCAAATTATTTGCCCCAGCCGCTTTTCTCTCTTCCCGCCCTGCGTAACGCCATTGAAACGTGCCCAGGTGCGTGCGGAATACTTGCGCTCGCGTAGTGAAGCCCTTATTGACGACTTCAAACTCCTCCTCGTAGGCCATGAGTCCACACAACTCCAGCTTTGGGGGCTTACCGGGGCCGAAGCGATATGTGGTTCGGCAGATGGGGTCGTTTTCAGAGTCGCCGGCACGAATGAGGTTGCTGTTTCCGGAGCAGCGAACCGGACGGAGAGACCGATATGCAAGGTCTGTGGCAATACCCGTGGAGAGATCTACATTGTATATGGGGATGGGCGTCCGCCGAGGCGAGTGGGGGAAGGCAAGGAGAGGATGGCCTCGAGCTTCGATCTGAAAGGCCTTGGTGCAGCGAAAAGTTGGCTGGGATGACGATGAAGATGAGCCCTGGGCGCTGAGACGGTAGTCGTCATATTGAGGGGGGGAGGAGGAGCTGGAGCGTGAAGATGTGGTTGAAAGATTATCGAGCTCGATATAGTCGCCGGGTTCATAAGCTGGAGGAAGGGAAGATGTTGATGTTGATGGTCGGGAGAGCTTTCGACCGTGCAGAAGCACTTCCGTTTGAGTAGCCGACATTGTATATGTATACAGTTGTATATATGTGTATATGTATATAAGTATGTATATGATGGCGGCAGGTTGATGTGGTTGTATAAGTGAGATAAGAGCCTGTCTCAGAACAATCTTGACTAGTATATATAGAAAGCGTTATAGTAAATATATAGTTGGTCCTAAAGCCATCTACATGAAGCTCTAGAAATTGGATCCTCTCCCCATCCATGTGCAACCCAGCGTCTCTATATATACTTTCGACGCCATGCCCCTAGCAATTAAAAGTACATTGTAGGCATCATCGCCAAGCCAGCAGTAAAACCAAACCCCAAGCAGATTCGCCCAACCCGAGATATACGCTCCCCCCAAGCTTCGCCCCAGCTACAAATGGCTATCCGCCAGCTCCTGGCCCGGGCACATGTCCTCCCGCTTGCTGACATGCGCTACCGAGCGCCTCTTTTGTCTTTGTGCGGTTCAGCTTGCCAGAAAACAAGCGGGCCTCTCCATTCGCATGCCAGATACGCAGAATACGATGAATACGGACCAATCAGAGACACGACTATAAAGTGGAGAAGAGCTTCTAGCGGCATCATTTGTGGGGATTGGCGCAAGCTTGACTGCACCTTGGGCTTCTCGGCTCTTTGTTTTGGGCACCAGAGAGTCTTGGAGGAAGCTTTGGGTGGCTGTAGGCAGGGCTTGGCTGGGCTTCGAGAAGCTTGCAGAGTCGAGCTGGTCAAGATGCGTCAGTTGTGTCTGCATTCACCGTCGTTTTTGTTGAGAGGGGTTCGGCTGGCTAAAATAGGTGTGCTATTGTGCAGCTGGAGACAGTATCGCGGCAGGGTGTAAGTGGTAGACCCTTTGAATATTCCACGGCTAACCCAGCAGCCGTATTCCTCGTAACAGCCACTCCCCGGATGCCACAATCGAAGGACGCCTATGGCCATTCCACCCGTGGACTTTGCGTGCCCGGATAAATATATAAAATCATCTACCATCTTGATGGTTTCCAAGTGACCAAGTGTATTTACTATATCTCGTTTGTATCAATTATTGGATATATGTCGCAAAGATACATTGAAAAAAGAAGGAACGCCGAAATTCCAATTGCTTCCTACTTCACATACAAACAAGACATACATCTACCGACGCTTCCCAAAGAAAGTAATGTCGTTATCCAGCTGTTCGTCTACCCACCTCGGCCACTGATTGAACATCTGATGAGCATAATCTACGCGCGCGTTGAGATGCTTAAGCCAGCGGATGAATCCTGGGTCGATGCGGGCATTTTCCTGCTGAGCAGGATGCTTCTCTCGCACGTCGTATTCCCGCTCAATGATGAAAGCCATGATTTGCGACAGGGCTATCCAGTGTGTGTGCAACAAAATGACGATCTGGTTGTTGGCATTGATGAGCTCTTGGAATGAATCATGGGGTAGCAGCATCCACCATGCGTATTGCTTCGAATTGGCCTTGTATGCTGCAACAGGGGGAAACAAAGAAAAGCCCAATATGTTAGCGAGGTGGCCAGCATCAAAGTGAATAAAGAATCCAGCTTACCCTCGAAGGAATTGGTAAGCAGTTGAGACGAAATGGTCATAAGCTTCTCGTGGTATTCAATCTCGACTTGCCGTGTGCAAAGCGGCCCCAAGTTGGTAATCGACTCAATGGCAGTCTCAGCCCACCCCTTCTCAATTAAAGGCAGCCCCTCCATATACGGCGCAAGGACCTCGTCTTGGTTTGACTCAAACAGATTACTAAAAAGAGGCTTGATGCTCTTAAACATCATTTGCATTCCCACAATGACAATCCCCCGAATGAATGTCATGTACTCAGCTAATCCGTCCTCGAGGCTGACCGATTGGAAAGTAAGTGCGAAGCAGGTAGCTACCAGAGCGTTCGCCTCCTCGTATGTCGTGTCCATCTTTGAGGCATCTGTTAATCGTTTCTTGATGGCCTTGATCGCTTTTATACGGTGATTCATCGCCACCGGTGCAAGGCTACTATCTGTGTCCATCAACTCCGAGGCCGCATAGCCAAGGATCGCATGCATAAGAAATTCGTGCTGTCAAAAATCTGTCAGTTATATTAACCGGCAGTTTTGTTTTTTTTTTTTTTTTTTAAAAAAAAAAAAAAAAAAAAAAAAAAAAAACCTGCTAGCTTTCAGACACGGCATCAAGGGAATATTCAACATACGTTGTGTGCTATGCTTGGAATCTCGTGCGTCCAAATCTCTTCTTGCCTCAACGGATGGTGAGGGTAGCACTGGGTCAGAAAGTGCTGAAAGCATCGCATATCTTGCAAGCTGAATAATGGTATCTGATTGTGCGGCTGCTCCAATGTCAGCAGGATTCAACACTAGATGCCGGTTGTACGATGATCTCGCGCTTGTTAGGACGTACCTGGTGTATAATCTGCGGCGAAACCGGGTATTCGCAATTCAATCCCGTTTTGACGCAGTTGCCGCATGCTGGGTGTGTTTCTTGACACTATGATAGGCGTTCAACATGAGTTGCCCACTCCCTCTACTCGACCAAATGCGACGATGTTTTGAGCATATACCTTGATGCGCCGCCTCTTGCAGTTGTAGCATCCCCTACGGCTTTTGGTATGGCCTCGCCTCTCTAGCCGCTGCCTTTGCTGCATCGGCGTCCGGCGAAGGCTCAGCTCGAGGTGGCTATTGTTGTTATTGCCGCTGGACAGGCTTTTGGAGCTGGAGTACGGAGGTGTGTGCGCTCCTCCTGACGATTCCGACAGCGTGGTCGAATAGCCCTGCACACCGTCCATGAAGCCCGCGTCGGGCTGCAGGTAGGCGGTATAATCAAACTCGGACGAATCGGGGAACGACATGATGTCGTCCTCAAAGGGCTGGGAGCTCATGGCGGGCGATTCTGGAAAGCCGCGTGCGGTTCTTCCCAGCAGGCTGTACTGCTATGCAGGCTCGGGTGCAGTCACCGGGTGACTCTTGTCGGCCCCACGTTACGGAGCGCATATGGCGATGGCCACGGGGCGTGATTGGTGGGCAGCGGCAGTTTGATCCTCAGCACCTTGTTCAGAGCCGCGCGCAATTGAACAAAATACCAGCCGTGAGCCAGTGGGATGCTGCAAATAGTCGAGAAGCCGGGAATCATTGTTGACCAAACGCTCGATTGGATGCGATGACGGACTTAGTTTTAGGTGCCGTGGAACGGAGCACCTTTCCTCCGCATCCTTGTACGGATTACTTTATGCTCCTGGCTAGCACAGCTAAAGATGCTCGCATGGCCACTGATTGTGAGGCGTTTATGAGGCGGCGCAGCAACATGAGGTCCGCGCGAGCTTCGATTTGATCAGCTGGCCGCCTTGGCAGACAACCTGCGCCATTTGGGTCCTGCCGCTAATTCGCTTCTGAGGGGTGGCATCCTCTGTTCGTCTTGGACACTGGCGACATTTTGGGCACCGAGAGGGCAAGCCGTAGAATCACTTTAGATAGTCGTCTTCACCGAACCGTGACCTCGGCAAGTTGATCAAAATAGGACAAGCACCATATCATCACAACGATTCACAAGTCTTTTTTCATTTTCCCTTCACGATACGCACCATGGTATTTACTAGATAATATCTTGGAACGTAAGAGGATCGTCCTGTAAAGCAATGACTACGTTTTCGACTGGTCCAGGCAGCAGCCAAGCTTCCAGAATGCATCGCTGCCGCGCTAACTACGTATATCTGCTCAATCAACCAACCTAGACAGAACCTCGTGATTTTCCCCAGAGTTATAGGGTAGGCATGGGGTCAATTCAGCTGAAACGGCAAGTAAATTGGGCTTTAGCGACATGAATGAATACTATAGAATATAAATCATAGCGTTATAGTTGAACGTCATGACTTTCTCCCTCGTACTGGAGAGGCCATTGTAGCATAAGCTCGGTCAATTTGATTGCGATGAGGATCGACGAAACTATCGGAGGCTCTTCCTGCGCGTCCGGATAGTCGGCACGAGAATTGAGAATGGAGGGGTGTTGATGATCTTTTTTATGCTACAACTTGGTAGCATGGGAGCAGAATAAATGAGTACGCGTAAGCACATTGAAAATAAACAATGTTGCTACCGGAAGCTAGTCAGCATCAAAAGAGAAATACCAGTCTCTTAGTGCATGTACTCGGCTATGTGGTGAGCTTTCATAAGACTCTCAGCATGTAAACTGCATGCATTTGTCACCAAATTTCATTGCCTACCAAATACTACTAGTACTCATCAGCATACATATATATATGGTAGAACTCGGTCAAGATAGAAGGCACGGCTTTGATCGCCACCAGGGCTCACAAACTCCATATTCCCTTTGAGTTAATCACACCCAATTGGTCGGTAATGAAAACCGATCGTAGGGGCTGGCGTAAACTAACACAGATAGGAATCTGAGCTGTGTCCCTGCGCGAAACGCTGCCCAGACCTTCCAATAGTGGTTGGTCCAGCGAAGAAAAGAAGATCGTGGCGCGGGCCTGATTGCTGACCCGCGGCCAAGGGCACGATGCTAATAAACTGGATACAACAACGAGCCGCATGCAGCGCGATGGTGGCGGTTTGCCAAAGCTGGATCAGACGGCATTCAACGTCATGGTGGATGGCTACATGTACGGACTCGTAGCTATATCTCGCACGGGCAGAGGGTATTTACGAATATCACTTGGCCAGCGTCTGCTGGCTCGCAATCTCCGAACATTGGCGGCTATTTCTCAAGAGTAGGGCTCGTAGTATGATATATCAACAAAACTCCAGAATATAATACACGTAGCGGGTCGTCAATGTCACCATGATTGACGGAGGGGAGCATATAAATTGAAGTCTGAGCTGAAACACCCAATAGTGTCCGATTAGATGGGCAGATAGGTGGTATCGTCAATTTACAAGAGCGATGGCAGGACCAGCCGCTCCACACAGCACAGAGAGCAAATCGGCCCATTGGTTGACGAGATACGCGCTGGTGGCCGAATCTGCGTGTACTGCGGTTGAAAATGGTCGTATACCCATTACGGAGTGACAATATACCAATGCAGCAGCGGATGTTCGGGGCGGCCATGATTGGCCCAGGGTTTGTTGTGCCGGGTATCCTTACCCCCCTGCAACTGCGTACGGCGAGGGCATTGTGTAGACATGGGGGAATCAGGTTGGCGATGGCTTGGTCGAAGGCCCAGCCTCCAGTTCTAATATAAGAACGTGAGGGCTGGAAAGGGGCAAGGAAATTGACATATCGCGCCACTCGGGTAACTGCTACCATTTGAGCACCCAGCACGGAGCGCGTGGAGTTCTGTCCTGCTTGCGGAGTATTCGTGCTTGTAGCCAACAGGTTCAGCCTGCACGAAGCATGTAGTACCCGTGGCTTAAGATCTTGAGGACTACATGTACCTAGTAGGCTACCAGATACTGCCTGCCCGCCTCCTTTTTGAGTCCATTGACGCTGTTTTGTCCCATGTTATCCCATGCTACTAATCCAGCGTCTCTGCGCGGAGGACATGTATGTATGGAGCATTGTTTTCCGAACACCCTCCAAACAAGCTCTTAGTCTGAGCAACTGAATAACAGTCAATCTGTCTTATCTAAATACCAAACATTTCACGGTGGTCGTGACCCAAGCCCTAGAAATCAAGTAGACCGCACACAGGACTCAAAAATTCGAGAAGCCGTTTGATGCCTGATCCCTGCAAGTCTTTTTGAGAGAGCGCGCGGCTGCCAAGAAGTAGGAGGGCAAAAAAAGACACCGCTATCTTGGTATCTCGGATGAGCTAGCGGTTGGCACGACCGAGATAGCGAGCCAACGTGGCCAGGTGGGGTTTGCACGCCTCTCGGCGTAAAAAAAGAAAAAGAGAAAAAAGAACGAGACAGGGGTCGTGTCGGCGTCGGTGCCGTTAGTTAAAGCGCTGCATATCGGCCTAAGCCCTTTTGATGTCCGGGATGGGCCTCGAGCTTTTTTTTTCTCTGTTTCACATTAGTGGCGTGGCGTGAACAGTCGATGAATGTGCGCAATGGACTTCTGAAGTTGCCGGACTGGAGCCACGTCAGTCCATGTGGGATACAGGAGCAGAGCTGCCGTTCCTGCGTTACCACACAAGACACGGGTGGAAAGCGTAGAAAGGAAGCAGTTCTCGCATGTCTCACTCTGGGATACATTTAGACTCGGGTGGACAAAGGGCTGGGCATCAATGATATTGTATGCGGAGAATGATACTCCATGCCTTTAGGTATACGTATACGGAGTACTCCGTGCCCATATCCGGCTTTTGTTCCAATAGGGGAGCATGAATCGGTGCCGGGCCTCCGATGGCTGTCTCGCCCAGCATTCCAACCCCCGGCCACTTCTCGTTTGGTGAGCACGAAACTAATAGCCTGGCATTGCGTACCTCCTTTGGGTATGGGGTGAACGGATGTGCCTGGAAGAGCTTCCGGGGAGTTTCCAAGGGCTGTGTCTGATTTTCTCGTACTGCTAAATGACCTGCTAGGCATCATTCATGTCTATACAACCGCCAAGATGCTTCTAGTAAGATCTCAGTAATCGGGCAAACATGGTGCTAAGTTGACTACAGTACGATTAGAAACAGAATACGAAAAAAAGTAATGAACGACACGGACTCGTATTCTGTCGATCTTGCTGTATGTATGTGAATGTGTTCATGCGTCTTTTCAGGTACAGGAGCCACCACAACCCACTTTCAGATCATCCATCTACTATGTACTTTCATGCAGCTACAAGAAGCATAATCAAGTCTCTTTTTCTCCCATTCTCATTTCTTGAGTTTGATTTGTCCGAGGAGAAAAAGGTTAAAACCCTCGTCAGCACTGATCCTTATGAGCACGGTTGCTGGTGCCTGTATCAGGGTTATTGCTGCATGCTCGTACCACAGTTTTATACAGTGTGCATCTGGTTATGGGTGAGAGAAACCAGAAGCTCCAGCTGGTGTAGCCGAGCTCACATGGGTCCCAGCAAATGCTTGGCCCATTACTCTAAAATTGCTGCTAAAACATGTAAACAAAAAAAGAACAGAATTGTACTCCATACCGTGCAAAAAAAATACAGTAAAAAAAAAAAAACACAGAAAAGAAAAGAAAAAAACCCGCACTCTCTTTCTGCTTGCTTTAGGCCCCCTTCGCAAACAGGATTCAGGGCCGCGTACGGACATATGCAGAGGTCGTTTCACCTTGACTAGGTTTGTGGGCGCCGTGGACGGCGATTGGGCACAGGCGGGCCGGGCTCGTCCACCGCGGCCGCCTCATGCGGCTCGAGTCGCTGTGCTCGACCAACCGGAAGCCTGTGCCTGGCGCGCAGTGGCCAATGAGTGCAGCCTCAACTGGCGCTGTGCCTTGGCGGGGGCGACTCCCCAAAACGGTCCCCATAGGCCCTCTGGAAGAACTCCATAGGGTGCTCGAGGTGCCTGAGAGGGCCCCCGCAGCCCCTGGAGCTAGCTGAGGCTTTGGCCGGCACTAGGGGCGTTAGGCCAAAGCCAAGTTGGGTTGACGGACCACATGTTGGATAAGCAAGAGGGACATTTTTCGAGCCCTTTTGAATTTCTCTTCTGCTTCCCCGTTTCTGAGGTGCAGTATGGAAACAAATGTTTGTAACTGTGCTGCAGCGGAAAAATTATGTAAAGTTAGTTTGAGCATTGCTTACAGTTCATGTCGGGAGAATGGAGAGGGGTTGGCAGTGCTACAATATTGAATGATATTGTGTCTCCCTTCAGGGAGGTGACGCAGCAGCAGCAGCTCCAGTGTAAGCAGAGGTATGCAATATATTGCCGGTACTACTGGATCAATATCGAATCAGGATTCGTGATTCTCCAGCAGTTATTGCTTGCAACTGCAACGAGTACCTGCTTTGTGTGCGCAAGTGGTTGAACAACACGAGCACGGGTCCAACCATCACTGTGTGGGACTCAATGTACTCCATACAGGCTAGCATCTCTTGCTGACACATATACCGGACTGCTCTTAGACGTGAACAAACAGTACACGACCTCAAGTTTGTGCACGCCTTGTCCATTCACAATTTTCATGGCCTCCAGAACCGGCGTCGCCTTTGCCAAGCTCCAGCGGCACAGCCAACAACATTACAGTATGAGTCTGCCGTAGCACTGCCAACAATGCCGAGGGAGGTTCGTGCAGGCACAGACAGTTGGACTGAGTTCACGCTCGCTGACTCTAGCGTCAGCAGCCCAGGGCGCCGTTTGCCCACGCCCACCACAAAACTTGCACGATAGCGCCTACAGGGGGGGTTGCCCACCCTCGACCGACAGGGGTGCCGCTGCCCTGGTTCTGTACCTTGCATCGGGCCCTGCACCGGCCCTGCATCTGCGGCTTCCACTTGCCGGGTACTTCAGGCCCCTCTCGTCCCCAGCTCATCTCTTCCTTTCTCCTTCTTTTTCACCATCAAACGTTTTCGATTCCCTGGCAGTTTCGTCAGCTCGTCTTTCATTTATCTTCTCCGTCGCCAGTTCGACTCTTCTTTTGAATCAGCAAGGCTGTTCACTCTTTACTTTGCGTCTTTGATAGACCGATTGCACTCTTTACCGGCCGCGCCGACCTGCCTTGCATTGCAAAAGCATTCACAAGTCAAACTTCGACTTTCTTCTCACAGTCCTTTACTTCAACGTTTGAAATCGACCGACAACTCCCGTCAAATCTAGACAAAATGTACAAGGCCGTTGCTCTCACCTCCATCGCTGCCCTCGCGGGTCAGTCCATGGCTCTCAACGCCCATCGCCACCAGCACCAGATGGACAAGAAGGCTCTCGTCGTCGACTGGACCACTGTCATCGAGACCGTCTATGTCACTGTTGACCCTGGCGCGTCTACTCCTGCGGCTCCTGCTGCTCCCGCTGCCACCTCTTCTGCCGGCGGCTTCGCTGCTCAGGATGTTCCCAACCCTGCTGGAAACGCCGCCGCCGCTGCTGCTTCATCCTCCAGCTCTGTCGTTGTTGCTTCGTCTCCTGCGGCTCCCGCTGCCCAGTCCACCACTCTGGTCACCTCTGTTCGCCCGTCTGTCGCCGCCGTCGTGAGCAGCAGCATTGCACCCGCTGTGCCATCATCTGCTCCGGTCTCCTCTGCCCCGGCTCCTCCTCCCGCCACCTCTGAGAAGCCTACTCCCACTCCTTCTCCCTCATCCAGCTCTGCGCCAGCTCCTCCCCCCAGCTCTACTTCCCAGGCTGCTCCCTCTGCCACTCCTACCAAGGCCGCCAGCTCGGCCCCTGTCAGCGGTAGCCACTTTGGTCGTGGTATGGCTTACAATGATGGTGTCCTGGCCAACGCTTACGGTGCTCTTTCCGGCAAGATGGGCTGGGCTTACAACTGGGGCTTCTATCCTTCTGGAATCGACAGCAAGTACAGCTACATTCCTACTCTCTGGAGCACTGATCCCTCTCACTCCAACGGCTTCGCTGAGCAGGTTGAGACTCTGCTTTCCTCTGGATCCAAGGCTATTTTCAGCTTCAACGAGCCCGATATTGCCAGCCAGGCCAACATGTCTCCTGGCGAAGCTGCTTCTGCCCACCAGCAGTGGCTGAACCAGTACTCCGGCAGGGCCCTGATTGGCGCTCCTTCTGTTTCCAACTCCCAATCAGCCAACCAGGGTGCCGACTGGCTCAAGCAGTTTGTTGAGGCTTGCGGTGGTAACTGCAAGTTTGACTTCTGCAACATGCACTGGTACTCTCCTGCCTCTGCTATCGATACCTTCTTCTCCCAGATTGATGCTGTCAGCTCCGCCTGCGGTGGCAAGCCCGTCATGATCACCGAGTTCCAGCCTTCTGGCACTGTTCAGGAGATCCAATCTTTCTTGGAGGAGGCACTGCCTAAGCTGGACTCTAACCCCACTGTTATGGGCTACTCCTACTTCATGGTTGCTAACGACGGTAGCGCTGATGGTAAGAACCTGATGGGATCACTCACCGCCGCCAGCAACATCGGCCTCACCTATGCCACCGCTTAAGCCAGTGGCTGAGATAGCATCTTTCGCTTCCTATACAGTACCTCGCTAGAGATTTATTTCGATATATTTCTAGTCAAATTTTCGGACATAGCTTACTTATTGCAAGAGGGACACATTTGGTGTGGCAGCAGATAAAAAAACTGAATGGCATTAAGGGGAAAGGCGCAACTCGAGTTCATCTGTACATATTTTAACTACCTGGTTCTTGGATGTCACATCCGCGATATCAGTACATTTTGATTCACTTTTTTTTTGTCAAGGAGGGGAAAGAGTGTACTCCAGATATTTCTGCCATAAGTCACTTTTTGGTGGTCGTCTCTTGGCCTTTCCGTCTATATTTCACTTTCAAGTATTGCACGAGACAAAGGACGGGGATGTTCACGGAAAAGCATGAAAAGATCTGGTATGCATCTCACGTATAGAATAGGGTCGAGGACAAGACTTTAGCATAGATCTACGAGCTACGATTTCAATAAAGGTCTTGCGATTTGCCTTCTTTGCGCCTAAACTTTAGTACTAGTCTCTTATTGTATCTGTATCTACTGTGAATATGTGTGCATGAATGACGGCTGTCGGTGGTGATTGACATGTGCTATTCTCTCGTACTATTTCAACATACCAATTGTAGACTACAGCTCTCTTTATAACGACTGTAGAGTAACGTATGTATTGTGTCGAAAAGGTAGAAAGCAAAAAGTTCTATCGAATCAATAGCTACCACTAACTAGGTAACACTTGGCATTGCTCTCAAACGGAAAAAGATTGACATTGACAAGCGTCGAATTTTTGATCTGATTCCTCCAAAGAGTGCGACCGCCCGGCAGTAATCTTGGTCTGCAGTGGGAGGAATCTCCCATCTATCGCGCCGGACTTTAGGGATATCAGACACTCGCGTCCACAAGTCGTGGAAGACTCGATGTGCAGTCCCGGAAAGTCATTAGGACGAGGTCCGACCTCCCGTTTTATCGTTGTCGTTACTGTAACAGCATTGGAGGGGTTGTTGAGCATCTTGGCAGCGTGGCTGCCAGGGGTGTCGCGCTCATAAGGATCATCATGATCGCCATCGCGGGATCGACGCTTGGTTGGCACGAGCGATATATCGGCCAATGTCGATGATAGCGTCTCGTGAAATTCGCTTGGCGATGATATTCGATTTGCCCCTGAGCCGAGATCTCGCGATCGTCTGGCTTCCCCAGATGAGCTGGTGCTTGCTGTCCCAGCGTTATCCCTGGATGTCACCCACTGGATGACTATTACAGAAAACAGGACTATCAACAGCCCAAGGTTTAGCTATGAAGTCGTAAGGAAGAGTTTAACTCACTATCGCAGTTGCAGCTCATCAAGCAGATCCACCCAGGTTCTCCGTTACGGGCCATCAACACAGAGAGGTTGCTAGAAACTCTTGATTAGCCAATCCATATCAAAGAGGGAACTGACTTTGATCTATTGAGAGTCGATTCTTACACAACACTGCTTACTAGTGTGCAGACTGTGCCGCAGAATGTTCGAAATGCCACGGTCCGAAGACGAATATTGGCTCGTGTTCTCGCCAGCTTGGTAAAAGCGTAGAGTCCTGGCATAAGTCAGCGAACGACGTCTCTGCTTCCGCATCCAAAGGACCCAAATAAGTTTACTCTTTAAAGGAATGAGAAACATAATTGTCAGGTACACGTTGACAAGCGCGTCAAAGGAGATGAGAGGAATCATTGAGACCGTTTCCATCCCTATTATGCATTGTCCATTGTCCATTCTTGCAATGCGGCTGTTTTACTTGTTATTAAGTGCCATTTGATAGCTAGTAGAACTCCCATATTGAACTTACTAGACAAAGTTTAATATGACTACTGCTATGTATATGGTGAGCATACCGAGAGAATTTACCAGATATAGAGTGGATTTCATGCGAGGCTTTGTTGCATCACGAATGATATACTGAATCGCAGTGTTAGCAATATTTTGGGAATAGCATTAATTGAATATGCACTTACAGCCTTCTCAACGAGGAACAAGTATATAAACTGAGATGGTCAGCATGGTACAGAGCCTGGCATTCAGCGAGATTAAGTAGTACTAGGTACTGACAATCTACCAGAAAGACCACATCAGCAAGAGTGAGCACACCGGTGAGTCTCAGAGAATAAATATCACCTTGGTGGTAACGTAACATGCCAAGCACAGTATAATTTCAGCGTCACAAATACTGAAGCCGGAGTTGACCCCAAGTGAGTGCTCCAAAATCGCAGTAGCCACAACGAACAGGTAAGAGTCAATATATATGGCAAATACCACTTGATATTAGAATTAGCTTTTTTCCTTCCCCAAACTCGGCAGAATAATGACAACTTGCACCAAACTACAGGCGGTAATCGGCGCCAATACTTGATTGCAAGAACTCTCTGTGCTGATATGTTTACCACCGTTAGTTTCGTATGTGGTTAAGTGGAATATCAGGTGGTGACCTCACTCAAAAATAACGTTAAAACGGTGACTGCCGTCAATGATAGTATGATACTGAAAACTTGACCTCCGAGTGGTACTGTGGCCCCTTCTCGTCGCGAGGTAATTGTCGGAGCCATGGCCACGTGATGAACGGCCTCGCTGAAATCGGAATCCGAGTCCCTCTCAGGTTTCTTATCCAAGAAGCTCGTGGTGGTTGAAGGGAGGACAGTACCACTCAGCAGACGGCCTAAGTGCGAGTCATGTTGTGAGAGGCGATGATGGGGCCCAGAGCAGAGGGATTACAGCGGTTGGCTGTTGATAGGAGGCAGAACTATGTGATTAGGATAGCAATTTAGCAAGGACGAAGAGAAGAAAGGAGTGGAAGTGACCGTATGGCATAGATAGGTAGATGAGAAGTAATGGCAAGATACGTATTAATTTAGTGATATCATTTGAGTTGGTAGGCACTCACAATAAGAGCATGCTTGGGCAAGTGGTATCTGCCGTTATTCCCCCTTTCCGAGAAAGAGGATATATCAGTACACTCCTATCTTATCTCAGCCTGGAAAGGGAAATTATATCTTCTCAATATAGGTACCTAGGCATGCGAGTTCCTTACATATGTGCGCCGTATACTGATTGGTATCTGAACAATAACGCCGCGTAACTTTACTCAGCCTCCGAGATTATTCTAGCCCTTCTGAATTTATAATAGTGAGGTTTTAAGACTTGCTAGTACTGTCTTTAACATTCACAGAATGAAGCTGATTTTCTTTTTAATTTGCGATGAATGCCATTCTCCTGACATACGGACTACGTAGGTACGCAATACCCCCGTGCCAATTCTTGCAGGCATAAAAACTTGTCAGATAAGTATTCACTTCTACGCCTACTAGTGCAAGTCAACTCCAATCAAGTCACATGTTGCAGCAGAATTGGTTGATTAGCGGGAAATCTCATCTCATGCCTTGTTGTGTATTTCAAACACCATCGTGTTCCTCATAATTAACCTTGCATCGCACATCCAATAAAAACAAAAGGTACAAGCCCCCAACTCCCATGTAAGCCATCATTCGCTGGAAAGCAGCTTCGATAAAAATAGATTGAAAGACGAGAAAAATTGTTTACAGATGCCAAAAAACGCCGTGCGATGCTTCCATGAGACCCCCCCTCCATCTTTGCTGCCTAACAGAGTTCAAGTGTTGCCCCCAAGCGCCGAAGCCGTAGTTTTGTCAAATAGACAGTTCTACCAAGATGTAACGATCGAAATTGATGTAGCCTTAATAAAGAAAACCGGTGATTTGTATATATGATGGCCAAAAATGGCCGCTGGAACGATAATAAAGAGATCAAGGATTGTGTGGCTTTGACGTGGAACTACGCTGATGGAGAGAATAAAAGGCGGGTAAAAATGCTGATTTTAACCATCGCGACGCTCCGGAGACCGAGCTCTGGTTCGAATTCGGAATTTCTCCTTGAGTTTCGCAGATAAGTGAGCCCTCTGTCCTCTTTCACCCTCTGCATCATGGACGCCGCCCGCATCACCGCTTGCACCATGAGCTTCTGTATCGTTCTGGCGAGTCGATCGCATCTGTCGAAGAGCTTCGATTTGTTCTTCCGTTGTTGCTTGTCTCAGCCTGTTGATATCGAAAAAGCGTGAAATCCTATTGCGGTGATGCGGATGGCTGCCTTCGCCATCCTCACCCTCCAAAGCCAAAGGAGGTGGTAGTGTAGAGCTTCTATCGGTGGCCGGTCTATCGTTGTTCTCAGCAGCATCAGGACGAAGATCGAGTCGGCTAGTTCAGGGGGGGTTAGTATTGAGAAACGAAACAATTCAGAGGTGCACATTCAACTTACCACAAGGGGCATGTTCCAGACACATTGAGAAGCCAAGGATCAATACAATTTGGGTGAAATTGGTGGTTACAAGGCAGAACCCTCATATCTTCACCTTCCTTGAAGTCCTCTGTGCAGATCGAACATCCCACGTTCCCAACTGGGTTGGTGCCAGCGTCAGCAGCGCCGTGGGACTCAGCTACTGGAACCGGTTCTTTGGTCTCGCCACCGCCCGTGGCGGCCGTGGCTGCTTCATGTCGTGGATCCTCTGTAAGGATTGATGCCGACTTCTGAGTCCTGGTGTCACGCCCATCGGTGGTTGCCGTGTCTAGCTCAAGATCAGGATCCGGCTTAGCGGATTCCTGGTTGTTGAACTTGACAATGGGAAGAGTCTCGAGAACTGCGCGAGCCAGTCCCTTGGCGCGGCTCTGTCGAGGCCGGCCACCCAGGGCTCTCCGAGGTCCATATCGTTCCGGATAACGATGTGCCCTTATGGCGCCTGTGGCAATAATTATGAGAAATAGAAGAGTGATGAGACCTGTTATAGTGTAAAGAACACTCATGGCGACCGATGAGCTGGAGCCTGTACTTCCGCTGGGGTTGCCATTAGGATCTCCAACGGTTGAATTTCCCGTGATGGAAACGTTGACGACTCTCCCATTGGCAGTTCCGTTTAGGAAACTCAGCACATTTTGTGCTTCTCCGCTATCGGCCATGGACAGGATATTAGAAAAAGCTGGGGGGTTCTGAAAATTCAGACTGCACCAAGTGCCGGCAAGCGAATACAAGACGATGGCCTTTGGGTTTGCGTTGACGAGATCATTTAGCATTGTATTGGTGCTAATGAAGGTGCCAGACGAAGGATTGTCGCATGAGAGATAAGCGACGTCGTTAGGCTTATTGACTTTGATAAAGTTGGATACGTCGGTAGCAATCATGTTGCCATCTATGTTCAATGACTTTGTCGGTTTGTTAGCATCGAGGGCAAGTCATTAACAAAGGGGTTCAGAAACAATCTTACAAAGTTACTGCTTGATTGATTCGTGCCAGCGTTAGGGATAAGAGGAATGACTGTATATTGGAGCGGGTTGGTCTGCCCGCCCGGAGTTGATAGATTCATCTGCAGAGCATCGTTTGTGGACCATTCTGGAGGGGTGTCGCTCTCAGCTGAAGTGGTGATGTTGTCATTGTCGTCGGCCGAGGTCGCGGCGACCAAAAGGCCAAGGGCGGCGAGTAAGATGGAGTACATTTTGTGTGTATATATATGTTATGTGCGTATCTGCATTTATCTTGGATTTCGGTGAAGCGGTGATTCGCCTCACTTTGGCGCCTGCGAGGGAAGCGAACAAAAATAAATCTGAAAGCGTATGGGTCGATTCGTAGCCTTTTCAGACACAGGTAGAAGTGCTGCACTGCGCGTGGGGGCAGAGCAGCAAACGTGCGAGCGGGATTCGGGAGTTTGGTCGAAGCGATCTGAGCCAGCAGACAATCTTTTCGAGCTTCGGATCGTGGCTCTGCGATACGGCGGGCGTCGTCGCCGTGCTCGTCTTTGGTCCGCCTTGTCGCAATCAGTGCAGAGACGACATCTGGCGGCAGTCGAGTTCGCCGGCGCCGGGCGATCACAGAGTCGGGCGAGGGCGAAGGGCGGATGGGATGCGAGATGCGAAGCGCAGGTTTGGCGCTCAGCAGCGAAGAGGTGAGGAAGTGAGACGACAGCGTCTGGCGGCCATGGAGATCGGTGGCGGCGGTGGATTTGCCCCGAGCACGACGGGCTTCACCTGGCTCTACAGGTGGATGGATTGATGGCCCGCCCCCTCCGAAAGGGCGGCGGAAAATAGCTCCAGCGGATTGGGGCGCTGAGGCTAGCAGAAGCCAGGTGAGCACCAAGTTGAATGTCTGGTGCTTGGCATTTTGGCCTGGATGTCTGTTTGCAGTTGAGACTGGAGCTGGAGCGGGTCGCTGTCGGTGGCGGTGCCCGCCTAATAGACTTCATGTTCTGCGCTTAGCGGTGCCCTCGAGCCGGGGAAGCTTGAAGCCGGGCTCTGAATTTGGCAGCCCTAATGAGCAAAAATGGCCACTACGGCGACTGGCAGGCGGCAGTTTGTGGCAGTTTAGAATGGATAATTCCGTGTTCGTTGCAGAAAAAGACGTGTCTTCTATCTTATACAGCGTGTGCGGCACCAGGCTATAGTGACTGCGCATTCATTTAATCATTCCAGGAAACCATGGATTGCGCCCAGCTTCTGATTGGCAGCTGTCAGCAGAAAAAGAGCACGAGGAAAAAAAAAAAGAACCCCCCGAGAAGCCGCCCGGGATTACGCACTTACATGATTTCCGGAGTTCGGGCGGCACGTCCACGAATGCAATGCTTCCAGGCGTTCCGTGCCAGATTAGCCGTAATACTAACAGCAGCAGCAGCTCACTAGGTCTAGTGTCTGGCCTATCTATTCTTGCAGCACAATACCAGAACAATGCTAAATTCTAAAGCTGCCGTGTGCCTAGATCGATCCTTTGCGTACATACATGAATGATGTTAGTACTACCTAAGTCGATTGTAAGTGGCGCTTGACTAAAAGAAAGAGCATGTTTTGACAGCAAATTGCTAGCCCGTGCCCCAATAAAGATTGGCACGAAATAAAGTCAACATTGCGTATCCGTATGTCATCCTGCCGCTCTCTCAGAATTGGAGATTTCTAGCGGGCGCAGTTGCTTATCATGATGGCCCCTAGAGGCATTGGCCTTCAGACTGCCGGAGGCAGCTCCGCGCTAACCAAAGCAGCGGGACGGCTGCCTCATATATATGCGGCAGCGCGCTTCGTATCGTGTCTGATGATGCTGCAAACGGTAAGTGCTGCTGCTTAGGCGACTCTAATAAGCAACGCCTCCTATCGAGAAGGGAGGCAGCGAGACGTCTCAGGTTCTGAGCACAGCGGTCGTGTTAGAGCTTGAGGTGGTTGAAGCCTAATGCTGCACGATGCCTGTGGCTTTAGCCACGGCAAAGGAGAAATGGCTGCCTACTACCTAGGCAATTAAATACGAAATTCGACACATCTCAGCAGGCAGACGGATAGTCTCAATCAGTATTCCAGAGTATGCGGGTGCCTGTGCAGATTGGCTGCAGAGACCAAGCTGGGGCAGGGCCTCAAGAATAGGTAGGCACTGTCTCCAGCTGCAGCGTACAGCACATTCTCGCAGTGGACCCTTATCACTGTCTTCCACTTAGAGATTAGAGTACTGTATTAGACAGGCATTTGGCCTATTGGCTGTGGCTTGAATTGGAAGTGGCTTGTTGCTGAATAAAAAACGATGATCAGGTACTGGATACTTGGAGCTGGTGCCTGAGTAAGAGCAATCTTGCAGAATCTCACTAGCTGAGCTGGAACGTTTAGAGTACTCTGTACTCCAGCGCGCGTTGTTTCGCACCTCCAATTGGTACGTACGCCTCGAGGCTAAGGCGGCGTAATGGGGCCCGCTCTCCGGCTCCCTCTCGCTTTTGGAAATGTTGTCCCCTTGTCGAGAGACGTCAACTCCGAGCTCTTTGCCTTGATATATCGCAGCTTTTCTCTGATCCGCCAGCTGCGGGATAAGGCACCGGCCTCTCCAATTCCTCGGCCTGCTCGCGAAGCCCTTCGTTCCACTCTTCCGTCTTCGCCAGTGCCCTTGCCTCCGAACCGCAGCCCCAATCGATGGACCAAGCCCAAGGTCCCTAACTCCCGCGTCTTTCTTCCGTGGCGATTGTCTCTCATATCCGGCCTCCCTGCGCCTCATGAGCTCCTTAAAATTCGTGGTGTCCTCTCTGGACGCCATTGCGACTTCTAAAGATGCCCAGCGAAACAAGCAGCTGGCCGACCTGACCAAGACAGCCCTCGATGCCATCAAAGAGCAGGATCAGCTACCCGATCCCGAGATCGTCTTCGCGCCTCTCCAGCTCGCAACCAAGACCGGCAGCCCGCAGCTCACAACGACAGCTCTCGATTGCATTGGAAAGCTGATATCATATTCATACTTCTCCCTTCCTGCCAAGGACGATGGACACAAGGAAGGCGCCGAACCGGCATCCCCGCTAATTGAACGAGCCATCGATACCATCTGCGACTGTTTCCTAGGCGAGACGACGGCTGTCGAAATCCAGCTGCAGATTGTCAAGTCACTCCTAGCCGCCGTCCTGAATGATAAGATCGTCGTTCATGGCGCAGGCCTGCTGAAGGCTGTGCGCCAGACCTACAACATTTTCCTGCTCTCTCGGAGCACGGCCAACCAGCAGGTTGCACAGGGAACTCTCACCCAGATGGTCGGCACCGTTTTCGAGCGAGTCAAGACTAGACTTCACATGAAGGAAGCCAGATTAAGTTTGGACAACCTGAAGCACGGCGCAAGCAATGTTACTTTTGAACAATCCGAGATTGCCAACGGCAACCGTCACAGTGATGATGGGGAAGACGCTTCGGCTTCGGCTTCACAGCCGGATAACAACGATGCACCGGAAGAGCCGGCCAATGCTGCCAAACTCACGTTAAAAGATTTGGAACATCGCAAGAGTTTCGACGATTCAACACTTGGCGAAGGACCTACTATGGTTACGCGACTCAAATCGGAGAAGAGAGATGACAGCAATGTGTCCGTGTCAGGGCAGTCTGGTCCGCAGGAGGACAGCGACGCGCTAGATGCTGAAGATGAAGTTTACATCCGGGATGCCTATCTCATCTTCCGATCTTTTTGTAATTTGTCAACCAAAGTTCTGCCTCCTGAGCAGCTCTTCGACTTGCGAGGTGGAGCAATGCGCTCCAAGCTCGTTTCTTTGCACCTCATCCACACCCTTCTGAACAACAACATTGCAGTTTTCACTTCGCCTCTCTGTACTATTAGGAGCTCCAAGAGCAACGAGCCCACTACCTTTCTTCAAGCCATTAAATTTTATCTTTGTCTCAGCATTACGCGAAATGGAGCTAGTTCGGTGGATAGAATCTTTGATATCTGCTGTGAGATTTTCTGGCTCATGCTTAAATACATGCGCCCCTCGTTCAAGGTAGGTTACCCGCCTTCTTTACATCTTCCTACTCGACATATAATCGATGTGTATCAGAGACTCACTCTAGACTAGAAAGAAATTGAGGTCATTCTCAATGAGATTTATTTGGCGCTCTTGTCCCAAAAGAATGCCCCGCTAACACAGAAGCTCTACTTTGTTTCCATCCTGAACCGCCTCTGCGCCGATCCGAGAGCATTAGTTGAGACGTATCTCAACTACGATTGCGATCAGTCCGTAGAGAACATCTTTCAAACTGTTATTGAAGATCTATCTAAATTTGCGACGGCGCCAGTCTCGATTACCTCCATCCATGAGCAAGCATATGAGGAGTACCGAGGGAGGACTGCGCCAGCGAGCGAGTGGCAGCTCAAGGGTATTCTTCCCCCATCGCTCACCGTTGCGCAGATAATCCCACATCAGGAAAATGAAACCGACTACCCCAAAGAATATGCAATCAAACGCCTATCACTCGAGGCCCTTGTTGAGACGCTACGCTCTTTGGTTAATTGGTCGGCCTCTGTACGCTCAGATAGCGAAAATGTTCGCACGGATGCGGATGCTAGAACCTCTTTTGATGAGCTGCGGCCGTCCATCGATCCCACCAGCGAAAGTGCTTCTCGACTTGACACGCCCCTGCCCCCTTCGACTCCCGTGCTAGAGGATGACCCAGATTATCTCAGCAAAGAAAAGGCTAGGAAAACGGCCCTCATGAAGGGAATCAGGCAATTTAACTTCAAGCCTAAAAAGGGAATTGAGTTGCTCCTTCGCGATGGCTTCATCGCGAGCGACTCACCTCAAGATATAGCCACATTTTTGCTTAGCGAAGACAAGCTGGATAAGGCACAAATTGGTGAATATCTTGGTGAAGGAGATCAGAAAAATATTGATACTATGCACGCATTTGTGGACTCTATGGACTTCACCAAGAAGCGTTTCGTTGATGCCCTGCGTCAATTTTTGCAGTCATTCCGTCTACCGGGAGAGGCGCAGAAAATCGATCGATTTATGCTCAAGTTTGCCGAGCGTTATGTGCTTGGTAACCCCAACGCCTTTGCCAACGCCGACACGGCATATGTACTGGCGTACTCAGTGATCTTGCTAAATACAGATCTACACAGCAGCAAGATCGCCAAGAGAATGACCAAGGAGGAATTCATTCGGAACAATGCGGGCATTAACGACAACTCTGATTTGCCCCATGAATATCAGATTTCCATCTATGAAGAAATTGCCAGCAACGAAATTGTTTTGAAGAGCGAGCGGGACATTGCAGCTGCCCAGGGCAATCTGCCTACGCAGCCAAGCGGTTTGGCTGCAGGCTTGGGACAAGCTTTCTCAAATGTAGGCCGAGATCTGCAGCGGGAAGCTTATATGCAACAGTCAGAAGAGATTGCGTTGCGTTCAGAGCAGCTCTTCAAGAACTTGTTCAAGAGCCAGCGACGAAACGCCTCCAAGACTACTCCCAAATATATTGAAGCAACATCTTTTAAGCATGTCGAGGCCATGTTTGATATTACATGGATGTCCATCTTCTCTGCACTCTCAGGGCAGATGCAAAAGGCACATAACCTTGAAGTTAATAAACTATGCCTCGAGGGCATGAGGCTAGCAACCCAGATTGCTTGCCTCTTCAATCTCTCAACACCTCGAGAAGCATTCATTTCCGCTCTTCGAAATGCTACAAACCTGAACAACCCCCAGGAAATGCAAGCCAAAAACATTGAAGCCTTGAAGGTGATCCTTGATCTCGCTCAGACAGAGGGCAATGTTCTGCAAGAGTCGTGGAAGGATATTCTCATGTGCATCAGTCAGTTGGATCGACTACAATTGATCTCTGGCGGCGTTGATGAGAGTGCCATCCCAGATGTATCCCAGGCGCGCTTTATCCCCCCTCAGCGGTCCGGGACATCAGAATCTCGCTCGTCTATGCAGTTGAAGAACAGACCACGACAGAGATCTGCTACTGGCCCCAAGGGCTTTTCTCACGAGATTGCTCTCGAGAGCCGCTCGGACGAACTGATTCGAAGCGTCGATCGAATATTCTCCAGCACAGCTGACCTTTCGGGTGAAGCCATGGTCTATTTTGCCAAGGCCTTAACAGAGGTTAGCTGGGACGAGATCAAAGTCTCAGGTTCGAATGATTCCCCCCGGACATACAGTCTGCAAAAAATTGTCGAAATTAGCTACTACAACATGAATCGTGTGAGATTCGAGTGGAGCAATATTTGGGTAGTACTCGGCGAGCACTTCAACCAAGTCGGATGTCATAATAACATGAACATTGTATTCTTTGCTTTGGATTCTTTGCGCCAGCTGTCTATGCGGTTCATGGAGATTGAAGAGCTTGCCGGATTCAAATTCCAGAAAGATTTCCTGAAGCCATTTGAGCATGTGCTATCCAACTCTCACAATGTCACTGTCAAAGACATGGTATTGCGATGCCTCATCCAGATGATTCAGGCGCGAGGAGACAACATCCGCTCTGGATGGAGGACCATGTTTGGTGTCTTTACAGTTGCTGCCCGGGAGCCGTACGAGAGCATTGTCTATCTTGCATATGAGAACGTTAGCCAGGTTTACAAGGAAAAATTCGGCGTTGTTATTTCTCAAGGAGCGTTTACGGATCTTATCGTCTGCTTGACAGAGTTTTCGAAGAATCTAAAATTCCAGAAAAAGAGTCTGGGCGCTTTGGAGCTGCTGAAGTCCATTATTCCAACAATGCTCAAAACACCAGAGTGCCCGTTGTCGCATCAGCCATGGAATACTTCCACGTCCCTAAATGACGGAGCTGCAGAACCTCCCAAAAAGGGGCAGACAAAAACTTCCATGGAAGAGGGCTATTGGTTCCCTGTGCTGTTTGCTTTCCATGATGTGCTAATGACTGGTGAAGACCTTGAGGTTCGTTCAAATGCGTTGGAATACTTCTTTGCTGCACTCCTCAAGTACGGAGGTGGGTTTACCCAGCCGTTTTGGGATATTCTTTGGCGACAGCAACTCTATCCCATCTTCATGATCTTACGCTCAAGACCGGAGATGACAAACGTTCTTAATCATGAAGAGTTGTCCGTCTGGCTGTCCACTACGATGATCCAAGCTCTACGCAACATGATCACGCTGTTTACACACTACTTCGATGCACTCGAATATATGTTGGACAGATTCTTGGAGCTGCTCGCTCTCTGCATTTGCCAAGAAAATGATACGATATCTCGCATTGGTAGCAACTGTTTACAACAGCTAATATTGAAAAACGTGACAAAATTTAACCTGGTACACTGGACCAAAATCGTTGGAGCATTTTGTGAACTATTCGAGCGGACAACAGCATACCAACTCTTCACTGCGGCAAATATGGAGGCGACTACTTCTATGTCAATGTCGTCATCCAATGGACTGGAGTTCACCTCACCTCTCAGCCCAACTGTTGCCGAAACTCCTTCCGCTGGGGATGAAAATACATTGAAGATTAATGGCGGAGACGAGAACGGCGCTTCCGACACAGAGTCCATTCATCACCCAACTTTGCACAAGCTAGATGATGACGAGGCACAGGCTTCAGCGGCAAATACCACCAATGGACAGCAGTTGGAAGAGTTCAAACCGACTTCTAACCTTCAGCAGCAGCCTGTCGTCGTGACAGCTGCTCGCCGGCGATTTTTCAACCGCATCATTTCCCGCTGTGTCCTGCAGCTTCTTATGATTGAGACGGTCAACGAGCTCTTTAGCAACGATACCGTATACGCAAATATCCCTTCCACCGAGCTCTTACGACTCATGGCTCTTTTGAAGCGCTCTTTCCAGTTCGCACGCCGCTTCAACGAAGATAAGGAGCTTCGAATGAAGCTCTGGCGGGAAGGATTTATGAAGCAGCCACCCAACTTGCTGAAGCAGGAAAGTGGTGCTGCGGCGACATACGTGTCTATCCTGTTCAGGATGTTTATAGATGATGCACCTGAAAGGCTGAAGAGCAGACCCGACATCGAAGCCGCTCTGGTGCCTTTGTGTGAGGACATCATCACGGGGTACTCTTTGCTGGTGGAAGAAAGCCAGCAGAGAAACATCATTGCATGGAGACCAGTCGTCGTTGATGTGCTTGAGGGCTTCGCTACTTTCCCCGAAGAGGCTTTCAAGACTCACTTAAGCTCTTTCTACCCGCTCGCCATTGACTTGCTCCAAAAGGACTTGACGGCGGATTTGCGCGGTGCGCTACTTGCAGTTTTACGGAGGGTTGGCGAGGTGTCCCTTGGAATTGAAGGGCTGGTAAGGGCTGGGGACAAGAGGCGGGACAGCACGGTCAGCACCAATGCTGAGGAACTTCCTGGTGGTAGATTTGAAGCTGCCGCACGGAAGATGCTGTAAGTCAGGCATGACAAAAGAGCGGACAGCGATTTATGGCGTTGGAGGGCGGATATAATAGACGAGTGTGACTTTTTCTTTTTCTTTTATTTTCCAAAGCACCATGTGTGTTTGTGTATGTTAGGAAGGACTGCCTATACTGTTGTCAGGTAGGAGATACAATGTTATAATAGTATGATGTTATATTTAGCTACGCCTGTTATACGTAGCCCTTCCCGCTAACCATCTACTTGATCTTACACCCCTTTTTTTGTAGACAAATAGGGTTCGATTGATTTGTAGGTAATTTTATGCGACTAATCTAGATTTTAGACTCTTTTGTGAAATCTTGTGGACAAAGAAGAAATTCTTATTTAATCTAGCAGATCGCTGATATACGCACGCAAAGGCTCAGCTTCCTCTTCCACAGTCCGATTCGGCAATCCTCTCAGAGCCTCCTTCAGCTGGCCATCCCCTTCGGTCGCCACTTTAACCAATTTTTTTACAATGGCATTTTCTTCAGGAGTGAGGCGAGATACGCGCATGACGCTGACAAAAGTCTCAAAAAAGTCAATGAGATTGAGGTGCATGAGAATATCGTCTGAACCAGATAGCATCTCCAGGGCAGCCCATTGCAGGATCCCTTGGTCACTGGGGGCGATGGCAGTGGTGGAAAGGGGGAATAAAGCTTGGTGATGAGCTGTGCTTATGGCGCGGATATCGAGAGTTGCGAGACGAGTGAGAAGGCGTAGGAGACGGCCTTGTGAGAGGGAAGTTTGGTGTCGAGGCCGAGTGGGAGGATGTGCTGTTTCAGGGGAGCAGAGCGTTTTGATGAGTTCCAGGAAGGGTCGCTGGGTGAAGATGACGCGCCAGAGACGTCCGTGGCCGGGGATACGACGCCTGGTGGTGCTCAGGCCGTTGAAGTCATAGCTGCTTGCACCGTTGACTCCTTCTGCTGGCCGGATGGTTTCGCAGTCTGACTCGAGCAAGTCGCCGAGCACTTTGGCCGCGCGCTCGCCAACGCCGACGTCCGGGCTCTCTAGCCAGCGGCGGATGAGAGCCTCGACGACATCGGGGAGAGTGCTGAGGAGGGCGGCCTCGGTTGGTGCTTTGGCGGCCTTGTGGATGATGGCGAGGGCGAGAAGATTGGCGCCGGAGAGAGGAGAGTTTAGGGCTGTGAGGATGGATGGAGGATCGGCGATGGTGAGGGTGCGGGTGAAGGTGAGAGGCGATAGGAGCTTGATGGTGAGAGAAAGTAGAGGAGAAGGATCTTGCGTGGTTGACTTGAGGATTTGGGTGAGAGGAGGGAGGACGGTGGGGAGGAGAGGAGGGATGTTGGATTCTGGGAGGGTTGTTTGATTAGCAATCCTTCCTGGGCTCTGCGATCAACGGGTGTCTTACCTGTTAGCTGGAGCTCGATATCGTCGAGAAGCTTGAGGTTGAACGGCACAGAAGGGTCGTTTTCGAGCTCTGCTAGATGAGCCTGGAACTCCTCAAGGCCGGAGATGGGGTGAGCGTCTGGGTTGCCGTCTGGGATGATGCGTTCAGACATGACGAGGTTTCAGCTACCACCAGCAGCTTTGAACCCGGTTTGCCGATAAACTCGAAGGTGAGGATAATGTCTAATGTGATAAAATAGAATGAGATTAACGGCGAAAGGTGTTGCTGATTTCAGCAGCAGTCTCTGGATTTCAAGATTTCAAATGACAACCTGAGACGTTCGAATTATAGAGCTGGAAACTATAACTATATAATTTCCAGGGTAGGCAATAGCAGGCAGATGCGCTGACGGCGAGCGCCCAGGCAGCGGGGCAGCGTCACAGCGGAGGAAATTCCGCCCTCCCCACCATACTTTTTTCTCTGTCGCTGAAAGTTGGCGCTCCAATTGAGCTTCTTCTGTCATTTTCATCCTAGTCCATCAAGTCGGCTTTTTTTATACCCAGCAAAAATATCTGGCACTGCTGTCGTGAAGTTCGACAGTATAGCGAATAATATCACCATATCTGCTCCGATATTCATAAACTAGCACTGAAATACACCTGCTCACCGAGCAATTGGAGCTTTGCGCAAGGGACTTGCTTGAGCTGAGTCGGAAATGTCAAGAGGTGGTGGGCGAGGAGGAGGCCGAGGAGGCAGGGGAGGAGGCAGAGGAGGACGGCCGGGTCTTCCTTGGGATGACACAGATGAGCCTGATGCTCGGCCCTCTGAGCTGTTCCCAGTAAGTAGATCATGCGCTGCATATCTCGAAAAAGATTCTATAGGTGAGAGCTGCTGCTAACGGTCATTCTCTCTCTCTTTTTTTTTCCAGCCTTATGTCGTCCCGACAGCTCGCGACCTAAACACCACAGAATACAACGGCGTTCAATATTTCCTCCTCCTCCGTCACCAGATCCATTCATCGCCGCTATATACATCCAAACGAACCTCCCTCATCGATCCCAACGCGCCGCGCAAAACCTACGGCCGCGACCAGATGAACGCCCTCTACGACGTCAAAAGCAAAGCCTCCGTCGATCCCTTCAGCGCAATGCCAACCTACTCACAGCGCTTCTCCCGTCCGGAACGCGCACTCCCAGAATGGTCTTCCCGGCCGGTATGTCGAGAAATGTATCCACCTGAGCTGCTCGACACGGTCGACTCCGCAGATGCCAGTGGCGTGAGGAAGAGGCGTAAGCTGGAGCTGAGCAAAGTAAATGCTCTGCCGAATGCGGAAGAGGCGTTTGGCATGCCTGCTATCGAGGGCGAGGACGACGGCGTGCCGGTCGATGGGAAACATATTCTGGAAAGGCTGGACGCCCTGCGGGATGACGAGGGTGATGACGTTGGCGACGCGGAAGACGACGAGGGGCTGGAGGAGGAGGAGGAAGATGAGGTCTACGATGATGAAGATGCGGGTGACTACGATGCCGAAGGATACTTTGACAATGGTGACGAAGGCGGCGATGACTACGGGGATGGAGATGACGGCGAAGGAACATATTAAAAAGTCCCTATTCTTTTTTTCTTTACTTGTTTCACCACTTCCGGCGTTTTGTTTTGAATTACCGAAAGACTTTTGGTTATTACGGAAGAAAAAAACTTTGAAGAAGAAGCTGTCATTGGAGCAAATTTTCTTTTCTTTTGGTTATTATTTCCACACACGCATGTATATAAAATTCTACTGAGGTACTCGCATATACCCATTTCATATACCATGATTCTAAGATGAGTCACACACACACATACAAAGAACATGCCAGTGAAAACGAATTTGCTTAGAGCCCCTCACCCTTGCAGATTTCCTTATTTCTCATCTTCTAAAAGGAGGGTATCTTCTTGTGGCTACACTTGTAGCCATGATCAACACCAGCCATTCCCCTATATTTTATCGTCTAGATACTCCTTTTTGTCGCTGCTGCCCTTCTCATAGTCATACATTTCTTGACAATGAACAGCCCCCGTCATATGCTCGGCCGTAAACAGCCCTTGTACAGCAAGCGCCGCCTAATGATTAAACCATCTCCCTTCCACCAAACAACATTAAATAAAAAAAGATAAAACCCAAAACCCGAAGAAAAGCAGACATGAAAGCAAAGATCGTAAGCGCTTTATGAGGAAATGCCAGAATACAGGCCGTTATCCAAGAACCCAGCCTGCAATCGTGATAATCTCTCCCGCGTATCCGCAATCTGTCCAGCCTGGGCAACGATCGCGCTGCCCATCTCCCGCAGCGCCGCGAGCACCTGGCTCAGCTGGTCCTGGACCGGCGCGTTGCTGTGGTCGCGCAGGCTGCGAATCTGTTCGTAGAGGCCGTTTTCCACCCCGGGCATATCGCGCTCGATCTGCGCCCGGTATTCGTCCAGGCGTTTCTTATATTTCTCGACGTCATCGCAGATGCGGTTAAAATAAGTAATGAGGTCTTGGGCACTGGCATGTGCCGATGAAGCGTCTGCTGAGTTGGAGTCGCTGGTTGGAGGGGGGCCGGCGAAGAGGCCGGTTTGGTGGTAGTGTGTCGGTAACTTGAGGTTGTCCGCAGCCTTGAAGGAGAGCTGAGCGTCGGTGACGTTCTTCTTGGTCATGTCTTGTAGGGCCTTGACAGTCTGAATATCGCGGTTGAGGGCGTCTTGGACTGTCTTGAACTTGGACTCGACAAACTGGACGTCTCGACCGAGCTGATCAATGTCCTTCTCATGCTGGGGCATGAATTCGCCAATCTCATCTCTCATCTTGATGACGCGCTGGATGCCTTTGTCGATGAGAGCAATTTGGTTCTGGACCGGCTGAGCAAGGTCATCGAATCGCGATCGTGGTCGCAAATTGTCATAGTTGACCTGGACGGCGGCAACTTGGTTTGTCGACTGTGCTGGCTGAGCTGTAGTTGCTCCACTGCATTTTTTGTTAGCATTGGCCGAGAAAATCCTTCAAAACGAATATAGGATTGCGTACAAGAGACCACCTCCTGTGGTGGTGGCTGCTGCTGGAGTTGTTCCCGAACCAAAGAGGCCACCTCCTGACTGCTGAGTGGGCGCAGCGCTGCCGAACAAACCTCCTCCTGTTCCCGTTGCCGTCGCCGCGGGTTTGCTTCCAAAAAGACCACCACCGGTTGTGGCGCTGGACTGGGCCGCAGGGGTGCTTCCAAACAGACCTCCACCAGTGGTTGTCTGCTGCTGAGGGGTCGCGGTATTGCCAAACAAGCCTCCTCCCGTTCCCGTTGTCGTTGTCGCCGCAGGCTTGCTTCCAAAAAGACCACCACCAGTTGTACCAGATGCTTGAGCTGGCTGAGCAGTCGCTGTTGAGCCAAACAAGCCGCCGCCAGTTGTGCCAGTATTCGTCGCTGCCGGCGTGGTTGTAGCGGCGCCAAAGAGACCTCCGCCGGTGGTTGTTTGCGGGCTCGCGGTCGTTGCGGCTCCAAAGAGTCCTGTTCCTGCTGGCTTGGCGCCAAAAAGGCCGCCTGTGGTCGCCATATTGTTGGGTGTTGTTGGATTCGCCGACGCGTTTCCAGAACCAAACAGTCCCCTAGTCGCTGCTGGCTGCGCAGTGCCTCTGTGGCGCGTTTAGTTAGAAACAACAAGAGGACGACAGTGTAAGGCGTGACCAATTGGGTGATATGGGAGATGTTGGAGAGTAGAGAGGCGTGGTGTAGAGTATAAGTTTGGGCGATATCAGAACGCTAAAGGCGTGGTGTTGAAGATTTAGCAAAGCTTACAGGCTATTGGCAGCTCCAGTGTTAATGCTAAGACCCGCTGGGCCACTGGCTGACCGCGCCAGAGACATCACACCTCTATAAGAGAGGCTTTGAAACTTTTTTTCCAGACAGGCGAGTCAAGGGTCTAATTCGTGTGGAGCTTTTACTTCAGTATGCGTGAGCTTGGACTGGACTTTGTTGCGGGTCTGATAATGGCTGATAATGAAGGGATACGGAAAAACCCCGGGGCTGTGTTGCTACGATCCACCATGGGCTTATCCAGCCTATCAGCCTGCAGATGAGCTTCTTACCTACCTGGTAGAGCTTCGACTCTGAATTGATGTGCACGACACTTTGTTAATCTTCTTGTATAATCCAGAACTTTTTTTATACCAAATTTGCCTCCAATCAGCTACCAAAATGGACATGGACGAAGATGACGATCTCTACCAGCCAGAAGAGCCAAAGATTGAACAAGATGAGGAGAAAAAGCTCAAGGCAGAAGAGCTAGAGGAAGGCGAAGAGGAAGATGAGAGCGGCGCCATGGACGAAGATGATGATGACGATTCGGTACGCGACTTTGACCCTTTTGTGTCGAAATGTGCTACAATCTGTATGCTAATATTGTGGTTTTCAGGATATAGACATCATCACAGAGCGAAAAGATGGCACAAAGGCAGCGCCGCCGCCGTACGTTGACCCTAGGCCCGCCGTGCTTCTGCGCGAACGCTTTTTTTGAGCGCCTATTAATATTGCCGTTCTTTGACTGATTATGCGATGACAGACAAGCAAAATATAGCGACATTAGAAATATTCCCCAACGATCAGCCTCCAACGACATCTCCGCAAAGTCAACGGCGCCGGTCAAGAGAGATGAAGACTCGAAAGCGACGAACGCTCTGAGCATTGCCGCCCCAAGCGCAGATCAAACCTCAGCTGCCGCCTCGAAGTCCACAATTGATATCAATGCTATTCCAATTCACCCTGCGACTGGCAAGCCTATAACACAAATAAACATTGATGAGGGTATGTGGCTATTGTTCCTGCTGGCTTCCTTTGATAACTGACCAATCCTGCCAGATCTGCCAGATAGCGATAAACCGTGGCGCAAGCCAGGCACAGACATTAGCGATTACTTCAACTACGGCTTCGACGAATTCACATGGGCGCTATATGCTGCCAAGCAAGAATCTATCCGTGGCGAATTTGGCGCCGATGCCTTTGCTGTCAACAACAAGAAGATGATGGAGGACTTCAACATGATGATGATGGGAGGTATGGGCATGCAAGGTGGAGGAGGTGCTGGGGCTGGCGGGGCTGGCGGCGGAGGTGCCGCTGCTGGCATGCCTGGTATGGATGGAATCCCGCCCGAAATGCAAGCCATGATGCAGCAGATGATGGCCTCTGGCATGGATCCTTCCCAGATGGACCCAAGCCAGATGGCAGCCATGTTCTCTGGGATGCAAAATGCCGGCGGCAACGCGGGTGCCCAGGGAAGCCAGGGTCAAAACTTTGGTGGAGGCTTTGGTGGAAACCAAGGCTTCGGCTATGATCAAGGCATGGCTGGAGGTGGCGGTGGAAGAGGCGGATTTGGGGGCCGTGGACGCCGTGGCCGATGGTAGAACCATGATTATGATGCTGCCATGAGGTCTCAGGTTTTTCTTGACTATCAATAAGTGGGCATGTATTTGGGACACCTGGAGTTGAACAATTGGCGTTGACGGGACTGCATTTCCAAGATATTGCAATATCACATTGCGGGAGGTCTCTACTGCAATAATGGAACGGGAATACAAGGTAAATTTTAATGGATGCTCTCTGCTATTATGATTCTTGATTACGGGATCTGAAATTGGACGCGATAGATGGGCGCAAAAGATCGATAAGGGCATCACATATGTAATGATATACTACCGGAACCAACGATGTATCAAATCCTGATGGGAAGCAAGGTATTATCTACAAGCAAAGATGAGAGAGCGAGGTCACAGTCAAGATACCTTTGCACTTGGTCATCGAACTGCTCAAATGAGGAAGCCAAGTTTTCTTATGATAGAGACAGCCATCAGCCTAAAACTACTAGTAGCTTTGCAAGATGGAAGACGGCAAAAGGATTTAGTACCTACTCCTCTTCTCTCTCAGTCATGGAATAGGGAATGGCTTTATGGGACTGATATATGCAAATACGCGGATACTTTGTTATACAAATATATACAACTTTGAGAGCTGCCAGCCGAAATGAAAATGCTGATAAGGGATATCTGTGTAGCTCAGCATCAGGTAACGTTACCTAACTGTAGCAAACGCAGGCCTAGTTGGGAACTCTAAGGCTTGAACTTCCTAAGACAGGTGGGCGACCGATCCTGTATGGCCTGCCAAGAAGCTAAGAGGACTCAAGTTGACAGACGCCAGGAACGGCCGCTGTCTAGCTTGGATTTGCATCACATGACGTCGGAGAGGTGTGTGAACAGAGCCTTTGTTCTTGTTGAGACGGATGAGTGGTTCAGCAGCGGAGTAATATGATGTTTAGCAGCACGGCAGAAGGTGTAAGTAGTTATTGCAGCTAGAGCTGGAAAGCTGGGGTTGGTGTTGGTGTTGAAACTGCCTTAGGTGGGGGACAACGCGCGGAGAGAGACTACCTAGTAGTTTTAACATCATGATAAATACCTATGTGCTTACTACCGCTACTGTTACTGTTAGCGGATAAAGTAAACAGACGTTTTAAGCTTGATAAATAAAATTTAATTACTGCCTGAGATTTATTCGATTATTTGTCTGCCTGGAAAAGCTAATACATGTACCTAGAGCTATGCCATGGTGAGAGGCTATACTGCAGCAGAGAGCAAGGACCGAGCCCTGGGCACTGTTTCTTACCAGAATGTCTTGGTGCTCGCCAAAAGAGGTTATCACTGTCGGCGGATGACGTCTCATCCTGGCTGTTGATAAGGCAGCTTTGAGAAGGTGCGCTGTACTGCAAGCCATTGGCAAGTCTACGTTGCATCGCGCACTAAAACCTCTCTCTTCCATCTTACGCACACGCTTAACTTGCATCGCGGGAGACGTGAGATGCTGCATGAAGCACGTGGGGCTGTGGATATCAAGCATCGAATGGGCAAGACCTCGACTCTCTTTTCGAATCCCTTTCAGATACACTGGCAGCCATGGCTGAGGGAATCGCAGAATAACCGTTCTAACTGGGGCTGATGCTCCCTGATCATGGACACAGAGGCAAACAAGATCAGCGTCATGATCTACCAAGCGAGCGTGGCGTAAGTGATCAGCAAGATCGAAAGCATCTCTACCAGAGTACCGGAGCTATCGGGGACTAACAGACTTCGCAAGTTGCCATTCTCGTGCTAGTAATGGGCAACGCAATTCTCTCCAAAGCCGACTCTCCAGTACCCCACGGAGCATCGCTCCACTACTTTAAATGATGCTTGCGCCGAATAGGCTGGCGGCTAATGTGTGATGCTTGAAGCACACTAGCTATTGTGATGGATGACAGCCCCGGGGATGAATAATTCACTTTACAGCCATACCTAAGGAGCAGGTGGCAACACGTCTTTGATAGGGTCATGAGCGCCGACGAAAGCCGCGTTGAGCATCCCAAGGGATAAAAATACTCAGAGACGAGTAAAGAAAGGGATACATTACACGCTTATAGCTGTTCCTACGCAGCTGTCATCATATTTCCGGCGTTCGTCTATCCTGGCGTTTCAAAACAAAGTGAAATCGTCAAGACAACTTAGAACTGGAAAACAAAGTGTGATATGAGCACTGGGGCAGCCGGGCTGAACCGAACCGCGGCTCTGCTTCCCCACGATATCTAAATGCTAAATGATTTGCAGTGAAGGTTTAAACCTTCTTGGGATATTCCTGCGGATAACGTTCCTGCAGGGGGGTCATTCGCCCAAAAATCATCTGCGTTCCTCCTATGCCAAAGCAGGAAGCTGCTGTATCAAGAGAAGACTAGCTGTAGCGATACGCTTCGTCGAACTTTTTTCCGACTGGTGGAGGTGTCTCTTTGGGCGGCAAGAAAAATGCTTACGATCCATTTGATGAGAGGAGGACTTGGAATCTGAGCAAGCTGTTTGCTATAATCTGCTCAAAACCATCACTTTCCATGCCTTTTCGCGCGCTGCTGCAGATGAGTGAAAGGTGTCAAGCTTATTGTGGTGTGTCGCATGAGCAAGGCCACAATGAAGAGGGACCTTTTAGCCGCAGTTAATTTGTTTGCGTCTCTTCAGCACCATTAGATGCTGTCTGTGGTAGCCGGTCGTGTGCAACTCAAATCTGCTGAGCCAAGTTGGCCGCCTGAAAATCATTTTGGATCATTATCGTTGACGACCATTTTAGCCTGTTAGATCGATATGCCAGGGGGCTTACTCAAGCTTAACTGTTGCTTACTGACTGATCCATGTTTGATTCCAAATTAGGGTTCCATGTTCCATGTCGCTCTGGGGCAGTCCGAAGGCATGCTATTGACCTTATTCGATATTGGCATCGAGCCTCTGCCAAAGTAGGTAGGAGGTATGACATCCCAGTCTCTCTGCAAACCTTACCGTAAGTCAAGACTCTGATATGCTCTCATCAATATCTTGTTTCTGTTTCTCTGTTCTTATCTCTGTGTATTTCTAGTGACACCTTATGGACAATGGGTTCACCACGTATGTATGCGACCTCGCACAAACATGTGTGGAGTTTCGCTTCATATATACATAGTCTGCCAGCACGTGAAGGGGCCATTATCAACCTTTGGCAGTTGCGTAAGATAGGCAGCAATATTGATAAAACGGTAAAGCTTGGCGACTTTGATTGGTACTACCAAGCATTTTGTACGTTGTATCTGAGTAGTAGCCAGAACCCCTGATGTTTCGGAGCGTTAACCAATCTGGCCTCGGCACACGCCTTCGAATGCCACCATCCTTCTTCTTCGCTAGGATTATGCGTACATGGCACCTCGCGGTTCCTTTACTTAGTATGAAGCGCTATCTTGACTGATAATATCTCTAAAACTACAATAGCGAAACCGAGGGATCCAATTGCCGGCATTAGTCGTTCTCTTATTCGAAGCTGCCCTAGATGGCATGGCTCCATCATGGGCTTGTGATAATCCTCGTCTCGCCTCATCCTTTGGTCCGGAGGTGGAAGCTTTGGGCTGGTGAAGAAAGGACGGTCGATTCAATGCTACGTATGTTCCCAAAGATGGATGTCGCATCGCGGTAAGAAGTGGAGAGAGATTGCTCTTGGATGTTGAGGCATGTTGAACCAAAAATGAGGATATAAAAGCCGTTTGTCCAACCAGTCTAGGTGACACTCTGTCCTTCATCATTGTCAGCATCTTCACTTCGCACTTAGCAGCTTCACCATCTCTTCAGCCGCGATGCCCTCTTTGACCACTCTTGCGAGCGCGCTCGCTCTTGTTCCTTCCGTCTTTGCTGGCTGGAATGTTAACTCGAAGCAAAACATTGCTGTGTACTGGGGTAAGGCCCTTCTTATGAGCTTTTACACAATTTATATAAGGGAAAATAGCTATCTAACATGACATCTGTATAGGACAAAACTCGGCCGGCCAGCAAAGCACGCAACAGCGTCTTTCAACCTACTGCAGCGGTACGTTTCTGCTTTATTTCCCAACACTGCAAGCTTTGATCGGCCAAAATGAGAAAAAGAGCATGTTGAATCTGACAGCTGCCATGTAGATGCCAATATTAATGTTATTGACATTGCTTTCTTAAACGGAATCACTCCTCCCATGACCAACTTTGCCAATGCTGGTGACCGATGCACTCCCTTCTCCGACAACCCTTGGCTCCTGAGCTGCCCTGAAATTGAGTAAGTTTCTCTATATGAAGAAATGGGTGTCTGATGTGTATGCAAATATGGACTAACTTTAATTCATTTTAAAGGGCGGATATCAAGACTTGCCAGGCTAACGGCAAGACCATCCTCCTTTCTCTTGGTGGTGACTCTTACACCCAAGGTGGCTGGAGCTCTGCCAGCGCTGCTCAAGCCGCAGCCAACCAGGTCTGGGCCATGTTCGGTCCCGTTCAGTCCGGCAGCTCTGCCGAGCGTCCGTTTGGCAGTGCAATCGTGGACGGCTTTGATTTCGACTTTGAGGCCACGACCAACAACCTCGCTGCTTTCGGCGCCCAGCTCAAGAGCCTCTCCAACGCTGCCGGCGGCAAGAAGTACTACTTCTCTGCTGCTCCTCAGTGCTTCTTCCCAGACGCCGCTGTCGGTGCGCTGATCAACGCCGTCCCCATGGACTGGATCCAGATTCAGTTCTACAACAATCCTTGCGGCGTCAGTGGCTACACGCCCGGCACCAGCAGCCAGAACAACTACAACTACCAGACCTGGGATACCTGGGCCAAGACGAGCCCCAACCCCAACGTCAAGCTTCTTGTCGGCATTCCCGCTGGCCCAGGTGCTGGTCGCGGCTACGTCTCTGGCTCTCAGCTCACTTCAGTCTTCCAGTACTCGAAGGGGTTCAGCAGCACCTTTGCCGGTGCCATGATGTGGGATATGTCCCAGCTTTACCAGAACACTGGCTTTGAGGCCCAGGTTGTCAATGCTTTGAAATAACTAAAATTATAAAATAAGGGAAAAAAAAAAAAAACATGTTATGAGACTCGGATCGTGTACAGATACCTTGAAAGAGGATGAACTGGTATGATTTGATTGTTGGATGGAACAGGATTGTATATATGTATATATGTTTGTCTTAAAGTTCTACTGTATATAGCTTCAGTTTTTGCACATATTGAATTAACTGCACATAACTTCGTTTCTTGTACCGCTAATTATATGTTGCTATAATCAATCTCATCAGTTCTAACATTGGGTATCATAACACAAAATTCATAACTCCTAACAAGGCCGCTATCAGCACTCTCTTCTTCCTCGTCCCATCCTCTTATTCTCCCCCTTGGTCGTTTTTGAAATGATGGAAATGATTTGCCTAGGTTGGGATGAAATGCTTGGAATCCTCTTCTTGCTGCGCAAACGACTGTGAAAAGGCAGCCAGGCCAATGATGATGCCGACAGCCATGACAAGCACAGAGATGACGGACCAAATGACTCCCCAGCACTGCGACGAGCCGCCATAGCGCTTGGCAAAGACGCTCGCATCCGACTCATTCACCTTGCGCAAGATCAAGTCGTCGCAAATATCCCACACGCTGTACAGCGAACTCATGACGCCGATGAACAGCACGACAAAGCGCAGCGCCTCGGCGTGAACGATGAACCAGCAAGCCACGAGCAAGCCCACGGCGAGCAGGACGGTCAAGATGGTCAGCCAGTCGCGCTTCCCCCACCACAGCGTCAGCAGGAAGCACACGCCCAGGACGATGGAGGCGACTTTGCTGGCGACGATGTCGAAGCCGCACATGGTGAGCAGGGCGCCGATGAGGGACGAGCCGAGATAGCCCGCGGGGAGGGTGATTGCGCTGATGCCGCCGGTGAGGTGGGTGACGCCGCCTTCGTGGGGGTCGAGGGAGATTGACTTGACGCGGCCGCCGGTGAGGATGGCGGTGATGGCGTGGCCGAATTCGTGGAAGGCGATGACGAGCATCTGGGGTGGGGTGGGGTGTTGGTTAGCTGTGATGTATCATTTCATATATGTAGGTAGATGCATGTATACATATATATATATATATATATATATATAGGGACATGACATATGTGTGTATGAATGAAGCTGGTTTTGGGGACTTGAGATGGTGGTACGCACCTTGAATGGCCACAGAATCATGCGCAGGTAGGGCACATTCCAGAGAATGGCAATGGCCACGACGTAGCCGCCAATGACGCCCAATGTCACGGCCTGAGTGTGAGTTGGATGCTGTAGGTTTCGAGAGATGAGAGGTTGGTATTGGGATTCGTGGCGGGTAAACAGGTTGGAGGCGCTTTCAAGAGGCTGCCACGGCGCCATTTTGGGAAGATGTTGGTGATGATGATGATGGTGATGACGACGACGCTTGGTGGAGGTTTTTTTTTTTTTTTTGTTGTTNTAGGTGGTTGGTTTGATGATGCTGGTTTTAGACGTGGGTGGGATGAAACAAGCGTAGGTTGAACGATTGCATGAGCTGAGCACGAGATTTCAAAAAGAGAGGAAATCGCACACAGAAGCAGGCAGAGGAACAGAGATTAAAAAGGCAGATGGTAAAATTAAAAAAAAAAAAAAAAGATGGATTCATAGTAGAAAATGAAGAGTCAATATCGAATTCCAAAGCTGTTGACGCGGCATGTGAGCAGCAAGTGGAACCGCGGGCGTGGCTGAGGCGCGGTGTGCATCATTTCTTCAGCAATGCGCTTTTGGTGGCTTTTTCGTTTTTGGCTTATACCAAGAGAGAGAGCGAGAGCCCCTGGAGTTGGTTCTTTATTTTTAGGTGGTTATTAAGATCGACAGGGCATGTTTTGCCACTGCCACAGCCACTTTTCAATGCTTGGTTTTGGATCAGCAGCTTGGCTTGGCTTGGCTTGGCTTGGCTTTGTGTGCGGGGTACCTGGTTGTAGGAGGTATTTCTTGCTGTGTTTCTGAGAAAGATGCGCTTTATGCTCACTGTCTATTTGGCTGTTTTTTATGAGATGATGGGTCTGTTTGGCCTTGATTTTTTGGCCTGTGGCATTAGAGGCGTGGCATACAAGGAGGGTTTGGTGCCTAGATTGCTGCTGGTTGTTTGGTAGTGGGCCATTTGATCAAGATTTAAGAACAATAAAGCAAGGCAACTTATAAATTTCAATAGAAAGAAGCATTTCCAACAGAGGCAAAAGGGGCTTTGTCGACGGCGTATATGTAGGAAGAGCAAACATGGTTCGGTAGTTGATTATTAAGAAATATTCTAATGCAGGGTTTATCGTCCTCGCACCATCATGGAGTTAAGTGTATTAAATTGGACGAGCAGATTGTAGAAATAAACCAGCAGTTCGTGGATACTTCTTTCTTGGGTGACGAGAGTCATGTCAATTGAGAGCTCGGTGAACTCCCATCTAAGCTGCTCTCATAACCGGCCCTATTTATAATTGTTTATAACAGGTACGTGGACCAGTGCAAAAATTGATTAGTTTGATGAGACTGCTGCTACTACTGCTATTGCACTCTTATTTCGTCTTTCATATGATAGATATGATTTAGATCTTATCAGATGCAACTACCAACGCGCGTTGTAACTCTGAGCCCCCTGTATCTGCATTAGAGTAAGCTCCTTCAGCGATAGCATCTCCTACCACTACTTTTGAAAGGGGAATCTGATTGACGAGTAGAGCCCGTTTCAGCAGACTGTCTCCAAGAAAGCAAAAGTTGACCAACTTCTCAGCAAAACTCCCCGTATAAAAACCAGCCAGCAAAATAAATAGAGTGAAGAAATACAGAAAATGGAGGGTAGCACTGCTGCTGCTGCTGCCAACAACAGCATTGGCGACTTGCTCCTCTGAGTAACGGCAAAACAAGTAACGGGCGCTGGAGATACATCTCACTGGTGGTGGAGGGTTTGGTGTATTCCGACATGGATCCAGACTTAATATCTGAGGTTGAAGCTTATATACCTGTATATAATATATATACATACCTGCTGTCGTGAACTTGTCCAGCGCTTCTCGAGAGTCCCAACTACCCAAAGCAATGCCCATCATGCAACTCTCCATCTTTGGCGTAAGTTGATTATATCTCATCATGATAACTTGCGGAGAGCCCAAAGCCTCTCTTCTAATCCACCTTCAGGCGCTTCTCGCATTGCCCATTGCCCCACGGCTGTCGCCGCCACGAATAGCATCACCTTCGACATCTGGTTCTATCAAGATGGCGCCATCTCCCCCGTGCCCTGCGGACCACAAATCTCCGTGGGCTTCAACGACACGGTAAGCAACAACAGTTGCTCTACATGGCGCATCGCGACCGCAGACGCCGTCACAATGTCGGTCAGACAGACCATCCCACCGTCATTGCAGACCAACGACGAGCAGACGTGCACCGTTTACTGGGTCTGGTCAAACAACGGCGTGGTCTCACCGTCGTGCGCTGATACTGTCTTGGTCACCACGGCTGAGTTGTCTGCCTACGTTTGCTATCAAGCACCAAATACTAGGGTTTTTGGGCTGAATATTGTGTGTGAGCCGAACTAGACAGTTTGAATATCCGCCATGGATGCTGCTTGGGCTTGCTAGATTGGCCGGTCGAACCATCAAATGGTCCCTAAGATTTGGAGATTATTAGAATCATAACGTATTTTATATATGAAGAAATATAATTGTGCATTAGATTCTACTTATGTCAACAACTGGACTTACATGGGAAAAAAGAGAAGATTGAAGTTTGCAAGTTGATGTACACAGGAGTGGGCTTCGCATTGACGCAGTCCGCTTGGAAGATGGCATATCATCTTCCATCTTTCCTTTTCTCTTTCTATTCTCATACATCTATCAATTTGTTCATGATTCTCTTTTTTTCGTGCGCCGAATACCGTGTTTTGAATCGCTGTGATGCTACTGTATTAACGAGTCTTGCACGGCCCCGCCCGGCCCCATCGCCTTAATAAACTTTTAACATGATCGGCACCGGCACCATCTCAGTTTAGCATCTCTATCATGTCAACGGCTTTCAGTTCTCATCTTTGGAATTAAAAAGATTTTTTTCTCTCATGTCGTTTCATCATCTTCACTCTCTTTTTGCCATTTACATGAAATAGAACAGGAAAAGAAGGAAAGAAGAGAAAAAGTAAAAAGACCAAAAAAACAAATACAATGCCAGTCCCCTTTGACAAGCAGGCTTACTGGCACGACCGCTTCTCTACCGAAACCTCCTTCGAATGGCTTCTCGGCTCTGCTGAATTCATGTCCATCATCAAGCCCATTCTCACCAGCCTCGAACCTTCATCAGCCCGCATCCTCCACATCGGCTCCGGAACAAGTGATTTACAAAACTACTTTCGCCATCTCGGCTTCCTGGACGTCACAAATGTCGACTATGAGCCTCTAGCCGCGGACCGTGGCCGACAGCTTGAGAAGCAGGCTTTTGGAAATGTCAAGATGAAGTACGCCGTGGCAGACGCCACACAGTTACACCTCTCAAATGATAGTGGTGGCGAGTGCTGCAAATTCGATCTCGTGGTCGACAAAAGCACCGTCGATGCAATCTCTTGTGGCGGAGAAGACCAAGTTTTGCAGATGGCGAGTTGTGTTAAAGAGCATCTCGCGCCGGGTGCTGTATGGATCTCGTTGAGTTACTCTGCTTCGCGGTTCGACATTGAGAGACTGCCGTTTGATGTGCAGGTCCTGGCAAAAGTTCCCACGCCGAAGAGTAAAGCGACGGATCCGGATATATTCCATTGGTGTTATCTGTTGCGGCCGAAATGAAAGAATCATTTGCATCTCAGAACCAGAATAAGCTCTTCTACGTCTAACCGACAGAAAGGAGAGAGAGGGGGTAATCAGTTCGCTTGACGAATAACTTTAGCTGCCAATAGCAAATTGGCCCGTATATGACTGTTGGAAAGATCTTTTAGGGCAGAACTCGGCGTTTAAGAGGAGTTGAAGCTCGCCATAGAAGGCATATATGCCTATTTGGATAACCAATTCTTGGAAAGGAAATACGGTATTAGATGATAGTCGTATATTAACCCAGTCATCATAGATAAAGCACAGAGGCAGACAAGCAATCAGTTATGCCTCATTCATCATCAAGAAACAATCTATTTTTCACAAATTGTACCATTCTATAACTCAGTTGTATGATCCCACGCCTCCATGTTGCCATGCGCTGTATATATCTATCTCCCAAAATTTAAACCAACTCCTTGTGCTAGAAATCAACCCGTCTACTCCAAAGTATCCATCTGTCTCTCGCGGTAACTTCCAATCTTCCGATTTATTATCTCCTCAATCTGTGTCCATCGCTTAGCCAGAAGCGCTCTTTGTTCTTCCAGACCAACTTTCAGAGCATCAACTTCTTGTAACCGCTTTGTAACAACGTCGCTCAAAAATTCATCAAGCACCTTCAGGAGATATGTATCGACTCGATTTTGAACAACTTGTCCGTGTTCTTCACCGTTAAGAAATCGATCAAACTCCTTGACTGTACCTGAAAGCAACCTCAACACCGCCTGCGTACGGTGAAATTCCTCGGTAGCTTCCCCCAAAGGATACTCTCCAAGCAAATCTCGCTTTTCGAGTTCCGCCTTTTGGCTTTCGCCCAGCTTGGGAAATATCACATCGTCAATGTAGACATCGTCTGATGGATTCTCATCAGGGATGAAACCATACTCGAGCAAGTTGTAATCGTTAGAGTGAGTACTGTACGAAATAAACAACTCCTCGCCCTTCTCGTAGTCTCTATCCGCAATAATATGGTATCCCTCTGGTGAGTAATACACCTTACATCCAGCGTCTGCATGGTTAAACAAGTCGGCCACAGGGATCAATGCCAGCCTATCTTCCCAGGGATACTTCAACGTCTCGGGTGATTCGTTGTAAAACGTCCGAGTGTTGACAACCAGCCATGCATACGTGTACTCATCATACGGAACATCCGGAAATGCCTTATTAAAATCATTCCAATCATCCTGGAACGTCTTCTCCCGCTTTAGGAGAAGGTTTCTAGGCTCGAGAGGCAAAAGGTCCTTCAGCGCTTTCGGCCACATCATCGGCATGCCTACTTCAAAATCACTCATCTTCGGCAGCACAGCCTTCCACGGCACCGCATTGGCGCTCTTATCAAGAGCCAAATCCGCCGCAAGCAGCGCCTGGATGGTCGTGTGCGAGGGCAGCCTCTCGCGTATACTCGATGGAATTGACTCCAGGCAACGCAGCGCTCCAGGAGGCACCTTCAGGACTTCCTCTTCGGCCTATTGGCAGAATGTTAGAAACCCCCCAAAAGTGCCAGCACCACTTAGAGAGCCCAGTATACCTTGATATTGCGCGTGGCCAGAATCCCTGTGCCTCGACCGGGAATCTTGCTCGGCTGTATCGCGTCAATCACCACGCCTTGGGCAGTGGCCCATGCTATGAGATTCTGCAGGTGCCCCATGTCTACTCCGCAAGAATGAGAAGGCAATTTACTTTGTACGACGCAAAAAGAAGCTTAGTTGGACATAATTTCGAAATGTTGAGAAAAAAAGGGATCATCTGCCCGTAACGAGATGACACGGCGGTGCAGCGACAAGAGCCCCCCTTTAACCCCCAGTTGTTAAGGCTTCATCACGGGATCCCGGTGTTTTGGTGCGCAGTTGACGTATTTCCGGTTAACCGGATAATCTTAGTGTTTTTCTCAAACTCCATTCCGCCGCTTGTTTTACAATTCTGGCATTGCCGCAAAGAGGCATAAAGCAATGGCGGCCATCGTGGCTTTGTCAACTGGCATAGCTGAGGATGGCCGTCGCGGGAAATCGTTCCGCCGAGAGCCCAGTTCCGACGCTGATTACTAATGATATTGTGAGTTCAATGTTTTGTTTCCTCAAAAAGCACTTGGTAGACTTCTATGGAAACTTGCAACGTCAATAACAACACTGACGCTGCATCTGCGTGTTTACGTCCGTTTCTTTAATCTATGTGAGGCGCGTGGGCCTTGAGGAAACATTGACGTCTGTCGATTCTATTCGCTCATGGTGGAAGCATGCATGAATTGTTATCCACAAATATTCACCGAACATGCGTGCCTATTGCTGCGAAGGTCGATATGTAAGACCACCTGCATTAGCACATACATATACGGAGGTCATACTCCGTAGCAGGAGTGGGTAAACAAACACCCAGCCTCCTATCCCCACAACCAGCTTTCTGGTAAACATTAAACATTGGCGACCCTGTTTTTTAAACGAGATGCCAATTTGCTCATGTACTTGCTATTTCTTGCTTGGCAATGAGGGATAATAATGAATGGCCCTGTGCCGTCTCTTAATAGCCTCTCCCTCTGCCGTAAAACCCTCCTCTCCCATCTCCTCTACCCCTACCGCCGCCTCTACCGCCGCCTCTACCTCCTCCTCCTCCTCTACCCCTTCCCCTTCCCCTTCCGTCGTAGCCCCCTCTGTCACCGCGCCCCAGAAGTTGTGTATTCACCGGCCCCTGAGCCTTCCGCCGCTGCCTCTCCTCGGCGCTAGCATCCCACACGTTCTCAATGCCCAAGAGCTCGCAGAAGGCTGCAGTCTGTGGGTTTGTATACTCGTCAGGCTGCTTGTGAACAATCTCTGGTGTGCCGGGAACATATGGAGGCGCTGTCTGTTCAAAGTTGTCCGGCACATCCAGCTTCCCCTTTTGCACAATGTTCTCTTCAACCCACGCCTTTTCTGCTTCAATCAGGGGAATGTATTTCTCTTCCCCTAAATCTTCAGACACTTGGGCCGTAGGATCGCCAAAGGTCTGGGATTTGTGGAAAGCACGGGTGATTGCTAACCACTCGGCATCATATTGAAGTCGATATCTAGGGCCGGAGCTTTGTGGTGGATATAAAGACAGCTGCTCTTCCTTGAACGGCTGGACCTCGCATAGCTGGAGGAAGTGTCGCTGTGGCAGACACTTGTCCAATGACAAAAACCTGACCTCTTTGTTTTCAATGCCCGGAGGGACTGGCTGGCCTGGTTTGCGCTTCACCTTTTCTGTAGGCCGAGCAAATGATGCTGGTAGCTGTGCTCTCAAGTCATCAGGAACTTGTCCAGCATCACCCTCGGTATCCCCTTTGGCCTCGTTTTCTGTAATTCCCGTAGCTGCTTCTTTGGTAGTATCCTCAGTCTTCTCAGCATCATCTTCGTCGTCCATATCCAAATCAATCTCATCCGGGTTATCCTGGACGGGGGGTGGAGCATCAATGGGCTTATCTGGTTGAGTTTGAGTAGCCTCAGTGGCATTTGATGCATCGTCGTATTTCTTGATTGCTGCAAATTTGACATGTAAATGCGCAGAGAACCAGTAAGGTGGTCGTAGACGATCCATGACATACTCAGCAGCCACGCTGCCAAGAGAGCCATCCATAGATTCGCGTCTAAGAAAAGGCTTTCGCCTGAATAGTTCATCGAGGTCACCATGCGTCTCCACCTGGCGCGGCCAATCGTGACTTAGGCCGACATCAACTTGCGTCTGCATCAACAAGAGCTTCCGGACATCAATTTCTCTGACAGAGTAGAATGACTTGATATCGAGATGGTTGAAAGGTAGCCGCTCATGATGCGGCTTGCGGTAGTTCATGCCCCTCCATATTCCAGACATGCCTGCAATGCGGATAGGTCCCAGCCGAAGGACGTTGGCAGCTCCAAGATAGTAAATGTTGGGAGCGACCCAGCCGCCGTAATAGAGCTCCCAAGAATGTGAAGCAGCTTCATGGTTTCCGCCAATGAAAATGGTTAGATACGGAGCTTGTTTTCTCCCGGCGTAGTAGTCGTGGAAGCCACCGATTTTGCGATACTTGATGGGACATGACATGACCGTCAAGTCGGCCGCATTGCGCACAGCCTGCGTAGATCAGCAGACTGTATCGACCAGGAGCTGAGAATTTGGATTATATCAATTACCTGGAAATCACCTCCAATGATAAGTAGGTCAACGCCATCCCAGCCGCGCTCCTGGGCAGACTGCTTGACAGAAGCATATATCGCGTCGAGCGCGCCATGGCCCTGGAGAAGGTCAATTGATGCTGTTGGCAAAGATCATAAAGATGTGTGGTGTGTGAAGAGACTTACACAGCCCTCGACAGCAATTCGAACGCCCTGCGATTCGAATGCAGCTGAAGCCATTTTCCTTGTGGTGGAATATCAGAGGTCTTGTCAAAAAAGAGTGACGAAAGGCCGGGGCTTAGCGCGCATCCACGTCCACTAACAGAGGACCACTGGCTGTATAATATACTGGGCTGCCAATGCGAAAGACTGTCAAAACGTTCAATCAAGTATCCCTTGGTGGATACGGCGGAAACTTGCCTTTTACGGCGGCAACTTTGGAACCGACGGTATTTTTATTTTTTTATTTTATTTTTATTTTTATTTTATTCATTTCAGGGATGTGGTTGAGTCATAGTTTTGAGTTGACTCATACATGACGGATGTGACACCGTTACTGCAGCTTAGGAAGGAAGCCACTGCAGAAGCAGCATAAAGCGCCATCAATGCAGAGATTACGGATGTTTAAACAGTATGCCGCAAGGGATAAGTGATTTCGGTAGGATAGACCTATGTAGTATTTGAGCATAGCAGCTTAAGCAGGTATTGATATTGTTCGCAATTCTTGCAAAGCAGCATATCGAACTAGCCAGACTACTAGAGGCAAATAATCGGTTTACAACACTACAAGTAATTGGTAAAGCATGTGCCCCTACAAAAAAAGCGAGATCTCAATGGAAGAACTTTGAGTCAAGCAGAGTGAGAGGGAGGCTATCAATCTACCACTTCTAATAGACGTTCAACCCACGGAGGAGTAACAGAGAGGAACGCATATGCTGAAATGGAGGTCATGGAGATGATCATCACAATGAATCGAAAGTAGAAAAAAAAGCTGCTGATTTTGTCATTCTTAGTATTAAGGCGAGGCATATTGCTTTCCTCTTCTATTTATGTAATCGGTGTGGTATCATGTCTTCGTATCATAATCTTTCTGGATAGAAACACCCAGGTAGTGAGTGCGGTATCATTTCGTGCTCATGTTGGCCCTGTGAAAAACATACAAAGTTAGAAGTGCCTATAGCGCGATTCCCGCATGGCTTACTGATCCAAGCCCAGGTAATCGGCTGCGGCTAACAGCTCAAGGCAAAGCTCTACAGGAATGTCCATGTCGGGCACGTCTTCGCTGTTCCTGTAGCGATACCAGTAGTGGAAGTACTCGACCACTTTGTCAAGGACCATTCCGCTATCATGCGTTAGTCAGCCAGCTCGAACACCGGTGCAGCAAGGCCGTTTCAAGGCGATTCTCGGTCAGTTCAAGTGTAGTGCAAGATCAACCAGACCAGCCTGTCAGCCTCTCCCGAGACTCGAGGTCTGGTAGAGACGGCGGCGTTCTGTCAAAAAATGCTCATGAAATCGTCGTCATCCCATGCAGCACATTCCAGCGGCCATGCATAGTTGTTTCTCACCTCATCTCTTGGAATACACATCTCGCGTCTTTCGCCTCGACGAATTGACCTGCACAGTATTGTGAGCAGGCAGTGACAGAGAGACAATGAGGCGATTCCCGGGCTGTTCTTCACGCACTCCTCGGGTCCAGCATGCCCTTGATGATCGGGCTCACCATGGCAGCCTCACGCAGCACGACAAACTCGAAGCCGTCTCCGGACACGAGCGTCACGTACTTGCTGGGGGCCGAGAGATCCATGGCAGCTGAATAAATTCTCGGTAATCTCTGGCGAGAGAGGGACCTCGGAGAAAAAAAAAAGGAAAAAAAAAAAAAAAAAAAGAAGAGAGAAATTTTGCACGAAAAAAAGCTTTATACGCACGCACAACAGTTATCCACCCGCAGGCGTTCGTGCACGCGTTTTAGCCCAGGAGAATTTTCGCGAACGGCTAATGCACGGACCATCTTCGGAGCCGGAACAACCCGCCCTAGCCACCGCCGGTTGGCGCCCCAGCCACTCGTCAGTGCTGTCACGTCAGTGCACCGCCATCCGTTGCCTCGCCAACTTGTTTACTCAGCTCTTTGGGCTCGGTTTCCAGCTCCCCGTCTGATAGCCAGCTGCAGCAACCGTCCTGTCCCACCAACTCGTCTCGTTGCCCGGAGCGAAAAGCAACAGCAGCCTAGCCCGTCCAAGTACAACATCGTCATCCCCCCAGCCTCTGCGTCCTGACAATCTTCAAACCTTCAGCTTCGGGGGCCGCGCTACGGTTTTTGCTGCTCGCCGCATCGGATTCCACACCGCCGCAGCCAGTTTTTGTATCTCTTTTTTTTTTTTTTTTCCTCTTTTTTCCTTACACCGCATTGCTCCTTTGCCTGCATCGACCCTACCGAGCCGGATTTGTCGATTTTCTTTGTTTCTGCTGCGGTGCCCACTCCTATTCTTTGTTGAGTAGGATCAGCATTCCTGTCGTAGAAAGAGAGATCGTTGTTCGCCCGAGACACGCTCTCCTGCCGAGCTCTCTCCAGCATCTGCACGGAACGTCGTTTCCACCATGGCGGCGTACCAGAACCGCAACTCGCAGTATGCGACGGGGGGCAACGAGAAGCGCGCCCAGCGCACCCGCTCCAGCGAGGGAACTGTCAGTACAACCACCTCATCGTCTGGCCGCGAATCAGCAGCGACTCACGTAACGGAGGCCCCGACATATTCGAAGAAAATTGTCGTTGTAGGAGACGGTGGATGCGGCAAGACATGTCTGCTCATCAGTTACAGCCAGGGCTATTTTCCAGAGGTAAGCAGAGCCCAGCCGCAGAGATCCATCGTTAAGCATGCAGATACTGAAGCTCGACCCCCTGGTAGAAATATGTTCCTACCGTATTCGAGAACTACATCACCTACCCGACGCACCCGCCCACCGGCAAGACCGTAGAACTCGCGCTGTGGGATACCGCCGGCCAAGAAGAGTACGACCGCCTCCGCCCGCTGTCGTACCCCGAGACCGATCTGATCTTTGTTTGCTTCGCCATCGACTGCCCCAACTCGCTGGACAATGTCATGGATAAGGTACGTTGGAGGCTCCACCCCCTGAATCTAGTCCGAGGCAGCTCATCTGCGATTGCTGTCTTGCTAACGCCGACCACAGTGGTACCCCGAAGTTCTGCATTTTTGCCCTTACACCCCCCTCATCCTGGTCGGCCTCAAATCAGATCTCCGGCACAAAAAATCTTGTATCGACATGCTGAAGACCCAGGGCCTCACGCCCGTCACCGCAGAGCAGGGAATGGCCGTTGCCAAGAAGATGGGAGCCCAGTATATGGAATGCAGCAGTAAGGAAATGCGGGGCGTCGACGAGATCTTTGAACGAGCCATCCTGACTGTCGTGGCCAACGACCGGAGGAACACGGAGACACCTACCGCATTGGCTGTGTCCGCGGGCGATGGAAAGACACAAGCTCCGGTAGTAGGAGGCCTTAAGAGGAAGAAGAGAAAGTGTAATTTCCTCTAAAGCGCCCACGCGCGAGCTTACATGCTCATCCTTTCTGCACTGGCGGCAGAAGGGCAGTGGTCGTCAAGGTGGACTTGTGGGCGCGGGAGTGGATGCGGACGCAGATACGGCAATTCTAATGACCATTAGACGATCTTTTACGACGATTTGCGCCTATAACGAACGACGTCCAACGGCTAATGGTCCCACGATTTCAGACGAGAACGCTAGGAGATGGGAGACGAGCTGCTGGTGCATCTCGCTCTTCGAAAGAAAGGTAGCAGAGCCTGGTATATATAAGCGGAAATCCGCGTGGTTGATTTTAACATATTCGAGCCGGCCTCTTTTTTTGGATTTGCGCTTTAGGTCCTGCTAGCCTTGACGCATGGAAGGGGAAGGGTGGATATGGAAGCCACGAACTTTTCAACGCAACTAGGAAACGGGTGGTGACTTTTTGCGAACTTGTGTGGTCTTTTAGTGCTTTATTATTTTTTTTCTTCTCTTTTGTCTCGCTTTTTTCTATCCACTTTGCGCTTTTCTCTTATGTAGCATGATACTGTTGTGTTCAATCAGGTTTGGGATGGGGACATAAAAAATCATCATATTCACCCTACCGACTGTCTCTCTTTTTCTACCCTTTTCTGTCTTTATATTTCTCTTTCTCTCCGATCTAGCGGTCGTGTTGTAGCGATAGTGTAGATTTATACGTTGCGTAGATTCGGTTGGGGTACTCGGTATTTTGGGGTATCTTTGTCGCCTACGTGCGTGTAGTAGCAATATAATCTTCTGTCTGTTTCACATACAACGTGCCTCCCTCCATCGTTCTCTCTGCATGTCTCTCTCTCCGGGAGTTGGGTATCATGTCATATCTCATTCGTGTCGTGTCTCCTCTTCGTCGGCTTGTGTTTCGTCGCCTTGGTGGTCTGCTGCTTTGTTGCTGCTATCTTCATCTTTGGCCATGACGTTTTCGAATTGTGACCAGAGAGCTTCTACAGAAGAAAATTCATTGCCGACCTAACAATACATTTAATTAGCATTTGCCCATCTCTTTGGCCGTCGTCGGGGACGAACAGCAATGACTGCTTCGAGCGATCGGTTCAATTTGTTTATACTGGAGAGGACCTGTTCGAAGCTCTATAGCCATTCCCCCCCAAATATTAGCTCTCTCTTATCTCGGGCACACAAAGGGCGAAAGGGGCTTCCATACTTGGGCAATGTCCCCGATGAGGACCTCTCGCTGCTGTTCGAAATACGCCCTGCTGCTGCTGCTGCTGCTGCTTGAGCCGCCGGTGGTGTTGCGTGCGTCCATTGGAAAGCACCAGAGATCTGCTTTTTTAAAATTATTGTCCTCTTTTCTCTCTCTCTCTCTCTCTTTGAATGCAGTAGCTAGTATTGGAAGGATGAAGTGTACTATGATGTGGTGCAAAGTCGCAGTTGAAGTTGCGCGACGCGCGAGAAGCTATTTGGATATTCAATCGCTATCTACCTGCAGCTAAGTGGTTTAGAACATTTAGCAGCTGATAGCTGCTACGTAGTAGCGGGGACAAATGCGCCCCCCACCAATCATCTTTAACCAACTACAACATTACCTCACATATATGCAGGGCCATCTGCTGATGGTAATATTCACGGTTCACAAGACAGTCTTCAGACGATATTCATTTATATATATATATATATATATATAAGCTATACTTCATCATCGAGACAAATAGTATCGTACAGAGGCCCGTCCCAAACGCAAAGAGCAAATACTTGCATTCGAAAATGGCAGGTTTAAACCAAAACAGTTGAAAACAAAACGCACTATACACAAGCAACTTCGCCGGTCCTTCTCCTTTTTTCCCAGTTTACAGTATTTGTTTCGCCATAAACGCTCCGTTCAACCAATCCGAATGCCTTTGTGTATCTTTTTTTTCTCAAGTGCTTCAGAGACCCCCCATCTATAGAACATAGCAATTTCGTAGTTGAATGATAAAACAAAAAGAGAGAGATGTGTATAAATAGATGGAGGAAAACAAAAGGATTGCAATAAAGTAAATACATAATTATAGCGAAAACAAGCATAGCATATTGCTATACCTCTCACTAGCCTATCAAAGAGCCCTTTCTTATCGCGCATATCTGTCTTGCTGCCGATCATACTCGTGCGGTCGAATACCTCTGTTCATTATATCACGAGGGTCCCTCGGATCTCTCGGATCCCTCTGATCTCTCGGGTCTCTATGATCTCTCGGATCTCTTGCATCCCGAAGCTGCATGTCTCTTGGGTCTGGCGCTGGATAGCCATGCATCTGTGACTGGGCAGGTGGCGGCCCTCGTGTATCATAGACACTTGGGGTGTAGCTTCTGCTCGGCGGAGGTTCCCGGAGATCTCGCGGCGGCGGCGGGCCTGGTGTCGATGCATATCGCGAGTATGGCTGAGGGGCAGAGGGTAGCGGTTCCCGAGTAGCTGGCGGGTACCTGGATTGCATTCCGTGCTGTTGTGGCAAGCCAGAAGCACTTTGTCCGTATATTGAGGGGGGTCCGCGTTCATCTCTCAGATGCTGTTGAGGTGGTGGAGGTGCCGTTGACCATGTCGGCCCCGGAGTCCCTGGCTTTGTTGATGGGTGCTGAGATCCCCAAGCCTGCTGCGAGTGTGGTGGAGGAGCCTGTGATGCTTTCGGAGGTTGAGTTGGCCAGCTGTTGTTTTGTGACCGAACATCAGAAGGCTGTGCTTGGTGACCGGATGATGGCCAAGCGTTATCGCGACTGCTCGGAAGAATCTCGCGGCTCCTGGATGACGAGTGAACCGCGTATGGCTGTGCCGGCGGTGAGGTGATATGCGTTGGCTGAGAAGCTCCTCCGTATGATGTAGGATAGCCTGTCTGGGACTGGTATTGAGCTTGAGTCGGCTGTGCAGGTGGAGGATATCGATGCGATGTTTGGGGAGAGTTCGTTCCACTTGCGGGATGGCTTTGCGGATATCCATGGGACCGGTAGTAATCAATGTCCACAGCTGAATCAGATGGCATGCTTCGGTGCCCACTCATATGCTGCGAAGAAGCCGACGATGCGGGATAAGGAGGCTTGAGAGATGGCATGGCTGATGCTCCACCGGATGGTGTCCGTGTGTAGGGAGAATAGTGCGCGTCTGTTTCCCGACGAACTGGGCCTCCCTGCGGAAGCCCGGATGCTGGTGGCGGCGGCCTGCCGATACCCTGAGATGGTGGTGTCGAGGACGGTGCAGGTGTATGACTTTTTGTAACCTCGGCCACCCGCTTGGGGGGCGGAGGATCATCATTCAAGAGCGACATGATGTTTGACTTCCGGGGCTCAGGTGGTCGAACCGGCGTGAGGGGAGATATTGAAGCAGCATTCGGCGGTGGCGCAGCCGCACTATAAGGCTCATGCGGAGGCCCTGAAGGTATCCTTGGCTGAGAATTTTGAGTCGGTCGAGAAGGCGGAGGTGCCAATGGCGGTGACTGTACTGCTACAGGTTCCGAAAGCAATGGCCTCATTGGCTGCTGCGATACAGGAGCAGAGTACGGTTGAGGAGCAACAGAACGAGAGGGCTCTTGAGATGGCGCCCTTGCTAATGAAAAAGGCTCTCGGGGGCCTCCGCCATGACTGAGCTGCTGGCGATGGGTATAAGGCTCGTAACGGTGCTGAAGTGGTGCCTCGGGTTCTTGTTTCATCCTCATCGACTGCTGTTCTGCTTGTCGGAGATCTCGCTCCCTCTCCCTCTCTATTTCCATTTCTCTTTCTCGAATGAGCTGTTGTTGTTGCTGCTGCTGCTGCTGCTGCTGCTGGTGATGCTGATGCTGATGTTGGTGGTGAAGCTGTTGTTGTTGCTGCTGCTGCTGTTGCTGCTGCTGCATTTGCTGCTCTCTATACCGCTTCTCAGCATTCATACGCTCAAGCTGAGCAGTGCGTTCACGTTCAGCGATAGCCTCGGGGTGCGATGGTTGAAGGGGCTGTGCCACAGATAACGGGCGAGGGTCTCGAAGCTCCGGAACCTGGCTACCAGATGACTTCTGTGGCAACGGCACTCGCTGAGGCTGAGCGGGATCGCGCTCTCTCTCCGGGAAACCGAAATGCGGCAGCTGTTGATGAATGGAGCGCCCGCTCGGAGATATGGCCTGTTGTGTCCCTTGAGGCACTGGGTGAGCCGGTACAGCAAGAGGGGTCTGGTTAGGCTGCGCAAGAGGAGCTTGAGCTGGAGCCTGGGCAATTGGCACACCATAAGTAGAGATATGCTGCTGCTGCCTCAATGGCTGAGGAGGTGTAGGCTCAACTTTGGGCTGCGGTAGATCCACGTGAGGGTCGACTGCTCCAGGAGCAACCGCAATAGGTCGCGACGTGCCAGGCGCAGTGCTTTCGAATCTCCTACCACGACCACCACTACTGAGTACAGGGGGATCAGGTCTCTTTTCACCCCTAGCCCGCTTTGCATCAGCCTCCTGAGCAATTACCTCCCACTCGGGTTTCCCTGAATCTTTCTGCCGCACATAATAGTTCTTAACCTATATTGTTTATTGTATTAGTAAGTCTATCGCTCACAATCATTCGGGTGAAATCATACCATCACAGTTGTTTTCGATTGCATGTATTTCGCAATTGCAGACCAATCGGTGCCAAATGCCCTTAATAGATGTGGGAAGTCATTCGCTTCAGAAACACTCCAATAGCTCGATGCTGCTTGTGACAGTGCCTTTCGTTCAGGAATAGGCTGTTGTAAGTTGAAAGTGGCAATAGAGGACGGAGGCGGTGGGGGTGGTTCTGGCCGAAGAGATGGAGCCGCCATAACTTCTGTAATAGAAGTAACGGCAGGCTTCGGTCTCTCCATAAGTTGCGGCTGTGGAACAACAAATGGCGGTTGAATGCCTGCTGGCAGCGGTTGCTCGAATTGTACCGGCAAGCGATGAGGGTCGGATAGCGGGTGAGGAGCTGGGAGAAATTCTGCGGCCACTGGGCGGGATTCGGCTCGGCCTCTTCCCTTCCCCGTCCCTGAACCGGGGCCCGGCGCAGCCGCAAGGACTTGGTTTGGCTTAGATGCTTTGGCATCCTTCTCTTTGTCCTTGTCCTTGTCTTTGTCCTTGTCTTTGTCTCTTGGCTTTCTCCTTTTCCTGCCGTCTACCTTTTCTGGCTGGTCGCCCTTGGCAGCAGCAGATGCGCCGCGTCGTCCAGGAGTAGCAGCAGGAGTGCTCTCGCCGTCCGTCGTAGGTTGCTCGAAGCCCCACGTAGGAGCGGCAGCTCTTCGCGGCCTTCGCCTTTCTCCATTCTCTCCATTCTCCTGGGGCGTCTCCTCCGCTTCAGGCTCGCCGTTGCCGAGCTCCGAAACCAGAGCACTGGACCTCTGTTTGCCCCGTCCACCCTTCTTACGCCTCTTGGGCTGTTTCTTCAGCTTCTCTTTGAGATTGAGCTCTCCCTTCATCAGATAGTAGTACTGAATGCAGGAGTGGAAGTCGCGGTTTGGAAGAGCCTCCGCGATCTTACCCCATTGCTTGGGAAGCTCTAGGTAACGCTTCTCAAAGAGCTGTGCTTCTTCCTCAGTGAAATTGTTAGTGGGCGGGAGTATATGCCATGCAGAAACAAGCCTATCTGGAGGCGTATATCCTGACCGATCAATGTACTGAACCTGTTGCTTCTCCAGATCGTCCCAGTACATATCTGGAATGACAGCCTCCTTATCGCTGCGGTATTTCTCCTGCTGGATTCGCAATTCTCGCTCCTTTCTCTCTTCGTCTTCCCGCATGGACGCCTGAAGCACACGCTCAAGATCGCGCTCTGTGGCAAATCTTCTACCTGTGCCCCTTCCTTCTGGCTTATGTTCGGGCGTAACGGTGCCTGTAGTCTCCGAGGGAGCTGAAACAGAAAACTTGTCTCGGCTTTTTGTCGCCACAGGATCATCTGACAAAGTGTACTTCAAGTACTGCATGTAGTTGTCTGCATAAACCTGTTGCGCGTGCCGTTGCTCATTGGATCGATCGAAGTGAATTTTTGCAATATGTTCGGCAACAAAATCGTCGATAATGGGATCCGAGTCTAGCGTCGCCAGAAACTCTTTATCTCGGTACCAGACTGGACCGTTGAAATCAGGAAGGCTATCAATGGGTGGCGTCGACATATATCTACGGACTGTCTCAGCGGCAGCCACAGCTTGAGCCTCCATATAAGCTTCATCTTCCGTCTCAGTCTCATCATCCTCATCTGGTACTTGAGATGGGGTGCTTGGAGCTTTAGGTTCTACTTCGGTTGGTTTCGCCAGACTGACAGCCTCTTCGGTAGGCGCCAGAGTCTTTTCGTGAGTCTCTTCGTTGATCGGTTCGGCTTCAACTTCTTTATCCTCTTTCATAATAGAGTCATCTGCCGTGGTTTCGACTACAGGCTCGGGAACGTCTTTGAGCTCAGGGAGTGGAATCACAGGTTCGTTATCGACGTCCATTTCTTCGGCTTTGGGCTGAAGGTCTCCTGCCTCTTGTGTGGCTACAACTTCAGGTTTCTGTATATCTTCCTCGACTGTTTCTTTGCCAAGTTGATCGCTAGCAGACTCCTTTATGTGATTGATCTCCTCGGTCTCTTTTGAAGGATGGGGTTCGTCGGGAATAACAGGTGTTTCTTCTGTTTGTACAGCTGGCTCCACCTCCATTTTTTCGCTCACGGGTTTAAGGTTCTCTGGTATGTCGCCTACCATCTCGGATAATCCCTCTCCTTCGTTGAGGATCTGTACCATTGATCCATGAGACAAACTCATAAAGCGCCTGATAACTTCAACTGGTGTCTTTGGTCTTTGCAATTTGTCCAGTTCAGCCTCAGTCTTGTTGATCTCCATATCAAAATAATCCCCCATATCTTCATCATCAGATTCGGGAGGTTCCTCTTGCTGGATTTTCTTTGGAGGCAGAGCAAATCGAACAGCGCGAACTTTGAGTCGTCTATGTTTTTGTTCTATGGCTACTTCGACGGAGGGTTTCGTATCCTCGGTCGTCTCATTTTCTTGGGGCTTAGAAAGTAAGTCCTGTTTAGGAAACGACTCCTGCTTGGGGGAAGTAGAAGGGGCAGCAAGCGGCTCCAAGTTATCCAAAGGCTTTTCGTCCTGGTCCATTGATTCAGGTGGCTCGTAATCAACTGAGTCCTTTTCCTCAGACTTCTCATCTTCGACTTTTGTGTCTACTTCGCTCAGCTTTTCGTCTTCAGTCCTTGTAGTTATCTCGCCCGGCTCTTCGCTATGGTGGGCTCGCAGTCGTTTATCTAGCTCGGAGTAAGAATCCGACTTGGCATCGCTACTACGCGGTCGCCTTGGTTCGGAGGGTTCGACCTGCGAGATGTCCCGTTGTAACGGAATGGACGGCTGTTGAGCAAAACTTTGCGATCTCGCTACCTTTGGCGATTCCGGTGGCGGTTTCTTCAAGCTTGGGTTGATCCATTGTTTGCTAGATGGGCGGGTAACCTTGGGTTGTTGTTGAAGTCGGGGACCTACAGGTGTCCCTATAGGGGGACTGTCGTGAGGTGCAATTTTCGATGGCCCAGTGGGAGGCAATGGGGTCTCAGGGGCTGCCGGGGCTTGTGGTGCGGAAGCTTGTCCTGCAGAAGCTTGTCCTGCAGAAACCGGGCGTTCTCCAAAAGCCCGTGGGGCCGTTGGTGGCGGCTTGGCCGTGACTATGCTAGGGGCGGCCTGCGTCTGCGTCTGCGTCTGCGTCTGCGCCTGCGCCTCGCCACCTGCCCCCGATCCTGTACCCGTAGCCGGAGCCCGATTTGGCGCAGATTCGAATGCCGGGGCTGATGGTGTCACATGAAGAGGTGAGACGTCTTTGGCCTGCGCGGCAGATTCCTGAGCCGCCATCTTCGGGCGAAAAAGTTCACGATCTCCTCGGTCCCTGTCGATATGAAGGTCACGGCGCACATCAGCATCGGGATGCCTATCGTTTCGCTCGCGATCGTCACGCTCACGGGCCCAGCGCCCTTCCTGAGAGCGACTGCGCATGTAGCGGTCGCCGCGATCGTCGTACGGGACTCGACCACGGCCTCTTTCCATAGGCCAGTCTCCTCTTCCACCCCTTCCTCGTCCGCGGAATCCTCCTCCTCCTCGTGGAAATGGCAGCACACCAAACGGAGGCTCTGATGACGAAGAGCCTGCCGATGGAGGACCACCATCACGGGAGCCACGGCGAGATCTGTCTGCATCTAGTCCTGGGGGTATATCCCGGTCACGATCCCGAAAATCTCGTGCATCTCGCGTTGGTGATCGTGCCCTCGCGATTGGTGATCTACGCAACCTAAAGTCTCTCGAGTCGCGCCAATCTCTATCTCGCTCTCGGTCACGTTCTCGGCTTCTCTCGTCTCGATACCGGTCTCGAAAGTCGACATCTCTATCTCTTCCTCGATCACGGCTGTCATCTCTTCCCCATCCTCGTCCTCTGCCGCGTCCTCTTCCGCCTCTAAAGTCACCGGCAAATCCTCCTCCTCTCGGCCCGACAGGCGCATCTATAAGGGCCTTGGGACCACGGGGCGGCTCTCTGCGCATCTGGTCTCCGAACAGATCTCTGCCTGGTGGGAATGGTGCCGAATTCGTTCGGGCTTCTGCGGATAAGCGACGCCTATCACCATCATTGTTAAAGTGTGACGGCCGGTCAAAGCGATCCGCTGGGGATCTATCTCGAGGGGACCTAGACCGCCGGTCCCCATCGTATCTTGAATACCTAGACGTCCTATGACGAGTGTCAACGTGAGTAAGATGGCCCAGGACGATACTTGCAGAATTCAATCGTCTCTTCTGATAACGATGGTCGCGGCGCCAACCAGGGCCATCGACAATGCACCGTTACCAGGCAGATGATTCAAGCGCGGTACGTACATGATGAGTGGCGGGCCAGTGCCGGATGAGACCCTGCAGATGTTCCGCAGGTCCCATCCAGGAGCAAATAGTGTCGCGAAACCAGAGCTGGAGATGGATTCGCTGCGTATCGAAGGCGGACTTCTTTGTTGTTGGCCACGGGGACTGCAATGGGCTCGACGGTTCGGCTAACGTGCCTCTGTACCCGAACCCAGCACAAGGGGGTCCTGAGAGGTCGAATGCAAAGGGCCAGAACCCTCCAACAGGCAAAAAAACAGGCTGCAAACCCCAGCCGACGATCCGACGATGTCTAGCCGCGACGCTGCAGATGATTCCACGGTAATCGATGCAAATAGCCGTCGGGGGCTGGAATGGTGAAGGAGCTGAAGATCTCGAGGTCCACCGTGAGACTTCAAAATACATCCAGATCGCGTGGCGCTTGAACAGACCTAGCCTCTTTGCCGCGAGGCGCTAGTCCCTTCCGGGGGCTCTGCGCTGGTTAACGCACCCCGGCTCTAGGCGGGGCCTTGGCGCTGTCGAGAAAAATTCCATGTTTATAGCACTGCCGGACCACGGAGGTGCGTGCCTTGTAGCACTGCAATAGTGGGACTAGCCCCATTATTGATAGAAGGCTTTTTTTTTCTTTAATTTTTTTTTTGGAGTAAATCTTCTGACGGATGAGGCTACCCGCGACCTGTGCAAATATAGAGAACAGCGTCAAGTATCCCCCCCTACGTTGAACTTGACAGGCCTCTATCAGAGGGTGGTAGAATCTATTTTTAAATCGTCTTACCTTTCGAATTCAAGACTTTTATCTTTTTATGATCCGCAAGGACATTACGCATCATTCAGCAGAATTCCTATCTCTTTAAAATGGCTGACAACGGCAACTCAAATGCGCCTCCCGTTGAGGTCACCAATGCGGTGCTCGTCAAGTCGGAAGAAATGCCAAAGGACGCCCAAAAGGTAGAAGAACTTGATTTCAACAAGTTAAAGGGACCCATTACCGCAGAGGATTTATTTCTGGGCATGAGAAATATGGGATTCCAGGCAACTTCGATGAGTGAGGCTATCAGGATCATCAACGACATGGTTAGTAAGAGAGTTTCAAGATAGCTGATTTCGTGTGGCTAACAGCCTCACCAAGAGAGCTTGGAGAGACCCTGAAACAGGAGACAAGACCACAATCTTTCTGGGATACACCTCCAATCTCATCTCATCCGGTCTAAGAGGCGTCTTTCGGTGGCTGGTGGAGCACAAGCATGTCTCAGCCATTGTCACCACAGCAGGAGGAGTAGAGGAGGATTTCATCAAGTGTCTCGGCGAAACATACATGAGCTCTTTCAGCGCAGACGGCGCAAATCTGCGAAAAAAGGGCCTTAACCGCATCGGAAATCTTGTGGTCCCCAACGCCAACTACTGCGCCTTTGAGGACTGGGTGGTGCCCATCTTTGACAAGATGCTGGAGGAGCAGGAAGCCAGCAAAGGAACAGAAGATGAAATTCATTGGACACCATCAAAGGTTATCCACCGACTGGGCAAGGAGATCAACGATGAGCGCTCGGTATACTACTGGGCATACAAGAACGACATTCCGGTTTTCTGCCCTGCCCTGACGGACGGCAGTCTTGGCGATATGCTCTACTTTCATACATTCAAAACTTCACCACAGCAGTTGCGCGTTGATCTCGTAGAAGATATCCGACGCATTAACACTATCGCCGTACGAGCAAAGAGAGCAGGAATGATTATCCTCGGAGGAGGAGTGGTCAAGCACCACATTGCAAACGCATGCTTAATGAGAAACGGTGCAGAGTCTGCCGTTTATATCAACACAGCCCAGGAATTTGATGGTAGTGACGCCGGTGCTCGTCCAGATGAGGCCGTATCATGGGGCAAGATCAAGATTGGAGCAGATAATGTGAAGGTAAGCACCCCCCTCCATCTTTCCCCTGAGCCATATGCGGACATGAGCTGAGACGAAGTATTAGGTTTACCTGGAAGCCACAGCTTGCTTTCCATTTATTGTAGCGAACACATTTGCGAAAGATATTTAGACTTAGATATACACTCAAGGTATTCCAGAGCATTCTCAGTTATTTTTTTATTATACTATACTAAATAGGCAGACTATACCATACATATTCCCATTCGCATCGGCAAGACACTCAGAAGGAATTATCAAGTGGTAAATCTACAAGCTCACCGTGTATTTCACCTACAGATATAATAACTTCCACTTTTCTGCTGAGGGTTATGGCTCACCGATTAGCTTCTTGAAGCTACCGAGCGCAGAGGCCCAATCAGAAGCCCCCTCTCCCTCTGCCCAGACGCCCACAGCCTCTATTCCCTCTAAATCTTCTTTCATATGTGCCTCACTTGTCGTTCCGTCCAAGATGGTAGTCCCCTCCAGACCGAGCACCATGGAATAATACGCCGCAACTGCCCCCACTCCGGCCTTTTGTGCCACCACTCGGACAGGGCTGCTTTGAAGAAGATGCCTATTGGCGGTGATTGTCCAAAAAGACTGGAACACAATTTTCTGCTCGCGACAGAATGCTCTAAGCTCGGTCTCGTAATGGGTCCTATTTTGGAACCGATTCTGCACAACAGCCGGCTTCACGCCCATGTCGTTGAACAAAGTCTGCAAGACGGGGAGGGTGGTGTTGGATATCCCGAGATTTCGAATCTTGTGCGGTGTATATGTTTCGAGAGTCTTCCACACGGTTATTGTCTCCTGGATTGTGTCCATGGGAGAATGCAGCACCAGACTATCCAGGTATGCTTCTTGGCCATCAATCGTAAAGTTGGCGAGGGATGACTGCACAGACTGATGAACTTTATCAGCCAGCGGGGCATTGAAGTCGTATGGGGCAATGTCACTCTGCCCCGCTGGAGAAGTAAACTTGGTCTGGATCTACAAATGTATGGTTTAGCCATTGCTTTTCTAAGCAAAGTCTTCGTGTACAAAATAGAGGCTGTAGCTGTACATACGAATAGGTCCTCTCGTTTAATTATACCTTCTCCTATAGCCCGTCGAACAGCGGTGCTAACGCCACGCTCATCATAATGCTTCGGCTGTGCTGCAGTATCGATGCCTCGGAAGCCTGTTTTTAGAGCCAAGTAGACAAGATCCGCGGTCTGGTCCTTCTTCCAGGCGGTGCCATAGACCAGCTTTGGAATCCGCGTGGAAGATGTTGAAGATATCCCCAGAGGAAGATCTCGCGCAAGGCGAGAGGCCTGCGCTCCAATAGATGGTCGGGCCATAACGCTAGGATCGCTGAAGGTGAGACCGCATTGGCAAAGATGCCATTTAGGAGAGTTGCATCATGATAAAGAAGGCGGTAGATAAACAATTGCTATCGGCTTATCGGCCTGGAGCTGGTAAATATCAGTCCCATGCGCTCAACAGCGGAGCTTGAGACGCGGGGAAATAGACCATGTACCCATTACGAGGTCACGTCAGGCTGCTTGTCTTTTATATTGCCACATTCATATAAGCCTATATACTATGTAATATGTCAAACAAAAAGTGCTTAGTTTCACCTTCATCAACACATCAAAACTCCAGCTTCACGGCCAAAGCTTCCTGATCAATGCTTTCATCTCAGCATCATCCGGATATTAGTCCTAGAAACTACGGATATACTGTCGGGGCAATGGACATGGCAAAATGACGCCGTTCTCTGAGCCTAATTGGATCGCATGTTGCAACCCCACCAAGCCGAATTCCATTCCCCGCCGCTAATGTAGGTCTGCCATAATAACGAACAGCTGAGGAGATGTTCGGATTTGGTTATTTGTAAGCTATAGCGAATGCGTTGTATGGCCAGCAGAGAGAAATAGTCGCCGCGGGGCAACTTTGTCCGCACGTTAAGAAGTGGATAGTGGGATATCCTTCACCACCGGCGGCCGTTTATTGGCGACGGCGTGGGTCTACCAGTTCGCAGTGGATCGCTTCGCCGTGCATTTTTGTTGACGGCGAGCTTTTGCGAACAATCGCCAACTTTGCTAACAGAGAGAGCTAGATGATGCTAGTGTATATAAATATCCGTAGAGCCTCCTGCCCTCCAACCTTCAGCCCACGATTCTCATCTCAACGCAATCTCATAGGAGAGCTCTCTCTGTCGTAACACATTTCTCTTAGCGAATACGATTGAACGAATACTGCCCACAATGGCTACAGGAAACCCTTACACCGTGAAATGGGGCATTATGGCCACCGGCGGAATTGCAGAGAGTCAGCATCTCGTCTTTCCACCGCATTTCAGGAGGCAACCATTGAGCTAATACCATGATAACAGCATTCTGCAAGGATCTTTTGTGCAACCCCGAGATTCGCGGCGCTCATGACGTGCGCCACGAGATTGTTGCTGTGGCCTCCTCCAGCAGCAAGAAGAGGGCGGACGAGTTTCTCAAGACGATAGACGGTGCTTTTGATGCCAAGACATATGGATCATACCCAGAGCTTGTCTCCGACTCCAACATTGACATCATCTACGTCGCAACTCCCCACAGCCACCACTTCCAGAACACCATGCTGGCGTTGGAAGCCGGCAAGCATGTCTTGTGTGAAAAGGCGTTCACCGTTACGGCCGCCCAGGCCAGAAAGCTCGTCGAAACGGCCAAGGCGAAGAACCTGTTCTTGATGGAGGCTGTGTGGACTCGATACTTTCCGCTGAGTATCCAGATTCGAGAACGTATCACGGCGGGCGAGATTGGCACTGTCTACCGAACAATTGGTGAGTATACCGACTATATGGCTGATACACTTGATACTGCTAAATAACGTTACTTACTTGCTTTGATTTAGGTGACTTGTCATTCAACTCGAATGCAACTGAGGGCAAGGGCCTCTCGTTTGCAGATTCTCATCGCATGGTCAATGTTGATCTTGCAGGCGGCGCAATCCTAGACCTCGGAGTGTATCCCCTGACTTGGGTATTCCAGACGCTATATCACCTACAGCCAGAGCAAGATAAGGAGGCACCAACAGTGGTCGCCGCCAGCAACAAGTACACCACCGGCGCGGATGAAAACACGGCAATTATCTGCCAGTTCCCTCAGCATCACTCCCTGGGTGTCGCCACAACCACCCTCCGAGCACACACCGATCCCGAACTCGACGCCGTCCCGGCTATCCGAATCCAGGGATCAGAAGGAGAGATCCAGGTCTTTTTCCCTGCTTACCGACCCCTCAAGTACAAGGTTGTGAAGAAGAGCGGCGAATCCCAGACGTTTGACTGCCCCATCCCCGGAGACCCGGCACGCAATGGCTGGGGCCACGGAATGTTCTGGGAGGCAGACGAGTGCGCTCGATGCCTGCGCGATGGCAAGAAGGAGAGCGCCACGTTGCCCTGGAAAGAGAGCATCGTCATTATGGAGACGATGGAGGCGGCACTGAAGCAGGGTGGAATTGAGTATCCGGAGCTGATCACGACGGATGTGTATGACCCGAAGAGTCCATTGAACACCGGAAATCAGTAAAGAAAAAACAAAAATCACCATCACAATAGGGAGAGTGGAACGGGACAAGAGAAATTATCAAACATAAAGCCAGGCGATGACGTGAGCTAAAACAAGATATAATGAGGTTGGAAATGACAGGGATTGATTGCTGCAAGTACATGTACATACCTACATGTATGTATAAGGGCCGTGAATAGTGGTATGCATGAGAAGTGACGGTGACAAGTACCTATATGCTGATATGCTGGATACGAGCGCCACAAACGCAGCACATATCCCTGGCTCAATGCAAACTGTTTGCCACACAGTAGCATGAAACGGTGTAAATCATGCTATAACCGATAGCTGCCATCTGCTTGCAGAAAGAAAGAGAAAGGAAAGGAAAAAGGAAGCCCCATATCCAAGATGAGATCGAGTTAAGGTTAGAATAGCTTCGATAGTATTCCCTTGCTTGGAAACCAATCAAATCCTCTCTACACCATCCAATAGCTGCCACGGGAAACAGTCACCTATCTTGATTACCTCACACACATATCGTATCTCATAACACAAGTCAACCGCAATCTAGATCATAGACGCCATCCTTGGCTGTCATTCTCAATCCCCACGGCGCCTTCCAAGGAGCACTTTTGTCTGCATCAGCCCATGGCCTCCTAGTCCACAAAACAAGGATCCCACTCTCCACTAATACCACCGAACAATACCACCTCAGCACGGCAATTATTCAAATGATTAGAAAAAAAAAAGTCAACACGGAGCAAGGGCCTATCCCGTTTATCGAATATCAAAAAAACCCTTGCCCGCAGAAAAATACTACACGGCGAAAAAAACAATGGCGGAAGATAAGCTTCCCTCCCCACACGATTTAGGCGCTCCCGCCGCAACGAAGCCAACCGCTTTTCTTTTTTCCCACTAATCAATCAACATGTCCAGAAATGCACGGATAGTTTTATATACGCACCCCATGGGTAATTCATTTTCCAACACCCTCTCCAGCCGCTTAGCCTTTCTGTCGCAGGCTTTTTTTTTTTTTGGACGGCCATGCTTGCGAAATGCAGTGAAACCACCAAAAGAAGAGGCAGTTTTTTTTCCTCATCTTCGTTAACAGACCAGCAAGCACAAAACACACAGCTTCATCAATTCGTATAATGCATAGCTAAGACTCTACACAGGTCATAGCCCGTTTTGGGAGGGAATCTAAAATCTGCTCGGTTTTCATCCCGCCTATCAAGAAGGGAAAAGAAGAAAAAGTTGCAGCTCCATCTCTCATCAAAACACCAAAAAAAACATCCTTCTCTCACACATCTCACACACACATCTCATCTCACCCTCATTACTCATCTCATATACAACGTACCCCCGTCAAACTGCAACCCTCTCACACAAAAAAAAAAACATCATCCCCGAACCCCCCCCGAACCAAATATAAATAATTTCACACACAATACAATGGAGCAGCCCTCAGCAGAGGCCTACGAGGCCACCCACGTCCACTCCGTCTACAACGCCATCGCGCCGCACTTCTCCTCCACCCGCCACAAGCCGTGGCCCCTGATATCCTCCTTCCTCACGGCGCAGCCCCCCGGCGCCACGGGCCTCGACGTCGGCTGCGGCAACGGCAAGTATCTCCCCGTCAACCCGACGCTGCACATCTTCGGCTCCGACCGCAGCGAGAACCTCGTGCAGCTCGCCCGCGCCGAGCGCAACGGCGAGGTCGTCGTCGCCGATGCCCTGAGCCTGCCCTACCGCGAGTGCTCCGTCGACTTTGTCATTTGCGTGGCCGTCATCCACCACTTGTCCACCAGGGAGAGGCGCCAGGAGGCCATCCAGGCGCTGTTGAGGTGCGTGAGGGCTGGTGGCAAGGTGCTTGTCTACGCGTGGGCGCTGGAGCAGGGCACGAGTCGGAGGGGATGGGATGAAGGGTCGGAGCAGGATACGCTGGTGCCGTGGGTGATGCGCTCAAAGGGCAAGCCTGACGCTACATATCAGCGGTACTATCACTTGTATCGAGAGGGGGAGCTGGAAGAGGATGTCGTGGCTGCGGGGGGCATCATCTTGGAGAGCGGCTATGAAAAGGACAACTGGTGGGTGGTATGTAGCAGCAAGGAAACATGAAGCTTGTATATGGGAGCAAAAAAACAACACCTAAAATCACCAAGAGTTGCTAAACGGACAATAATTTTCATAATGATAATCACGATAGCTAATTTGATACAAAGTAAACGCTGCAGATATGCTGTATGCTTGCTAAATGAGTAGGACAAAAAACAAAACAGTAAGAGTTTTATGCCCAGTGTATGCCCAATGCCATTCTCCCCCCAAAAGCAGAAAGAAAAGAAGTACAAGAGAGAAAAGAAAAAAACGCCCTTTCGTTTCATGCCCTTTCAACACAGCTTCTTCACGTAGCGACATCCTAAATACTCCAACACGGATACCTTTATAAAAAAAAGGTTCTCCCATCAGCTGCCATTGGTCCGTTCTCATGTACCTCTAAAGCCATAGTAGAATGCCTGTTCATGACCCAAAACCACCAGAAAAAGCCCAGAGTCAATGTTTTTCTGTATTCCAAGAAGCGCCTCTAGCCGTAGACCGGAAAAAAACCAAAAAAAAAAAAAAAAAAAAAAAAAAAAGAGAAAAGGGGTGCAGAACTTGGTTGACAAAGCGCTAGTACAATAATGAATGAAAACTTAGAAAAGAAAGGAAAGTAAAGAAAATCATCAGAGAACAAAATAAATAGCAGGCTGTCTTAGTGTCTGTGACCGGGCGTAGTGGACTGTTGATACCGTCCGTCCGTATCAGTGAGCTTGTTCCGTGAACCGTGTTCCGTAATTCCCATATATTGATATTGCAGTGCATATCCGTCCCGATGCATGCTATTCGTTAATTTCATCAAAGCGTGTGCCTTAACCCAAATAACGAATGAATAACCTTTTTTTTTTGTCTTTTTTTGTCTTTGTCCCTCGCCTTTCTCAATATCAAGTTCTAACAATTTTCGCCCGCCATATATACGCTTTGCTCCATTTCTTTGCAATATATATGAAAATCGTTTGGTGGTTGAGAAAGAGTAGGTTTTTATGCCAGTCTTCGCCTATGAGCACCATCCGGCCTTGTCATATCAGGGCTCGCTCGCCGTTTCGTTCCAGTCTGTTCTAGAGGCAAGTAACGAGGCATAGAAGGGTTATTGATCGCAGGCAGAGACGTTGGTGTTGGTGGTCCGCTTGGTGGACCATACGGACTCATCCCCGTGGTTAGCTGTGCAACGCTTGGTAGAGGGCCTGTGTTGTGAGAGGGAGGGTGAGGTTGAATCGGGGCAAGGCCGGGACCCGGGCTGTGGCGGTAATCAGGATGAGGGTGCGGCAAAGCAGCGGCAGTTGCCGGCGGCGGCGGCGGCGGTGGCGGCTGCTGCTGCTGCTGCGGCGCTGATGGTCCTGGCACTACTGCGTGGGGGGAGGAATGGGGTGTTTGATGCAGGTGTTGGGGAGGTAACATTGGTCGCGCGTGCTGTGGGGGAGGTGGTTGCGAGTTGATAGGTCCTCGTCGAGATGTTCGTGCAGGCGTCATGGGGGGCATGAGTTGGCCACGGCTGTAGTTCGAGTGAGGAGAGGGCGGTTTTATTTCACGAAGACTGCTACTATCGTGTGGCTGAATCGGCGTCTGGTTTCGACTGGCCATGGCCCTGTTGCTCGCCGCCTCGTTATTGACGGCAGCGAGAGAGAAAGGAACTACTCCAGCTCGTCGAGCCATGTCCGCCTCTCCAAGCTGCCAGTGCATCGCTTCAGCTGCTCGCCAGGGGACAGCCAGTTCTTCAGCCACTTTAGCCCACATATCAGATTTGAATCTACAAATAGATGCATATTAGTATTTTACGTAAGTGATTGATACTTCAGATTGAAAGAGGAGAAGTAATGGTAGTAAAAACACGAATGAAAATCAAGCCATATATGATGAAAAGGGGGGGATCCTTTTGCGCTGCTGTAATCCATACATACCTCTCATAGAGCCTAGCAAGCTTATTCTTGCGTTCCTCATCCCACTCACTGCGTCTCTCGAGATAGTTCTGGTAGTGAAGCCGACAGCTGATGGCACTGCGTCCTGGAAGTCGCTTGGAAACATCCTCCCACTTCATGCCTCTCCCGCGGAGTTCGATGATGACGGCATCCTCTTCGGGAGACCACTTGCTTTGTTTCTTGACAGGCTGGTCTGGAACGTGAGGTGTCATACTGCGCCGATTGCTCGGAACGAGCGTCGGAGCTACAGGCAAAGGCCCTACACGTGAAGGGAGGAGGTCATGAGGAGTAGTCGTAGGAGTTGATGGTACAGAGGCAGGTCGAAGCTGTCTTGTGTGGGACACGGAGGGCTCGTTTGAGGCTGGAATTCGAAGCAGAGAGGCGATATCCACGGAACTGGTTGTCAAGCCTCTACCGCCCAGACGGGGTCTGTCAGCAGAGGCGCCAGAACCGCGGATCAGGCCGTAACTGCCGTGTGCGACCACGTTGAACGCCGTCGGTGGCCCTGCCTGCGGGAGGCAGAGCAGCGACTGGCTCTGGAGTTGAGCCAGCTCAGCGACTGCCTGCTTAAGCCCCGGCGCGGGCTATGCAAATGAGGCGATGATGAGGGCCGGCGTAATGGCCCGGTGAGGTGGCAAAGCAGTGTCAGCAAATTGTGGCCGAGACACTGTGTCCTGGAGACGGTTGATGTTCCTGTTTTTTTTTTTTTTTTTTTTTTTTTTGTGGCGTGGCGGTTGTTACGAGAGCTGTTGCAGAGGGCAGCAAAGGGGCCTAGGCAGACAGGCCAGCCCCTCGTATGTGATGCGTATGAAGTCAGAGCGACGGCGTCAGAGATGGAGAGAAGCAGGGAGCAAGATGTGTGTTGTCCTATCGTTGCCTAACGCTGCCAGAGGAGAACACAGCCGCAGGAGCTGAGAGCTGAGGAGGATAAGAGACGTTCGGGCGTAGCTGGGCTTCCAAGTAGCGTGAAGAGGAGGGAAGAAGACGGCAGAAGAGAGAAGAACAGTGCTTGAATGTGCTTGTGTCTCGGGGATTGAATACAATGGGCTTGCAGTTCCGGGAACGTGTTTATGAAGGCAAAAATTGCCAACTGATTGGCGTGGCCCGGGGGGTTCATGGGGCCAATTGGGGGGGGGGGGGGGAGGAGATGAGAGGAGCCGATGAAGCAGAGCATGGGGCCGGCGGCAACGGGCCACTACGTCAAGGCCAGACCAGGACCCTGTCGCTAGATCGGGTTGCAGTGCTTGGAAAAAGGCCTTGGGAGAGTCTCAGTTCCATCTGGCCAGTCCCACGAGAGAGGAAACGTCAGATGGACCAGGCAGGGGTGGAGAGAGCCCAGCGCTGGGGACAGGGCGGACGCCAGTCCGGGAAGCCATTTGATGGTGCATCTGGCCGTTGAGTCCAGGGGGGAGTCGGCCACAGCCAGCAGCCAAGGCTGATTGGCCTGTTCGGCGCCAGCTGGACTGGGGAGGGCAGAGAACGGTGGGGGAGTGTGTTTTGAGAAGAATAGAAGAAATGGCAGGTTTGCATGCATGGAGGAGCAAGCAAGCAGCACGATAGAGACTGGGGCTCAACTCAAGCTAGGGCCCGAACAACGTAGGGCTAGTTCCCGGCCCATGATGAACTAATTGATTAGAAGCTGATACAAAAGAGGGCAAAGGCTTGTCGGCAATGGCGAAGCGCGAGATTGAGCAAGATCAAAAAGGGTGCGAGAGGCTGGCGAAGAGGCGGCCGGGCTGAAGACTATGCCCACACACAGTAGGTCGGGGAAGCAGCATCACCACCACGCAGGCTTGAAATCAATGGAAGAAGCAAGAACAAAAAGGGAGCCGGGAGGGGGTGCGGCTGGAAACCAGACCAACAGAGACCACAGCAAATAGTTCCAGGAAAAAAAAGCAAAAGGGAAAACAAGGGAAAACAGAAGCTTGCTTGAGTCACCCTCCAGCTCATCCCATCGTCAAGTCGACGTTGATTCAAGTCGGTGAGGAAAACGCACCATGGCGGTGGCTTGTGTGCTCGTCAAAGGTCGCCAGGCTCATTGCATCACCGGCCACGAATATGCACCAGGCCCTGCAGATGGAAGCTAATCAAAGGCCCTGGATCCTCTTTGGGTTCCCAGAGTGGAGGCTGGAACATTGGAAATCTGGCAGCGTCGTGGCCCTCCTGCTGCGTGTTTCAGCCGAGCTTTGCCAGATCGCCCACGTCGTCTGCTGTTCGTCTAGCGGCTGACAGCTGGAGCAGACAACGGAGAGTGGTGCGTGCCAAGTGCCGGAGGTGCGTCATTCACTGCTGATGCGATTCCATGTCCTTCTCTGGCCGCTTCACCTCATGGCTGTATATGAAGTGCGAACCGCCTTGCTGTACCGTACGCATCTGGGCAGACTGTGTTCGTGCGAGGCAGACAGCCCTTGTCTCTGGCGTTCAATCGCGCTGCCAGGAGTCTGACCTTGTCGCTCTAAGCCTCGTCGAGTGCAAGGTTCGCACTGGCATCCTCGTTCGGCTCTCGCCACGGCACCACGTATTCGGCGCAAGGAATGGTGGACATGCTGGATGGCTTCATTTTCCTTTCTTTTTTTGGTGTCTGGTGTGCGTGCATGCGCATGGGGGAGGTACCGTTGAAGTTTAGGTAAGTACCAAGGTACAGACCAAGGTACAGCTGCTCTCACCGTCGCGCGGTACGCATCTCAAGTACTCTCCCACGCAGAGTGCCAGGTGTATATGCTCCTCTATATGCTCCAGTGTACGGAGTAGGTAGCATGTACATTCTCTGCGCCTTACTTCGCCAGCCGTGCATTTGGGTATAAAGATAGATTACAGCAGCAGCTCCATCCTGTAAAGCCAAGTCGGGAACCCGTCTCTCGATCCGTTCTAGCAGCTGCTGTGCGCTACCTGTCTATGGCCAGCACAGGGGTCAACAAAGAGGCCAACGGCACAGCTGGCCTGCCGTTTCATATACACGCCCCCCTCTTGGTCCAGCTCCTCTCAACTGGTCGCCCCATTCGCTATGGCCTCACTACTGCCTGTACATGTATGCATGTGCGGAGTTCATTTTGCTTTTGGCCTTCAAGCAGGCCTGCCAATAAGCTGTGGCTTGACTTGGTGTTCTTGTTCCTGCCCCCTACATTGCTAGTATATCTGAAGCCACCACCGCAACTTTGTCCAGGGACTTCATATATGCAGTGTAGCACCTGACCCGGCCACGCATTCATGCATCGAAAGGTCTGATTGCTGGATGCTTGAGTCAATTGCTAGGCAGGCAGGCATGTTATGAGCTGCTGGGTATGAAGCACATGCCTTGGGTAAGTGTTTTGGATTGTTAGTGGCTCTCAATTCGCAACCAGCTGCTGTAAGATGAGGTAGTTTGGCATCCTGCATCCTGCCCGTGCTAGGACTGTGCCCATCGGGTTCGCTGGGCTGAACTCGTATCAACAGCTCTCCGCCCCCAAGTATTACAGTCTGACTTTGTTTAGGTGATCCCGGAGGCGGCGTAGTCTCCCTTGTGCCGCAATAGTGGTTTTGAACATATCTACGTGTTCGTGGCCAAAGGCCCAGCTCTCTGTTGAGCCTCTCATCACCTTAACACTACGGTAGAAGATAGGAACAGGGAGTTGCTGTCATAGCGCGTAGTATGTAATACCTAGGTACATAGGAGGCTTTGAAATAATGGAGTGGCAAGAATGGCAATTAGCGAAGCAGGGCTCCTTAGGCCCATCCAAACATGTAGTTTAGCACCGCGCTTATATGGCCATAGTGGATGCTTCGATCTTACGGGAATGACCGTCAATCATCCTGTCATTAGCCCGTAAATAGCATTGCTACCGGGGAGCAGCACCAGTAGCGTCTGCTCGCCTCTACAAGCTGTCATGTCCCCTGCGTAGATAGGCAAGCTGTAGTAAATCTACACTCAAATTTGGTAGAGTGGTCATACCAGGCCTTCTATTGTCAGGGCAGGCCCTGCTGTGCTTTAATTAAAGCGTCGTCGGCGACTATTACTTTGCTTTTCTGTTTTCGGCTCTCTCAGTTTCGCAAGTACTATTCTTGTTTTTCCTCATCTACTCTTACTCCGGGCTTCTATGTACAAATAGGACAATACGTGTATTGTGACGCCACGACATGGCCCAACGTGAAACTTGGAATGGTTGTCAGCAGGCTAGTTTCAGCTTGGTTCGCCAAGTCCAAAATCGCGGTGAGGTAGCTATTATCGGAGAAAGAACGTGTTCGCTCGGGAGTTATAGGAGATAACGAGCTGCGTCTTATATACGTGTTTTCTTCTTCTTCTTCTTCTTCTTCCTCTTCTTCTTCTTTTTGAATGCCACGTCCGTTGCCTCTGCATGCAGTCTACTGCGAGCTCATATAAGATGAAACACTTACTGGAATTGCCGTCTATAATATATCGCTTCTCGGATGTGCGTTCCGTCTCAAGTCTTGGCGTCCTGAGCCGTCCTCTTTTTAGACAAGGCGGACCTCCCGCTGGTACGTACAAAGTATAAAATGATGCCAGTAATTTCATCCTATCCCCAGATACTAGTGCTATTTCATAGACGCTTCTTGCTACTGCTGCTAGTTCAAGCAATGCTTACCACCGCCATCAGCACGCTCCTTGCCATACTATTGCTCAATACTCCAGAGAACTTTGGTATAGGATACCTGAAAGGCTTGTACTGCTACTCCCTTGTTCATGGCCAGACGCCATTAGAGCCTCTGCTAGATCTGTCACATCTCTAACCTGATAAGCTACATACATTCGTAGTGTGAACAGGCATACCTAGTCCAATAGTAATGGAAAAAGTCCGCAGACGATGTTACATTGCGGGAGCCGAGCTTAAAACTAGATGATCAGTCTGACGTCGTAACCAGGCTGCCGGCTCTGTTTGACGGGCGTCTTCCGCACTACTTACTGCTTGAGGCTATGAGCCAGATACGGGGAAGTGCCGTCTATCTATGCTTGTATGAATGCGTGGCAACCCCTGGCCCTGTTCATACGGTATAAGTAATTCGGCACTTTTCGCAACTATAGTGCCTAGTCCAGGAGCAGGGTGCTATGCCTGTATGGCATGGTATTATTAGGCAGAAGCCAATGCAGGGAGAAGAGAAGACAGGCTTGCATGGGCAAGCAAAAGCTATCTGCCAGCAAGCGAGCAGAAGCGAGATGATCAGAGTCTGAAGTCGAAGAAAGGTATGGCAACAGCCTATGCCACCTTTTTTTTTGGTCCATGTATTATTTGTAAGACGAGCAATTATGACCTAGGCATTAGGATCATGCCATCAGCCTTTGGCAGACCCTCAAGCGGCTCGAGATGTTGTATTTAAAGGTACTTATACTATAATAACGAAGCAATTTCCATATTATTGGAACTCAGAATTATTCACATTTACAAAGTGCAGGAATTGTCAATCCTAATCAAATGGCTGCTCAACTTATTCTCCATCAAAGATAGGTTACGGCTAACAGCAGGACTTATCTGCTTAAAGTGACATGACCTAGGGATTTCGAAATGCGCCCATCAACTCTAGTGCTAACTTGTATGAAGAGAACGGGACTGGTTCAAAGCATCCATTACGTTAGCCCTGAGCAGATAATAGAAGGCTCTATTGTTTAATCTATGATGTTTTGAGCGCACGCGAGCATCTGCCGCATGCACCAAGTACAGATACATGGGCCTCGGCAGTGTCTGGCAGTGCAAGCAGCCAAGCAGTACTTGTGGGATACCTGCTGGTCATTCCTGCCTCAGCCCATAACGGCACTTCACTTGCGGCCCATTAAAAATGCACCACATCTCTCTCTTTCCCTTTCTCTCTCCCTCCCTCCCTCTCTTTCCCTCTCTTCATACAACTCCATCTCCTACCGTTAACTCACTTTGTAGAGCCGTCTCAGAAGCCAATAACTTCACCTGCATCATTCTTCACCAAACAAGTCACCGCTGATGAAAGGAGTTGGGATCAGGCAAGCTGACTTTCGGCACCGCCAGGGAGCTTGCCCGGGACTGCCGATGAACGAACTGGCGGTCAACTTCAAGCTACATGCACTCGGGTTTCTGCTTTTCGCGGGAATGTAGCAAGGCGCAAAGGATCTCGATACACGAAGCTTCAGCGGCCACTTCGTATACAAACAAATAGACAGCATGCATCGGCGGGTGGCACTACGAGCGACCGAAGAGGCGTGGGAGGTACAAGGAGAGGTATGGGCGTGGATGTCAGCTACTGCACCTTGCCCACAAAAGTGTGCGTGTATGTGAGCTGGCTCTCTCAGGAGCCGGTGCAAGGACAAGGGCACATCGTTCGTCGAACTGACTGCGAACTATGATCGACCAGTCAGCGTCGCATGAGTCTCAGAGATCCTGTTCGTACGCCCCTCGTGGTCTTGCTTCTGCTTGCTGTCTGTTCTGCCGGCGGTCTGCGCCTCAGCTGCACTGTCATCCGAGCCGCTCCAGAGATTGAATCATGGCGCACCGCTTGCTTCCCATACCCCCTGTCTCTTCCGTCGAAGGTCCACCACACCACCATTAGCTCGCCATATTACGAACGGCCACTGGGCTAGAGAGCCACAACCAGCAAGAGGCGTACTCGCACGCCAAACCAAACATCTCGTCTCTGGACGTGCTGGATACCGCTCCAAGGGGTTTGCAAAAAAAGCGAGACTAATCAAACGATCGGCACACAACGCCATTATTACGCACACCCTTGCAACACCAATAACAGTGACATCATGACTTTTTCTAGGTTATTTTAATCAGCGCTTTTAGCTCATTCTAGCTGGCTAGTTAATTTTCTTTTTTTATAGGCAAAATAGCGCAATAAGTAGAAGTTTATTACTATTATTATAATACCCTAAAGAAGGCATAGGTTAAAGGCACTGTTGCTTTTGCCTAGCAGTAAAAAAAACGCTATAGTTATACCTTTTCCTATAATAAAATTTTTAAAGCCTGCTAAGTTAGCCAGGCCTATAGCTTTATAATAATTAAGTTATTTAATAAGACCTTTTATAATAAATTTAAAAAAACTTATAGCTAAAAGAAAATCTTTATATAAGAAAACCTTAATAAAATAAAAAAGCTGCTTTAAGAAGAAGGCTTTAAGGCTTGCTGTTTAACTTATACTTAGCTTCTTCTAGCAGCTAGAATAAATAAAGAAGTTTATTTTTAAACAGTCTAATAGGCCTTAGGTATGCAAGACTAAAGGAAATGTATTACCTACCCTAGGTTTTTTATTTTTTACTATTATATTAAGCAATAAGTTAAATTTACCTATAAGGCCTTAAAGGAAAAATTAAAAAAAGAAAACTATTATAATATTACTTATTTAAATAAATAGTATATAGCTTATATAGATAATTATTAAGTTTATATCTTTTATAAACCAGGCAAAAGATATTGCCTTAATTATTTATATAAGCAGCTAGATTTAAAGAAGTAAAAAAATAAAAAATTTAATATTTATTTCTAAGGCGCTATTAAATATAACTTTAAAAGTAATTTTTATAAATATTAGATTTTTTTAAATAATAATAAAAAAATAAATATAGTTTACTATTATAACTATATCTTTAAAAAAGTAATTAAACTATAAATAAATAAAGGTTAGCCCTATATTTTAAAAGAAGACTATAATTTTAATTATTAATTAAAAATAATAATAAACTATAAAAAAAAAGCAGAAATTAAAGTATATTTTAATGCCTTAGGCAGCTTAAATCTTTTGCTAATAGAAAATATATAGTAAATTCCTGCTATACTATTAAAAAGTCTGCTTTATTTTAATTAATAAAAGCTTATTGCTAATGCTAAAGACGCTTAAGATAATATAGATTAAGAGATAATAAATAACTTTATAGACTTAATGCTAGATCGGTTTAAGGCAGTACTAGAATTAGAAGGGAAAATAACCGGGTTCTAGATAGAAAAGATGCTTTTATTTTGCCGTTGTATGCGTTGATTCATTTTGCGGTCTTGCTTTTTTTGCAAACCCCTTGCGCTCTTGGTGAGTCGACGATCTGCGGTGAATAAAGCAAGCCACTCTTTATCAATAGCGTCATGGCAGTCCTGCTGACACCCACTCCTGCACCCACAAGCATGGAGTCTTACTGTATACGGAAATGGAGGGTTTGCTCCCCCACGTCCGGCGCCGCCTGTGAACAGCAACCCAATCTGCCAGCATATCTAGGTGCTCTGTATCCGTATCTATACTTGCCATACGAGCGTACAGTACTCCGTGTCATACTCCTGACTTAATTATGGAATTGTTACTATCGTACGTTGCCGCAATAGCTGCGTAAATCATGCATATCAAGTTCCGAGATTCAAGTCAGTGTTGCTGCCCGAGTAGCATCGAGAGTCGACCATCCTCGGCACTCCTCCTTCGCTACGTACTAGTAGTCGTACTACCTAGTAGGGTTGACAGGCCAGGAACCGCTGGCATGAATTCTACAACCTACTACTACTAATAGCTTAACATCCTAGCTGTAGCACCACCTACCTAATAACAGCACAGGCAGTTTGATGGGCAGAGCCAATTTCTCAGCCCGCGTTGGCCCTTGTTTACTAGGTACTCACAAACCAACCTTCACCAGGTAGCCAGCGCTGTGAATATCTGTGATTCACACGAAGCTATGAGGGCTAGCATGGTACCCGCCTACCTGCTTATGTATTGGCAGTGGTAGCGGTAATACTCCGTACGGAGCACAATTCCCGCCCCTCCACTAGCCACGGCGCCATGCGGAAACGCCATGGCTGGACAGTACGCACTATCAATGCTGGAAGTATTACGAAGTAGGGATTGATATCTGCATTGCTGGTATAAGGTAAGGGTACTGAGCAGTGGCACAAGTATGTGCAGAGTCCAAATAACCAGCTATAGAGACAAAATATACCGATATTGTGCATTCCACGTTGAAAAGTAGGATGCTGTCAATCAATTGCGTTGACCAAGCACGAATTGTCATCATCATTGACTGCGTCTATGAAATGATATACCTACGGCAAGGTGCTACTACTAGGTAGGTATTATCAGTTTCAAGCGCTATGAGTGGATGAGCCCACAGGAGACTTTGTTGGCCCGACACACCAACTGCAGAGAACATCCCTGTCAGACGACGTCGTTCCAGCATCCGTTCCCCGACATCACATCTCACATCTGTCTGTCATCGCGGGACATGCAGCAATTTTTTTGCCCGTTACCAATCGCGTGGGCTGCCAGCCGGTGCAGCGTTGTGTGCGGGATGACCATCCCTAACACTACACGTACTTACTAACAAATCCACCAGCCAATCCAAATCTTAGCCTCCACAAGGAGAGGATCCTCTTGCTTGTGCTGGTACACATACGGAATAATAGCAGCGCAACCTGAAGAATAGAGATATCCCATATTGACTCCACGTTCGTCCTTGCTAGGCAAGCGGACCTTTGCAGAACCGCTACCGCAGTTACTAGATTAACACGCTGCCACTACTGCTGCTGGGCATATTTTCTTCTCCTCTTTCTCCCCCCTCTTGATGTACGACTTGCAGGGCGCACTTAATCCAGGCAATAGAAAGTCGTGACGTGGCGGCGGTGAGTGTTGGGTCAGGTGCCAGGCGCCACGATGCCCCCAATGGACGGGGGCATCACCAAAGATTGGGAGGAAGTTGAATGAGGCATGGCTAGGGTAGCATTGCCTCCGTCTTCATGCCTAGCCGGGGCCATTGGGAGTGGTGTTTCATCCCAACCGATCTCATTCAACAGCATTCAAACAGGAAATGATGACCGTCAATCAGTGAAGCGTACAAGTATGTTGCGAGCGAGGGGAGAGAGCCCCATCAACAACACACGTTAGGCTCTTCTTAAGTTTACGTTCCACAATCGTCTCATGCATATTTGCTGTGCAATTTTATACACGGTATACATCAGTTTCAAGGCTTCTCCACTTTGCTTCATGATGAGAGGATATGAAGACCGGAATCAAACATTGCTCACAGTGCGCATGGACCGCGTCTCCCACCTTTTTTTCATCAAGAAGCGCACTAAAAGCTATAGAGTGTCAATAGACACCTAGGTAGTATCTTGACTGCGTGGATGAAGCTTGTTGCAAAAAGGCGTCTAGTCCGGGATTAAGAGGCTGCCGTACCTACAGTATGCTGTGTTACGTGGAAGATCTGGCATGCCAATGAAATGAGGGTTGTGGAGTAGCGACTGACCAATTGATGCTACTCGTTACATACAACAGCTGTCTATGCGAACTCATACTAATAGTACCTCGATCTTACAACTACTGTATATACCTTATCTTATAATTATCCTGAAACAGCTATTAGTCCAAAAACTTTAAATCGGGTTAATAAAGGCATTTACGCTGCAAGACATTTCGCCAACCTGGTTTATTTAACATGTGCTTTAACATCCAGACTTCGATAGAATCCAAAACCTTTTCCAGTATTTTCTTAATCCATCGCCAATCTCGCTATATACTAACACTACTATTGCTACATACCATGTAATAGCCGTGGCCGCGATTCAATTGGGCCTGACATTTGGGCACTTACATCCTTACCTCCCCACGCCCGCTTCGACGACACACCTAAACAAGGTTGCTCTGCGGCAAAGCTCCGATACAAACACAGGATAGGTCACCCAGATAATCTGGTCATTTATGACATGCCTATGGTCGTATAGCCGTCGGCGGATACCCTCAAGGCGGGTGATACTGCCGTGGCAAGGGTCTTGTAGTCCCGTCCGTTTGCCTGCCAACGGCCAAGTGGGTATGGACTCTGCAGGACCCTAGAAGGCCTGTTCTAGGCATCTCTTTCAGAACGCCTTTGATCGATACCCAAAGCAGCCGCGAAGATTGTCCAGCTCTATGGAGAATATTCCATGTTACAAACTGCCTTATTACGCAATTGGAAGCAAGGGAAACAAAGGTCAGCGAGACATAGAGAAACATTGCTCTAATGGGCTCCTTAAGCGGTTGTTACCAGTATGCTACGACTAGTAGACAGTACCTAGTAGTAATCGCTTCAATCCCAAGGTGGCGCTTGGAAAGGTGATGCGTTTGTGGCTGGTTTCCGCGTATTGGGTTGGGCAAACAAGTACTGCCTAGGTAGCAGCTTACGACTGCCGGTCGGCAAATACTTCGCACGGCGCTTTGTCGCAGTAGAGGGCGTTGTAACTAGACCGCTATGCCAGCTGGCAGGTACCGCACACGTCCACCGATGCCTATTTCTCCTGTGGCGCCAAACCGCTGCTGCCTCCTACCATTTGCGCCTGGCTCTTTCTTTATGGGACAGGATAGGTACTTAGTAGGCACCGACAATAATTGGCCTGATGAGAAATCGACAGGTACCTCAAAAAAACGACATATAACTGCTCGCAGGATATTTTTCTCTTCTCATCTATTTTCTACTCTTTGCTCTATACGCTCGTTCTTTGCCCTGCTCCCTTGCCGCCATCGCATCAGCATATTGCTTGCTCTCAACGGCCGTTCTCAAGGCCACTAGCGACATCCTTCGATCAAGTTCCTCCGTGCTCCATCCGCCTTTGCGAATTCTAGGGGCCAAACCCCGCTAGTTTGTCCGAAGTAGCAGTGAGAACTCGAAAAAAAGGGAGTGAGAGAGGTTGATACCAAACAACCACCACAATTGGCCCATTAACGAGAACCGTCAGAAATATCTCAAAAAGGACCCTACTGCCGAGCTACACAATCCGAAACGTCATGGCGGACGTCCCTCTTCTGGTCATTTCGGAGTACGCCGCCTCCGAGCGCCGCATCACACCCTCATGGACAATCTTCCAGCTCAAGACAAAGCTCGAGCCGGTCACAGGCATCCCCCCTTCATGCCAGATACTCAGTCTCAAAACATCAGCCGGCTCGGAAAAAATCCCAGTCGAGGCAGCAGATGAAGACGCCGTGCGACTGTCCAGCTTTCCCCTGGCTCCGTATGCAGAGCTGCATGTAAGTCAACCGTTGTCGATTTCATTAGCCGCTGAGCATGCTGCCTAGGGATGCGGAGTTTGATCCCATGCCCTGCTGCACAACGCAGATGCCTCAGCTTTCTTGCCTCTATCGTCCTCTTCACCTTCTTTCCTTGCCTCTGTGTGCGTACCAGCCTGTGTGGGGTGGAGAATTGCTTTGCAATCGACTCAATGCCACCCCCAAAATAGAGCTGATGAAATCCCAAAGCGGGCCGCTCCTGGAGGGCTTTGGGCAGCCAAACGTTTCTTCTGGGCGCGTGCGCCCCTGCCGACCGTAATGGAGTGTCTCTATGCATTTGCTGGGGATGGACGCAGAGGGCAGAGGAGGGAGGGGGGGGGGCCTACATGGAGACGAAGCTAACACGCCATGATTTCGTAGGTTGTTGATACCCGCCCACCTACAGCCAGGCCTAACTTCACCGATACTTCAGGCGTTGAAAAATATGTAATGCCCGATGATGAGTACGAGAAGAAGACAGACTCTGTGCTAGCATGGAAGAAGACGGAGAAACTTGGCCGATTTGACCCTACAGCGCCAAGCCGTGAGGAGGCTAAGGTGGCCGCCTTTAGGGAAGAGATTGCCCAGCGTGGCATCGAGGTCGGTAAGAGATGCCGTGTTGGCGGAGAGGACACTCGTCGAGGTGAAGTCAAATACGTGGGCGACGTTCAAGAAATTCCTGGTGGTGCTGGGCCGTGGGTGGGGGTTCATCTAGATGAGCCTGTGGGGAAGAACGACGGTAGCATCTCAGGCAAGCGTTATTGGGGACAACCGTCAGAGCTAAAGCATGGTGTTTTTGTAAGGCCAGAAAGGGTGGAGATTGGAGACTATCCTGCTCTGGATGATTTAGAGGATATGGAGGAGATTTAAACAAGATACTACCTGGATAACCAGCAGAGCAGATGAATATCCAGGAATTGGTTCTACGATTTTGGCTATCTGATATGCTTCAAAGGTGGACTGATGAAAAGGACTGGATAATTTACAGGTATGAGCTGCAAGTATTAGCATGTGCGTATCTTCTCCGAGTGGTATGCAGGGCTGATTATTCACCACTTTAGAGTGAACGCCATTCTAGAAACAGAAGTTACAGTATGCTAACAAGGCTTTTGCTTCGGACGTGATCCTGGACGCACTAATGCGAAGAAGCAGAGCCCCTCTCTCTAATCAGAAACTGCCACGGAACTCGTCTCCAGTGTTGTATTCAACGCAAGCTTGGCGAGCAGACTAGGTAGTCTCCATAATCGTAATAGCTTCGTGCTTATACTTCGTACAGCTCCTGATATCATATCATATCATATCATGAATATATGCATACATATGTATCTAGCAACGCACTGACCTTTTTGGGGGTCATGAGAGTTCAGAAAGCATAAGAATCTTCAGTTTAATACTTTACCCGGTTCGGCGGCCTAGGAAAAATCCGGTGAAGATTTTCCTACGGAATCCTGTTCAGGCGGCAAAAGGTAAAGGCAAACGGAAATGAAAGCAGACGTATCAATAGAAGAGCCGATCACCACCGATCTCACTACTGAACTTGCCCTTTCGTGTTTAGGAACTGTCTTGAGACAGGCGATTTGGTTGCCTAAAGCTACGAGTGACATTCAAGACTAGAACTAGGACTAGGACAAGTAAGGGCCGTATAGAATGGTGGTAGTATTACTGCATGTACAAACACCAGGCACCTACGAATACTGAGTGGATGCCAAGGTCTGACATCCAAGACCAGGGCAAAGCAAGGAGCTTAAGATGTCCTCTACGAACAGGATGCAAACTCATATACGATGTACAACTACGGAGTACACCCTGCAATATTATATGCTGCACACCTAGAGTACACCGTAGCGTCACTGCTAGTACTATTGCAGTATGTTCTTCTGATATTCCAGCTTCTTTCCTGATATGCCATAAGCGAGCCGTTATAAAAACAAGGGTCCAAGGAAACCCTTGCCAGTGATCCTAGTCAAATTGTTAAGCGCCAAAACGGTGCGGAACGGCCGGGTAAGCAGCGTTCCTTTTAGCATCTTGTGGAAGAGCTCCGTACCGCTAGTAGTAGCAGGCAATCTATTACGATGGTATCGCGAACTCTTGCTTTAGGCAAAATCGTCTTTCGCTTCCGGTTCTCATTCTCATGGTACACAGCGCGCATATATTAGCCGAAGTCAACGCCACCGCCACGGGTCAGGGTCAAGGCCATGACCTAACGGGCTCGCCGTCGGTCATGGCAAAATGAAGGGGGGGAGAGTAGTCAGCCAGCTTTGCTTCTGAGACTACTAGGGCGCTTTATGAGCCTCGATTTGGTTAACAGTGTTGCGAAAGCACAGGACTAAGTTGTAAACAGGATTCACTTATGAGAGAGAGAGAGAGAGAATCTAGCAAAGCCACAAGTTACTACGAAGTATTGCCACGCAATTTAATCCTCCAGGATTGTACGAATACCGCCGAATACAACTGTTTTACCTAGCTGCTAAGATACGATACCTATCTCTAGGCCCATGCTGCTAAGCTTGATTTTCTCGGAGCGGAGCATTTTGCCGTTTCTTGGTTACGTTTCTTTGCGATCAAGATGACAACCCGGCGAATGATGTGCATCTGATGCACATGTTTCCACTTCCTGATGGTTCCAGTCGTATTTTTTTTTTGTGGTGCTACTACTCGTACACGGCTGACAAAATACTACAATCATTACCTCAAAAAGACAAGAACGCCGTAAGAATGATGATGGTGATACAAAGTAGAACCACTCGTACTAGCTGTAGTGCAACTAGGTAGTAGTTACTAGTATTCATGTTCCCACCTTCTCAGACCCATAGTCGAGTAATATCAGCATCGTTTAAAAGAACTCGCTTCGCAAGTTAGTAATAGCTAAAAAATTACTATTGTGTACTAGGTAGGAGTTCTACCCCATACGTCTGACAGCCGACTGCCGTTGTCTCTCTCTCTCTCTCTACCAGGAATAGTACCGAGGCGCAATGATAATGCTTGCAAACTCTAATAACGATGCTTGATGGATGGATTCGCCTTGCCAGCTCGGCGGCTTTTCACCCTGACAACAAGCTTAGAAGAAAGGAACCTTGAAGGCTACCAAAAAAGAGAGAGTAAAACCCCTGGAAGAGAGAAGAATCAAAGCCGGTTGCGACTAATAAATGAGATGATCTTATGGTTGTTTGGGACTAGCATGCCGGAGGGAAATGGCGCTCCGTGCCGCTGAGGAGACAGGCTTCTGCTAGTAGTAGGAAAAGTCTTGGCCATCTGCCCTTTTCCATGAATAGTTCAAATAAACAGTAAGAGCAGTATGATGTGTAATATCCACGGGGGAGTACAAGCAAACTATCACCACTATGGGTAGAGAAGCGAGGGACGGGGAGGGGGTTCCCTTGGGCTTCCTGCTTGTAGAATTTGAAAAGGTGGCACTGCCAAGCTTTCGTTAAGAAAGGGCCGGCCCATGTCTTGTTATTTTCCCTGGGCTCTCTTCTTGTGCCTCTTAATCCAGGGTTATTAAGCGTGTTTGGTCCCTGGAGCTAAGCATGGAGGAGAGAGGCTGTTCTACGCGGTGCTAGTATATTTTAGCGATGATGGTGGTCGGCATTTCAAGCCGACCCAGCCAGTAATAATGCCAATGTCTGCGGTATTAGTGGCAGTTTAGCAGAGGGAACTAGTGGCCGTCTTTTGCAGCCAGCAGTTTACCCTTTTGTATGACGGGTGGTGTGCGTGTTTCGCGGGTAGGATTCCGGACATGCGGTATGATATACGGCATAAGGCGTCTCAAATGCGTGCTACGGGAGGATTACAGGCAAAGTACTGCACAACAGGAACAGGAGTGTAGTGATTATTGCGTGACTTTAATGAAACTGGCATTCCCTGTAGCGTGTTCGACTGCACGGAATTAAGACGCTTAGACTGAATGGATGGGACCTATTTGCCTTTGTTTGTAAGCGGCCTCGCTCTCGGACATGACACGGCGAAGGAATCGTCGTCGTCGTCGTCGTCGTCGTCGTCCTCGCGGCTTGTCGTTCAGGAGTATGAATACATAGTGCCGCGCTTGCATGTGCCTTGTACACATGTATATTAACATGGATGTCTTGACAGGGGGTGGTGAGAGGCTTTTAAGCAAGCAGATCAATGTATGTGAATCGCTTGGTGGTGGCCTATTTTTAGAGGGCACACTATTTGCTGATGTAAGGTCTAGCATTCGGACTGCCCTTTACAAAGCAACAGAGACGATTTGAAACGTAGGATTTGAGCAAACTAATATTGGAGTCGGAGGTATTCGTCGCTGTGGAATCCTTCTGCGAGCATGCCTTGCTCTCGGCATTTCGTATGCCAAGAGCGAGGATTTGATTTCCTCGTCGTTCCTCTCCTGAATTTGAAAAGGTGCCTTATCCGAGTGTGTTGAAAAGGTGCCTTACCCGAGTATCGGAACACTGAACCAAGAAAGGTTCCGTCTTACACACACAGACGTAAACGTGCTTAGGAATCTTTGGCAGTTGTAGTTGTCGCAAGGAAGAACATCCTATACGCCGTCATTCTGCTTCCCGATAAGTCCTTTCATCCAAGATATGATGGCAAGCAAACACAAAGTTTTAGCCTTGAAATTTGAACAATGAAGCCGTAGGTTCTGTCGCTGCTATGCGGCCCCCCAAAAGCTACTATTCCTTCGGTGATTTGCCGCACGCTGGCCAATGAGCGACCGCCAAAACACCGAACAGTAGTTCGAACTTCGCCGCTCTTCCGAGCCTCAACGCGTACCACAGCATGTGCCATATGTGCTATTTGTATACTTGCATGTAACTAGCGGGAGTAGAATGGCGCTGGAGGCTTCGCGTCGTGGTTCCTTCAAGCTAATTAAATTTTGCACTTCACTGTCTAGATAATTTGCAATTTCGATGAAATATAATTCCTGCAGATATTATCGTTGCATGCGTCTTTGTTCCCCCAGTGCTGGACTGTAAACCCCGCCAAGGCCTGGCGTAACCACATCGTCTTGAGTCTTGAATGCACTTGGCCAAAACTCCATGATGGACGCGGCATCTCTCCAGCAACCGCAACCCGAGGCTCCAAAGGCTCCTCTGCCTCCCGCCACCGAGAAGAAGCGCCGCCGCCCCCCGCTGTCTTGCGAGCAGTGCAGGAAGCGCAAGATTCGCTGCGACCGCACGCAGCCATGCGCCAACTGCGTCAAGTCCAACATCCCCAGCTGCACGTATGCGCCGTACCACGTCCCCGCGTGGCGGGCCAAGAAGATGGACGCCATGATGACCACCACTCGAGAGGCGGCTGCTAATGGCAATGGCAAGGCTTCGTTGCGGAATCTCAAGGCGGCTGAACCCAAGCCAGATGCCCAAAGCGCAGACCCATCGGAAGTCACTCCATTCAGTATCGACTCTATCGGTGCATCATCGTCGTCCGCTATTGCCAGCTCCAAGGCCGGGTCATCGTCCACCTCGTCGTCCCCCAATGTCGACTGGCTAGTCTCTCGAGTCCACCAGCTGGAGGAAAAGCTTGCCAAGGCTCTGCGTATCAACGACGCTTCAGATGGGGCCAAGAATCGCCCGTCTGCGCAGGAGACGGCGGAGACGGCGGAGCCAGCGGAGGGATTCGTGGCCAAATCTCGATATTTTGCCCATAGCCATTGGATATATGGATTGAGCATGGTGAGTGGTTTGCCAGGATCGCGCTGTGGTAGCTGCTGCAATTCGTGCTAACTCTAATATAATAGCTTACTATGGAAAAGGATCTCATGGGCCAAGACAAGGTCAACCAAGGAGATCTGTATCAGTCACTTGGCAGATGCAAAGTCCTCGCGCGCAAGATCAAAAAGAATCGCTTTAAGCCACTCTCATCTACTACTCTAGGACTCCGGGTTCCTGCCCGGGAGCTTGCGGATGAGCTTGTCGAAAACTATCTTCGCACTTTCGAAGGTATCTTCCGTGTCGTTCATATACCCACGTTCAGGGCTGAGTATGCGAGGTTCTGGGACGCTAGCCATCCATCCAATGACTCCTTTGTTATCCTGCTCCAGCTCGTCATGGCACTTGGGGCGACTGTGCATGATTCTGTCTTCTCCCTGCGGCCAATGGCGACGCAGTGGATATTTGAAGCCCAGATGTGGCTTATCGTTCCGCCGGAGAAGAAAAGGATTAACATCGAGGGCATTCAAATACAGTGTCTTTTGCTCCTCGCAAAATCTACGTGCAACGTCGGTTCAGACATGGTGTGGATGATGGCGGGGAATCTGGTGAGAAACGCCATGTTTGTGGGGCTTCATCGTGACCCTCAATATCTCGGAGACATGACGATATATCGAGCCGAGATGCGACGTCGTCTATGGGCCACTGTCTTGGAGCTGAACGTGCAGTTTTCTTTTGATGCTGGGGGCTCGCCGCTGCTTTCCACCGCCCATTACGACACTCTGCCTCCGGCCAATGTAAACGACGACGAACTCACTGACGAGAAGGACAATGGCGGAATTGCAAAAGGCCCAAAGGTGCCGACCCAGACGTCAGTTTTGAGGGCTCTACTGGCGACGATACCACTACGCTTGAATCTCATCAACCATGTCAACAATACAAGACCAGGCGATCACTACGAAGAAACGCTGCGGCTGAACTCGGATCTGACGAAATCTTGCCGAGCCATCTCAGAGTCTCTCATGGCTCTCAAAGCAATGCCGAATTCGCCAATCACAGAGTTCCATGTTTCAGTGACAGAGATATTCCTCTATCGCTGCTTCCACGCACTTCACCAGCCCGTCATTGTCAAATATCTAAACGACGCTAGATTCTACTTTTCGCGACAGATGTGTCTGGATAGCGCACTGAAGCTCACGCACATCTGGGGCTTCCCAGATGCCTGGTCTACAGACAATCCCACAGCCGGCGAAGCCATGGATCCCGACCTTAAGCGACTAGTCACCAACGGAACGGGCATGTTTCACAACGTCGCATCGCAAGCCATGCTCAACATCCATATAGAGCTCATCCACGCCAAAGCCGGCCAGGCTTCGAGCCTCGGCTATCTCCCGACAGTGGGCAGCACCAACCTGCGTGCCCGACTCGACGCCACACGAGAGTGGAAACTCAACCGGGTACGCGCCGGCGAGACAAACGTCAAGGGCATGATCTTCATGGCGGCATGCCTCGCCCACATCCAGGCGCTGGAGGCCGGGCTCGACACGAAGGAGAGGACGCGCCTGATGTTCGAAGCGTCGATAGCCATGGGTAAGCAGTGCTTTGGGATCCTCAAGGAGGTGGCCGAGCGAGAAGGGCTGCCTGCATGCGAGTGGGACGATTATGAGATAGCGAGCGTGGACGGGCTGTCACCCATGTCAGGGATGTCGACGGATTGGATGCAAGATTGGGTGTTTGAAGGTGACCAAGGGATTTCGTTTCCGCAGTGGGATCCTGATTTTGAAAGCGCCGACTTTATGGACGACCTGGACTTTGATATTGGCCAGATGTAGATGAGGTGCCCGGGACTTGTGAAGAGCGATGGATTCTTGTCCCACCAACCGAGACGGACGTTTCTATATATGAAGTGCTATTAATAGTAGTTTTCGGTGGAAGGACGCCATTCCAGAGCGCTCTGAGACATTGTCTCTCTGGTTTTATAGACCTCTCAACTCGTTTTACCTCTCAACTCATATTATAGCATAAGATTCCTTATGTACTTGAATCTCAACTTTTAAATGAAGAAGTAGCAATGGTAATGCTTTCAATAGTGATGTTAATAATGCATTGACAAGTCAGCTGCAATGCGCTGCATGTGACCAAGACATCCGCTACGTCAGTGTGCTCTCGTCTCTTCCGTCTTTCCGGCTTGTGCGATGCTGATCCTCCCTTGCGTTTGTCACCGCCACCGCTCAGCTTCGTCTCCTCCTCATCTCCCACAACACTTGAAGAGAAGGGGGATTTGTATAAAAAGCGGCCAAGCAAGCCCAGATTACCTTTTTTTTTTTATCCACTCATCGGAGCATATATACTTGATAACTGCCAAAAGTGGCAAAGGGGGAAGAAAAGAAAAGAAGAAAAAAAAATCAGCAAAAGAACCAGTCTTCATTGTCCTCAATTTTGAAACACTGTTCAACGGTTCAGTGCCCCCTTTACGAGCAGCACAATGGCCATCCCATCTACCAAAGCCTTGCTCTTCCTCGCCCTTGTCGGCGCAAGATTCGCCACGGCAGAAGAAAACCAGGCTGCTTCCCAGGCGGCCAACTGCACAACTACCCTGACCCTGACGCAGTCTCGACTCCCTACTCCGCCATTCTGGCCGCAGTGCTCATGGGACGGCACGATGAGCATCTACTCGTCTACGGTTACGGTTGAGCGCTCGATAGACTGCCATGGCTGCTCGGATGTTCGCGTCACTGAGGTGCCGGTGGTCCATTGCCCGGCCATGATTATCACGGCGAGTGAACATGTGGCGACGCCGAGCACGTCGTATCGAACGGTTTGTTCGGCAACTCCTACTCTTCGCAGTTGAATAGATATAGGAGGTGAATTATAGCATTTTGCTGGGGCTCGGGATATGAAAGAGGGATAAAGGGTTGGTGGGTGCGTGGCGTTTTTCATGAATGGAATGCGAACTTTTTATGTGATTCAAGCTTGTGAGTACTGAAAACTATCAAGGCCTGTAATTAAAACGCATATATGTATTGTAAAAAGATTTCTTGGACGAGCATTTAAAGTGGTGTAGTGGGTTCCAGTGCACTTAACTGATACCGTCAGAGTTTATAGCAAGTTAATGTATACTTTATACCTTTGCTTTACGACTTAGTAGATAAATCTTATTTTTCATGGGACTTCAGTCGTCACTGCTTCTTCATCAGATCCTAGCATCTCAGTTCGCCTCACGTAGTGCATAGATCTATACCATACAACTAGAGTGTAACAAAGCCATAACCCGCTTCTAAACGACCCCTTTGCTCAACAAACTTCAACGCCAACGGCGATGATCTACAGGCCCTGTCCTTGTTGTGGCGGCCACAGAGCCTCCCTTTACGCGATGGTTTGAGCTTAATAATGTCTAGGATGAACGCTATTCTCAAAGCTGTCGAAATGTCTCGGATATGGCAAGAACTGGTCTCTCGCGGACATACTCCGGGAATTTGTAGGAAACGCCTCCTCGAAGCGTACAATGTATTGAGGAGAAAAATTAAGAAAAATAAGCCATCCATGCTGCAACCTTGGGACTTGCTTTTTTTGAAGCTCTTCTATTTCGTAATTCTATCATATCACGCTTTCTAACGCTTAACCTATGGTCGCACCAGATACCATTTAAGTAAACAGCACAAAAATATTCTCAAACCCAGCCTTTTTCTTCTTCCTCCCTCTATCGACCTATCTATCCTCATACTAACTCCTTTCTATTCCATATCAGCTAGACAAGCAAAGACTAAGAAAGCAAAGATAGAGACTCATCATGACTCTATCAATCAAGGCCGCCCTTGTCGCCGCCTCCCTCGCCTACATCACCACAGGAAACCCTCTCCCTCAGGGAGGTATAATAACTGGACAACCCCCCAGATTTCAGAATGCGAAGCGTGATGGAGGAGGAGTGGACGAGATGATGGAATTCCTCGATTTCGAGAACGGTTCGGGCGTTCTTGTTCAGGGAGATGAAGATTGCACTGCTAGGGTCTTGCAGGTTCCTAAGCTGAACATCGGCCCTACTCGCACCATCTTCACTACCACTACCACGACTGACAGGATCATCGACTGCGGTCCTTGTACCAACAACTCGCCCATCCCTATCCCGCTAGGCGTCCCTCCAGTCGCTATATTCAAAACGACAGTCACGGCCGTGGAACCGTACACAGAGACAGAGCTCGTGTGCGGCACCCCCACAACTAGCCCTTCGATCGAAGCATCCGCGAAAACGACAGCCATCACTTCTGTCTCATTCAGGATCACCAAGGAGAGTATCACCACCGTCACTGTAACTAAAGCTTCCCCAGAGAACGTCGCCGCCGCGGTCACGACCTCAGCTGCTACTATCCCATCTTAAGTCACTGCGCAAGGTATTGTCCCTCACACCGACGTTCCCGTCGGGACAATGTTACCAGAGTGCGTTCTAACTTACGCCCTCCAGGATGACCGCCAGGACCCAACGAGGACGGTGTATACTTCGACCGTCACGCGTACGAAGTATAGGGCGTGTGGCCAATGCGCGCTTGTGTGGTAAAGAGCTGAGTGATCCCACCATCACGTCGTTCGTGAAGACGGTGACGAAAAAGAAACCCAAGCCTGAGACGGTGCTTGTATGCTCGGAGCATAAGTAGCGGGAAGCTATGTAAGGGATGTGTGGGACGTGCGAGTTTGAATAGCAAGAATTTAATTATATATGTTATTTTGTGATGGATTTCCTATGGTGAATAATATGACCTCTAGTGTTTTTGGTTGTATTGAAAAAAGGCTGTGTAGCTGTGAGAGACTCAATACAGCTGGCAGCATCGAATCGCTAGCTGAATAAAGTGTATATAGTCTGGAAAAGGCTCTAGTTCTTCATCTCTGTCGTGTCATCGTGCTTCCGTCCGAGCTGTTCTCCGCCTTCAGTGTCGATGGCGGAGTGGCGCTCTTGGCCAGCAAATTCCTCGTAACGTCAATACGCCAGATGGTCGGGCCGCGTTCCTGGTCATCCCGCCTGTTTGCCTCGACCCACGTACGGATCTGGCCCCGGACTTCTTTATTTGATGTGATGGTGACGTTGCCCGTTGCCCAGCCGTACATGTAGATGCTCAACTTGGAGCTCTTAAACGCACCGCACTGAGCGACATCAAGAGCGACCTTTGGGAGACGTCCATCCGCCACGGCTTGGGTAACGGTGGCCATGGTCCATGTCTCATCGAGAATTCGTATAGGAACTTGGACGTTGTGGGGAAGAAGGTGGGTAGAGAGTTCTCGAAAGCGTCTGCGGATGTCCTCGGTTGACATGCTGCGAGCCTCATCGTCATATGGCACCAAGAGTCTCCCTCGCTCCCTTTCTGTGGCTGTTCCGACTGTGCTGAGCACTTCGTGGAAATGTTCGGCTGCCTCTTGCGTGCAGACGAGGGTGCGGCCTTGTAAGATTGGATACAGGGCGCGCACCATGACGCCGCCTTGCTTTCTTTCTTCTTCAATTTGCAGCTGTGTGGTTTGAGCTTGCCATGGCTGCGGTTGGAGTTGAAAATGGGTGATGTCGGAGATGAGGTCGACGAGGATGGTGTGGTCCATATTTAGGACGTTTGTTAGACCGTCAAACTCGTCCCCTATAAGATTTCTTATGGCATCTTCGAGAGGTGGAGACGGTGTCTCCATGAAGAGGCTGCTGCTATCCTCGATGGCAATTTCAACCAAGGGGTCGAGGCGGTATATCTGATCCAACAGCACATCGATATCTTCATTCTCCCCCTTGGTGATGTTGGGAAAGACGATTCGTAGGCGGGGAATGCGATACTCGTGCCGGTTCATCTTGGCCGCCGCAACCAGTCGCTTTATTTGCTTGGCAAGAGGCGTATCCTCCCATTCCTCAGGGTCGACGGTATCCCCCAGCTGATAGTCGCCCCATCCCCAGCCGCAGTCTGTCATTTGTCGAGCCAGCCTATCCGCCTGAAGCCATCGAATATCAAGCCACTCGCTTCCTCCTTCGACCACGTCAACTTCCACCTTGGCCTGCTCTTTCAATGTCCGATTCAACTGCTGTTTTTCTCTTCCATCTCCAACGATTCGTGAAACTTGCTTCTTGCGATCCTCTTTAGCCGACCCCTGAAACGCCTGGTTGACGATGCGAAACGAGCGGCAGCGTTTAAGGATATCCCAATGAACTGCCCCGTGGTTGATGATAGTAGAACTGGCTACCAATTTCCTATTTAATAGACCAAGTCCAACTTCATCCTGTTCTTCAGCAACGAGCTCAGACTCTACCCGCTTTAAGATGTCATATTCTTTTCGCAGTTTACGAATAAAACTAGGAAGACCAGTAACTCGCGGGTTCTTGACTTTTGACTCGACAGCCTGAAGAAAGTTTTCAATCTCCGGAATGTATGAGTCGCATATGGAGATGTTCTGGCTCGTCTCCTTTAGCATGCCCTGCTTGATAGTAGCAACATCATCCTCGCTGCTGGCCAGCAGCTGAGGCTCAGGTTGCCCGGCAATCTCCAGTCCCATGGTGGATGTTTAGATTTAGCCAAAGGCAATTTAGAATTGCCCTGGGCTTGTAAGATTCAAGGCCGTCGCTCTGCCATAATGGTGGCCTCTTGGCACCAAACACTCGTGAGCCTCATATCATCATGAAGCCAAATCTTGAGAGGCTATGCTGTGGGTGCCTAATCCATACTGTGCTACGGAGCATATTTTTACCGACCCGAGCTGGGTCATCGAGGACTTTCAAGTTAGAGCAGCTGAGCAATAATCAGAGTCATGAGTAATTGATTACCCAACACTAGCAATAAGGATGTAGAGGGCGAGATATTATACCTGGCTTCATCAAACAGGTTAAGGCAGCCAACAATTATCCTCTGACCCACGATTTCAAAAGTTGAATCGCCAATTGTTTGTGCAATATTGCCGGTTAGGCCAAGTCGGCACACGTGAAAAAGATGGGCGGGGCAGTCAGAGTCCAATGCAGATGATCTGCCAAAGCTCACAACTTTGTGTTCCTGAGTTTTACATGCTTGGACATCTAGTCAGGGGTCTTGGTCCAGTAAAAGAGCTCATCTCTTTGCTACTATAAAAAGTAATAAATAATGGATTCATGGCATTAAAAATGCCAACTCGCCACCTCTTGTCCAGCAGAGCTGCAAATCATTCACTCATGGCCACCCACTTACACGCTTCTCAGTCACAGAACTCGTCATGCTAGCTTCACATGTTTTTTTGCCACTCTTCAGTGGAATAGCAGTTTCTCTCCAACCAGAATAATGCCTCAAACTCCATAGCATTCCCCACCATCACCGACAAGCGAAAACAGGAAACTTCGTTCCTCGCATGCCAAGGTAACTCCAGAAGATGCGCCGATTCGGTGGATTCCCTCCACCTCAAAAGATCCAAACGCCCATTACTAAAGCATGCCACCATGTATATTGCCTCGAAGCGTACTGTACCCATCAGTTTGTCATGCTACATAACCGGCTGTTTAGAAGTCCCACTAGTACCTGACAAGGCCAGGCAGATCCATTTCCCATGTGGCCAGGCAAGGGGTTTGCAAAAAAAGCGAGACTAATTAAACGATCGGCACACAACGCCATCATTACGCACACCCTTGCAACACCAATAACAGTAACATCATGACTTTTTCTAGGTTATTTTAATTAACGCTTTTAGCTTATTTTAGCTGGCTAATTAATTTTCTTTTTTTATAAATAAAATAATATAATAAGCAGAAGTTTATTACTATTATTATAATACTTTAAAAAAAGCATAGGTTAAAGGCGCTATTACTTTTACCTAATAGTAAAAAAAATACTATAGTTATACCTTTTTTTATAATAAAATTTTTAAAGCTTATTAAATTAGCCAGGCCTATAGCTTTATAATAATTAAGTTATTTAATAAGATTTTTTATAATAAATTTAAAGAAACTTATAGCTAAAAGAAAATCTTTATATAAAAAGACTTTAATAAAATAAAAAAGCTGCTTTAAAAAAAAGGCTTTAAGGCTTACTATTTAACTTATACTTAGCTTTTTTTAATAGCTAAAATAAATAAAAAAATTTATTTTTAAATAGTTTAATAGGCCTTAGGTATATAAAATTAAAGAAAATATATTATTTACTTTAAATTCTTTATTTTTTATTATTATATTAAGCAGTAAATTAAATTTATTTATAAAGCTTTAAAGAAAAAACTAAAAAAAAAAAACTATTATAATATTACTTATTTAAATAAATAATATATAGTTTATATAGATAATTATTAAATTTATATTTTTTATAAGTTAAATAAAAGATATTACTTTAATTATTTATATAAGTAGTTAAATTTAAAAAAGTAAAAAAATAAAAAATTTAATATTTATTTTTAAAGTATTATTAAATATAACTTTAAAAGTAATTTTTATAAATACTAGATTTCTTTAAATAATAATAAAAAAATAAATATAGTTTATTATTATAATTATATTTTTAAAAAGGTAGTTAAACTATAAATAAATAAAAGTTAGCTTTATATTTTAAAAAAAAACTATAATTTTAGCTATTAATTAAAAATAATAATAAATTATAAAAAAAAGGTAAGAATTAAAGTATATTTTAATGCCTTAGACAGCTTAAATCTTTTATTAATAGAAAATATATAGTAAATTCCTACTATACTATTAAAAAATCTACTTTATTTTAATTAGCAAAAGCTTATTGCTAACGCTAAAGATACTTAAGATAATATAAATTAAAAGACAATAAATAACTTTATAGACTTAATGCTAGACTGGTTTAAGGCAGTACTAGAATTAAAAGGGAAGATAACCGGGTTTTAAATAGAAAAGATGCTTTTATTTTGCCGTTATATGCATTAATTCATTTTGCAGTCTTGCTTTTTTTGCAAACCCCTTGCCAGGCACACCCACCGGCCCTCTGCCAGCTCATCAATGACTCGAACCAACCGAGCCACCCGCTACAGCTCGCCTCACTTCTTTTTTTGATGGAGATGTGATGTGCGTATAAGTGTGAGGTTGTTCACTTTCAGTATGTATGTACAAGCTCTGACGTGTAATACGTATGCGGTGCACCTGCTCGACCACTCGGGTGCTCACCCGCACCACCATTTACTTGAAAACGAGCATTTTAAAAAGAGGGGAAAGCAATTATGCTTTACAGAGAAGCAATAGTTTTGCAATATGCCCGTGCAATCGGAGGCCATGGATAGGAAAATTTTTTGTGACCTGCATTAGCTACGGGTCGGATGCCTAAATGAGAATGCCTAGATCGGCAACTTTCCGGTAAACAAGCAGACAGAAGAGAAAAAAAAAGATCCGTGATGCTAGTAGTACACGCGAGAGGGGAGGGAGGAGACAAAAAAAGGAACCGACTCAATAAGGGCCGTTATGTCAAATGGAAAAATTCGTGGCGGACTGTTAGAGATCCAGACTAGAACGTTTACTAGGCTGAACGGCCCAATCCATTTGAGCTACGCGAGTTAGCTATAGGTAGCAAGCTCCAAAACCAACGGAAAGGAAAACGCCATGGTGCATGACCTAGTGTAAGTTGTGCGAATAGCAAGCTCGTCTCATGACAAAGACACAATGGGAAAAAGATGTGTGAGTGGAATGGTGCAACGCCATCCAGCACTTTCTCTATTGTTTCCAAAAGAAAGTTAGAATTAAGCTCAAGGATAATCAACGCATTGGGGAAATAAACTACAGCAGACATGATTCATTCAAAAGAAAATCAAATAAACATTTCAATTATATATATAAAAGAACCGTAATATATATATAAAACACGGATTCCAGCAACTTTGAGTGGTTTTTTGTCCCATACACTCGATGGATATCGGGGGGAATCCGTAAAAGCCACACACCAAAAACACCGTAGATATTCTCCACGTAAGAAATTCTCAAGCCGAAATCATGTATAATAAATCCCAAAACCTAGCCCAACTAATTTTCTCTATCCCACTTCTCCCATCATCGTCCAGTGAGAATCGAGAACTTAACCCTGGTATCCAACGGTGACCATGACGGACTGGTTGCCAGGGGGGCAGTTGAGGCCCAGGCCATCCATAGCCGCAGTGCCGGCAACGAAGGCGTTCTTGCCGCTGCCACCGGGGTTGATGGTAGAGCAGATGCCCTCCTGGGCACCAGTTCCGCAAACATTGAGGCCTGGGATGTCCATGCCGGCAGCGGCGGCGACGAGGGAAGAGGCGTCCCAACCAGACCAACCGCCGTTGGAGAGGTTGCCAACATCACCCTCGATCCAGGTACCGGCGAACTGGCCAATGGGGGTCAGAGGAATGCTGCCGACGCCGCAAGTGCAGCCGATCTGGGAGTTGCTGTCGATGGCGATGGTCTGCTTGCCACCAGCGGGCAGGGAGAACTTCAGGGCCTCGTTGCCGTTGAAGAAGCCGTTGATACCGCCATCGGGTCCGATCTTGTTCCAGCAAGCGCACTCAGCGTCGCCGCCAGCATTGTTGAAAACCATGGTGTACTCGTACTGGTCGACGAGGTGGTTCTGGACGGCCATGATGTTGCATCCGTACTGACCGCTTCCACCAACATTGCCCTTATAAGCAATCTCGGCGGCGGTAGCACGCTTGCTGTTGCCGCCCTGGCAGAACTTGGTGTAGGTCGCAACACCGGTGCCCTGGCTGCCAGAGGTGGCGTCCTTGGCAGGGGCAGCGGAAGAAGGAGCAGGAGTGGCGACAGGAGCGGCGGTCGAGGTGGGAGCGGCGGCGGGCTTGTTGGCCATGACGAAGTCGCCGCGGGCCTGGACAGAGTTGTGGGCGCGCTGGTGAACGTGGCCGCTGGGGTGGGCAGAGACGCCGAGGGCGGCAGCCAGGAGAACAGAGGTGGTGGAGAACTTCATGATGTCGGTGTTTGCTGTCGAAGCTTGAAGATGCTTTGTATCTGATATATATCCAAAGGAGTGGTCGATCGTCTTAGGTATTCCCAGAATACGGCTTGCGCGGCGGTAGTTGGCTGAAGGAGCGGTGGGCGACTAGATGCGCGAAGGAAGCCTTTTTGCTGCTGTAGGTGCTAAAAGAAGGTGTTGTCGAACGCTGAAAAGGGCGCCGGCGATGTTTCTGGCTTTAAGGAATGGCTCTGAGAAGAGTGAAAGACGGGGTGAGGAGGAAGAGGAACAGGACGAAGGGAGGAGGGAAAGCGAACGTTATTTACGCATGCGGCAGGGCACGTCCAGCAGCAGGGGTGGAAAGGGATCAGTGATTGGACCCAGTTGCAGCTCGTTCTAGCGCCCTGTGGCATCGCCTGGCTCGTAAAAGCCCTTTGTCCACGGCCCCCTAAGGCGCGATGCTGCCCCATGAAACAGCCCGGGAGTCCCCTGTCTGGGCAGCGGTCCAGGAACCACCAGGTACCCGCCGGCCGCCATTGGCTCAGCTGCGCGGTGGAGCCCGGACTGAGTGCCTGAATCTCGCCGCGTCAGCCCACAGCAAGAGAAGAAGAACTGCTGCGTTGTGTGCTCTGGCGGTCGTTTGGCAATGGACGCTCGACAAGATTCTCTTTGGCTTTCTCCTTGTGCTGTCTGCAAAGTTTTACGCGCCCCGCCTGATCGAGGCGTGTGGCAGACAGACAGACAGCCTCCTTGCACGGACTAGCAGCCATTGAGTTCACACAATGGCCGTTGACGATCCACCACGCGATGTGCGCATGGATGTGCTATAATGAAGGCCAGTCGTTTTAGTACATGTGGTCATTCCATGTACTCGGTACTTGCAAATTGCAGTGCTGTGCATATAAAGCACAAGTGTCTGTACCAGCGTTTCACCGCTGTCTACATGTGATCTATTGCACCACTTATTGAACACCATCAAACCAAGACGAATAGCATCTGCGTCGCGCCTCGTCTACCAAATTAATTCTCCCAATCCTGGTGTTTCCCCCCGAACCTCGCAGATGTATTTTTGCAGCCACAGCCTCTTCAAAGCTGCCTTTGGCGACGACACGACTCGTCACTGCCCAGCCAGGCTCCAAATATGAAACATCATTGTCTCTCTCTCTCTCTCTTCACTGTCTCTTCTGACCCTTTTTCTCACTACCTGCTGCGCACCGCCCACAGCCCAGCCATCTCCGCAAACGACCAGCAACCCGCAAACGACCCAAAACCCACGTCGCCCAGGCGCCGCCTTCTGGAATGAAAGAAGCCTCTGACCAGAGTCTATTTTACTCCGTAGCATTCTCGCCTAATTGAGGACAGAGCTGGCGAGGGGGCAGCGCAAAAAGGGAAATGAGCTCGTCCTCACCCCCTGCGAAGCAATTTCGTGCGAAATCGAGCCTTTGCTGCATCGGGCTGCCGGGGCCGCCAAAAGCCAAGCCAATGGCTAAAATCCTAACGCTTGAGCCTGGCAAGTTCTAATGCCGCCACCCCAGACGCTTTAGGCGGTAAGAATCGGCAATTCTCATCCACATTTGCGACTGGAGCTTCTCAGCTGTGCTCGTATTGATTTGAGTTGAGAGGCTTTCTCGTTTATGCACAGCACTTTTCATCGTCCATCTTGTGGAAACAAAAGATTTGCCACTTTTTTTTTCCTTGTTTCTTCTCTCTTTCTTTATCTCTCATGTACAATTTCTCTTATTCACAGCCAACCATAGGCTGTAGATTCAAGAGCGTTGATGCACGCACTAAGCTCAGGGTGTTGCAGCTATCGAAATCAATAGTGTTTGACCAACCTCTGATTCGCCAAATCACCAAAACACCAACCACAGCCTGTTATGGCACTACTTGGCAGCATTCCATCAACTCCAGCCTCCTCATAACGCGTAACACCGCGTCACCGCCATTTGACTTCGTCTAAACATGTCAAATCCCGCTTAATTGTTCTCGCATATAGGTACCTATACAGTATTAACAGTCACAAGCAACGATTCTCCATGCAATTCATTCTATCTCAGACCACCGTCCCAATCTTGTCTCCTCTCTCCCCGCTGCTGCTATTCTTATCCCCCCCGATTTCCCTGTTTTTTCTTCTTCCCCCATGGCTCCAGTCCAGGGCTTCTCCTATAAACGCATTGGCACATGGCTCCGCCTCCCCCCTTTGCATCCATCCGCTGCCAACCCTCTTTTTTTTTCTCCGTATGAGTGCATATCCCGGCTTCCGGGTCTCCACAACGACCCAGCCGCAGCAATCGGATCCGCGTCACCCCTTCGACTGTCTTCCTTTGGACATTCTATTAACGGTGCCAACGTTCGACGGGCCTTTCAACCCCCTACGAGGATGTTCTGCAGCTTTTCCTGTTCTGCAAATGAAAGAAAGCTTATTATCCTTGGACCACGAGTACCAGTAAATGATCGCCAGGGGATAGACAGTGCATACATGTAGACTACAAACCTGAGCGAGTGCAAGGATTGGAATGTAGGATACCAATATTCTCTCACTCCGGGTTGTACAGAGCACAATTACGTGTGCGTAGGTGCATACGGAATACAAAGCATAGATATCTCGGTGTGCTCAGCGAGCATCGGATTCCAAAAGCTTCGCCCCGAAAAGGGAGTAGAATATGGCATTTTCTTCTTGCAAACTCCATTTTCTTGTTTAAACAGGGGGGTGGTTGTCTGATACCATGTCTTGCATTGAGAATGGAGAATCCCATTAGCTCTGGCAGTAGAGACAAACCGGTATTCTGCGGTTTCTTTGGTCACCATATCCAACGTAAAAAGCTCCATTAAAGTGCCATAAGCATTGATGCTTCGTGGTAGTATTACTAGAAATACGTGGCACAGCCAAACATCGATTAACATGAAACGAGATGTGGTGTTCACCGCTATGCAGTACACGGCATTTTTATGTACTCAATGTAGCTTATGTGCCAGGACGTGTATTAATATTTTGACTAAGTCCTATGTAACACTTCTTTCCGCTGCTCTTGTGCTACCTGACGAGGCACAATTAGTTATTAGGTATTACATGTATTAAAGAGAAAGAAGCAAAGAAACAAAGACGGCGGATGGGGTACTGATAATATAGAGCATATGGTCAGCAAGAAGAAAAAGTGCAAAAGTGCAAAAGAAGACAAACCCTTTCTCGCACATCTACCCTGGAAGGATCAAAGATCAAAGATCAGGAAAAGTAATTCCCATAATCCTTCTTTCCAAAACCGCACCTAAACTTTTCTTGTATATCCATGATATCCTGCAAATGCCGCACCCCGAGCGGCTCCTTTCTCGCTTCTGCCAAACTCAGGGCCAGCTCAACTGCCTTCTCTACCTCACGGCCGCTGAGATCGCTCTCTACGAGCTTACCGTACTCTTCATCGCTGAATGTCTCTATTTCGCAAAGATTCAGCGCCGTAACTCGGCTGATGGCTCGCTTGAGGATAATACTTTTACTTTTTCTGTCTGGTTTATCGTACTTTTGGAAAAGGTCGATGCGCGATTGAAATGCCTCGTCAAATACCTTTATCCATCGTTAGTCTAGGTGCGATATGTAATAGTATATGCTCATATATAGTCATAGCTTATATTGCGTATTGCTCAACTTACCCGAATGGTATCGCATGTCAAGAAGATGATGCCTTGAAAAGACTCCAGACGCCGTGAAAGAGTGGTCATCAAAGAATCCCGCTCGATGCCGAGGCAGTCGTATTTTTCTAAAAGTATTTGGGCGTCGTCAAATACTACAATGGCATTCCACCTCTGGCAGGTTGTCAAGACCTTTTTTAATATGAAATCGACCGAAATGGCACAGCATCCTATCAGCTCTTTGGCTGGCAGCGTCAACAACGGACACCTTAGATGATCGCTAAGCCCTGCCACCGTAAGTGTCTTTCCGGTCCCTGGAGGGCCATGCAACACGACTGGCTAAATGTTAGTCTTTATGTGCTGCGATGGGGACATAGCTAACCTCTCAAATCGTGTGGATGGCGCTACTCACTGGTCAACCCTCTACTCTTCGCCATGGCACCAATATTGACGTCAAATGCTGAATTAGAAATGTGGGACGCCACGGACGCCTTTATCAGCACCTTCATCTTCTCATCAAGCACAAGAGAATCCCATGCTTCTTCATCCCATTTGACATCGTCGATACAACGCACATCAAACTCCAGCCATTCCAAGCTCGCAAGAGAATATCCCACTATAACTGGGGAACATAAGAGTAAAAGGTTGTCCTTTGCCATCTCCAGTTTTGTCTTTTCCATATACTCTCTCTTTGACCATGTATTTGAGCTGCGTGGTGAGCCCTCCCTGATTTTCACATCGCTTCTCAGATTTTGCTGATCATCTTCAGCCTTTTGAGTAGATAGCATGTCCATGAGACACTGGGGTTGTACACCGTTGTTGAAGGTTTCATCGTCATTCGTATACTGAATCGGCAAGTCCGTTGTGCCATAAAAATCAGGATATACTTTTCGAAAGCCTACGGGATCTACCATTATCCTGCTCTGTTCCTCGTGTAGTTTTGTCACTGTTTGATTCTTGCTTTCAACTAGCGGGAACGCGATGCCCGTATATGATTTGTGGTGTATTCCTTGGAGCGATACAAATTTGGCACCGCGTTCGATTAGCACACGGCGAATTCGGGCTTCGTCCTTGTGGTATTGAAGTGGGTATACCGGAAGGCTGGTGATGTTGACTGTACCATTGAAATGCTGTATTTCTTGCTTCAATGTCTTATAGACAAGCGTTTTGCCGTTAAAGTCGACAAATCTGGCCTCCACAGAATACTCTGGGTTTGTTGAAAGTCTGCCCTTGAGCTTCTCTGCACAAATCACCATGGACACCCTAGGAACATCATGGCACCGATAAGTAGGCGAGTATATCAGCGTATGGGGCTTCCAGAGTGCCCATAGTAAGTCAAAGGTTATGACTCCTTTGCCTAGCATCAAATCGAGATTCTTCTTGCCTTCTGCGAACTCTTCTTCCAGGTATTCAATGAGAATTTTCAGTCTTCTCTTGGCGGAAATCATATTCCACTGGTTCTCTAGCCACTGCTCATTTTTGTTGTAGGGCCTGACTTGCGCCAATGAGTCGTGATGACTTATGAAATCATCCAAATAGCTATTCAAGTGGATTCAAGTTAGTAAAGAATAGTAAGTGATATGGGTATGTAGATTCAAGTATTGCTCACAGAAATAAACTCTTTGGATCAAATATAGGATTACCCTCGGTAAAATTGACGCCAAAGATATTTCCCGTGACGTTTTGGATGCATTCCTTGAGCAAGCTGTCCTTGATCTCTACGGTGGTTTTAATGTGGGTTTTGTCGCAATTGAAATCTCGACGAATCACGAAGATGCAATCTTCAGTTTGGGTAGCATCATGATTTCCACACTCTGCTGCGGGTTCCATTATCGTAAATTTCTCTTCTGATGCATCCCAAAGGCGGTCGAGGCGCTTAAATTTTGGCGAAAGCTGATCATCTGAATCAGTCTTCTCGTTTTCCTCGCTTTGTTCTCGCTGGATGAGTGGCGAGTGCTCATATGAAACTTGAGGCGTCGATACAGATGAAGACACGGGTGAAAGTGAAGTCCCTGATGACAGTGCGGGTGGCGATCCTGAATGCTGCTTATCCAATCCCGTGCTGCAGTTAGATGAATCTTTGAGAGAAGACTGGTTGTTCGTAGTATGAAGATCAGGCTGTGACACTGCTGGCGGTTCTCCAGATGTACAATGCAGGTGCATAGACAGAGAGGCGCCGCCATCCGCATTATCTATCGACTTTTGCAACTCCTCATCTAGACGTTCTTGAAGCTTCTCTAACTTTGATAGCAGCCACTCAGATTCGACTTCACCGCATATTGAAGGTGAAGCGTCGTTTTTGTTCTCTGAGATGGAGGCAGATTGTACGAACTCATCATTTTTCACTCCATTTCGGATCGCCCTTTTGCGTTTTCTTGAAGTCGGAGAGGAACTTTCGTGTGACCCGTGCGGAGAATAGGCACTGTCTTCTGGAGCACTGTAGGTAACCCTGCTGTGGTGATTCTTATTACCAACGAAGCCAAAGGTCTTGTTTATATCGTGGACATTCCCCCCCTGCTGATTAGAAACGGGGCTGAGTACGTATTTGGCTGTAATTTCTTTCTCTGGGTTCTCCATGACGATTATTCGTGGTTCTCGGGCTGGCGGGGACATTATTTTCGAGTCGAAGCGATATCTTGCTGCTGTGGGAGAGCTGCAGCTACTACTAAGCGATAGTTCCAAGTGAATGTTTGCTAAGCATGGAGATATGTAACTGGAGACAAAAGCTTCAACTTTGGCTACAATTCGACACATATTTTGACACTACCAAACATAGTTTCGGCACAATTGGCGATAGAAGGCACGGCCAGCTGTGATGCTGCACTTTCACCAGCATCTCACTTGCTAAAATTGCAGAAAGTACCGGCAGATACCTATTACAGAGTATATGTCCAATCTTTTCCTTAGATGGAAGCTATTGGTGCTAGTTCTAACCTGCAGGCGGACTGCACACCATGCAGTCAGTCAAGCAAAAAAGCGCCTGTAGTAGCATATACATGTAGTTACACTATTTTTTACACTATTTTTGACATCCTTAGGCTATTTCAATGCAAGGTCTAAAAATACCTCCCAATCATGTTAATTCATTGACAGTATATTGCAACCGAATTCAACTGCAAAAATGAGGCTTAGTCTTGCCCCTTTTATAGCAGAAGCTGCTGGCTCATATGCAAAATCCTGCAATCTCAGACATGGAGACTGCGTTGCCTTTTATAGCGGAGCTGTGAAGGCGAACCAGGCAGTTGGGTTGCTACCAAAGAAGGAAACCGCTTAGGTTGTGTTTTTTAGTGCATTTACTTCTATTTTGCTGTTAGAGGCTCTTTTAGAGGTAATTTTGATTGAAGCTTTGAAGAGCGCCATCGATCATCAAATGCTGATTTCCACGCAGCGGCTAATATCGAGCCGATTGTGAGGATAATCTGGCTCCAACGACAACTTGGTGTGGGATACACAGATATGCATGATGGCCCTGACACTTCCAACTTGCCTGGATTGAAAATAAATGAGGCATATACATCTTCCAATCACAGCATTCACCACATACAAGGCCCATGATATGACACCACGATCATGATATACAGGTATCCTTCTAGCAGCTGCGTGGTACGTCTATCTACCTGGCTATCCACTGAAGAGGTGCCAGATAACACACGCAGCACCGCAGCAAAACATGAGACAATTTCATGCATTCAATTACTCGTACCGCCGTGCAATTTGCATCCCATTCGCCCAATGGCGGAGTCATGTGTCTGACCTAGTGTGTCTCATAGGCGGCCGCTCCATCACATGTAACATTGTGTAGCACATGGCTTGGCTCGAATCAGTTGAGAGCGTGCATGGTTCCTTGAGCCTCTTGGAAGCCAGAGGAGACGCCCTGATCCGATATTGGGCAAAGAAACATCCGACAGGCAGCGGCACGACATACACGATTTGCTGCTTTGCGGCCTAAGGTAGCAATGCGCGGCGGCATGTATGAGTCTTTAATTAACGGGCAGCAGTCTGAGACTCGAGGCTGCGCGAATCACCGTCGTTAGCGCCCAATATTCTCAGCAGGCCTCAGCAACGGAGCCTCAGAGCTACGATCTCTCCATCATCCAATTCGCCGTCTTGAGCTGGCATCGTCGATTTGCTACGGACGCTGAAGAAGCGCTAATGCTGGCAGCGAGTCGATGCTAGGCTGCTCCCGGAAAGGCAGCTGGCGGTGCTGTTGCGTCATGCGGGGTGCTAGCGCTGGCGGCTGTAGCTCCATAACAGCGATAAGCTCGCTTCAGGCCCTGCTCAGGCTGCGTCCTCGATGCTATCAGCTAATGCACAACCTGTCTCTGCCGTGAAGCTTAAGCAAAACTAGGCGCTGCTCCCTGGCTAGGGCAGTGGTAAGGTATCCATCGCTTCTGCCGCTAAAAACAAGAGTGACCCGACAGTATCAGTAGGGCAGTGAGTAGGACCTCGTTTTGCCCTTTCAACTCAGCTTGCATTGCTGCATTGCCGCCAGCTTTTTCTTCGCCGCCGCGCGGTTGGTGACTGCTGCTCGTTGTTTTTAGCATCTTTGGCCTCGACATTTGACCTGCACGTTGGATTGACCACGGCCACGAGGCTTTTGAGCCGCTTGGGCATTTTGTTGCATCTGCTGTGCCGCTCACCGTCTCTCGATCGTCGTCGTCATGCCTCGCAGCAATCGCTGGCGCAACATTGATCGCCTCCTTGGCTTCAATAGACATGGCAGCCACTCTGGCCGTCACTGGCTTCACGAAGAAGAGCGTGCTCGTAAGTGAAAACCCCTCAATGGCACTTTACTCCCTGTCTCGTGCTCTGGAGATCGCCCTGCTAACAGAAGCTGCGTACCGTGGCTATAGTGCTTCCGCATATTCGTAATGAGGATATAGACTCTGCCATTCCGCCGGCCGAAGTTACAAAAGTATGCCTTCGGCTGAGGCATCTAGTTCAGGAGTGCGTGCCGTGTGAGATGGAAGAGAGCCGAATCACAGAACCACACAGCCGTATCATCACGCCACACGTCGTTCGGGCTGCTAAGGAAGCAGGCGGTCAAGAGAACAAGGGTTGTGTGGTATGTGCTTACTTGGAAATACGTTGCCATTCATGATAGCAATCACACACTAATCGCACTAGGTCTATTCTTTACTCGTCAATCAACGGTGGTTCACGCATGAGGCCAATGTCGAGCTCTGGGATGCCGGTCTGCACAACCTCCGAGCTGAAGCATGCGGCGTCATAGCAAAGGCTCTGTACGTGATCCATGAGATAATTCTTTGTTGGTATTTGTGACCTTGGCCGATATGCTAATAATGAGACTAGTATCGAGGAGGAAGAAGACACTGCGTATCTTTTACACTCCGTGTTATTGCGTCGATATTCATACATCGCAAACGGCATAGCGACCCCTCCCGTTAATGTAATTGAAAAAGCTGTTGATTTACACGCCGTCCGAGTCATTGGATCTTCAGGATATCAAAAATGCATCAGCTATCTATGGCGTGGTTGGCTAGTCCAAGACGAGAACGATCCGTCCGTCTTTGTGGATTACGATAATAAGGACAATACTAGATTCTTTGTTCATATGGATCCGGACCGGATGCGAAGCCCCAGAAACCAGAATCTTGCCCAGCTTTTATTCTCACTCATCTACCTTGCCCTCTTCACAATTGCCATCAATACTGTCAACGCTAGTGGCGTCATCGACATCGCTGAAGGAGCCTTGTACGCTTTTACGCTTGGCTATGTATGCGACGAGCTGCTCAAGGTTTACAAAGCCGGACCTCAAATTCTGGGGTTTTGGAATGCGTTCAACGCAATCCTATATGCATTTTTAACGGCTTCTTTTATATTCCGCGTCATTGGCTTGACCTTTGCGGCCCACACCGATGGCCGAACTTATTACAGCACCCTGGGTTACAATGTTCTGGCTTTTACCGCCCCCATGTTTTGGTGCCGCCTCTTGCTCTACCTGGACAGCTTCAGGTTCTTTGGCGCAATGCTCGTGGTTCTAAAAGTCATGATGAAGGAGTCTGTGATATTCTTTGCTCTTCTCATCGTCATAATTATCGGATTCTTGCAGGCTTTTATCGGCCTTGACCTTACCGACGACAATGTGGCTGATGATGTAGTGTTCATCATTGAGTCTATGACGAGAGCTCTTCTTGGCAGTCCAGAATTTGATGGCTTTGATGGCTTTGGGCCACCTTGGGGTGCTATCCTGTACTACTGCTTTACATTCATCGTCATGGTACGTATTTCTGCCCGATTTTCCACGACACTATATTGCGCTTTACGCTAACATGCGTCACCAGGTCATTCTTCTCAATATTCTCATTGCCCTCTACAACTCTGCTTACGAGGATATCTATGACAACGCGGATGATGAATATTTGGCTCTCTTCGCTCAAAAGACAATGCAATTTGTTCGGGCACCAGACGAAAATGTCTACATTGCTCCATTCAACTTGATAGAGATTGTAATTTCGGCTCTATTCGAATGGTGGATGAGCAAGAAGGCTTACGAATTCATCAATGATTGCGTCATGGGCTTTTTGTACTCTCCACTTCTCTTGATCACAGCTTTCTTTGAGACTCGTACTGCGTACGGTATCCGCCGCAATCGGGCACGCGGAGAAGAAGATGACGATATCATTGAAGAGTGGGAACAATTGGCACACGAAATTGATTTTGGAGCCGAAGGCTGGGCCAAGAAATGCGAGGCCGTCAAACCCAATCTGGAGGTTGATCCAGCTATCCTTGAGATTAAGAAGCTCCGAGGTGAAATCGCCGAGCTGAGGTCCATGCTGTCTGATATTAGTGATCATGTCCAATACCCGACCAGCCAGGATACCAAAATTGGAGATGGTAGCACTCACGATGATTTCAAAGCTTCTTACTTCGAATCGACTCATGTGGAAAGTGAACCTACTGGAAAAACGGCAAAGCATGTCGGACATGAGCCTGCAAGCACATCGGATGATGTAAGAGAGGAAGCAGGGCAGAGCAGCTCCGAACAGTTGATTGAAACCACTGAAGAATCTGCAAAGCCTGCCAAACCGTCTGAAGAATTGGCTCAGCTAACCGAAGAACCTACACATCCTTTTACGCGCCCCTCAGAGGCTGAACCAGAGGCTGAATCGGAAACTCACGATGCACATCCTAAAGCCTCCGAATCCAAGGCTCCTGAAAACATTCCTTTTAAGGTATCCGAAGACATAGCCTTTGATTCGTCTGAAGATGTTCCATCTAAGACGCCTGATGATGTACTATCTGAAGCTCCTGAAGCGATGCCCTTCCAAGCCCCAGAAGGTGCCCCCCTTGAGGCCCCTGAGTTTGTTCCGTTCATGGCTCCTGAGGATCTACCAACAGAAACCCTTGAAGGCGTATCCTCCAAGGCTCCTGAAGTCGAATCCCCCAAAGCTCCTGAAGCTCTATCGTCCAAGGCTCCCGAGGTTGAACCATCCGATACTCTTGAAGGCGTAACATCTAAGCCTAGTGAAGAAGCACCTGAGAATACATCATCTAAAGCTCCTGAAGCCGCGGCACCGGAACGTCTTGCACGCGCTGAGACTGAAGAACCCGAAGCTGATGATCCTAATCCAGACAGTCCTACATCTGGCGAAGCTAGAGCTGAGGAGGGTGGGCAGCCTTCGCAAGGAGCAAAGAAGAGAAGACGGAGAAAGAAGAACAAGGGAGCGCAAGGTGGTCCAAGTGGTGGTAGCTAAGCAACTGGGCTTGGCGTGAAAAGTGCAGCAAAGGAGTGACGACTGTGTGTAATTATCTTTGGTCTAAGGAAGGCGTATATATACCCATATGGTTCTGATTTGATGAGATGCTACCAGAGCAGGGTTGCATTCTTTTGTACGTCGTGGACTGAGCTTGGACATGGGGACTTGGCCGAACAGGTGATGATGCTCAATGTATGAATGACTTTGCGCGTTGCATTTTCTTTTTTAAAGGGGGGAACCGGTTGTTATTTATGGCTCTATGTATCATGCAATCAATTTTAAAGACCTAAAAAACCGACTCTAAGTGACATAACTCTTCAGAATCAAATTCATTCGTCCTGTGCCTCATTCAACCAAATACACCAGCTAAAAAGTTCACTGATCTCTGCTTCCGTTCTCTTCTCTCCAATTCTTAGTCCCCGCTGGGTGGCTCTTCTAGCCCATTGCGGTTTCGGGAGGAAAATAGTAGCTTCTCGAAGTGTTAGTAGATACATCTCTCACAGAAAGTTGGTGGTTTCTTACGGTAGTATACTTCTATATGCGTTTACGTCCTTGTCCATAAACGTCACAAACACCACCTGCTGGATCTGGTTCGTGGTGTCTTGCTCAAGATACTGTCTCACCGCATCGCAGGCTGCTTCACATGCCAGCGTGCTTGGATACCCGTATATGCCAGTGCTAACTGCGCTGAAGGCGATACTGGAGCAGCCGTTCTCCTCGGCGACCTTGAGGCTCTGTAGATAGCAGCTCTGCAGGAGCGGTCGACTCACCCTCTCGCTGTGGAAGACGGGGCCAACTGTGTGGATGACGTGCTTGGCGGGGAGGTTGTGTCCGCCGGTGATGACGGCCTGGCCAGTCTGGCAGCCGCCCGGATACTTGTCGATGCACTCCCGTACGAGCTTGGGGCCAGCGGCGGCGTGGATGGCGCCGTCGACGCCGCCGCCACCGCGGAGGGAGGACTTTGCGGCGTTGACGATGGCGTCGACGGGGAGGGTGGTGAGGTCTGCGCGGATGAGACAGACACGGGCGTTGAGCTTTTCGTTGGGCGTGATCTCCCGAGGGGGGTTGTATGGGAATGGGAGCTGGGGTGGCGAGAGGCGGTTGGTGGAGTAGAGGGTTTGGATATTGGGGATGTCTTGGGCGGACTTCAGGGAAGGCCTGGAAGAAGAATAAAAGGAGGCCATGGTGAGATGGTGGTGTGAAGAAGGCGGTCTGAGATGTGAAGAATGCGATGAGGTGCGGTAGGTGTGTTGTTGTTGCTGTTTTGTTGTGAGAATCAAACTTTTGGTGTTGGGGGGCAGCTTAAACAAGGATATATATGTAGGTACGTACAGGTGAGTGGTAGTATGGGTACGTTGCTCGCAGGCGGGCTTCTAGCTTTAGGATGGGCGCTGAGATGGAGACGTAATTGCGCCGCAGCATTGAATTTTACTTTTTCGCTCTGTTGTCGCTGGGGAAAATGAGACCACAAGAGAGAAGTAGAGAGATGCGAGAGGTGAAGTGACGTCGTGAGATTGAAGGCGCACGGTGCTGAGAGCTATACTTGTTAGTGGCGTGGATTGGTGGAACCGCAGAATTCGAACAAAGGTTCATACCAAGGGATGTTTTGAAGCTTGATTAAGCGAGGAATGGTTGTTAAGCAATTTATTGATAAGTATAGAGTTTTATGTTATATTCAATCTTCTTGGTTTCGGTGCCATCTCTCAGCAGTCGTGAGTATAACGCGCTATGACAGAGGTAGGAACATGTATAGAAATATGCAACATACATGATTTGCATCTAAATGCCATTTGCATGGCAAAACCTGGTTTAATTGAATTTGAAATGCTGTAAATAAATATCTATGTAGAAATCTCAAAGCCCAATGACTCTTATCATCTCGAAGTTCAAGCTCCGTCCTTGTCTCGCTCCTCTCGAGTAAGCTCATAAGCCTTCTTCTGCCGTTCTGCCGCCTTATTTGATGCCTCTAAATACACCTCTATGACACATCCTATTTCGTTCGTAGAGATCTGGTTGGTCTGATGGAATTTAATAGATTCGTTATCATCAGTCATTATCACATCTAGAACAAACTCAGCGGGATCCTCGGCCATATTTACTTTCAGGTTTACTTTCAGTATTTCTTCTAGTATTTTAAGCTCTGAAAGAGTACTTCGCAGTTGTACTTTTCGGGTAAGACTGTAAGGTATGAGCGAGACGATAGCAAGCTATTGGAAGACCTTGAGCTGGAAGAGATGCAGATTTTGGAATCCTTCTCAAGGACACCTTCTGTAGCTGCAAAAACGAATCTTAAAATCCGAAGATAATATCGAGCAAAGAAAGTACGCCGATAGCCAGAAACTATGAGACAAAATGAAAGAAAGCTGAAACTCGGGTGCACAGAATCGTACGTTCAAGAAGCGTCTGATGGGATGGAGATGCCCTCGCGCAATCAATGTGGGCATATCAGCTACAGAAGGCACAACAGACCTTGAAGAATCCATCTACTACATTAACTTAGCCACAATGTAGACATGCTCCCGTGTGAGGCCTTCCTGCTCGTTATACAGGCTCTGGAACTAAGAAGAAGAGAACGTGGGACCCTTGCAATAATTCTTTTGATAGCGTCTAGGCTCTTCTGCGAAAGAAGCAATCTGCTGTTCGCCGCTCAGCATCGATAGTTTATCTTAGGCTATGGCAGTAATCAACAGGGCTAAGGATGATAACGTTCACATGCCTGTAGGACGGTCCCCGAAGCTGATCTATCGAGACATCCAAATCTCAAGCAACGTCGCCGCTAATAAGCGCAAAATTGTAAGATTAGGGTTTGGCAAGGATATCTGAGAAAAGTAAATGCACCACCACATTAAGGCAATGAAAGGGAGGAGAGATCAGTCATCTCTGGAGACAGTCATCTTTGTATTTGCTTTTAGAAGGATCACGGTAATAAAGACCAATGGCAAGGATATCTTTGTTAGCATTTACGCAGTGTGAAGCAATCCAAGAGCTCGACGAAGGAGGCAGTGGGATTTGGGTTGGTATAAAGAGCAAGCTGCGAGATATGAAAGGCATTTGTCTGGTCAATCTTCACTGAGCATCTTCCAAAGCCGTTCTAGAAGCGTGATATCTGGATCAATGACTGAAACAAGCGGCTCTTTAGACATGCTGCGAGATATCGTGATGAGTCAGCATGGATGAAGCTTGGTGTTGCACCTGCCTTGCCTCGGATTCGTGCTGTGGTGTCTACATGTACTGAAGCTGAAGATGTTTTAGGTGCTTTTCTTTCAACTTCAATCCTTGCCTACTACTTGTACATAGGCACATAAGTGCAGTGCCTACGAGTACGCCTCATGTGAATCTGCTTTCAATTAGAAGCCCAAAACATTGCTGATTTCATCGCTAGCACATCAATGCGCCCGACCAGCGAGCCCCGTCTATACGTGCCCTATGCCGCATCTGACAGTCGGTGAGCCCGCATCTAACATGGGCAAAGACGCTGCAGCAGATTGACTCTGGGGCCCCGCGATAGTGGTGGATCATGGCGATGGACCTAAGGAATTATCGAAGCGGTTTACCTGGATGCTGAGCCTGAGTGCGTATCTGGACAGGCCGAGTGTGAGACGTGCATTTCGATATCGACGAGGCGCTGCTTCAATCTGAGGCTGGCGGCACACCGCAGAACAGGACTGAAGACCTAAAGAGCACATGCTAGCCTGGGACAATTCTCCACGCCCGTCCCAAATCTAGCCACTGAGACTCACTGGCAGTGACAACGTGGCGATAAAGCTGGACAGGAATGGCAGGCCAAGTTTATTTGGGGAAATATTTTTTTCTGCCAGCCCCACCGTCACCACGAAGATGGATAAGGAGGGCAGCTTTATGTCAGGTGTGACATCTCCCGTGCTCGGCACGGAGTATCATGTCCAGACTGACCACAGACAGCTACAGTATACGAGGCACCAGGCAGAATGCACTGACAACGCAGCCGCCCTGTTGTCTTATTTCCTTCTGAAAAGGAGCTGGGAGGACCAAATGGGGGCAGGTATTCAGCCCGGCCAAGCCGACAAAGTGCGAGAGCTTCTGACACCGCCTCGGTCCATGCATAATACTTGTACGGAGTAGGCCCAACCAGAATTCGCAGCAGCTTTGCCAGCAGTACATGTAGCGATGGGGGCCAATGAGTGCGGACTACAGGTACTGCATACATGCACTTGGACCCTTCGTAACTGGCAGTAAGCTTGGAGTAGCACCATTCTTACCACTCCATATGCAGGGGCGGATCCGGCTGGGCGAGATGTGAGACACCCCATCGGCCATAGGGGATGGCAATCTATCTTGTAGCAATGCGTGGCGGCAGATCAAGGGAGCATTTTGCCCTGTCCCCCACCAGTCCCTGCCTGCAGCACCGCTACGCCATATAGCCGAGTAGTGTACAGATTAGCAGCGGCAGAGCATGATGCATGTGAGGCTTTTGGCGACAGAAGCTGCGAAGACTGAGCTCATTCACCCCTGAATTCTGGGGGAGTATTCGTACCTCAGTCCTCGCTGCCCTCCAATGTTGCCAGGTGCCGTAAGAAGAAATACTACGTGTGTAAAATCGTTAGACTCTGGCCAATGAAGATGCCGTTCTAAGGAGAATTTCACAGCTGCTGAGAGAGGCGTGGGCTACGGCAACTATTCGCAATCTCGGAGTATGTACTGTACTTCTTCGACACAGTATTTACTGTGTAACTCTCCTCAATGCAACAGGCAATACGGAGAGCACTCTCAGACTTCAGACTCCGCCACTTAGAGCTCAATGCTGGGGTACAAGAGCGCCTCTAGGGAGCAGGACTAGGGACCCGTCGAGCGGCAAAAAAAAAACTTCGCTGCACATCGAATTCCTTCTGTTTCGACAGCCACAGCAATTTTTTCAAAAAGTTTTGTACCCAGACGCCTCACCGCCTTTGCCTCACCACATGTGTCATCCTTTCCAGGCTTAGCGCGGCGCTGATAGAGCTGATAAGCCAGTCTCAGCGCCCAATGGAGGGGCAGCAAAAAAATCTTTTTGGGCTGCCCGATTTTAGCGACACGCCCCGCGAAAAAAAAAAGTTGTGGACTCAAAGCTGGCTCTTGGGCGGCCGCAGCCTTTTAAAACTTGTCGCCCTCCCACCTTTTTTTTTTCTCCTTTGATCTCCCTACCTCCATCTCCTTTCATTATTTTCTCATATTTGGTCGTCATCTCTCTCGACGAACCGCGGACTTGTATCTTACATAGTCCTTGACGAGTTGTTCTTTGGTTCCTCCCCATCGAGCAACGTTCTTCTTCGAAGAAATCAACAGGCAGAGTCGATTCCTCCATCGTCTCTGTTGACTACTCGATTGAAAAGTCTTTACTGCCCGTGGTAGATATCGACACATTCAAATCGACTTCGATTCTTTAATCCTCCTCCGACTTTTATAATCCCCCTTCTACATCACCGCCAACATGCCTAACGAAGGTGCCGAGTCCCTCAAGGTCCTGGACGAGCTCTTCCAGAAGCTCACCGTCTCCAAGGAGGCGGCGGACATTAAGCAGTCCGCTGGAGAGCTCGCTGGCTTCATCAATGGCCGCATTGATGACCAGGCCGTCCCCGAGAAGTAAGTTTGTTCCTGATGATACACTCAAAATACGACGTTACTTTTTTTTTTTTCTTCTCCCCTTGGCGGGGAAAACTTTTTTTTTTCGCCTCTAATCTTACCTGGCCAACGGGTGCCCCGCCACTCCCAGCGGGGTTTCCGCTGGCCTACCCCTCCATTTGGTGGCTACGTTAGTGGCCAAATTCACTGAAAAAAAGTTTTCTTTGCGCTGTATCGCCATAATTTTAGCTCCCATTGGTATTAACAGTGTTTTTCTCTGCAGGACCATCGACGACATCAAGAAGGCTCTCGTCAACAAGAAGGACGCCACTCTCCGTGAGAAGGCTGCCCTCGCCGTTGAGGCCATCGCTTCCCACTCTGAGGTCGGCGCCGGCGTCGAGCCCTACCTCATCGTTCTTCTGCCCGTTGTCCTTGCCGCCGTTGGCGACAAGATCACCGCTGTCAAGAATGCCGCCAACGCTGCCGTTCTGGCCATTGCCAGCGCCATCAACGGCAACGCTGTCAAGGCTGCTCTGCCCTACCTGATGGAGTCTATCCGCACTGCCCAGAAGTGGCCTGAGAAGATGGCCGCTCTGGACTTCATCCTTGCTCTTGTCAAGACTGCCCCTGCTCAGCTCTCCTACCGTGTCCCTGACTTGATCCCCGTCGTCTCTGAGGCCATGTGGGACACCAAGAAGGAGGTCAAGGAGCACGCCTACAAGGTCATGGAGATCATCTGCCAGCTGATCGTCAACAAGGATATTGAGCGTTTCATTCCTGAGCTGATCAAGTGTATTGCTAAGCCTGAGAACGTCCCCGAGACTGTCCACCTTCTCGGTGCCACCACCTTCGTTACCGAGGTCCAGGAGCCCACCCTCGCTCTCATGGTCCCTCTGCTGGATCGTGGTCTCGCTGAGCGTGAGACTGCCATCAAGCGAAAGTCTGCCGTCATCGTCGACAACATGTGCAAGCTGGTCGACGACCCCAACATTGTCGCTCCTTTCTTGCCCAAGATGATGCCAGGTCTCCAGAAGAACTACGACAACCTTGCTGACCCCGAGGCTCGTGAGAAGACCAAGCAGGCTCTCGACACTCTGTACCGTGTTGGTAACGTTGTCGACGGCAAGATCCCTGAGGTCCGCAACGACGGCGATATCAACGTCGTCCTCACCAAGGCCAAGGAGATCCTCTCCACCCGCTACGCTTCTCTCCTTGAGAAGATGGGCCCTGTCGCCGAGTACATCTCTGCCATCGCTGGCCAGCTCATCGACATGAAGGAGACTGAGCCCGCTGTCTGGGTTGAGAGCCTTAAGCCCTACGTTGCCGTCATCACTGGCATTGACAACGCTGAGGGTACCGTTGAGACTCTCCGCAAGCGTGCTTCCCCCGGCGCCGAGGCCGAGGCCGAGACTGAGGCTGATGAAGAGGAGGGCGAGGACCTTTGCAACTGCACCTTCTCTCTTGCCTACGGTGCCAAGATTCTGCTTAACCAGACCCACCTCCGCCTCAAGCGTGGTCAGCGTTATGGTCTTTGCGGTCCCAACGGTTCCGGCAAGTCTACTCTCATGCGTGCCATCAACAACGAGCAGGTTGAGGGTTTCCCCAAGCAGAGCGAAGTCAAGACTGTCTTCGTTGAGCACGATCTCGACTCCGCTGACACTGAGATGACCACCATTGACTGGACCATGAAGAAGCTGGCTGAGGCCGCGGTCGATGTCAGCCAGGCTGATGTCGAGAAGCGTCTGGATGAGTTCGGCTTCACCGAGCAGATGGTCAAGGGTGAGATTTCCGCTCTTTCCGGTGGTTGGAAGATGAAGCTCGCTCTGTGCCGTGCTGTCTTCGAGGCCCCCGATATCCTGCTTCTTGACGAGCCTACCAACCACTTGGACGTGAAGAATGTTAAGTGGCTCGAGGATTACCTTGTCAACTCTCCTTGCACTTCCATCATCGTCTCTCACGACTCCAGCTTCCTCGACAACGTCTGCCAGCACATCGTTCACTACGAGCGCTTCAAGCTTAAGCGTTACCGTGGTAACCTGAAGGAGTTCGTCAAGCGTGTTCCTTCTGCCAAGTCTTACTACGAGCTTGGTGCCTCTGAGATCGAGTTCAGCTTCCCTGAGCCCGGTTTCCTTGAGGGTGTCAAGACCAAGGCCAAGGCTATCCTGCGTGCTACCAAGATGTCATTCCAGTACCCCGGCACTTCCAAGCCCCAGATCACCGACATCAGCTTCCAGTGCTCTCTGGGCTCTCGTATTGCCGTCATTGGTCCCAACGGTGCTGGCAAGTCCACCCTGATCAACGTTCTCTGCGGTGAGCTCATCCCCACCGGCGGTGAGATCTACCAACACGAAAACATCCGTATCGCCTACATCAAGCAGCACGCTTTCGCCCACATTGATAACCACTTGGACAAGACTCCTTCCGAGTACATCCAGTGGCGTTTCCAGACTGGTGAGGATCGTGAGACCATGGACCGTGCCAACAAGATCATCACCGAGGCCGATGAGAAGGCTATGGACAAGGTCTTCAAGATCGAGGGTACTCAGCGTCGTGTCATTGGCATCAACGCCCGTAGAAAGTTCAAGAACAGCTACGAGTACGAGTGTTCGTTCGCTCTGGGTGAGAACGTCGGCATGAAGAACGAGCGCTGGGTTCCCATGATGTCTGCTGACAACGTTTGGCTGCCCCGTAACGAGCTGTTGGCCTCTCACCAGAAGATGGTCGCTGATGTCGATATGAAGGAGGCCCTTGCCTCTGGTCAGTTCCGCCCTCTGGTCCGAAAGGAGATTGAGAGCCACTGCGCCAACTTCGGTCTCGATGCTGAGCTGGTTTCCCACTCTCGCATGCGTGGTCTGTCTGGTGGTCAGCGTGTCAAGACTGTCTTGGCCGCTTGCTCTTGGCAGCGACCCCACTTGATCGTCCTTGACGAGCCTACCAACTATCTGGATCGTGACTCTCTGGGTGCCCTGTCCAAGGCCCTGAAGAAGTTCGAGGGTGGTGTCATCATCATTACTCACTCTGCTGAGTTCACCAAGGACTTGACTGAGGAAGTCTGGGCTGTCATGGACGGCAAGATGACTCCTTCCGGCCACAACTGGGTCCAGGGCCAGGGCTCTGGTCCTCGTCTCAAGCAGGATGACGATGATGAGGAGGACAAGTTCGATGCCATGGGCAACAAGATTGTCAGCACCAAGAAGAAGGCCAAGCTGTCTTCTGCCGAGCTGCGAAAGAAGAAGAAGGGTAAGTCAACTAGAGAACAATATCACAAAATAGCGTCAACATTAACTAACTCGATTTTTCTACAGACCGCATGGCCCGCCGAAAGCGTGGTGAGGAGGTGTTCAGCGACGAGGATGACCTGTAAACGATTCAACATACCCCTACATCACGGCATTTCGATGACGTCTAGTCCTTTGACGACTTAGAGAATGTTTTTATTTATTTTCTTTTTTGTTTTAATTGTGATGAAAAATACGGATTGGTACAGGAAAAGTTGCGATGCGTTCTTGCGATGATTGCATGCTCGGGTTTGCCGATAGAGAGGGCCTTCTCAATAGAATGGAATGGCCTGGATGAGTGCGGGAAACACAGCTGGGGGTGGAGGACCCCTATGTTGTCATGAACTCTCGCGCCTTGGGCTATAGAGGGAAGGTAGACGGTAGATAGAATCCGAATAGACTTGAACAACCTCTTGAATTAAACTTTTTGTCTCTCTTTTGCTGTGAATGTCAAGTAGTCAGTTGTAGACTGCTGCTCACTTGAAGTAAATCACAAAATGCAAGGAGGTCCATTTCATACTATACGCCAGCAGTGGCTATGTTTATGTATAATGCCTTGAATTGTTGAAAGACTTGGCCGTTTACTTTGAAAGACATGCCTGTTTAGTAACTCTATTCTTGTAAATACAAAATTGGGGGCTATATTTTGTAGGTTTGTGCCATTATGATATATCAAAAGCACTTCTATAAACGAGCTACTACTATTCAAGTAGCTACCTAGTATATATATGCAGGCGCAAGGCATAACCCTTACAAACACACCAAGTCCCCCACTTTCATTACCAGAATGGGGTCTTCTTGTTTTTTCCCTTTGCATTTATATTCTATTCTTTTTTGTCTTCTATTCTATTTTAGCTTCGATCTATCTTCAGCCCCTCCATGAGATTCTCCAACGTTTTCCATCCCTCGCTATCCTCCCAGTTGGTCTTTGCTCGTCCCATCACGCTGCGCACTGCGCTCCGCGCCTTGCCCTTCCACTTCTGCCCAATAGCCTCGACGTCAGGGCCCCAATTCTCCAGCACGGAAACCAGCTCGTCAGTTCTCTTCACGACTTCTGCCCACCCAGCCTCGTTGGACGTCCAGTCTGCGGAGGCAGATTCGCCGGGGAGGAGGCCGCTGCCAGAGGCGCCGACAGCAGCGCGCCAAGCTCGCTCCGAGGCGTCGATGGCTCCGGCGTAATCGCACCGCCAGGCGCGGAGGCGCGAGACGAGCGTCCAGAGGTCAGAGCGGTTGGTGATGAGCGGTACGATTTCCTCTTCGATGAGACGCATGAGGAGGCGCTCGACGGAGCCGCGAGGGGGTTCGTAGACGCCGTTGCTGGCGGAGGGCCTGTCCTTTGACAGGATGGTGTCCTGCAAGAGGGCGGAAAGGATATCGACGTCGAGGGCATCCTCTGTTTTTCGAATGCGGATGATGTGCGTCATGGCGAGGATGATGTCTGTGGCGGGGACGGGGTAGATGCGGGAGCCGAGTGTGATGACGTTGTCCCAGATGCGCCAGTTGTCGTGGGCGATGGAAGCTCCCTGCTTGTAGGCGGCGAGAGATTGGGCGAGGAGCTTGTTGGGATCTCGAGAGGCGATTTTCTCATCTGAACCCGCGATGACGATGTCATCGTCCTCGTCGTCAAGAGGGGCTTTCGTAGTAGCAGGAGCCTCATCGAGCTCTTTGGCCCTTCCAGGAGCAGTCAGTTCGCTGTACAAGCTGTACAGAGCGCTGCCGAGATTGCTCCATGTTTTAGCACCTTCGCCTCCCTCGGTGTCATTTGCGCTGCTAATGGACCGACTGTACGCCTCTGCTGCGTCTTCGAACTGTCCCATGCGCAAGCTGATATCACCGAGACGACCCCACATGTCGGGACTTAGCCTATTGACACTGGTGGCCTTTTTATATGCTTCCAGAGCCTTTGATAGGTCTTTCTGGCCGATGTAGTACTCTCCCAGGGATCGCTGAGCACGAGAGTAGCGGTGTTTAGAGATCTCCCAAGCGCGCTCGTAGTGAGCTGGGTCATTTTCAAGGTCGCCGAGGATGCACCACAGACGAGCAGCGTTGGGAGAGGGAGGTTGTCGCTCTACGCCCGAATAATCAGCTGCCTTGAGAAGACTGACGTCTTGGCCAACAACTTCATCCTCTGGCTCTGATGAAGAAGGTGTTGTAACTCCAGTCTTGTTGAAAAGTCTCCAGCGAATGATTCCCTTGGCTTTGGCTTCTCCGCCGCTGCCTCGGCCATCCTCGTCCTCAGTTGCTGCGCTGCTGGCGTAGCAGAGAGCTACTTCTGCCCATAGTTTTAGACGCTTGAAGATTTCAAGGGCAGATGTCATGGAGCCTATGCCAGCCCAGGCGTAAGCAAGCTCAGACTCGAGATGCCATCGCGGAGGGGTAGATAAGGCGTGGATGTAACGAAGACGAACGTGAGCGGGTGCGGACTCTAAGTTGGTTGCGGCGGGCAAAAAAGTAGTAGGCTTGGACTCGTCGACAGGGGCGGCGGATTGGCCTGGGGCGGTCACCTGAATGGCTGGGACGTCTGATTCGTCTTTTTCTTGAGATTCGTTGCTTGTCGGGGCGGAAAAGGTGGTGTCAGTGAGGACCTGGTCGGCAACGGCCTGCAGTTGCAGGACACCACGTTCAACTGTTCTGCTCCTGTGGATTTCCACCCTTGAACGCACGAGAAGGGCTTGCGTGTAAATCTGCCAGTTGACGGATTTATCAGTCAGAACGCGGACCGCGAATGGCAGAATCTGTTCAGAGGTGAGTCCGTCAATAGGCGAAAAGGCATCCTTGATTGTGGCCTCGGTAAGAAGAATGATCTCGTCGAGAGCAGAAAGCTGCGGCTGGTCATCTGGTGATAGCTCGGATAGCGCCGGGGGCAAAGTCTGAACTGCTGCTGTGTCCTTCACGGGCTCGTTTGCAAACTTAATCTCTTCTAGTAGGGTATCATTGTTGAGCTTGAGAGCGTCTGGCTTAGCAGCGGCTTGGTCGTCCTCATCCTTGCTCTCCTCTGTGGCAGCAGCATCTTGCTCAGAGGCGCTTCGTGCAAAAACAACGAGCTGACTGATGTTGTGCTCTTGGAATTTGGTCCTCTTTCCCAGTGCACCGGATAGGGCATAAGCAACGCCAGTGACCTGCGCCGCTTCACTAAGCGTCTCCTTTGCCTTATCATAGCGTCCAAGCAGAATGTAGTTGTTGGCAGCTTCGACGAGGAACAAGGCCTTTTCATCCCGAGTCCAGGTCTCTTCCGTCGCCCAGACCTCATTGCCGAGAATATTTCCTCGTACAGTGTCTATTTCGTTGCTAATCTGGGTTGCTAGTGTAGGAATGTCGCTCCACTGTGAACTTTTGGTGAAATTTGATCCAGAGCCCAGGCTTGGCTGAGTGATGATCTTATAATGCCAGACGTTAACCCGTAGTTTCTCCCATGCAAGGCTTCGTTTTGTTGAAGTTCCCTCAGTTGAAGGCAGCTCAAAAACATCAGTCGTCTCAGCTGCTAAGGAATGGACCAAGATGTACTTGGCAAGAGAGAAGAGCTCCAAGTGAGGGATGTAGGCATAGGGAACCACGCCATCAACTTCAAGATACTTTAAGCAGGCCCTTCTAAGTTGGTGCAGCGCAACGACCGTGTCATGAGATTCTGAGTGGCTTGAGTTCCAAGCATTGGCAAAGAGCTTCTCAACATGAGCCGAATCGTTCGGTGGCAGAACAGGACCCGTAACGGTTGCCTGGAGGAAGGCATCGAGAGCGGCCAAGCCTATGGCGAGGAGTTCTGAAGACGGGTGCTGTGTTGATGCCGCTGAAGCTGGGTCTTCTGTAGGAGACACAAGGTGAGATACATGTGCCGTTATGAGCTGCTCCGCTACAGGACTGCCAACCAGCGTTGCCAGGGTGCTGTTATCAGACGTCGAGGCCATGGTGGGGGTTTGATATTCGGAGTTGGTGATGCTTTGACCGGCAAACCCCTGGCGATCGCTGAGCCGCCACGAAACTCGGGGACTGGCGAGATGTCAGACGCGACTATTTGTCTAAGTTCCAGGCAAGCGGCATGTGCTCCGAGATGTCACTGGTACGGGTATCTTGGTGATTCTTTTGTTCGCTACCTTTTTTGTGATTTTCGTTATCGATACGGCAGCCAAAGGTGGGATGACGGTTTTCAGCATGAAAATTTTAGCGTGTGAAACCTTTTACCCCACCTGTCACTCTGAGGACGCAGCATGGCAGGCCACTCTAACTTGCATGGAGAATAAAGAAGGCGCTTTTTCATTTATGAATCAGATTTTTTTTTTAACATAAAATTATTCTTGATGAATTCGAGAGTCATGGAATACATGCGCTTGCAAACATAGCTTTGGTTTATCGGCGGCGAGACGTGCCATAGGCACTCAAACCCCCCGCCTACTTACAGCGCCTGAGCCTTGCCTGCAAGCCTTCGAGTCTGCGAGAACTAAACTAAACCTCATTGAAGTCCATATCAACAGCTACTTGAGCTCCCACTGTAGCTGATTTGTAAATATCCTTATTTGATAGGTTATACAGCTAGAAGGAAAGGAGGAGTCTAATTTCAATCGCAATAGCCCCTATACTGCATTCTTCCTCTTTTGGCGGTCGCAAACTCTTGTCCATCTGCCGTACTATCGTCTCTCTCATCCCAGCACTATCACCTAGTGGGCTCTTTAGCCTCATTTGTTTTCACCGACTTCAGGGTCTCTCTTCATTTGACATGTGATTGTCCCAACGCGGCAATTCACCTCCGCTGCTGCATCAATAGACTTCTAGATGGCCTCGCTTAGGATGAAGCATTCTCTATTTCTTCCTATTTCGTAACGTTACTTGTTTTTTGTTGAGGATTAAAGAAGTCTTGCTGGTCTAGACCGTTTCTACGCGTTGAGACAGCTTCGTTCAAGTACTGGTAGGAGGATATGCCTGCAATACGGCTGTTTTCTTCCTTTTTTTTTTCACCCAATTTTTCTTGGAATAGTCACTCTTTTGGGCTCAGTTTTTCTTTCTCTCTCTTATTTTTTTGCCCCATTGCTCTTTACTTGAGGCGCATGGCGTTCGAATAGACCCACAGGCTCATTCAGTGCGCGCGCGAGTGTTTGTGTGTGTGTGGGCTTCAAGAATTTTTTTTCTGCCTGTGCGAGTCTCCAAGCTGTGGTGGCGAAAGGCCAGTGATATTCTCTCTGTCGAATTCCAGCGCCAGCCTATGAACGTTATATGTTTTCTTGATGATATGGGTGTTATTAACTAATAGTATCATCAACGCAAGACGATTCGCAGCTTGATTTGGCACATGAAGCTCGAGGTCACGCGACAAGCAGCCAAAAAGATACAAGTACAAGGCACAAGCCATAGAAAAGCAAAAAGCAGCCTAAAAGAGAGAAGAGAGAGAGAGAAAAGCCTTGCGCTGTAATTTACCGTTAGCGTCCGTTTCTTACGGCAAACTCAACGCCTATTGGTGACTTCGCTCTAAAAACCCTGGCGCTGCTGAGGGCTGAAAAAACATGAAACGACGTCGGCGCCGTCTAATACGTATTGGCGACTAGGGAGGAGGTTATGGCCGAATGGGACTTTTCGCGGCACGGGCGCTGTCCTGCAGTTGATTGGTGGCACAGTGCGAAATTACAGGGTCCGCCGTTTATCAGCGCATCTGCTGCGGGTACGAGAGAGAAACTTGGCTGATGTGGGAAATTAGCGGCAACCGACGGTCCCCCTCAGGTAGCTACCCCATACCGCGCGATAGTGCCGCCAAAGCCGAGCGTACAGTATTGTATGCATACAAGTTCTCCGTGCTAAACAGCATTTGCTGTCCAGCCATTGGCGCGCTCCAAAACGTGGTGGATTCTAATCCACAAAAAAAAACTGTCTCTCAACAAACTCGCACTTTCCGCCTTTTGTCTCTAAGAAGCATTGGCTCTCGTCTTGGCTTGCTTTTTGCCTTGTTCTCGAGACTCATGCGCAAAAGATGACGACAGTGACGGCCTCAGACATCTGGGGCTTTGCAGCTGGGTGGAATGTCTTGACTCGCGTCCATCAAGCCTGCCGCATGCAGCTCATTTATGCACAAAGTCTACTCTAAAGCATGGCTGTGCGCAAAAAACGGCAGCCTGTCTTCTTGCAGGGAGGGTGCTCAAGGCACAGCCTCCCTTTTCCGGCATTCAGTCGAACCAGACGAACTGTTGGGGATCGCCAGCATCCAGGCGGTGTCGCCAGCGAGCGACCACCTAGTAGATTTAGAGGCCTCAGAGATACGAGTACAATACGATGCCGATTGTTATTTAGCAAGGCCACTGAAGACGCTATCCCCCACTGTGTGTAGACTGTGCGGCCAGGGACATTCGTGATCGTCGATAGCCGCTAGTCCAGATACGAATCTAGTCCCGCGCAAGGCTTAGGCAGGGTGACGTCAGTGTCAGCTGCGAGAGATTCCTTTGACGGAAGCAGGCAGACCAGCCGCTTAATCTCTTGAGATACGTATCGCTGAGGAGCGCCATCAAGATCTCTATTAAGCGACATGCAACTTTATATTCGCGGCCGTATGCAGCTATGATGAGAGTCGTTCCAGATCAAGCGGCTGGCTTGAGTCCAGAATCCCTGGTCGCGTGGTCGAAACAGTGACATACTTCGATCGCACAGTGTCTAACAAAAAAGGCTGCTCTTCGGGGCAAGTCGCTGCACGAATGGCATCCAGAAACTCGCCTGTTTGTCTGGATCTATTGTTTAATAAATGATAGAGAGAAAATTAACAATCGGTGATGATGACTAGGAATGCTGTTGTGGCCTTGGGGTTGTTAAAGACTCAAGACTACGCCCATACTTGACACTATCAGACCAGCGAGGCGCGAGTGAGCAACTCTCTATGCCAATTCCAAACATGCAATTATTGACATTTAGCTTGAGATGGATATGCAGTCGATCGGCTCTAGGCTCGGGCATTTACCTAGGTGCGGAATGCAGACTGCAGTATATACCCTTATTCCTAACCTTGCTGTGATAGATGCAAGATGGCCGGCATGTTCCGTTATTTGGCAATGGATTAGTATTGTGACATGGACTAATTAGGCTAAGAAAGGTCAGATTTGGCTTCTTGATGTTCAATCAGCAGCCATCATAAAGCAATAACTAAATAAGGTCATGTTCATGAGCGAAGACGGATCATTAACATGCGATGACTTTCTTTGACGTCTCGCTGATCAGCGATATTTAACAGAGGAGACGTCGTACAGGTAGGATGCTTGGCTGTCAAGGATCTTCATCTTTTCACATCAGCATTCCACTCGCTTTTGATCCTGGTCGTTACAAGCAAATCCTCGACGAATATGGTACGTCTAGGCGACTCGTGTGTGCATCCATGGTCTATTGCACAGCACAACACCAGGCCCTCGACACGGTATTTGTGACCTGACTATAAAATCCCATTGCCCAGGCAGAGTCCTGATCTTTCGAACAAATGCTAATCTTGTCAGGTTTCTCTCCTTTCCACTGCCATGGACGCCGAAAGCTCCTCTCTGCACGAAAACAAGGCAGAGCACAGGACCGCAATCTGGCACTGTGCCCTCCCCCTGGTCGCCTTTTCTGGATCCTTGGCCCCCCTTCGCTGTGGGTGGCTGTTCGTCCCGTTCAGTCTAAGCAGGGCCTAAAGCCGCTAGCTCTCCTCTGGCGCTGTCCTTGGCTTCTCCACCAAGAACGACAATGGCAGGGTGCGCGAGCAGCGAGCACTGAGCGACTCGCCAGCTGTAGCACAAGAGCAGCTCCTTGGGCCTTGCCAAGACGAATACCACAAAATCGCCTGAGATAATGTTGGAAGCGTCTCTGTTTCGGCCTCGCCCCCACATAGCCCACGCCGTCACCGCGGTGCTGTCCAATCCCATTGCGATGCTAAGGCTTCGGTCTTGTCTTCGCTCTGGTCCCGGTCCCCAGTCGGTTGGCTACTACATGGTACGGTATTCACTCATACAATCGGACCTGATGCGACAGGTACTCAGCGAGTCCCTGGCCCGTTGATGCGGCGCTGCTCATGAATGCTTGCTACATATACTCCTCCATCGCCCGTCACCCTCGTGGGATTTTTTTTTTTTTTTCTTCTTCTATTCCCCAACTTCTCTTTCGTTGGCCATACGAAAACGTCTCACCTAAAGATTTAATCTTTTGGTGGCGCTAGTTCGTTGATTTTGATCTATTTGGCAATACACTCTGCTTTTGTATCGTCATAGTTCTTTTTCTCTTTCTTCATGACGATCTAGTAGGACGTAGTACTGTTACTGATTTCCTGGCCCATTTTCAAGATGGCGACTACCAACGATGAAAAGCACCCAAAGTTCGAAGCTCCCGATGCTTCTGACTCTGGGTCCCAAGAGTTCATTGAGAATGCCGACGGTCTGCAGCGGCGCCTTAACAATCGCCAGATCCAGCTCATCGCCATCGGCGGCTCGATTGGCACTGCTCTCTTCGTCAGCATCGGAAGTGGGCTTTCCACGGCCGGCCCAGCCAGCCTTTTCTTGGCCTACGCCCTGTACTCAATGGTTCTCGGATTGGTAAACAACTCTATCGCGGAGATGACAGTCCTAATGCCCGTATCTGGAGGATTCATTCGTCTCGCAGGCCACTGGGTCGATGATGCCCTGGGATTCATGACTGGCTGGAATTTCTTCATATATGAAGCTCTGCTAATTCCCTTCGAAATCACGGCACTCAATCTCGTCATCTCTTTTTGGGATGATAGCATCACCAATCCGGGCCCTACTGCTGGCATTTGCGCTGCAGTCATCGTTTGCTATGCGTAAGTATTCGCCCTTTAATAGAGAGAAATGGGGAGCAGATGAGAAACCAGCACTCCTAAAATTCACTGATATTAGAGTTTCAATACTAACAGCTGTCTCCAATATTGCAGTCTATTAAACGTCCTCGCTGTGAAAGCTTATGGTGAAGCAGAATTCTACCTCTCTGGAGGAAAGGTTATTCTCATCTTCATGCTCTTTGCTTTCACTTTTGTGACCATGGTTGGTGGAAATCCTGCCCACGACGCCTACGGCTTTCGATACTGGAACAATCCCGGAGCCTTCGCCGAGTATCATACCAACGGTGCCCTCGGTCGTTTTGAAGGTTTCTTGACTGCTCTCTGGAGCGCTGCTTTCGCTGTCGTCGGACCCGAGTACATTTCCATGGTGGCTGCCGAAGCTCAGCGACCTCGTACCTACATCAAGACCGCCTTCAAGACCATTTATCTCCGATTTGGCATTTTCTTCATGGGCAGTGCCTTGGCTGTCGGCATCATTCTTCCTTACAATGACAGCACCTTGTCCAACCTCGTCAATGGCGGAAAGGGCAGCGGGACTGCCGCGGCTTCACCATACGTCATTGCTATGCAAAACATGGGAATCTCAGTGCTACCCCATATTGTCAATGCGTTGATGATGACGTCCATTTTCTCTGCTGGTAACACATACACCTACTGCGCAACCCGTTCGCTGTATGGCTTGGCTCTTGAAGGTCGGGCTCCTCGATTCCTGCGCAAGTGCACGAGCAAGGGTGTGCCCATCAACGCATTTTTGGTCGTCATGTGCTTCCCTTTCCTGTCTTTCCTTCAAGTTGGCAATGGGTCTGCTGTCGTGCTTGACTGGCTGGTAACTCTGATCACGGCCGGTGGCATTATCGACTACCTCGTCATGTCAGCGACCTATCTGTGCTTCTATAGGGCATGCAAGGCCCAGGGCGTTGACCGGAAGACATTCCCATACGTCGGTTGGGGCCAGCCTTACTGTGCCATCATCGCTTTTGTGGTCCAGCTCATGGTTGTGGGAGGTTACGGATACGCTTCTTTCATTCCCTGGGACGTCAAGAGCTTTTTCCGCAACTATACCATGCAGATTCTGGCGCCCATTCTCTTCATCTTCTGGAAGGTTTTGAAGCGCACGCGATTCGTCCGACCTAGCGAAGTTGATCTCGTATGGCAACGACCAACGATTGATGCTTATGAGGCACACCTTATCGACCCTCCCACCGCATTCTGGACTGAGATGCTGCAAATGGTCGGCATCAAGCGCAAGAAGAACCCAGCCACAGTTCACGTGTAAGATGGAAAGCTAAAGTGAGAGCTTTTTAGACACTTGTTGGGGTCGGGAGCTTTGAAGATGGATTTACGATTATACGTCCTTGTTACGCCCTCTTTCTTCTTCTTTTTTTACGTTTTTTTGTTTTATATACCCATCACGTTTTGTGGAATAGAGAGATTCCACTACTGGGATATACGGGGGTTAGACGTATATAAACGCACGACTCATATATATTTAGCATACATAGATATACATATACACAGGACATATAAGAGAAGAAAAAAATATATATATTTCAAGAATCATATGCATGCACCTTTTTCCACTCGATTACCAAACTCGCAACGCAAGACACATGGTTTTAACAAGCACCCGCAGCCCAACCAACAACCCCTTGGCAACACCGTAGTCAATCAGCTCAGCCTGTCTTTCAACAACACCATCGAAAAATAACCAAGCATCAGCCAAAAAAAAATTTCAATGCGTAATCTGGGAATCGAACCCAGGGCTCCCCGACGTTGCTCGGATGGCAACGGAGAATTTTACCACTAAACCAATTACGCTGAAAGATATTGAAGAGTAGAGAGAACGAACCGTTCCTCACTGCGTGAACTGGGAATCGAACCCAGGGCTCCCCGACGTTGCGGATGGCAACGGAGAATTTTACCACTAAACCATTCACGCTTTAGTGTTATTTGTTGAAGAAGGGCCGAGCAGAATGTGCTCATGAAGATTTGGGCATGGTTGCGGGAGGAAACGAATTGAAATTTTGGGTTGGGTTAAGACGGACGTACCCTGGAGATGAATTGTTTTGATTTGCGATTGGCAGGATTGTAGCCCGGATTGGAGTAGCATTGGCATAGAGATGTGTGATTGGGGAAGAAAATGTACTCACTCAGGTTTGTTGTTTTGGTTTTAGATCTATGTGTCCTCAGAGAGTCTGTTCTATCAGTAGAGATAACCAGGATAGTTTGATAGTAGTTGTTGTGTATATCCACAACATTGCAAAATTCAGGTGTAATAAAGCCAACAAAGCCCAAACGAAACATTTTCATGACAAGTACATGGTGCTAAGCAAATAAAACAGCAGTAAATTCTTTCTTTGATTGTCACTGAAATTTGGATTCATTATGCCGATATCCACACACGCGCACGCACCCACGCAGCTGCACTTTGTAATACTTCCAGTGAACTCAAGCAAAGATGAGACCCAAGCTCGGAGAAACAGACAACATTGAACAAATATGTGTAAAATATAGTGCTGAATATTTCATGGTTTAAGCATGTGTCTATTTTGGCTTGCCAGAAATTAGTGTGTCAGTTACAGGTGCACATGTTACACCGGCACGTTACACATAATAATAATGATTTTCAATTAGACATTTTGCATAGCATAGCACTGCGCTTAACATTCATTTCCACACATGTACATACTACATATAGTCATGTTCCGCTTTGGTTCCTAACACCACTAGCAACGCTCGAAAACATATAATCCAATGACAAGGGCTCGAGCTCAACAATATTCCATAGCAGTATAACTTTTCTTCAAAATGCCTTATTTCTTGCTCTTCTTCCTTCCAGGCACAACCTTGAAATCAGCGCTCTGCATTGCGTCGCTCTCTCTAGCCTGAGTGGCGCCGCTCTTCTTGGCTACTTCGCTCCAACCGCCGGCGGAGCTCGCCGTCTTGCTTTCAGCCTGCGTCTGCTTCTCTACAACGCCCTTTTCGGCCAGCTTCTTTCGGCGGACGTACTCTTCGGCGAAGTGCCGTCCGTCCATTGTGGTTGAGTTGGCATACACGGCGTCCGCAATCAGTCCTGTATCAAGGGGTAAGACGGCGAGGTCTGCCTGGAAGCTCGTGACTATTGCATGCATGTTAGACACTATGAATGTGATTGTAGGAATATCCAAAGATGACTTACTATCGTTGACACCCGTGATTCCTCGAGAAAGCTCTCTATACGCCCACTTGTTGAACTCATCCATAGCCGCATTGGCTGGCTGAGAGCTAGTGTTGCTAATGATTGACTTGGGAGCCAGTTTCACAGGGGTGGCTACAGCAGGCTTGGCACTGCTGGCGCTTCCTGAGCGGCTTTGAAGCTGAGATGGGACTGTAGATGGGCTCTTCACTTTGCCTCCAGCCCCAACAGTGGCCCAGCCGCTTCCAGCAGTAATGATCGGAGAGGGGACTGTCGGAGAGGGGCCATGGTTTGGCTTGCCGGCAAGGTTAGCATAGCTTTTGCCGGTACTAATAGGAGCACCGCCTCCAGCCTGGATAGCAACTTCTTTGGCCTTCAGCTTTCGTGCTTCTTCTTCACGCTGAATTTCAGCCAAAGTTTTCTTCGCTCCGGCTGCTCCGGTTGCTGCGACGGGAGTAGCTCCCTTGGCTTTGGTAGCCCCTGGCTTGGCCCACGGGCTGACGGATGCTACAGGCGAGCCCTGGCCCCAAGTGCTTGTCGCTGGGAGGCCAGCGTTGGCGGCGGCGGCAGCGGCAGACTTCTCTTTCTCTCTCAACAGGGCAGCCTCTTGTTCCATCGCGGCCTTTCGTAGTGCGGCAGCGGCTTCTTCAGCTTTGGCAGCCTTACGCGCTTCGGCTTCTTGAATTTCCTTCAGGCTTGGGCCCTTCTGTCCCTCCTGGCCGGGCTCTTTAGCCCAAGGGGCCAGAGGAGGAGGCTGGGCGACAACGTCGGGGGTTGCAGTTTGCGATCGGCTGAACTGTTCAGGCAAATTAGACCTGGCCCTTTGAGCGGTTGGCGCCGGGAGAGGAGTAGTCGAAGCCGGTGGAGGGAATGGCATTGGCATTCCAGGCTCCGTAGGCTGGGGAGGAGGGGGGGCAGTGGCAGCCGCAGCTGCGGAGGCCTGAGTCTTCTGCACCTGCTGGGTTAGAGAAAGCGAGCTCTCTTCAACAACCGTGGTCTTTTTCTTGGATGCCTTGCTAGCTTTGCCAGTAGGCGCAGCGGGTTCGCTCTTCGGCTCGACGGTGACGGTCGTGACGGTCGTTTCTTCTACCTTTACGGAGCTCTCTTGGGATTCATCGGCGGGAATCCCGGCAGCTTGCTCAGCGTCATGCTCGGCACGGAGTTCTTCAAATTCTTGGAGTCGATCTTTGAAACCTTCATCGTCCTCCTTGAGCTCGTTAGCTTCTGGTAGACCGTATCGTCGACTTGCGTCGCCCGGAGTCCCAATGGGCTGAGGCGCACCAGATTCAGTACCGGTAGGTTCACCCTGCAAGGATGCGAGCATTTGTCGTTCATTAGCCGAGAGGTTAGCCAAGTCTTCTGGCCTAAAAAGCTCGCCGTTTCCCATAGCAGCGCGGATAGCAGCGGGATTGGCGCCAGGGTGACTATCAAATACGCCTCCCGGGCCTCCCATGGCCCCGATGGGCTGTTGATGCGGCAACTGGTGATGTTGCTGCTGAGGAACTCCCAAAGGGGATGTCATACTGCCAAAACTTGGTTGACTTTGGAGGCTATGAGCACTGGAATGATGCTGGAGGCTTGGCTGCATCTGAAACTTGGCCATAGCTTGCTGCCGCATCATGAAATCGCGCTGTTGAGCCATAAGGAACTGCTCCTCTTGTTTACGGCGCTCCAAATTATTCTGTTCTTCGGCCGTAAGGGTTCGGCCAAATGTTGGGAAAACGCCGCTGAGAGGAGGAATGATTCCGCTTCCAGTTCCGGGTCCAAATGGACCGCTCTGCATAGGAGGTCCATGAGCAATTCCAATCTGGGGCACCAAGAATGGCTCTCGAGAATTTCCAATGCGTCTGATGAGCTGACCAAGTGGCTCAAACTCAGGATCTTCAACCTTTTTCACTCTAAGATCAGGGGTAAAGAAGTTGGCCTTGTACCAATCATTCATCTCCAGTCCCGTGAACGGGCCTTGAATCTGCCCCTGGGGGTCAAGATACACCCATCGCATGCGATCGGGCATTACCATTTGGCGGACCTGGGCGGATGGGTGTTCTACGCCAGCCTGAGCATTTCCGAATGGCAAACCGCCGCTAACAGGCGTGAATGACTGGGGTACTGTAGCAGCGATGTTGGGCTGTCCAGCATCTGAAGATCCAAAGGCAGCAAGATTTCTAGAGCTGTCACTAGAGGGGAAAAGCTCCTCAAACACCCCGCGGTTGGACCTCATGGGACTGTCCGTGTCGCGAGTTGGGACGGCAAAGTTACCCCGACCGATGGCACCGAGCGGGTTACTCTGTCGAAGGTCACCCAGAGAATCTGAGAGGTTGCTTTCTTGCTCATGTGCTTGCATTTGGGCTTGCATAGCAGGGGGGAAGAGGGATCCCAGCTTGCTTCCGCGACCGATACTACCGGTGTTGGAGGGCCCAAACACACCTCCGAGATTTCCAAGGCCGGGAGATTGTATATCACCGATAGGACTAAATAGAGAGCTGCCAAAAGCACCTCCAAAGTTCGACCGCTCACGGTCAGGGGTGCCGGTAGACGGGCCAGCTGGAGCCGGCCAACCGCCAGACAGAAAGGCTTTAGCACCTACGCTTGAGGTCTGACTGCGGTCACTCCCATCAAAGGCCGCAGCAAATCCCCGGGAGAGAGTGCTATAGTTGGAGTGTGGCTGCTGTTCATGCCCAGTGCTGTGGGTCTTATCCCCGGCACTCGAATCTTGTCCGTCGTGGTCATGGCGTTCAACTGGAGGGCTTCGGTAAGGGTTTGTTTCTGATGGGCTAACAGGGCCATTGTCGCCAGAAGATTGCCCGCCCAAGTTCAGGCCAGACATGCCAAAGTCCCCGGCGGATCCTTTAACTGGAGTGCCCAAGACTCCCGCTCGGTTAGGCGGTTGCGGCCCCCCCGAGCTAGTATCCTGCGCGCCTCCAAGAACAGCACTGCCAGACAATTCTTCGTCGCCACCAAAGGGATCGGTGTCAGTTCGTGGCCTAGTTCGCCAAGACTGCTGCGCCAGAGGGTTCTGAGTTTCAGAAGATTTGCTGGTACTAGCGCCCTCTGCATTGTCCTTGGGAATCAAATGTGCCAGTCGACTACCACCGGTAGTACCACCAGGTCGTTTGTCACCAACGGCTGGGGACGTGGGCAGGGCAAAATTGCCAAACCCACCAGCACCGGATGCGCTAGATGGCCACATCGACCCCATGCTCACGCCAGTCGATGTGTTAGATCGCATTAGGCCACCAATTGGCAACTTTGGAACATCACGCGAAGCTTGCTCGGTATCGGGCTCGTCATTTTCTGATTCTCTCAGATCGCCACTTTTTCGCGAGAACCAGAGCGGATCTTCCCGCGAAAATCGGCTGGTAGCAGTCGGCGACGCAAGAGAGGAGGGGCTGAATGGATTGGAATCGACAGTCTCTCGTCGACGAGTACTGGGTCGGACAGCGGATGACGGTGAGCTCACTCCAAAGGTAGCTCCTGGAGCATGAGAAAGAGAAGGCTTGCGGCCGTTAACAGCAGTCTGGTGAACTTCCTTTGTCTGTGTGGGAGGTTTCAGTGGCGAGTTGATGTCAGTAGAGAAGGCCTAGACGTCATCGTTAGCAAGTTCACATCCCCGCAGCGTGACTGACACCGAAAAGTAGAAGAAGAACAAAAAAAAAAGTTATGTCTCTGACCTCTCTCTCTTCCGGGGAGAAACCTTGTAATCCTATCGGTGCTGTCTCGCCGCTGGCATCCCAACAGGTGCCGGGATCCTGCGGCACGTGGTTCTCGTTGCTTTTCCCCCAGCCCCTTACACCAGCACTAGCACCATTGCTTGGGTCCCAGCCAGAAATAAATAGGTGAGAGGGGTTACCACCGGGGCGCTGGGAGTTATACATCTCGAGCAGATCGTCCTTTGTATAACGTGAAGGGCCAACTTCGTAGGTTGTGGGTTGCGCGACGGGCACCTCGACGCTTGGCGGCTGGACAGCGTTATCACTCGCAGGGGGAAGGTTGGAAGACTGGCTCAGGGGCGTGGTGGAGGAACGACGAAAGGTCAGAGTGCCGTTGGCTGAGCGCCCATCTCTCCGAGACCTAAAGATTAAGGTTAGCCACGAAGACAATGTATATGAATACGACACGGCCGCTTTCGGGGGAACGAGTAGAGGGGCTGCCTCGTTGAGCGGCTGTCCCCGCCCCAAAAAAAGGATGATTCACGCAGCGTCGCTTAGTGCAAAGCAACAGCGGCAGACTGCATGCATGACACAAATTCTCCGTCGTCTCCAGGGTTTGCGCCCAACACGGGTGCTGGCGAGGGGCAAAGACTCACCATTCGCCTCCAGCAGATCCCCTTCCATCAGTTCGACCACCCCTCGCATCACGGGCCGCGTTCTGGCCGGCGGCGGCCGAAGCAAAGCTTGACGGGAGATTGGATGGCATGTTTGGACTTATCCCACGGGTCGTGATCGTGTACCGAGGCGCGGGGCGTTCGTCGTGAGGTCGAGTTCAGCCGTGGGTCGGGCGGCTGAAAAAATGGCAGGATGCAGACACCAGTGGGAGGATGTCTAGCACGAGGAAAAACTCAAAATTCTGCTACGATTAGCTAGATGATGAGAGCAATCAATTGCGCGGGCAAGAGGTCGTCGGAGTCGTGGTTATAGCAGACGCTAGGTCGCGAGATGACAGAATGCTTGAATGAGAAACTAATGCTACCAGTGCTTTTGCTGGGGTTAAAAACCTGAGATTTGGGAAAGATAAAATTGGAGTTCGATTCTGTTCCCCAGGCTGGATGAACAGCGAGGCTGGCCGCCGCTAGGCTGCAACGGGATAGCCCCGAACCTTAACCGAGCCTACTGTGCGAGGGCTAAATCCTAATCGAGGAACCTTGCGGCGCGACCGCCCAGAGCCGTATTACGACATGCTACGATAAGTGCTGGAATGGCGCATGCACCGGGGCCCGGCAAGGCTCTACGGCTTGCGATTCGGAATGGAGTGCATCTGGCCGCGGAGGCCCTGCGACTGACGGCGTGATATTTGCCCTAATGCTACGGGGCAATGCGGCCTCTGGCGAGAAAGCGGTGGGTTCGGTGGCACTCCATGCAGGCGTACACTCGTTCTGGCAGGCAGTGTCTGCACGGAGTAATCTGTGCGTCGTCGACTTATGGTAAGCGCCATCCGCCACCGAGAGCTATCGAATGATAGATTCAGTTGGTCTCTTTCCGGCCCTGATTTCCTACAAGCAATTACGTGTATACGACGGAATATGCTGAGGAGCGGGATGTCAGGTAGATGCTTGGGCTGAAGAGAGATCGACGCTCTACGACTGCGAACATGCGGATGTTATGGCGGAGCATTAGTCAGACGGACTAGGTAGTATATGCAGAGTGTAAGTCGATTAGGCACCTGTTGGGCAGGTAAGTACTAATTACGTGATGGATGCATGCACCGAAAAAGAACGTATAAACGAGCCAGCAGCAACTCTTGAAAATGGCGTCATGGGTCTCATTGCTACTATTAACGGTATGAACATGGCCCATAAACATCGGACATGCTACCGTAGCCGTATATTCCCTTTTCCGGTATCAGATGCCTTATGCCTGTTTGAATATACCCAATACCTAGAATCATTCTACAGTAGTTACGCTCCATTCGCGGTTGAATCCACTCTTCTTTGGAGCATTTTCCTGATCGTCAAGTACCAAGAGAACCAGCTTATCCTGCCAACCCAAGTTAGCTTTTGCTTTGTATGTAAAAGGGGAGAGAATGCTACGAACATCTGCCAGCAAGCCATGATCAAAGTGAGGGCGACGCTGGTCCAATAATACACAGGCCAAGCCGCTCCCTTCCAATCGGGAATCTGAGCCATTGCACGATTGCCAAAGAAGTGGCAATATTTCATCTCGCCCTCCCGTTGAAAGTCAGGCGCAAGGCAATATACAAAGCCGCTCATAATGATGCCGGTATTGAAAATAAAGACGACGGACCAAAGAGTAGCGAAACTGAAACACATAATCTTAACGTCGGGATTGAAGAAATAGTTGCGCAAACGCTGGGCGCAAAACATGCTGATTAATAGGAGTATTGTTGCGAGCTATGCGTTATAGCAAGAGTTAGCTGCTAGGTCTGGGAAAGAGTCTACTTCTAATGCCAAGTTGACTTACCACGCAAATGTTGAACATGAAAATATAGACAGATGACAGGCCCAAGATTTCCAACCGTTCATAGATGGTATTCACATTGGCCAGCATGATCAGACCTATGAACGATCTGGTAATCATGCCCACAAAAGGCACGGGGAGTTTCCATGGGCGGGGGTCGAGTAAGCACATTTTCCTAGATGGCTCTGTTGTAGGACTTGGGAGGCAGATTGTTCGAGCTGATTAATCGAGATGACCGTTGAGGATGACTGTTTGTGTCTCAAACGATTGCCCGAGATGCTAATTTCAAATAATCGGGAAGAGTCTTATCCCCTCCGGCCAATGGCCGTATATCTCTTATATTAGTGGAATATACTCTCTGCCATCCCGGCAAGCGAGAGCTAATTTACCAGCCCTATACAGACTCCCATATCAAGACTGCAGTACTTGACGACGCGCAACGCGTAAACGACGTAGTACTGGAACCTTAAAGTAAAAAGATTGGAGAATATTCAGGATATATCCATAATACCACCGGAACGAGGCTCGTATTCCAGAGTATAGGTCGTCTTTTCGAAGCCACCAGGAGCAAAAGATGGTGCGTCCCGCCACTATACATTCTTCAGGAAGTGTGACTTGAACCTTCTGTTGGCTCGGTCCGCAGATCGGAGCATCATCTGGTCGCCAAGTACCTCAAAGGCAAACACCTTCTCCGTATCGTCGTTGGGTTGCTGGGGGGCGCAGACTTCCACGCGGAATGTGGTCCCTTCCTTGGGTATGACTTTGAGCCCTCTCTTCTTCGTAATCAGCTCAACAACAAACTTGCGATCTCTGACGATGATGCCCTTGGTCCCCACTCGTCCTGGACATCGGCTCCTCACCACTTCGGCCTCTGCCCCATGGAATTCAGCACTAGCTAGTTTGGCAGCGGCCAGTGAACCGCCGGTGTATATGTCATTCCCTAAGATCTCCAAGGCGTAGCCCATCCACATCTTTTTCAGCGGTTCATAGATTTCATATTTCTGGCCTTCCTTTGGAATATCGTACAGCCCAAGTTTGCGACGCTCCCGAGCTGACAATGGCTTTGGCCTCTGCTTCCCTCGTAGCTTTTCTTGCTGACGAGCTCTGTGGCGCGCTGCCCTGGCGTTGAGAGCAGCAGGTGGAGGAGATGTAGGCTTTAGTTGGAGAGTTCGATACTGGATCTTTTCGCTGTAGATGCGGTTTGCGCTGTCGGGAGAGTGCGCTCTCGCCAACAGGTCCTGAGTTACTTTGATCTGCTCTGAAGATGACATGGCGGCGATCTGCAATATCAGTGACTAACAGGTGTTGCAGGATCTGGCAATCCTTTGCGGTTCAAATATGAATATGAGCTGCAGCCTGACAGCAGATGCAGCTGATAGGTCAAATAACTTTTTTTTTTAGTTGGTTGCGGCTTGGAAGCCTTGCAGGTGGTCCAAGCTCCCTTGAACCTCTACGTCCCCAATACGAAGCGACGGGGCGCTTATAGTGCGTCATGCTTGGTACTTGGTACGCCGGCTCTGATTACTTCAGCTGTAGCGCAGGCTTATAGCGGCTCAGCTGCTGGATGCAACCACCATTGCTTCTCTTCACATGTCCTCGGGTTATTTCGACTAATGACACTGCTCGCGTTCTCATCTCATTCGGCCCCACAGCACTATTTACCCCGGATAATCAGACTCGGTCTCCATGGCTAGCCATTTGCCGTTGCATCAGCAAGCTTGATTTGATTTTCTTTTGTGCAGGGCATAGCATGGCAATGTTGCTGCTACCCCTCAGCCGCTTCAATTATCCTTGAGAACCAACTCCGCACCGCTCCAGCTCCCGGCTACTTCGACTCCGCAACATCCAACCATGGCTCGAGATGCCGATTCCGTTGATGATGCCAGCAGCTCGGCTCCCGACCTCCAGATCCTGGGCGATGAAATCACTCTACAGCCTAGCGGCTTCGTAGAGCCCAGAGGCGTGCTGCAGGACGACAAAGAGGAGGCTTTGATGAATCAGACCCATTCGTTCCGCAGCGAACCGCTTCAGTATGATTTACCGAGGTTGGCTGTTGGACTCGTCTGCTAACTCGCTGTTGACCAGGTTTCTTCGCGAAGTCTCTCTCTACGTGTCAGGCCAAGGATGGCGAGCCTACGATCGCGACCGCGTTATCGGGCAGCCCGTCTTCTATTCCGGGTTCTCGGAGAATATGATTTCCAATGTCTTGTCGGCGCCATTGCTACAGAAGCGGATTTCGCAGCTCGCCAACGATCGCCTAGCCGTCGAGGAAAAGGAAGGATTGCTGAACAAAGATGATAAAGATTACCAATTGAAGCGTGCGCAGCGACGAAACATTATAGAGAGCTCTCTCCTGGAAGTTGCAGAAAAGCTTACAGATAACATGATTTGCAAGATGGAGAGCAACACCTTTATTCGCGGCGCATACTACCTGATGATGCAGCTGGTAACGCGCGCCTACCACCAAGGAATCCACGTTTCTAGCGAAGAGGTGTTGCGATTACGAAAGGTGGCAGATCTGGCTGCCAAGAAGAAGCAGAGCATTGTGTTCCTGCCCAGTCATCGGTCACACGTTGACTATGTCTCTTTGCAGCTAATATGCTACCGCCTTGGCTTGACATTGCCGGTAGTCGTGGCTGGCGACAATCTCAATTTTCCGTTGGTAGGAGCTTTCTTGCAGCATGCGGGTGCGATGTGGATCAGAAGGTCGTTTGGAGATGATGCCTTGTATACCACACTCGTGCAATCATACGTCGATACCCTCTTGCAAGGCGGCTACAATTTCGAGTGCTTTATTGAGGGAGGCAGGTCGCGTACAGGAAAATTGCTTCCCCCTAAATTTGGCATCCTGAGCTTCGTGCTTGATAGCATTCTCTCTGGCCGAGTCAAGGATTGCATTATTTGCCCCGTTAGCACCCAGTACGACAAAGTCATCGAGACAGAAGGCTATGTCACCGAGCTGCTTGGTATGCCAAAGAAGAAGGAAAACTTGGCTGACCTTCTCTCTAATGGGCCTTCTGTTCTCTCCCTGAAGCTAGGCAGAGTCGACGTCCGATTCCATGAGCCGTGGAGCCTAAGAAAGTTCATCGACACTCATCTTTCGAAGTTATCGAGCATTCCTCGTGGACTGGATACTGATCATTATAACCCGGAAGTAAGGGCAGTCCGTGAGAAGATTCTACGTGCTTTAGGTTACAAAGTGCTTGGAGATATCAACGCAGTATCGGTCGTGATGCCTACCGCTCTCATTGGCACCGTTCTCCTTACTCTACGCGGCCGAGGCGTCGGCAAAGGTGAACTGATCCGCCGAGTAGAGTGGCTGACATGCCGTATCCGAGCTAAAGGCGGACGAGTTGCGCATTTTGGAAACGCAGCCATCTCGGAAATTGTTGACCGAGGATTGGAAGTCTTGGGTAAAGACTTGGTAGGAGTGGTCGAAGGACTAGCAGAACCAACATATTATGCCGTCGACCGCTTCCAGCTCTCCTTCTATCGCAATATGACGATCCACCTCTTTATTTACGAGGCTCTCGTCAGCGCAGCCATGTACACGCGTATCAAGCGTGGTGGCGGTCCATCCAATCAAGATATTCCGTACGCGGAACTTAGGGACCAAGTTCTGTTTCTATCCTCGCTATTCCGTGGAGAGTTCATCTTCTCTGGTGCTGGGCTTGACGTGAACTTGGATAACACGCTGCGTGGCTTGGAAGCCGACCATGTCGTCCGCTTGGATAAAGACGAGAATGGTAGCATTACAACCATTGGACTATCAGACGAGGAGCGCAAGGCCGGGCGAGAAAATTATGATTTCTACTGTTTCCTGATCTGGCCTTTTATCGAGGCTAGTTGGCTGGCGGCAGTGTCGTTAATGGGACTTACTCCTCCAGACGGCAAAAACGGCGATATATGGATTGGAGAAGCAAAAGCTCAGAACAACGCACAGCTGGTAAGAAACAATATTTCTCCAATAGTCAAAAAGGCTAAGCTAACACTTTGGATGTCATAGCTCGGTAAAACTCTCTACCACCAAGGAGACCTCTCATACTTTGAGGCCGTAAACAAAGAAACCCTCAAAAATTCATACACGCGCTTCCAGCAAGAGCAAATCATCAACGTCGTCAAGTCCAAAGATGCCAAGATACCTCCCCGCCTCCAACTCGATCCTTCATGGCGGCCTTCTCGTGACCCCGAAACAGGTGTTTTACTAGCCGAGGGAAAGCTGTGGGATTTCACAGAGAAGATTGCAAGCTCGCGCCGAGAGGGCAAGAACCGACGAGACGGGGCGACGGTTAGCAGTCGCGTGCTTCGATTGACGGATGAGCTTGGCAGAAGGCTATTTGCTGAAGCCGAAGAGGCGGACAAGAAGGGCGGAAAGGGAGTGCCCAGCCGGCTGAGCAAAGAAGAGCAGGCGGCGCTGGATCACAATGTAAAGAATGCACGGAGGAAGAGAAAGCTGGAGGGCAGGGCGCATTTGTAAAAGAAATTAATCATTTCTCTCTCATATTCCTTTCTGAGCCTGTCTTGTATTATACCCCTATATATGAAGCTATGTATACATGAAAAGAAATTTAACAAGGGCGCGTTATTTGGAAAAAAAAAAAAAAAAAAGAACAAGTTTTGTAAATGCAATCGCCCGCCATATATAATATACATCTTTTTTCTATTTCTTTTCTTCCCTCGCAGACTCCTCCTAGTTGTTTATTATTCTTTTCTTCAATTACTCGTCAATCGTGATCCCGTTCGTTCTCACCAAAACTTGTCTCTCTACTCGGTTTTGGGCGCAAGTATAATGTTGTCAATCAATCGCACTGCCGGTCCTCCAGAATGGCCTAAATCTTCACCACTCTGCGCCTGCTCTACAGGCAGCATCTTGATCGCGCCGCTGAGGATCGCCCCCTTGGCCGCGTCCACGACGTCAACTTCCTGCAGCGTATCGGGATCAGCCATGGATATGTAATCGACCTCAAAGGTAACCCGCTGGTCGGCAGGAAGCCTTTTCTGAGCCTCCAGCGTAGTCTTGGCAACCTCGTTCGCCGCTCCGAGGACGTCGCTGCGGTTCAATCGGCCGTTCTTGTACATGTCCTCGGCGGCACGCAGGGCCTTGCTCAGAACAACGGCGACGCTGCGCCGGCGAGGGCCCAGGTAGACGTTGCGCGAGCTCAATGCCAGGCCGTCGGGTTCCCGCGTAGTGGGGCAGATGACAACGTCGGTGGGCATCATAAAGTCCTTGACCATGCGCTTGATGACGACAGTCTGCTGGACGTCCTTTTGGCCAAAGTAGACGCGGTCCGGCTGGACAATGTTGAAGAGCTTCATGCAGACGGTGGCGACGCCGCGGAAGAAGGTGGGCCGGCTGGCGCCCTCGAGGACCTCCCCCACGGGCGTGATGGTGACGAAGCTGCCCTTGCTATCGACTTCCTGGCCGGGGAAGCCAGAAGGGTACATCTCGGACGTGGTGGGCGCAAAGACGGCGGAGATGCGGCCGAGGTTGGCCCCGTCGTCGGCGAACTCGCGGTCCAGCCTGGCCAGGGCGGCGACGTCGGTCTCCCAGGTGACGGGGTAGGACGCCAGGTCCTCTTTGATGCCGAACTGGGCCGGGTTGACGTATATGCTCACGACGACGTGGTGGTTCTCGCGCGCGGCGGCTCGGATGAGCGAGAAGTGGCCCTCGTGCAGGGCGCCCATGGTGGGCACGAGGCCGACGGAGCGGTAGTTGGCCATGTGCGGCTTGCGCCATTGCCGCACGGCGTCGACGAGGCGGAGGATCTTGATGGACGACTTGGGGACGGTTTCGGCGACGGTGCGAAGCGTCCGGATGGTGGTGGTGTCTGGACGGCCAATTGCTCGCGGCAGGCCGGCAGCCCGGGAGACGAGCCGCGAGAATGAAGCTTGAGGCAGCATTGTGTGAGTGAGTGGGTGAGTTAAGTGAGTGAGTGTGTGTGTTCTGGTCTTAGCAGCAGCGGCCGTTGTCGCGAAGCTTCGCAGAATGGTCGTGTGCCCGCGATGGCTAAGGTGGATTTTCTGGGAAGAAAGAAAAACCGTTCGAGATGCGGCGGCACCCCAAGGGGAATTAAATAAAATGGCTCGCGGTTTCTAGAGTCTGGGAGGGGGGAGCCAAGCCGAAGCGTTCAGGTTGGAGTCGATGCCTCGGCCGCCATCGCCGGACGCGCAATTGGCCGAGTCAAGAGAAGTTGTTTCGTGATGGTTTCTGCGGCGGATTTTTGGGGACGAGGTTTGGCTGCCTTTTTTTTTTTTTCTCACGCTGCTTGGTGGCTTTTTTTTCCGCGGTGCTTTCTTTCTGCCTTGCGGTATGACGGAGCTTCGGGCCGGCCCCTCCCCCTCCAACAATCTCACGGCTTGTCACCACCACCGCTTCTGGGATGGAGATCCGGACTTGGCCGTGCCTGAAGGAGCTGCGGATGGAGGCTGAATTGGGGGTTTCGCGAGTGCAGACTGTATGTACGGCTGCGTTGGTGGGATCCCACGTGAGATTGAGATGCAGAGTTGCAGTCAATGTGTGAGCGTTGGTGCTGAGGAGAGTATAAGCAGGGTCCATGCCATGTAAGACGTCATGTTGTTACATTATAGCTAGTGCGTACGACTTGATTTGACTTATATAGACAGCTTGGGTATATATACCTGGGATCTTATAATTAAATGCTATTTATGTAAGTAAATAATACAGAGCCATTATTCTAAGGCGTCGGGATACGGAGAGAGAGATTGACATACACGAGAATAGTTGTGCTAGTTCTATAACCACCTATAATACGTCGTATTATTAAAGGCTGCCTGCAATCATCAACCCACTACTCGGCGCAGCGGCCGCAGCCTTGCTCCCCGTCACGAGTATTACTCCGTACAAACCCCATGATCACGCTGTATTTCACATCATTTCTTCTTATCACCAGCTTGACTGAACCCCCCAAAAGGTAAGCTGACTACATGCAATACATGACCATCATCAAACCTCATTCTCCTAAAAAGGACAAATCGTGATCACGAATTAAAAAAAAAAAAAAAAAAATAATAATAATAATAATAAAAAAGAACCTGAGTAGTGATTGATTCTCCTCTGTCTATGTTGAATATATGTATCATCTAGGTATATAGCGTTACATGCATAATAATAAGAAAAAAGAACAAAAAAAAAAGAAAATTCTAAAGGAGGGTGTCAGAAATCCCACTTCTGCCCTATCTATATTACCCGGTATTACCTATTAAATGGACCCCCTGTTTTTTCCAAACATGTCAAAAAAATTGGACGCCTGCAAATGCAAAAAAAAATCTACCAGAATATTCTGTCATCTTTCCTGATTCAGTCACACTCTCTACGCCGCTCCTCCGGCGTTCTTGAGAGCGTCTTGGTTGAGCTTCTTCCACCGCATGCCCAGGCCGATCAGCGTCGCAATGCCCGTGCAGGCGACGCACATGGCAAATACGACCTTGATGCCCGCCATGTAGCCGTCAATGACAAATGGCTGCTGGTCGAGGGGGAATCTGTTGCGGATCTCGGTGGCGCCCGTCAGGACGAGCATGGCCTCGCTGACCTGAGGAGCGTGCTGGAGGACGTGGCGGATCATGGTGTTGACAAAGGCGGACTGGGCTCCGGAGACGAGGAAAGCTCCGCCGAGGCCCTGGAAGAAGAGGAGCATGCCGGTGGTAGGGCCGAGGTCTGCTGGGTCGGCGAGTGCCTGGACGGCGATCATGGGAATCTGGAAAGATGTGCCCCAGCCAGCACCAGCAACGATCTGGTATCCGATCCATTTTCCGGTAGTTGTGGTGGTGCTCATGGTGTACAAGAGGCCTGCGCCGATGGTGGCGATGGAAGTTCCACCAAGGAGAAGAGGCTGATAGTATCCAGTTGCGCTGACCAGCGCACCGCTAGCAACGGTTGAGAAAGACACGGCAATAATGAAGGGCAGGTTGCGGACACCGCTCATGGTAGGGTTGGTGCCGTGGACAGACTGGAAGTAGACGGGGATGTAGTAGATGGCTGCGAAGAAGCCACCGGCTTGGATGAAGGCGACGAGACACATGACCCAGTTGGTGCGCTTGCTAAACAGCTTTGGCGGCACCATGGAGTATTCGCCCTGGAACCATTGGCTGGCTGCCCAGGCACCGATGATGAGGGCGAAACCGACCAGGAGACCGATAACAACAGATGAGTTCCAGGGGTGGGCAATGCCACCGTACTGGACAGCCAGGATGAAAGAAATGGTGGCGCCCATCATCAGGATAACACCGAGAGGGTCCATCTGTCGGATCTTCTCAGAGAGAGGCGCCTTGACAGGCACCGCATTGCGAGGAGTCTGGAAGAAGATGAAGATGATGGCCGCGGAGACACCACCAATCGGAAGGTTGATGTAGAAGCACCATCTCCAGCTAACGTGGTCAGTGAAGGCTCCTCCCAGCAGCGGTCCGATGACACTGGCAAAGCCATACGAAGCACCGATGATGCCGGTGAACGCGGGACGCTTCTTGGGCGGCGCAGAGAAGGCAATGATTGTGTACGCGCCGGCGCCGAGGCCAGCGGCACCCAGACCGGCAATGGCTCGGCCGGTGATGAGGGCTTCGGCGTTGGGGGCGGCGCCGCAGATGACGGAGCCGAGTTCGAAGATGAGGATGGAGAGGATGAAGGTGGTCTTGAGAGGGAAATACTTGTATGCCTTGCCCCCTGTTGAATTATTCTGTTAGTAGCCGAACTGAGATGTGATGATTATAGGGGAGTAGAGGCTGCTTACATGTTGATTGGAATGCACCGACGGTCATGAAGAAGGCGGCGCCGTACCAACCGGCCTTGTCGAGGCCTTGGAACTCGTCTGTGATTTTGGGGATGGCGGTTGCAACGATTGTCTGGAAAGCCACAGCTGTTAGTATACTATCACGACATCTCATTGCTGCGAAAAAGATGGATCTATAGACTCACCATATCAAGACTCAGCAGGAAAACACTCAGCACCAGGGCGAGCACGATGAAGAACATCTTGATACCCGAAGGATACTCGTCCTCTCGTAGCTCGCCATCTTCAGCTGGAGATTCGACAACAATGTCTTCTCGCTTCTCGTCGAGGCCGAGATCCAGGTCGTCCTTTTCTCCCAGGCTAGGCACAGGAGTCTTGCTATCGAGATCTTCGCCATTGAGTGTCGTGGCCGACGAAGCCACTGCGGCGTGCAGCTTTTCAGGGTCCTGGTGTAAGTCTGCCATGATGACTTGCGTCCTTCTTGTCTCTTCGAAGAATAGATTCAAGGACAAGGACAAGGGGGAGGCTGGGAAGGGTTGCCAACAGAGTGACAACGCGTCGATGGCTGGATCCTTTCACCAGGTCCCCAGCTCTGGTGCCCATGCCATTCTATATATACATGTACATGCCTGCACAGGCTTCTTTCTTTCTGGGGTACGGGCACGGCAACGAGTCACTATACACTACGGCAATGTGAAATTTCTATCCAAGCGGACTTAGGGTCCGCTAAGCCCTCTTTCCTGCGTCGTACATGCCCCGTCGACGTCCACGTAGTGCCCCCCCTTGGCCAATATGCCATGAACGAGCCTCATCGACCCGCTCCCTTGGGTGTAAGTGCGTTGGAGCCCATCTCGTTCTCTCTCACGCCTCGGACACGTTAATCTCCAAAGTCCGCGCAGCTAACGGAAGCCAAGATGCTGACACAATGAATGGCAATTAAGCTCACGGCGTATGAGCCAGATTGCTGGGTCTGGTTGGCCGCCTTAATGGCATGGATGGGTCACGGCTAGTTTTGGCGCAGGGCGGAACAACCGAGTGGAACTGGTTGGGTGCCGCAACGGGTGTTTTCGTACGAGCTAGCGTTTCTGCATCTGCTTTGTGCTTTGTTGACTTTGCAATAAACGCCCGCTGCTTGGGCTTCCGGACAGGTGCAAGAACCCGAAGGAATACATGGATGCAGCTATTCAGAGCCAGCTGGACCATGTCCAAGTGGCGATTACGTGCAGGATGCAGCAGCATTGTGTATGTACATGTAGCCCATCTCTCCTCTCGCTATACTGGACACGTATTCGCCGCAGGATACATTGCAAGGGACAAAGGATGATCTGCACTCGCCTGCCAGGGAAGAACAGACGACGCATTGCAGGCAGATGAAAGCAGCGTCTAACCGCGAGTCAGAGCCGGCCAACAAAAGCAACGCTTATACCCGCACCGCAACCACTACCAAGATCACGGCTCCCGACGAGACGCTAAGCCTCGCGCAGGATCCTGGCGCTGCCCCAATCAGGCATCGCCAGCGGCCCTAGTGAGTCACTAGCCGAATTAAACAGAAAAATTTCTTCAGTTGGCGAGTACAAGGCATTACAACAAGGTTTGCCGGAGCAGCATGACAAGTACATTTACTTTCCACGCCCGTTACTCATGCGATCCTGCTTCATCCTTCACCAGCAAACAGCACCAACGTGATGCTCAGTCTCTCGCCGCGTGGAAATTGCCAAGGCTTGAGAAAGCTTCGACACCCCATGACGTCCATTTGGCTTTTTTCCCAGCACTATCTCGACCAATCGGAACGTGTTTGCGGATGAAATATTACGCCGAGTGCGCCAGTCTTCTGCTGCAGTATATAGTACTTGTACATGTACATACATGTAGCGTTATCTCGTCAATCTAAGTGGCCGGCACGTTTTCTCGCCATGCTAAATTAACCTCTTATTTCCGGCGCAGGTATCTGCCTGTACGAAGCAAGATCAGACTCCCCTCGGTGGCTTTAGCGGTCACTTTTGTGGTGACTCTTGATGCGCTATGGCGCATAGTGCTGCGGTAGTGCGAGAAGGTTTGTCAGCCTCTGCCGCTGCTAGCTGGCGGACTTTTCAAATGTCCGCCATTGCGACGACGTAGCGCCCTATTAGAGAGACCTGAATAGGCTGCGAACTAACCAAGGTGTGGGTGTTTGAGCTTCAACTCCGATGCTGATGAGGGTCTGACGTCTGAAACGTGATAATCTGCGTTCGAGATGCCAACTAGCTCTAATTCCGCACAAGAGGGGAGTTCCGCAAGGCATCGAGAAATTAATAATAGACCTGCGCAGAGACAGTCTGCCCTGCGGACGTTGTTCGTATGGAGCACAATGAAGCTGTGGGCTCGGATTTAATATCAATGTCGCCAACAAGTGACATGCCATTTGACGCATGGTATTGTGTTGCAGATTTCAAAGCATCTACTGCAAACATGAGAGGCTCGTGAATGCATGGTGATAGGTCCCCATCAGTGCGGATCATCCGATCTGCGTATAGGGATGTCCATCACGGCAAAACAACCAACAATGAAAGCCAACTGAGACATGAAGCTGGCACCACCAGCAGTAACTGCCTCTCTCTCTCCGCATTCCATTCGTAATCAACTCAAATCAACTCACAGCACATGGTAACATGCGACCTAACATGTAAAGTCAAAGCGGAATTGTCGTAAAGCTACTCCTGTTTCGTAAAGAGCATGCAGCTTCTCGGGCTCGGACAGCTATTAGCTTTCCCGCTAGGACCAACCCTCAAGAAAAAGGGGAGGGCACGGATATTGCAGCGGCCCCGGCGAGGCAGTGAATGGTGTTATATCTTCTTTACAGTGACCTTATGGAATCTGCCCTTGTTCAGATGGTTAGGTGTCTTGTAGGGTTTGTGCAATGACTCAGTTGAAGATACTGTATCGTCCGCTGCTGATCCATACCCTTGATCAGGGAAAGCCATGCTTTTTCAAAACAATTAGTGTACACTATTCCAGAAAATCTATATCAACTATAAACTTCAGGGTGATACTTACTACTAAAAATAGAATGTTTCCTATAGCGTAAAACGCAATTGCCGTTCGTGGTGGTTATAGGCACCTTATCTCCGTACATCCCTTTCTCCAAGGAGCTATCTCATATGCCCAGGCAAGATATTCACAGGAACCCAGAAGACGTATAGATCTATTTTATGATATACATTATGTGAACAAGCAGCGCGATATGAAAGGGATTTTGATTTTGAGGTCACTTACAAATACGAAGCTACCTGGCTTTACAGTTGTTGTACTTATAATAAGCTCGAATATTACAAAGGATACAACTAATAAGAATTCAAGATATGCTGTCACATCAATATCCTGGCCCTCGCAACAGCAATAACGGTATCTTCATCCACCAGAGGGTTCAAGATGAATGTTAGCTACTCTATACCCAGTTTCTCAAAAAGTCATGATTATCAAAGAGTAAAATGATTGAATAATTCTCATGTTCCCTTGGGTCATTCTCTCCATATAGGGTACGAGGAAAAGTTTCACATAACCATGGCTCTCATCATACGTCTCGTCTCTAAACAAGGACAGACCTTGAAAATTCACGCTTGCAGCAGCTTTTGTATAATTAACTGCGTCATCATCCTGTGCCCCTCTTGCATCTCAGGAGCTGAATGAAGTGTCTCGTCTAAAGCTTTACTAGCATGATCTCCCTCGTGCTATTATTAAACAAGTGAGTTGGAGATAACGACCCCACGAGTCACGCCTTTTTATTCGATGGGCCGCTGAAATTCCGCTATAGATATGGAGTAGGTATATGGCATATTCTAAGTCAATTGGATGCTGGAGACATGACGCTGCATGTACTCTCTTTTTATCTAACTAGTATACTGAAGTAGCAGATATACATGCAGATTGAAGGCTATCAATATTTTGTTTTAACTATCCAACTTGAGACATCATGGACGGCGATAAGATGTATATATGACATCCCTACCATCACTAGCTAAGCAAGATGCGGGACATTAGCTGGCCAAGTAGAAAATAAATGAAGCAGGAGGGAGAAAGTAAATTGTCCGAAACATCTCGACAATAATAAAAAGCCTCGGAATGGGGTAAAGGACAAGAAGGAACATAGCGAGAATGAAGGGAGTGTTATGAGCCAGGCTATTGGAACTAGGAAGCGCGTTGGAGAGTAATATGAATAGCACGCTGCAAGCTGGAGCCGCAGCCGAATAGATGCTTGCACATCTCCAGAATAACAGTTCTATTCTCGATGGAAAGGCAAAGTTCCACGCCAAAGCATGGATCCCACCAAACAGCGCGGCACTGGCAGACGCAATAAATAAAACGCCGTCGTCGCTGTTGTCTATACTATCCACGCTAATAGGCGCACCACGTAGGGGTTCTTCGAATGAGGTCCCAAAAGCCGATTTCATGCCCTGAAACAGACCCTTGAAAAACCTGGGACTCGCCTCTAATTTGGCTTTGTTATACAGCGCGTGAATGTCATTTATCTGGATGGTTTGGGTGACGCCGACGCGCTGCGGCTTGTTCCAATAGAGAACGTATATGAGGACTGCGCAGACAGCAAAAGCCACAACGGCTACCTCGAGAGGCGAAACAGGAAGCCTTCTCGCAACCCGTACGATGATTTGAATTGTGGACCACGTAATCTGGCCGAGTGCAATCATTTTTCCAAGCATATCGCCTTTGGATTTGTCCTTGATTTCTGCTTCCGTCATGGCAGGCAACTTTGTAATATGTCCTCGTTTTCGAAGGTCAAAGATTTCTTCACCAATCAGATGGTATGGATCATGATATATCTCCTTGTCTGCCAATGGGTTTCGTACGACAAACCCCCCCATGTTTGCATAATAGCTATGCGTTAAACTCCAAGTAAGTCCGTCTTCTGAGGCGAACTCCTGCATTTTCTTATAATTCTTCCGTGCCTCTAGAAGTTCATCACACGCCGCAACAATTATCAGTTCGGGAGCAATGACAGTCCACAGCATCCGCAGCGTGCTTCTGTAGAAACTTCGCAGCACCCATTTGTCGCTTCTCCACCATCTCTTTGATGTCTGGTTATCAGCATCTTGTTGTTTGGGAACATTAGGATGCTGGACGCTCCAAGTGCAAGCGAAGATTGTGAAAACGGAGCTCCATAGTATGTCAAGAGTCCCGCGAGTGTTTGGAGACGATACGTAATTTGATAGAGTGGTAGGAGCGGAGCAATTTGTTTCGAATACCGTGTAAGCTTGAACAAGTGAAATCAGACAGAAGAGAATGAAATAATTTGGCCATCGCGGTAATGCCATTGATAATAATGAGGGTTTTTGGCGATGAAAAAGGGGTAAATAGAGACTACAGTATATGCTTTGATTGGAATCTAACATGAGATAGAGGTATGCTACGAGGATGGGGGGAGAATGGGAAGAAAAGGAAGAATGTTTATGGTTATGATGCTATTTTGGGCATACCTCGTGCTACCCAGAGCTGAGTTCTAAACAGAGAATATTATTTTATGATAACTGCGTTGTTGGTCTGCCTCGTTCTTCAGCGAGACAGTGGAGAAGTGCGGTAGCAAACCTGCAAGGACACCAAGTTCTCCCCAAATCAATTGGCTCTGCCTAGACAAAATGGAGGTGGCTGAAAGCTAGGGGGACGACCAGCTCATCTTCCTTAAAATATCCACCTCTGTGATTTACGAGAATATGAAGTGCATTATCGCCCAGGTGATAAGGATATTTTTTTCATCAATTCATCTTGTTATTTTCTATACGCCATACGCTTGCTGCATCACTAGACAATAATAAAAGTGTGTCAAGCCAAAGTTGATGGATTTCGTGAGCATCAAACGAACAATGTACTCCGCGTTGATTTAGGCGGGGTGCTAGACGATGAGGGCTTGGCGAGTATTTTTAGGTACGTAGTACGGAGTTGAATGAGTACGAATAAGCCACGTCGGATCACAGTGAAAGAGAAAGCTAGGTAGTAGACCATAACCAGCATGAGATGCAGTTGTGCAACATGTAGCCCGCCAACCGGCACATCAACCCCGTCAACTTACACTGAGTAGTGTGAAAACCTTTATCTGCAGGCTATCAGAGTGACAAGGTAGTAGACAGCGATAACTCTTCCACTACGCAACACTAATGAAAGCAGTAGCAATTACGCAGAGGCATTCATAATATCGCTTGTTGTTGTATTTGCTGCAGCATTTCGTGACAGCCAGCTACCGCACAAGCGTATCTCAGCCTCTGTCGGATCCTGGTCCATGTGACACTGATAAGAGGGGATGCCCTCGTAGTACAGCTCCGACGGCTATCTACAATCGGGGAGGAAATGAGTCGCGAATAGATTAATACGAGTAATAATATTGTAAGCTGCTATAAGTTTATTTTTATTAGCAGACGGCGAGGAAGGGAGCTACTTAACTGATTTCCAAAGGGAATCTATATATCATTCCGACGCATTTCACATGTATCCATGTGAGCTGCATGTACTCTTGGCTTGCGGGCCAGCTGTTGTGAATACTACGTCATACTGCTGAGCTTATCGTAGCATTGGTACAGTAGGATTCAAGTATTAGTGCTTGTCAATTCATCTGTGGTAGCCTGTGCGGTATATATTCTTTCACAAATTTCTCCGCCGCCATATTATGGCACCGCCGCCAAGAACCTAAGGATGCAGCTAAAACGTTTGATGCTCTGCGTAGCCGTTACACGCTACTGCCCTTCATGCTTAAGTCTGCTGTTCTAAACCGAAGCTCAGGGTGCTATCCTAAAATCGCAATCTCAATCTTAAGCTACACACCTAGCTTGCCATTTCTAGCAATCGCGGTGAGCGCATAGTGGCCCTTTGCGGTATGATGTAGCCACAAGGAAACGTGTTCCATCTATAAATAAACAACTGTGATTTCATATATCCACCAGTCGTTCCTTGGTTCTAGCTGGCTTGCGCGGCGTGATGGGTCTTTAACTGCCGAGCTGGCGTCATTTCCGATGGTCAAATGCATGTAGATCTGTAAATCGGCCCATCGGTTTATACGCTGCAACATCTCTCCGAATGTTCCTGTTAGAGTTCAGAAAGCTGTGTATTAGTATTGGCGGATCCGCTATTCTGTGACAGCTTTTAGTGCATCTCCATATAAATCCCGAGAGCGGGATGGGTCCAGGCCAGGGCTAGCAGTTAGCATGAATCTTGATGTCATTCATAGCTGCATTCTCGCATCGCCAAAGCCAATTTGGGTTACTCGGTCCTGACGGTTTATCTTTTAAAGTGCTGATAGGGACAGAGATTTTCTCTATTCATTGGATAGATCATGTGGCTCGGAGTGTGAAGACCGTGGCTGCGAATAAAAAGCCGGTATCACGTCACTTGCTGTAATCGTAACGCAGCAAAGGCGAATTCACACCGTTCGTGCCACGATACTTTCTCCGCGTACACTGTAGCCACCGACAGCAGCATCTTCTTGAATTTCTTATAAGTCGGACCTTGCATTGCGCCGTCCGCCATATACGGCCACTAGGCACGCCCACCAAAGAACCGAAATTTCTTCATCGCCATAAAACAACATACGCACTCATGGACGACCCGCCTTCATACTACTGCAGCGACTTCGCCAGCAGCTCCACACTCAGCGATCAGGACGAAGTCCTCTCACCGACAACACTCTATGTAGCTGGTCGCTTCATTCATTCCGCTGGTCCCCCAGCTCCGCCACTGTACGAGCTCTCTCACTCTGTGGGCTTTCTCAAAGACACAGATCGCAATGTGCGCGTAGAGAGGCTGGACTACTCGGTGAAACGGCGAGATGGCGAGGCACAGATAGCGGCGCGGAGGAGGCACATCTATGACTTGAAGCATCCTGTACGAGTCACCTGCCCGACATTTCCGTACCATGCAGAGCCTACGTCGCGGCAGAGTCTCTGTACTTTTGGGCTAGAAAGCTTTCGGCCAAGGAAACTGTCGTCTACCAGAGGCTATCGCATTCGCCGCGCAACACACTCGCTTGATCACCAGTTGGTACGCCGAAATGTTCTCTTCTCAGCCGTTCCTGCAAGAGACAAGGCTGTTCGATATGAGTGGAGTGATGGAGACGGCCAGCTTGTGGCACGAGAGGTGGACATGAGCGATCTGATGACATTAGTAATCAGTGCCATGATGAGTATTGGCGAGAGAGATGCCTTGGTTTCGGCATGGATGTCAAGGGTATGGGCTGAGCTTGCAAATAAGAAGTGAAGATGGGGTTGCGCGAAAGAGTTGATCTAGGAATTATGGCTAGCCAGCATTGAAGACTGGTATGCTTGCCTGCAACGATGACACGAACTGGCCGATGCATATGATAATGATGTAACGACATGAATTTCGGTGTATATAGCGAGACTTAGTATATGTCCCATAGGCTTATTTTTCCATCCTTTGCCCCTGCTGCAATCCAGTGTGCCGTCTTTGCAAGTTGAAGTCTGCGGTCTTTGACGCTCATTCCAGCTCCCCTTACCAAGCTCTCTGTTTCCCGTGGCTCAGTCATTTGAAGTGGCTCGCCATCAAATTCTTTGGCGATATTCTCTGCCGAATGTTTGGATGACGCAGCTTTAGTGCCTCCGGGAGCAGCTGAGCCCTCGATAACAGAAAAGGCCACGGCGTAAGCTCCGACTTTGTGCCAGCTCAACACAGCCAGCTCCTTTAGTGTCTTGGTAGAGTATATCCTTATCTTTGAATCCCACCCAGCGGTGGCAAATATTTTTCCGTCGGACCTGACTTTGAGGTTTTGTTGGCCAGAATGCTTCGTGTTAATGATTTTGAGTGCGTGCTCCCATTCCTTCAGTGTCTTACAGCCTGAACTAGTTGCTGAGGAGTCAGACGGAGAGTCAACCACCTCTACCACCCTCTGGTTAGGCTGAAGCCCAATGTCTACCTCTCGCTGAGAGGTTGGAATTGGATGTTTCGCTATCAGGGCATCTGCTGCTGAAGTGAAAAAGCATTCTCGATTGGGATGAATGTCTATGGATAAAACCGGCTGCGTATGGGCTTGGCATCGGTATGTCATCGTCCAAGACCCATCGGCTTCTAGACGATGCACAGAGACAAACCCGTTTTCAAACGCTGCAGCTAGTGTCAAACCCCCGTTGTGATGGAACAGGGATAGGCTCATGGCCATGCCATTTTTTTGGCCGGGTTTGATAGTGTGAATCCTGTTCTGGCTTGGGAGTGTGTAGATATCAATCTGCGAATCGTCAGTTGAGTACGGACAGACTCGTCATCATCTAATGGTGCGGTTACTTACGGCCTCAGAGGCCAGGGTGTTGGGTACAGCGAGAATAACTTCTGCTGTGGGCGAGCTGGTTTCGATAGAACTCCCTTGTTTGGGGTCACCGAGACAAGCAGCGAATGAGCAAAAGTTCATCGTGTTCACCTCCAACAAGTGAAGGACCCAAGGCTGTGGGCGTGGCGTGGGGGTATCCTCCAGCGGCAAAGAGACGCTGAGTCGCTCCTCATCCTCCTCTTTGACCCGCCACACAATAAGCTTGTGATCACGGCCATGGCTTGAGTCTTTGATCAGTAACAATTTTTTACTTGATGCTGCATTGCCTACTGCGAACATACGTGATAATTTTGTCGTTGCCCCACCCTCTTATGCCGAGAATTGCATTTTCATGAGCTCTCCAAACAGCTCTTGGCCGCATAATCGTGAGGTCCCAGAGCACAACCCAGCCCTCGGCATCGCCAGTCGCAAGGCGCTCATTATGTCTCACGAAGGTGGCGGCGTGTACCTGGGCTTTGTGGCCTCGTAATATCGCTTTTGGCGATGGTGTTGGTTCAGCCATCGTTTTTTCCCCGCCTTTCAGCCAACACTTGTCAGCTGAAACATTACTATCCAAGCAAGATGGGACGCATCATTGAAAGGAAAAGATGGCGTCCAGCTGGATGGTTGATAAAGTGTCAGATTGTGCTGGATATGCGTAGTAGCAGTAATTAAGGTCCAAGGTGTATGGAGCGTTACTGCGAGTCACGTGCACGCTGGCAGCGCTCTTCAATGCACGACAACCTCCTCCAAAAGAGCTTCCTCTGCATAGCTTGATTCAAATATGATGGAACCAAAATGAGAGACAGAACCGAGAAATGAGAGCTAGTCTGACACGTGCAGCCCTGGGACATCATCATAAGCTTGTGACCGGCAATTTCCGCCTGCTCTTACGTTGTGCTACCATCAAAGTCTCAAGCTGCTACCACCTCGGTGAAGCTTCTCTCCTTTCTTTGGTCGCAGCAAGCGATGATCTTTATCCAATAAGGTACCACTGCCACAAAGCGTTGCATAATGTTGGCGCATTTCTGCCTGTTCTACCTGAGACCTGCATATGAACTTGAGCTGATTATCGGTTTTTGTGTTACAAGACTCGTCCTCAAGATGACCCTGGACTACCTGTATATTCTCCCTGCTTCTCGGCCTTCACATGGGCTCTCAACCCTTACCATACCCTTGCGATTATCAGGCTATTTCTGCGCTTACTCTTGTGAGTTCTGAACACCTGGGCTGATAGCTGACTCTTTGCAGTATGCCACTACCACAGGTTTTCAGCAGATCAGTCTAGTGGACAGAATTCGTGGGAAAATATGTATGCTTGAATCCACCAAATAAAGCAATTCCATCCCTGCCTCTCAATACCTAAATTCGAAATCTTTCAAATAAACGCCTAAATGAAAAATAAGCACCAACGAGGACCTCGGCGGGTGGGGGAAGAGCGGACCAGTCACAGATATCGTTCTGTTGCTAGACCTTTATAGTATGTTTCGGAAGAAGCCGTGGGATTTGTGACATGCACTTATACTGTTACTCGTCGGCTCATATTCTGCATCCATGAGACGCCTGCCAACAACCCCTATAGTACCACATTTGATGGCTCTATCCCGTTGAAGCAACTGAGGCATGTGTCAAACCTCCAACGCTACATCATTTCTTGCCACTGTACTCAGTATTTGAGCCAACTAGGCTGGTACTGGTCATGAGAAAGAAGAGGCTAAGCTATAATGCTTGTCAGGCTGAAAGAGCGTGCATCGCTATACGAACCAAAGGTATATGGCTGACATGCTAAGCTGGCGTTGCTGGACCTTCATGGGTATCCCACACCAGCTTGCCACATCTCTCAGGACTACTAGGAGCATCGCCCGGTTTCCTTACTAGCTGCGCGTTGATTTATCGACAATATACATGTAGGCTGCAAGGCTTCTAGATCATATGAGCTGGGGTGGGCGTATATGGCCTCAGGTTGCTCAGTGTTCCTGTAATTTACAAGGCATGCCATATCTGTGGTCAGTGTTACAAAGGCTGGGACAGAATTACGACTGCCGGCCCATTATACCCTCGTCCTACGTCGCATAGGCAAGACAGGTACCGAAAACCTTGTATCACCTTTATAGATGCTGCTGTAATCCAACTAGATTTATTAGTGAGAGCGTTTCGCAACCATTAAAACTACTTTTACAATTTACTCACCGCATCTTGGCTTTCTTAACATAACTTCTTGCCATGCTATTAACTACCTACCTACTGAAATCTACCGTTCACATGATATTACACGAATGTTCTCTAGATAGCAAACATCAAGGTTAAAGAGAGATTCATACATTTCACTACTACCACTCCGATCTATATAAAGTCCAAGCTTGCGAAAATCCAGCTCTATATGTCAAGTAACTCTTGCCAGTAATCGATTCTAGCTCTGTTGCTCAAAAACAGAAAGTCAATTATACATATACTCGCAGCAGCACCCTTGATTCGTTTGTTGGCTTTCGATATACATAGATCTGAAATAAGCAGCTGGCATGGCGACTAATTTCCACAATATAAGCCGAATCCTATTTTACTGATAGGGCATCAAAGACTAATACGCCAATCACTTCAGCTCACTCAACATTCTGACGTTGATTAGGCGACGGGTAATTTGCCTTGGCCTCGAGAGATTAAGTATGCATGCAGAATACTCCGATATTTGCCGATACAATATATCATTAACAATGATAAAACCATATCAAACGCCATCGCCGGAATCTTCCAAATATCCCAGAAAGTCGAAGCGGGTGCGTACCGGCTGCCTGACATGTCGAGACCGACATCTCAAATGCGATGAATCAATCCCGTCCTGTCGAAATTGCCAAAAGGGGAGACGAAAGTGTTTACGCGGAATCAGACTGAATTTCACAAATATTACAATTCACGATTCATCTAATTTTATTCCAATCGCTTCCAAGAATAGTATGGAATTATTCTATAGATGCGGTGACATGGGGCTGATATACTCTCAGATATAATCACGATTAGAGACGAGTCTCGCCAAATTGCTTCCGAGTATCAAGACGGATTGGTCGGATACGCAGAGGCAGACACCGAGAGAAGCCAATTTTTAAATTGCAGCCCAATGGCTCGAACGCAAACCCCCATTTCTGACCCAGGATCCTCCAGCTCTATTCTTCAAGGACATGTCTGGCACATCTATATATCACCTGAGAGCTCAAACAAAACGAGGAGTATATACAGCGATAGCTTGATCCTACAAGCTACAGAGTGGCGCAAAGGGGCTACGGTCGAATCAGGTCAAATGAGTCTTTCTGAAGTGGAAGAGCGATCAAATATCAGTGTGAGCATTGAGGACGACAGTGCTACTCTTGGAGATGCCACGGGCCCTACCGCTTTCGAAAGAGAGTTCCTCGACTCACCCGAGCACGTTCAGTATATGCGAGTTTATGTAGATGAAATTGCAATCTGGATGGATTCATTGAGCAAAGGAAAGCAATTTGGCGAATGTCTCCCATACCGAGCGCTGGATTCTCCTCTACTTCTATATTCACTCTTGGCTTGTGGGGTTAGACGGTTATCACATCGCCAGCCAGACTTGCGCAGTAGGGCTACGGCTTATTACAGCACAGCAAATATGCAGCTATTTCGCTATCACGAGAATCCAGAGCGCAGCATAGAAGAATGCTCAGTTGCGGCAACGATTTTGAAACTCTACAACATCATGTTTAGGGAAAGGCCGGAGACTGGCGGCCACAGTCTTACCGTGCTCAACTCAATCATTAGTGAAAGTCAGTGGACTGCGGAGAGCGATGGTGTCGGGTCAGCATGTTTCTGGCTGAATGCCTATCTAGATCTCACGGGAAGCCTAGAGACAGGCTATCACTTGCATTTTGGTTCGTGGAGCATGGATCTGGGCTTCCCCAGCGACGGAAGCGAAGTCATGGCCCAAGGAGACGAAGAGCTATGGGCGCAGAAAATGCTATTCATACTGGCCAAGGTTGCGAGCTACAGGCTGCAGGTGCTGTCCTTTACAGAGATGGATCCGAGGGAAAACAGGACCTTGGAGAACTACATACCGGAATGGAAGCATCTGAAGCAGCTCTGCGTTCAGTGGAGCGACGCATGTCCGAGGAACTTGCGACCATTGGGATATATGCAACCCGATCAAGTGGAAAGTAATTCTGTTTTTCCGAAAGCATGGTAAGTTTTGAAACAGACGTTTCTCTCTCTTCTACTCGCGATGGGGATTTAGGAACTAAATGTGCTTTCGAATATCTTTGACTAGGGCGCCCAAGCAAGAAGCAATATTTTGTCGTCTTTTGTATCACACTGCGCAATGCATACTCACTCAGACACATCCCATGGAACAAACGATGGTATCGGATGAAATAAGCTGGCTTCAGCTCCACCATGCCCGTGAAGTATGTGGGATTGTAGCGCATACGGACGACAGGTATCTCGGACTGATTTATACTCGAGCATTCTTGCTTGCGTCAATTGTTATAACGGATCACAAAGAACAAATAGAAATCTTGGAGATTCTACAGAGAATGGAGACTCAAATTGGATATTCGCGGCCAGGTGCCGAGGAGCATCTCAAAGCCGCCTGGGGCTGGGATGCTACAGGGCCGGCCATGTACGATCAGGGGCGTGAGGAAGACGCCCATATAGGCCCTGCTTCTATACAAATGTCGGATATCTCCGTGGTTGTTTCGCCCCAGCAGCCATCGCCGTCAGTAAACACTCCATATACCCCGATGTCTGTACCGCGAACGGATAATCTGCCGCAGCAGCAGGGTCCTTCATTTGCCCACTTTGAGCAAACTCCACAATACAGCTATAACACCTGGCGGGATAACAGCACTTTCACTCAGCTGTTTTATTCTCCTAATCGCTGAGTTTTCGAATAGCATGCAAACGCGCCTGATGATCATATCAATAGATGTATAGCGCCCTTTTAAGAAGAAGAACAAGATGATCTCTTGGTATTTCATGATGATGAGCCGCCTTGTGAGAAATTCATGCTGTATCCACCTGTCTTCTCATCCTTGACCATTTGAAAATTGTTGGTGCTCAGACCAAAAGGTTTAAGGAGACTGTCGCCGAGACCACGCAATTTCCCCCACATTTCTGACATTTCGGCTTCCTGAGCGGCCTTTGTTCGCGGTGGCAAGGCTTTGAGTTGTGACCGAACGGTACGCTGGTCCGCGGGTGTCAGTCCGGGCATTTGAGAGAGAGTACGGTAATCTTCTTCAGCGCCAGCGAGGTTAGACCAGCCACCGGCTTCAGAACGGGCGCGTGCACGTCGAAGTAAGGCTTTGGTGCGGATACGAAGAATATCGGCTCTGCGGTTCTCCAGTGCTGCTTGCTCGGGTGTTGGTTCGGGGGGAGGCATAGGTGCAGCTCGCTCTGCTCCAGAACTGACAATCTCTTCTTCAACGTCGTCCTCATCCTTGTTGTCATTGGTCTTTTCATCTTTGCTGTCTGATTCGGTATCCTTGGGCTCGTCTTTCGGCACAAGTTGCTCCTCGGTTTCCACTTTAGCTAAGCTGTCGATGGCATCTGTTGCGGCCTTTATCGCCTCCGTCCATTGTTCAATCTGCAAATGGCACGCAGAAATATTGCTCTGTATCACGGCACGTTCGTAGTGAAGGTAGTTGGGACACGAGGCAATGGCATCGTCGTATCTGGAGAGGGCGTTTTGGTAATCTTTAGAGGCGAAGAGAGCGTTGGCATCGGCCTTTATGGCGGATGATTCCTTGAGGAGGGCCTATGATAAGAAGTTTTCGGTGAGGACTTTCAACTTTACAAAATATTAAAAGAATTTGATCTTGGAATGAATGCCGTTCACGTGTGTGAGGTTGACTGAAGCGTACAGCCATAAGACGATAGAGAAACTCAGATAGGGACAGGTAAAGAAACTGGCTCATAAGACATAGTCCATATCTACATAAGAAGAAGGTAGGTGCAGTGATAGATAATGAAAGTGGGAGTGGAAGTGAGATATGATATTCAAGGGTTCTGAATAGCGCTAGTCAACACTTACTGCTTCTTCCTCTGGAGGGAATCTCACAACTTCCGGTTCATCAGTAAGCTTCTCATCTTGAGGAGCTTCCTTTGCGTTTTCTGGAGCCTTTTCTTTATCACTCATGGTTGAGGTGCGTATTGCTATGTATTAAGCAACAGCGATTAATGAGCGGAGTGAGATGAAATATGAGGCATCAACGATGATGACGCTTCATCCACTGAGGTACGAAGCTCAACATGGCAGAAATGTGGCATGTGAGGCGATTATGTCAGCGCAGTGGAAACTAGTGGGGAATTCTCTTCTCTCTGTGCAACTCCATGGCAACTGATGCCGGTAAGCATGGTGGCATGTTTGAAAAATGATAGGGCGGCATTCTGGCGGTCAAAGATACATCATATAGGCAATTATTACATATCCGAAGCAGTTTTCAGCTCTTTCAGCCCTCAAATATCAATTCATCGGAAGCCCCCGATACACGCAGTCTCCTTTGCGAGTCACTCGCCGAACCCCAGCGCAAATCGCCCCGCCCCCACTTCGGCCATTGGAAGCGTTTTTGATACTTAAACTCTCCCACGGAAAAGCCGATGAGGATCAAGAGAATCTTGCGATCCCTCAGCCTCACTCAACAAGACGAGTCTGCCTCTCATTACTTCTCTCCTCAATTGAGCTGCTAGCATCTCATCGTCAACCTTGTCGAAACAATAGAAGCCTTCTTTATACCCTTTTCTGAAAATGGCTCCCCGAACAGAGTATGTCCTCTTCATTCATGAATCGTCAACATCTCAGCCATGGAGCACTTGAACTAAAGCCATTGCCAGCTTCCCTCCTGTGAGAGCCTGTCTCTTTGACATGGACGGTCTCCTTCTTGATACCGAGGATATATACACACTCTGCGTCAACCTCATCCTGGACAAGTACTCTCGCCCTTCCATGCCATGGTCCATCAAGGCCCAACTGCAGGGCCGTCCTGGTCCCGACGCCAACAAGATTCTCATGGACTGGGCTCAGCTGCCCATCTCATCCCAAGAGTATGCTGTTGAAAGTGCGGCCCTCCATCAGAAGCTGTTCCCCGGCACCAAGCCTCTGCCCGGCGTCCCTGAGCTGTTGACCAGCCTGTCTCGGACAGCGGAGCCTGGCGTTGAGTCTCCTACCGTTCACATTGCACTCGCCACGAGCTCTCACATGGGCAATTTCAAGCTAAAGACGAACCATCTCGCTGACGTCTTCTCCGTCTTCCCCCCTCATCGACGAGTCGTAGGCGACGATTCCCGACTCAAGCCCGGCCGCGGAAAGCCGCTCCCGGATATCTTTCTCCTTGCTCTGCAGACCATCAACGACTCGCTCCCTGAGGGAGAAGCACCCATCAAGCCCGAGGAGTGCCTTGTTTTTGAGGACTCGGTCCCTGGCGTTGAGGCTGGTCGCCGCGCGGGCATGCGTGTGGTCTGGTGCCCTCACCCGATGCTCAAGAAGGAGTATACTGGGCGTGAGGAAGAAGTCCTAGCTGGACGAACGGGCGAGGCCGGAGAAGTCGACTTGCACCAGGTGGGCGAGTTGGGCGACGGCTGGGCAGAGTACCTTGTTTCTCTGGAGAACTTTCCGTACGAAAAGTACGGTATGATTATTCCGCCTGTTAAGGCATAGGTGGTGAGTTGGATAGATAAATTCCACGGCTTTGATCACAACTAACACAATTTGAAGATTTATAGTTCGCATTAAAAATATCAAATGAGAAACGACTGATTTATGGTTGGAATGAAGATACAGCTGCATTTCGAATTGCATTTGTGGAGAGCACATGTACATTGGAAGGAATAGTTTAAAAATTGCGACGGAAAAGAAACAGGCAAAACTAGATTTTAGAATGTTTATCTGGCTGAATTGAGGATATAGAAGAACTTTTTTTTTTTTTTTTTTTTTTTTTTTTTTTTTTTTTTTTTTTTTTTTTCGTTGCTGGCCCATATTGATTCATCAGCTCTTATAATGCAAAACCATAGGGTAGCATGATTGGAGCGAGTTATAAAGTGTTTGGCTACATATCACAATAAGCCTTTTATAGAAATTGTTGACTAGACGCCGCTGTGAACGAGAGAAATCCTGCACCACATCGCAATTTGTTTAGAAGATGCGATGAACGGTCTGCATGAGACGTTGGCTGAGACATTTTTTATATGTCACGACTGTGACGTAATGCGACATGTACTCGCATTCATTCTGCGCTTTCACATTTTCTCAACCTCATCATAATTCTTTCTTACGACAGCTTGTAGTATCACGAAAACCAACAAAATAGTCACCAAACTCACCAGATAAAGAAAAGAGAAGAGAAGAGGATAATGACTGCTCCCTTCTCTCTTACGCAAACCATCCTCGCCTCCGACCCCCTCGCCTACAAATCGGCCACGCAATCTACTTTCCTTACTCGCGCCTCCGAGGGTCGTGTCTCCAAACACCATCTCGGACAATGGCTCTCCAATGACCGGCTTTATATCCACGGATATATCCGCGGCGTGGGTCGTCTGCTCAGCTTTCTACGGCTCCCCGAGACGGTGGAAGACAAGGCAGACGTCTCCGAAAGCACAAAGCTGCTTCACTGGATGATTGACGCACTGGTGAATATCCGCCGAGAGGAAGAGTTTTTTGTCCGGACCGCGGCGGAATACGGCATAAGTCTCGATCTCAGCGACAAACTCGAAGGTCTCCGTCGTTTCGAGACTCTCTTTGATGGTACATCCCCCGGCGGTGGCGACAAGGCCATTCTACCCTGGCTCGAGTCGGCGATAGTATTCTGGGCAACCGAGAAATGCTACCTCGACGCCTGGTCCGGCGCATCAGCCCGGCTCTCCGCTGTGTCAGATGCCGATGAGGATGGTGGGGCCCTGAGGCGGGAATTCATACCGAACTGGAGTTCCGTGGAGTTTGCGCGGTTTGTCGACCAGCTGGGCGAGATTATCGACTCTGCGGTGCAGCGCGAGATGGCTCTTTGGCAAAATGAAGGCGAGGAGGCAATCAAAGGAGAGTTGCTGGATAGAGCATTGGCAAAGTGGCGCGAGGTGCTGGCTGCGGAGAAGGCGTTTTGGCCGACAATGGAATAGTAATAGCAAACATGGTGCTGGCGTTCAGCTTGGATAAAGATGCACAGCTCTACGCAAGGATATACACTAGGACATGAATTTGATACGGATGAATGAGCAAAGGGAAACAAATGGTAGCCAAGAGTTCTTGGCTGTGATGCTAACCATACCGCCACAGTAAGAGCCAAGAAAGAGTATCCAGAGCCAAGCCTCGCTAACTTACATGGAGAAGATTGGCATCATCAGGGAAAGATGGCGTTCAGCAGATGTCCGATATTGCAGCACGATACCATGCTTTGTACTCTATGCCTAACAAGGAATCTGCAAGCCGGTATGTAAACGATAGCGAGCGGCTATTCCACGGCCCCTCGAAAGAAGTTGCCCGTTGCATCAGATGAGGACGTAACGGGCGGAGGAGCCGCAGCCCACATTAACACTGACTGGGTTCGGATATGGAGTATTAGAGTAGTAGATGCTACAGCATTCGAAACACCTAGTAGGTGCTACGGAGTACATGTTTACTTGTCGTCTCCAGCCACCCTTTCACTAGAACGCACCTAAACCGCAGAGAAAGAAATAGAAAGACTGGAGTCAGCCTTGGCGTCCTCCGCGACGTGTCGGCTGATTTGGCCCGTGTGGCTCGTCAACGTAGCCGCAGACCGTCTGGCCCCTCCCCTGGCCGGAGGCTGAGCGATGGCTGGAATCTTGGCCACCACCGCCGTTTCGGCTTTCGAGGATGCCCCCCCGCTTTGCTCGTGCTTGTCAGTCTGAATCGCCATACCGAGGCGCGGATGAGTTGGACGGCCATGGAGAGAGTTTGGCACTTGTCGGGCAGATGAGCCGAGATGGCATCGAAGCCGTCGTTTTCTATTAATATGCATCGGCGTGCAAATGCCTCGATACGTGTACTGTGAGGCTCGGAGATGCCTCCTTGGTAGGTATCAATAGGCAGGCAATCCACCTGCAATGCGATCCCTCCAGCGCCTTTGCGTCCAGCAGACCTCTAGCACGCAACCGCTGCTTAAAGCTAAAAGTCGAGCCTACCTCCCATAAGCTCCAGACTGTGCCGGAAATGCCGTAGCCCGGCCTGGGTGGCCCTGTTGCAGCCTCTCTTTGTTGGGGCGCATATCCCGGGACGACATGTATGCGATGCTGCTGTTTGCTACAACCGCCAAAAAAAAAGAAGAAAATTTAAAATCGATCAGAATTACATCCCGTCATCATGCTGAGCCAGGCATTGATGTCATCGCCGTCTAGATTCCATTCGACACAAAGGGAAGAGAGAAAAAAAGGGTTCGCCCCTTTTGGGAGAGCTAGACCGCAGTGACTGCGCCACGCTCCAGTGTACCTTACAGCTGACTCCAGTAGCACGGCCCAGCCACTGCTGATTTGAAGCCGCTAGACCTGCACGGAAGCGCCTGCAATCCGCTCTTTCCCCCACCCGTCGAATATTGGTTCTCGTGTAAGAAAAACGAATAAATAAGCTTGCCCGTAGCCTCTCGGCCCTGATTATTCTGCTTCTTTCATCCATCAAGTTTCTTCTGATCACCGCGTGACTCTAGTCTCGTTTTTGCGGCTACATTTCCCTCTCGACACAGGCTCCAGTCTTCTTTGCTAGATACATACCCCGCCATCAGAATGTCTGCCAACGACTACTACAACAGCGGCAGCGGCAGCGGCAGTGGCTACCCGCCTCAGCAGCAGTACGGCCAGCAGCAGCAGCAGTACGGCGGCGGCTACCCCCAGCAGCAGGGCTACTCTCAACAGGTAAATTGAATCCAGTCTAACAACAACATGTATGCATATCTTGGTAAAGGCTTTTCAACTGACACATGGTGAAAACAGCCTCAGTACGGCGGCCAGCAGCAGCAATACAACCAGGGCTACCCCCCTCAGCAGCAGTACGGCCAGCAGCAGCAGTACGACCACAACCGCAGCGCCTCTCCCTACGACCAGCAGTCCCAATACGGCCAGCACCAGCAGCAGCCTCCCTACGGCCAGCAGCAGTACGGCGGCCAGCCCGGCTACGAGCAGCAGCAGTACCCTGGCGGCGGCCCTGGCGGCGGCCCTCCCGGCGCCGAGGGCCCCGAGGGCGAGCGTGGCCTCGCTGCCACCCTGATCGGAGGCGGTGCTGCTGGCTTCGCCGCGCACAAGGCCGGTGGTGGCAAGCTGGCCAGCGTGGGGGCTGCTGCTGTGGGCGCCATTGGTGCGAATCTGATTGAGCACGCTTTCAAGAAGCACAAGGAGGAAAAGGAGATGCAGAACATGGCCTATGGCGGTAACAACGGTGGCCACCACCATCACCACCACGGCCATCAGCAGTACTAGAAACGGAAGATGCAAGAGAGGGATGTTTACACGTTATGACTTCGATATATATATTATGAAACGCATGGGTATGGGGCTTTGATGATTTGGTTCTCTTCTTTCTTCTTCTAGAGAAGTATCATGATAAATGAGAGGCGTTAGATCTTTTGCTTATACTATAAAATATACATAATTTCCATCATCAGACAGAGCATCTCATGTGATCCTAGTCCTAGTATATGTAGATATATTAAGCTTATAATTTATGATTAAGCTTATCATTGCTACGTTTAGTTCTAAACTTGAATCCAGGAGACCCCCTTTCCACTAATGCGGGATCCGCTGCATTAATCTTGCATACATGTACTTATACGTGCGTGAATGATTCACGGACTTGTTGGGCAAACTCTTCGATATCTTGCAGGAATAACTTTGGCTGCTCCAGTCTCGCGAAATGTCCGCCCTATTCATCTCAGTCAGTGATGCTGAATCTAAACAAAATTAAGGCGTTGACGACTCACCACTTCATGTGCTTTGAAGAATACCAAATTCGGGTAAAGTTGATGAGCCCAGGCCTTGGGAAGCAGAGCAACATCACGCGGAAACATCGAGTATCCAAGCGGCTTTTCTTTCGATATCGGGAGTGTTTCCCCTTTGAGCATTGTCTGAATGACCTGTGCGTGATATAGGCCGCGAGGGAATGTATCCGTGAACCAGTAGAGGCTGACCATGGCTAGGATGGTGTTGAGGGACAGCGGCTCTCGCTGGTCAGGCCACTCAAGGAGCTTCTCTCCAATCCTAGTCCTCTGTATTAGTGACATGGTTCCTTGAAAATTTGGTCGATGGGATTACTTACCAAGCGAGCAAAGCGAGTGGATTGGAGGAAATAGCCAGTCCAGCGGTGGCAGGACGAGTGCCGTGCTCAAGCACAAAGGCCAAGCCGGTTTGAGCCCAAGTTTCGGTGCGCTTCATTTCATGTGCCTCTTGGACAGATAGATCTTCGGATGGTGGTTTTTCCCCCGTATTTAGCGTCAGCATGTTGACTATATTCTGTTAGTTATCCCTATTTTTTTTTTTTCCTTTTTTGCATGTTTATAAAGATAACTTACGATGAAAAGCTTTACACTCATTATACTTGACTGACATGATCCTCGCCAACATGCTGCCGAGATCACCCCCCTGAGCAACGTATCCGTCGCTGAACCCAAGGCCCATCATTAGCTGGTGCATAATTCCTGCAGCCCGGTCCAGTGTCATCTCAACATTCTCACTGGGACTACCGGAAAGTCCATAATCAGGCAGAGATGGCACAATGACGTGGTATGGTAGAGTCTCGGGCGTGTACTTTTCGGAAAGCAGCTCCATCATGGGCACAAGCTCCAAGAACGAACTTGGGAACCCGTGTAGGAAGACGATTGGCACAGCGTCCTTGTTGGAAGAAAACAAAGCCAAAAAATGTACGTCGATTTTGCCAGTCTCGGCGTCATCAACAGTCATCTTGAAGTTGGGGAACTTGTTGATGCGATCCTCATGCTGGCGCCAGTCAAATGCTGTGAGCCAGGTTTCTTTTGCCTGGCTCAGCCACTCGCGGGACACTCCGAAACGTCCATCAGTGTGCTGATTCCACCATGTTGCAGGCCCAATCTTGGACAGTTTTAGGAGTTCGTAGAATGCAGATAATTCTTTTTCTGGGACGTGCAGGGTGAAAGGCTCAGGCTTGCCTGGCATGTTAGTGGGCGGGATGTTGAAGGCCATGATGAGATAAAAGTCAACTTTTGTTAAATAAACTCTTGGGTGTGGACTGGACTGTAAACAAAGAATATTTTGTTGACTTGACTTCATGAGAAAAGCCATTGGCCTTTTTATAATAATTGTCGTTGCTGAAGGATCCCCGATGCCACGGACGAAAGTCAACCGCAGTGTAATCCAACTCGCACAAGGAATGGAATAGGTGGGGCTACCTAACGTCACCGGCGTCGGCTCGTCCACCGAGATTCCGGTCGAAGCGACGACTTCTCTCCCCCCCGTCATTTGTGTCGCATCTCGTGCAACGTTTACTCCGTAAATCGAAAAGTCTTCATTGTATCTCATTCATCTTCTCTCCCAGGGCCACCCTTTGATAGCCGGCTCTGCAATTCGAGCCTCTCTCATGGATGCAGTATCAACTAAGCGTTCTGAGCCGTATCATACGCCACCAGACCAGGAGCACGAAACCGATGGCGGCGGTCCTCAGCCAAAGAGACGAAAAGTCCGAAAGGGGACGAGAAGCTGCTGGGAGTGCCGCCGGCGCAAGATGAAATGCATCTTCAGCTCGCCTGCAGACACCATCTGCGTTAGCTGTAAGCGACGCGGTGCCAAATGTGTTGACCAGCAGTTCCCTGAGCACATCTCCACGCCTTTGGACCGGAGCCTTCAGATGGGAGACCGAGTTGTGAGAGTTGAAGCGCTGGTTGAGCAGTTACTCAAAAAGATGTCCAACAACTCGGACTCTTCTTGCTGCGGATGCGCGACGGCACAAGAGGGTGGGAAATCCAATAACTTTAGCAGCCCGGTATCTGTGGAACTATATAGTCGTTCATATGAACCTGAATCTTTAAATGTACGTCTTCAACATTCACAAATGCGTCTTGGGATACAATGCTGACTCATTTTATTAGCATCAAGAGACTCCTCAGTATGAAATCCTCGATTGCGACAGTAACGGTGGACCTTCACATCTAGTTTCTAGTAAGAGGCGTTCTACTGAATTGGGTAGACAACACCAGGCACTGTCCCAAGCTCTGTACGAATCTTTACCTACGCCAAAAGACATCGACATAATCTCCAAAGCACGTGGCGACTTGTCTGCGCGCTTCTACCAAATGCTTACCGTTTCCTACAATGACCTCGAAAAAGGCGATCCTCAATCATTAGAGAGCCTTTTTGAGCCGTCAGGACCAAACGCTCACCCCGTTCTAATAGGATTATACATGCTCAGGATTGCTACCTTTCTACAACACCTCCATCCTAATCTTCATAAAAACCTCAAAGGCTTATCGGAACCGCCGCGCCAGATCATGAACCGCTTATTCAACACCGCCGTCAGCCTCGTGAATGCAAACGAAAGTCTCATCAGCAACATCGAAGGGATAGAGTGCGTGATGATGGAGAGTCTGTGGCATACGAATGGCGGAGATTTGCGCAAAGGGCTGGTTGCAATCCGGAGGGCCATGACAATTGCCCAGCTGTTGGGCTTTCACCGCTCCAGGAGCTCAGCCCAGTGCAAGCTGCTCGACTCGGAAAGACAAGTCCAGCCGAAATTTATATGGTTTCGCATTGTGTTTGCAGAACGACACATTTGTCTCATGCTGGGCCTCCCTCAAAGCTCCATCGACCAGAGTATGGCTTCCAAGGAGATGCTCGAAAGCGACACGCCCATGGGACGTCTTGAGCGCATACACTGCGTCATCGCATCTCGTATTCTGCAACGCAACCAGTCCGAGCCAAGCCCCGATGACTTTGCCCTGACGCAGGAATTGGACAAGGAGCTGCAAAAAGCCGCTCAAGATTTACCTAGAAAGTGGTGGCTTCACTCCAATCTCGCCACAGTCCTGGACGACCCGGAGAAACTCTTCTGGGATATGCGACGGCTCTTCCATCAGCTGTTTCATTACACTCTTCTCAACCAACTCCATCTTCCTTACATGCTCCGCTCGTCGCTGAACGGACACGACAGCCAATACTCCAGGGTAACATGCGCCAACGCCTCCCGCGAGGTCCTCGCGCGGTTCATCACGTTCCGCAGCGCCGATCGAATAGCCTTTTGGTGCCGGACGATGGATTGGTTCTCTTTAATGGCCGCCATGACGCTGCTGATAGCACATCTCGACGGGCACCGCCGCGGCTCCGAGTCTGCAAGATTAGAAAACTGGCTGACGCACCAACGACCCGGTGACCGTGCGATGATAGAACAGGTGCAAGAAAGCATGGAGGAAGTGAGCCAACGAAACGGCGATGCCCTAGGGGCACGGAGCGTACAACTGCTACGAAGACTACTGATGATTGAAGCCGAGGCGGCTGGCGGCCATGCCGAAAACGTCAACAGGGTAAGCGTGCAGGTCGCGGCGGCTGATGAGCCAGTCGATGAAGACAGAAGCAGCGCCGTGCGTGTGTACATTCCATATTTTGGCACCATCAACATCGCGCGTGGGGGAATCATCTCCAAGGAAATGATCGTGAATGCATCTGATCGAGGCGGGATACAAGGCCCTGAAGGACGTCTTGCTGACGACGCTGCTGGAGCTACAAAGACTTGGAGCAGCACGCTTGCAGATGCGGGATACAGCAGCAGTAATGGCTCACTAATAGAAACACTGCCTGAGAGCTACTCACAACAAGAGGAAGATGCTCTGTTTGCCACTGGGATTGATGACTGGGCTTATCAGAGTGTTGACATGGCTTTTTTTGATAGCTTGATGAGAGAAGTTGGAGACGGGCCTGCCGAGTTGGGGTAATAGACTGGGCGTTGGCTGCATAAAGATGATACAATTTCAACTACGTTTAGCGAAGGACTCAAATTGTAATTCTACCAGGCATAGTAGAATTTATTCACATAAATTTGCACATTTAAAATACACAGTAGTCATTATATTAATAGACATATATAATATATATATATGGTATATATAAAGCATATTTTGTATCATTTCATAATTATCATACAGTGTCTGTCTAATTCCACTGCTTCAAGGCATCCACAAAACCCCGAATTGATATCCAAAACAAAGTTCATAGAAGCCAGAGTCCTCATTTCCCATTTCATTAGCATAACAACAAGCAAAAAGCAAGATGTACTCGAGACATCATCCAAGTAAAGGGTATCCAATATATATTTCTTCTTCTTCTTCTTCTTAAACCTCCTCAACGGCCTGCTTCTCTCCCGCAGTAGAGTCCCGGGCCTTGTTGTCAAACTCCTCATGGTCAACCTTTGCCTTGTCATCCCAGCCAGCAACAATAGCAGCGTCGTGATCGTAAGCGACATCGAAGCTCTTGCGAAGCTGCTCGGGGCCAAGGAAGGTCAGGACAATGACGTAGACATAGACGCAGGCCATGAAGATGCAGATGACCTTGCCGTAGTCGTAACGAGCAACGCCCTTGGTAGTGGGCGGCAGGGGGAAACGCTCGCCAATGCGGGCCTCGATGGTGGAAGATGCCGATGAGACGAGGTTACCCAGCTGGTAGGCGGTACCGACGACAAAGGTTCTGAAAGCACCGGGGGACAGCTCCATCAGGTGGATGGGGATGACGCCCCAAGCGCCCTGGACGCAGAACTGCTGGAAGAAGGCGGCGGCCATGATGGAGGTGTCGTGCACGAAGGTGTATGGGTAGAGCAGGGCGCCGCCAACAATGCAGCAGCAGATGATGCTGAATCGACGACCGACGGACTGACTCAGGAAACCAACAACCGTTCCACCAGTCATGGCGCCCAAGTTGGCAACAACCTGCGTAACGGTGACCTTGTTGGGGCTGAAGGCGAGCTGGTTGGTCAACATGGTCGGGTAGAGATCCTGGCTGCCGTGGCTCATGAAGTTGAAGCCGGCCATGAGCAGGACGAGGTACGTCAGCAGCAGCCAGTGGCGCTTGATGGCGACCTTGCCCTCGGAGATGAAGACGCTGCCGACAGACTTTTCGTCGCTCCGGTTGCGGCCGGCCTCGATGCGCATGCGCTCGCGCTCGCGGTAGGTCTGAGTCTCGGGCATCATCAGGCGGAAGGCGATGAAGATGACGGGGGGGCAGGCGCCGAACCAGTACAGTGGGCGCCATCCGTGCGAGGTGGTGTTGACGAGGCCGCGGGCGAAGGCGGCGGCGAGGAGGTATCCAAAGGCGTACTGTTGGAGGGGGAAATATGAATGAGCATGTTGAAGCACAGCAGAGTTATGAGGCGGAGAGAGAAATAACTTACACCTTGCTGGAGGATGCCGGACATGATACCACGGGCCTCTGCCGGGCAGTCTTCCAGGGCTGTGGCCGCTGCGTTTCCGTACAGACCGCCCATGGCAACGCCGAACAGCGCGCGACAGGCGAGGAACTGCTTGTAGGTGTTGCAGAATCCGGTTCCCTGCAGATTTCAGCCATTGTTAGTTTTTTTTTTTTTTTTTTAATTCTCCTAGTCTGTAGTTTTTGCAATTCAATAGCTCCGGCAGTTGCTATACGCGGCTCAGGTGCCGGTATTATAGCGCTGCTCGGCCACTTGGCGGGGGGGTTTTCAGGTAGAGTTTGGCCAAGGCGGGTGGCACCGCCGTGGCTCTCAGCAAATCTTGGCTGCATCTCTGCCAAGGGCCAAGAGCCAAGAGCCAAGACGGCCCATCGCCAATGCATGAAATACGATCGGATGGGGAAATCGCTTACCAACTCCAGAGCAATGAACAAGATGTTGTTGACGATGAACGGCCACTTGCGCCCGTAGCGATCGGCAGCCACACCAAAGGCGATGGAGCCCACGGATCGGAACATGAGCACCAGCGTGATGCCCCAGGTGATGTCGATGTTGGCCTTGCCAAACTGCTTGGCCAGGTCCGACACGGTCAGCGACACGGTGAAGAAGTCAAAGGCGTCCCAGGTCCAGGCCCAGAAGGCAAGGGCGAAAAAGGACCACTGCTGGCGGTTGAGCATGCGCAGCAGCTTCCACGGGTTCGGCACGTTGAGCATCGGCGGCTTCAGCGACGACACGCGCGTGGCCAGGTAGCGGCCAGCGCTCATGCCCTCGTAGTCCTCGGGGACCCAGTACTCCTCTCGGTTCCCAACCATGGTGGGCGGTTTTTCTTGCTCTCTTTCTGTGCTGGACGACGATGGCCTGGATGGGAGAAGGACAGGGTCGAGCGGGAGGAGATGAGGAGAGACAGGAAAGGATCTTGGAGATGGAGACGAGAGGGGAAGAGGGAAGATATATAAGTGAGAAGGAAGCGAGAAATGCGGAGGAGTGGTGGATAGCAAAGACGAGGAGGGGGTCGACTTAGACGCAGGCGAGCCAAGTTGGGGAACCCCAGAATGTATAAAAGTGGGATACTCCAGGATGAGGCTTACTGGGGAACCGCAAGCAGACACTCCACGCGATGGCTAGCCGGGCCATCACCCCCGGTCTAGGCTCTGGAGCCGTGAAAAACTCTGTCTTTCTTTTGCTGCAGGGACGCCCAGCAGAGCTGCAAATACGAGCCGCTCATACATGCTTGGATTGGGTGTTTGGACGCACAAGAGCCGTGCGCATTCGGACCCAGCCCAGGGCAGCATGGGCCTAGAAAAGGTGGCTACATACGTGTATTCTCTGGCCGTGCCTTCTCGCCTCCATTCTCACTTCGATGATGCAAGCTTAATTTGTTGCGTTGTGGAATCGGCATCACCACTAGCTGAGATGATCCCGTCAAGGCAGACCCCAGCGTATGCGAAGTGCCGCGTGTATCTCCCAACGAGACAATACGGCCGCAGTAAATAAAAAAAGTTAAGGTTGAAGCAGAAGGGAGGGAAATCACCGAGCATGGCTGATCCACCCGGGTTGGAGCCAACCGTGGATGGCGTCCAGTCACGCAGGCTGCCTAATGGGGTGGGATCCATCCCACATCCCATCACCGGCGATGTACTACATGGATGGCTTGAGGCAGCGGAGCGACAATGAGGATGGCGAGGTCTGTGTACTGTGCGGTGGCACTTGAGCCCTGGTCAGGGCATCGCATCTTCTGGCTCTACAGACACAAGACAGACACTATTGCCATTAGCGGCCGGAGGCGGGTAAACCTTTATCACATGGTTGTACATGCCCAAATCATCTTCAATAAATCTGGCTGGCTCTCAGGCTGTCATAGTGGAACAACCATCAAGCAACAGGGAAAAAGACGGCGGAGGGAAGAAGAAGGGAAGGGTGGGCTCCGTTTTCGGAAAAGTTCGGCGGCCAGACCGAAGGAGAAAAAAAAGAAAAACAAGAGACATCGAATTAGAGGATGGTAAGCTCCTGTACGGAGTCAGATAGTTTACTTTCCACTGGTAAAAAGATTTAGTAGCGAGGATTGGGGAACGAAAACAGAGGCGTTTGCTTGTCCCAAGACTCGTAGCTTTTGCGTGCAAAGGCTGGTAGGTTGGGAAGCTAGAAAACCCACCCAACGAAAGCGGCAAATGAGGAAAGTAACGACCGTCATTGCATCGTTGTGAGGCTTGAGGCTTGAGGCTTGAGGCTTGAGGCTCGAGGCTTGAGTCAAGCCAGCTCTCGCTTAGATCCAAGCCAAACCTAGCAGTAGCCTCGCCGCTGTTTGACATCATCACACCGCCGCTCAATTGTCTTTGTCTTTTCTTTTCCTTGCTGTTGGGTGTATACAAAGAAAGTAGGCAACGTTCTGTGCTCCGCACAATTGCCGAAGGCCGCTAACCAACAGAGCCGGCTTCCAAGCCCAATAGCCAAGCCGCAGCCCTCAGGAACGAAACCCTATCCATATCCGTCGTAGACGCAACAGCTGAGCCATTTCCGTCTCACCACTCACTTCAGCTCATCAGATGGTGGGCAATGCGCACTCATGGGTGTCCTTACTCGTACGCGCATGCATAAGTGCAGTGCGATGCAGCACACGCAGGTGGCCATCACGGGTAGACCTCAGATTCTGGGCTGCCGCTCATCCAATCTTCTCCACATTTCTCCCCGCCGATATAACTCCAATCCAGCTCGTTCTTCCGGACATGGGATCTGCAGAGCTAGACTGCGCTAAGCTGGTCGCAGAAGCACAACTGAATGACGAACCTGGGCTCGGCACCAAAAATGCCGGCCTGTACGCCACGACGCTCTTGGCAAGGAGAACGAAGATCCTCCGAGCCAATGGGCGTGTCGAGTTTGTTTCCCCGCTTACATTCAGGCATCACAGGGGGGTTTAGTGCTTCTTGTGTTGAAGTGTGAGCAAGACCAAGTTTGGCAGCACGCTTTCTTACCGAGCATGCGGTTGACAGAGTAGGCGAAACAGAACCTGCAAATAAACGGCATGTCGCATAATATGTAGTTGTTTATATATGTAAGTAGAGAAGAGAAGATGCATAGGAGCAAAAAAGTCGGTAAAAGGCTGTAGAGAGACCAAAGAATTGTGTTATAACCCCGGTTCACTAATCCGACACCGCAATCCCACTTATCCCATCTACGCTTTACCATAGCTAGCAGCAAGCACCGAAATCTCTGCACTTATTTTCTTCTTTTCTACCTTAAACGAACTCACTAAGAAGCGGTGTTACTTGAGTAGCATGCCAATGCCGTCGTCTAATAGGCTGGCAAATTCGGTAAACTCGGCTATTCTTTCCTAAGCGCCCAGCGAAATCGCACCTCGCCATCTCGCATAAAAGGATGAAAACGCTGCCNCCCCAAAAAAAAGAGCCTCCAATAAAAGAAACTACCGACCAGAAACAGAATAAGCCCACAGTTAGTTTGAACGAAAAGAAGTTTTCGGAGAAGCCATCGAAGAAGCCACAACGTTTCACCGATACATGCAAGTGCGACGCCAAAATACTGCTAGCAGGTTGACTAATTGGACGGAGGAAGCCCGAGAAGTCTCTCCAACCTCCAAAATACTACCGACGGTTTCTCGCTAATCCCCAGATCCTAAAAATGCAGTTGTCGCTAAAAGTGAATGCCCCATAGCGTAGCCCGCAGAGCTTGGAGCTCGAGCTGATCAAAGCCCGCGGCGAGGGCAGATCGCTATTCGTTTTTTTTTTTTTTTTTTTTTTTTTTTTTTGTATATATAGAAATAAAGAAAAGCACAGACTCACAACATAAGACTCAACAATAGGAAGACCCGTAATACATTCTTTCCAATGAATGCTTTTAAAAACAAGCTGAAAATCTAGTCACCTCTGGCAGCCTTTCCCATCAAATTGACAGACCAACCGGCTTCGACCGAACCCTCCCCCCCAAAAAATCTCGCAGAGATGCACATGAAAATGCAACTCTCACCACGCGAGAAGGCGGCTAGTACATGGTGTAGCAGTAGTAGCAGCACACCCATCCCTCCAGCATCAATATCGACAATTTGGGGGATCCTGATCCTACTGCTACCTCTACGTGGAACACTAACCATTCAGCTACACGCAAAACCATCTGTCAGCTCCATGACATTCAATGGCCCGAGCAAGATCCAGTGCCACCCCGACTTTTCAATAGTCTTGTCTATTCTCACCCTTTTCAACCAACAACAAAAACCCTCCAATTGCCCATTTTTTTCCCCAGACTCCAGCCGTCAAATGTCAAAACATGCCACGCCCCCCCTCCTCCTCCGCACAAAAAATAAAACCCTCAATCATCATCTCTAAATCTCAGATCCGACTTTTTATCGTATCCCCTGTAACATCGCTGCAATATATGGAAACTACTGTATCTCCGCACGTCAAAGCATGGCATCTTTTACCCCAACTTGATTTCTCATACATGCCTATCCGTAATTCTCCATTAGTCTAATAGACTACCTTACTCCGCACACTATCTATGGAACTAGTATTGGTATCCAGCAACACACAGACGATAAAGAATCGCAACGCCCTTTCACCAACTTAAAACAATAGAACCATTTTTTTCTCTCTTCTCCAAAAAAAAAGCCCAGCTCGGCCGCTTTCCGTTGTGTCCCTTCTGCACTAAAAAAGCTGGCGCCTCCAAATTTTCTCCACCCATACATACAAACTGCCGTCTTGTCTCCCCCAGCTTTACTCCACATCACAATTCCCCCACAAAAGCGAACCCCAAAATCTCATTCCCTTCTGTATACGTGGATATCACTGTACCTATTTGCCTTGCTTTCTCCAACATGCCAAGTTAAGGTACGAGGGTGGATGGACAACTTCGTGACGACGACTGCGGAGAAAGGAAAAGGGGCAGTCGGGACGATTCGGAGGCTATATATCATCTTCTTGTGTAATCAAAGATACTGATAGAAGAAAGATCATAGACAATTACTTAATTTTCAGTTGTCATCAATTCGTTTCAGTACAGATTGTTGTGGTTGGCAATGCAACTGCTTAGGTTCCCGTTCAATTTCCGAAGCAATACGCGCCACCCGTATCACTTCGAGTCATGCCCATCTCACCATGCAAAGGTTGCAAGCTAAGCATATTATTTGGAGATGTTTCATTACTCGTACTGCAGAATCTCTCCTTCAGTCCGACTCGACTAAAGCTATCGACGATTTGATTTTACTCAAGTGGCCTTTAATCCCTATCACTACAAAGCCCTCAACGCCCCTTTGCTCCCCCTCCGTCCTTCCTCGGGGTATCGGAAAACCAAAAAGAGGATAAAAAAAAGAAAAGAAAAAGAAAAGAGCAATAAGCCTAACACGTACAAGTTTCCCTCTGCCCATTATTAATGTCAAGTCTGTAATAATTCAGTCTTCCGTTTCACGTCATTAGTATGCGTCTCAGCGATGCCGCAGTTTCGTATAATAAGCCTTCTTTGTCTTGCAAATCCCATCTTATGCGCTCTTGCTAAAGAAAGAAAGAATAAGAGAAAGTCCGGAAGTTTGGCCGCCCAGTCTATGTTATGTCGCTGCGTATCCGGAAAGAGTCATAAGCATCATGGCCCCGTCCGTAATAGCCAATTGTGATGCATCGTCATGGATGGATTCGAGTCAAACTCCGCCACCCATAAAGGCAGCGAGGTCATCGAGATCCAAAAGCTGGCGCTCAAACGCTTCACATAGCTCAGGCGCAGTCATGTCCTGGCTCGTAGCCTGGCCGTCTTGGACCGAAACCATACCGTTGGTCATCATCTCGGGACTCGGTTGCTTGACATCGTGAACCTGCATGTTCGCTTGCGGAGCACCGCCAGATGGAGGCGATGCGGTGCCCGAGGTGGAGATGTTGTTAGATCCCCCGTTAATGGTCGTAACGCCGGGTCGCCTGGGAAGGGAAATAGGAGGCTCGCTGTCTCCACGAGCAGAGCCAGATACTGAGCGAGGCGCAGAGCCATGCTGCTGGCCAGGAATAGCTCCAGCGGCGGATTGCTGGTCATACTCCATAGCATCTTGATTTGTATCACCATTTGATGACATTTCATCCTTGATACCCGGCACCGGGGCAAGGTGAGGGTGAGAGCCGTGTCTAGACGCCATCATGGCGGCAGCGGCATCATTGTGGAGGACACGTTGCATGACAGTCAGGTGCCTGAGCCAGCTGTTCATCAGAGGCCAGTTCTCATTGCCATCGTGCATAAATCGCAAACCGTCCTTGACAATGTGCGCTGCCGTCTCGACGGCGTTGGGGGGTGTCAGCCCCTTGAGGGAGAGGAAAGCAATAGTTGCACTAGCAGTGAATGCGGAGAAGAGCATGAAGATGGGCAAGCAAATTGCATGATCCTTCTCTGCGCCGGCCTCGACCGCTGCAAGGAGAGCTAAGGTGCCATGGCACGAGCTGAAGAGGCGGTCCACAATCTCGTGGCATCGAGGCGTGTGGCGATATGTCTCTAGGTTAAACGAGGGGGACGTGGTATCTTCCAAAAGACGCCGACGGTGGACGAAGATGATGGCGCAGTGGATGAGACAGTGAAGCATGGCGAAAGTATAGCCAGATCCCATCGTCATATGGAGGTTGATTTGGCCCGGCTTATCAACAAACTGCATGGGGAGGCTGCCTCGCAGTCTTTCAATCCTAACAATGAGGTCTGTGCAATCTTCTTCGCGAAAGCTCGCAACGCCAAGCATGCCAACAACGTCTCGCCAGATGGTGGCGGCCATAACAATGTGGCCAAATTCGCCAATCTCGCCATTGGGCAGGTGGCGGTTGGGTGACTCGTGAGCACCGTTGAGAAAGCCGAGCTGCTGCGGAAGAGTCTTGACGTATACGGCATTGCCAAATGCGAAGTTGATGTCCGAGCAGGGCAGGGCCACGTCAGTAGTGTCTTGAATGGTCAGGGCGGGATACCGGCCGGGCGTAGAGGTGAGAATGCAGTCGAGGATGTAAGTCAGCCACAGCGTGCGACGGAAAGACTCATCACGGAGGAACTGGTCGGCGGTGTCAGATGTGTGGTGGCTATTGAGGATCCGGTACATCTGCAAGAGCCGCGTGGCTTGGCCGAGGTAGACGTAGGCGCGAACGGCATTTCGACTGCCCCATTCGTGAATGATGACCAGGCAGAGGGCTTGGATGTCGGCGAGGTTGGGCTGGTCCAAGTTGGCGTTAATCAGGGACATGGCCTTGCCTGCAAAAGTATCCGCAGCACCGGTAGGAGTGCCGCCATAGCGACGGATGAGGGTCGGAGAGCTCCTGCAGAGGCATCAATCAGCAACTAAATTACTTGGCAAAGGATGCGAAGAAGATCCAATTGGAAGACACAATTCCCAATACCCAATCCCGGTGCGCGTTCCTCGAGACCAGGCCACTCAAGACAAGGCTGTCTGGCCTTGCGCACGGGGTCTGATCGGGGCCAATGATCCACCAGAGCTCGGCGAAAGCGGCTGAAACATGTAGCCTCGGTGATTGAGGCGGCATACCAGACCAAACCATGCCAGCAGCAAAAAAAAAAAAAAAAGTAGAACAAGAAAAACTCACCGAGCAGCACAAGTCAACAGACCGTAGACGAGACTGGATTCAAGCGAAGCATTTTTCAGCTGTTGCATAAACGTCGGCTTGTGAAAGGCCACGCAGGCAGGGAATGTCTTCGACACGACACGCTCGCACTCGGCGACGAGTTCCGGTGTAAGCCTGGAGTAGGTTCGGGTTAGCGAATTACGCTCGGGTTCCGGCGGCTTCAGCAGCCACGCAGCGGCTACAACTGCCGCAGGGGCGCATAAGGCGGCGGCGGCTTGGCTCATGCAGATTCAATCTAAACAGATGAGAAGAAAAAATAACTGAAAATCAAAAAGGAAAAAAAAAAAGAAAAAAAAAAAAAAAAAAAAAAAAAAAAAGGAAAAGAGAATAGGGAATAAAGCATATTAAAAAAAAAAAAAACGGGCCGTCTGGCATCCCAAATGGAAATGGGCTGGTGGGGGAATGGATGGGAAACATGCAGATGGCAGCAGCATGGCTCGGCGCAGTTGCAGCAGCGCGTGCACGAGCTAGAAGGGAGGCCGGGCCATTCGGGGAACGAGAATCGGGGGAGGGTGGTAGCTGTACCGAGGAAAGAGCAGGGACGTTGCGCCTCTGTGTCCAAAAGGGATGTAGAGGTTCAGAGGGATGCTCCCGAGACCTGCATGGCTGCAAACACACGTAGCAGTCAGACAAGCAAGGCAACAACGGAAATGAATTAATTCAATAAAAAAAATATAAAAAAAGAGCCCAAGTGGACGATGTTGCTGAGGATGGCGGCAAACACACACAATGGCGCAGCAAGAAAAAAAGAGGGAGGGGGTGGGCGCGAGTAAGGAAACAAAAGCACTCACTTTTCGGAGGTGGCCTGTACGTGTCTGGCTCCGCCTGAGCCCACAACGGGCTGTCTGGCGTCAGAGGCACCGGGCCCGGACGCCGGCAAAGCGTCGCGCGCTGGGCGATGCGCTGCGGTATGGCGAGCTGGGCTCTGGCCGTGGTGATGGGCCATGCTCTCCGAAGGCAGATAGCATTCGTGCATGCCTTTTGCGCAGTTCTTGCAGGGCGCGCGGCCGTTCTCGTACACGCACTTGGTCTTGCCCTTGCGGCAGCGCACACAGGCGCCGCCGGCTCTGAGGGCAGTGGATCGCACCACGCCGGAGGACATTGTGGGCGAGGCGACAAGTGTGGCAGGGAAATTAGAGGGGACCAGAAAGGGAGAAAAAAAAGAGAGAGAGGAGGATAGTGGGAAAAGGCGCGTGATTCGTCGCAGGCGCTCGTTACTCCGCTGCGTTCGGCGGCGGGTTCTGCGTCGTGATGGTGACGGGAGGAGAGAAAATGGCCGGAGGTCGCGACACCGTAGGCCCGGGACGAGGGCGGTGCACGCGCAATCGACTCGAGCAGTCTCGCTGCAGCTCCTGGGGCGAGCAGAGAAACAAGCAGAGCGGCGATGGCAGAAGGAGACGCAGAAGCCGGCGGTGACGGAGGCGGATGGCGGGTTGGAGCAAAGGGGATTTGCAAGAGGAAGAGGTGAGTCTGGCGACGGGTGAAGGAGGAAGAGATGGAACAGGAGACGGGCGCGAGCGTCTTTGGGGGATGAAAGGCGGGGGGTGTCGCCAGAGCGCAAAGTGTGTGTCCCGGCCACAGCGTGGGAAGCCCCACGGGCGGATCGGCTTGAGGCCTTGTCCGGCCCCACCCACAGGGAGCTGGACAGCCGAGTTTTTTCAGTGAGCCTTCAGTGGACGCGTCCAGAAGTGGACAACTGCACCTGCGAGTAGTGCGAGTCCCGACCGACGGAACCTGCTGGTACCCTCAGCTACTAAGGCACCTACGCGTATCTCTAGGTAGTAAATAAGGGAGAAGAGCAGCGGGCCACTTTGTTGAGAAGGTTTGCTTGACAGCAAGAGGGCCCCAAAGCATGCGAGCTCGAGTAGAATCTAGATGTGAGTGCTCATCATACGGTGCGTCAAAGGCTCGCCCGGAATGTGGCCTCCCGTCGCTCTCCTTTCACGACGACCTGGTTCCCTCTCGGCGTTGGCCCCACAGACATGACCTGCGCTGCGCTCTTTTTTTGGAGGTGTGGGAAAAGGCAACTGCCCGCTGCTGCTGTCACCTGTGTCAAGTACGAGAGTACAAGCACCGTCGAAGCGCCTGGGAATTAGCAGCAACTCAACCAGGCATGCACCCCATCCCACTATGACGCAGCCTTGGACAGGGCCGACCAGATCGGGGGTTTACCTGCCGTGGAGGCGGTCTCCCGATACAGCCAGTGTACTTGGCTCTACTCCAAACTAGCGCTGCTAAAGTCGAGCATGTCCGTATTCCGGGGCGATAGTCGTCAGAGCCGGCTGGTGGCAAGCAACGCGGCTAGTTGGCCACTTGTATCCTGCGTGTATCCTGCGTGTATCTCGCTTGTATCTATGAATTACATATACTGCTTGTCTGCACGACGCCGCACGTCGCCGCAACGAGTCTCCTGAACCATTGATCTTCTCGAGATGCCTGTGTACCTCTGTAGGTCAGTGAGGGCCTCGGGGCACCTGGCTGGAGGCTTGGAGCCGATGGCAGATGAGTGCCAAGCCCGCCAGCCTAACAGCAGCCAGTTGGATTGGCCCCAAAGTCAACGAGCGAACTGGCTGCGGCATCCGCTCGCGTCCGGCGGCATGCGCCGCATCAAAGCCTGCGAGTGAGAGGCGAGGCTTTCGCCCCCCTTTCCCACCCCATCTCTCTGACGGCCATCCAGAGCACTTCATTTCGCAACCGCCGGCTGCCTTCCCCTCCCAAAACCAGGCCAAGGCGGGAGCCCACTTGGATCCGGGGCACAGCCTATCACGAAGGGCTGCTGCTGAGAAAGCGGCCAATCCCTTTTTTTTTTCTCGCACTGAGATGATGGGCTGACTGACGCGGCGCGTGGTGCCCAAGGTAGCACTCCGTACAGCCGCGCCGGAACCGAGAGAGCTCCATCGTCCGACTTACCCCAAGCGAAGTGGTCGACACAGGCGGCTGTCTGCTGAAATTGCAACGCTAGATCTGGTGATTTTGCGACATTACACGTTCGATCATGTACGCACGCGGTCTCAGTGCCACGGCAACAGTAGTGGTATCTTTGTGCTAACACTCTTAAAAGACATTATCGACGGGAGGTAACTGAGTACCTAGAAACCTTAGTAGGTATTTGGATTTCGTGTAGCTTCAATGGTTTCCTCAGCGCCGGCAGCGCAGCTTCGGCGGGCGGCACACATCAATGGCGCATTTTTTAACGCTTTGGATGAAGGAAGAAGCCAGCAGCGGCACCTTGTGGGGCCGATGCTGTCCTCCTTCGAGAGCCTCATCCTGCGGCTACTGTACGTACACGCACAATCGGCTACGGAGTATCTCGCTTGGTCTAATGCAAGCAACTGAATGGTATCCAGAAGCAGAGCTGTGCACAGCCAATCTAAACGCCCAATCCACTCTCTCTGCGGAGGTCCAAGTGTGCTCGGAGCACGGCCTGTGCCGGCTAGTACGGAATGTGCAGGTGGATGACTGTAGTGGCCCTGCCGACCCGGCCTCTCAGCCAGATTGAGGCGTCCGGCACGGAAACCAAGAAATAACTTGGGCTTTGCTCTGTCCTCGCCTTTGGAGGCCGTATCCGTATATCCGTATATCTGTACGAGTACAGCAAAATAGAGACCAAGCAGGATGATCAAAGTTTATAGCTTCTGGCATTCTCACTGGCCGCGGATGGAAAAGGAGGCGGCCAGCCAGAGAGCGGGCGCAAGAGGCAGAGTCGCACGGTCGGTGGGGTGGGCCCTCATTATTCAGATCGTGTCCGCAGCCGGACGGATGTTGCCAGTGAAGGTGAATCACCCTTGGCGTCCCTAACGAGCACTGTAGCCAGATAGGCGCCAGAGGCATCGTCAGTCCCGCAGTCATCGGGGAGAGCAGCCTAGGCATGCGACGCAGGGCCGCTGATCAACGCCCCCCGCGTGGCTCTCCTCAAACCATTCCGTAGAGGCAAGAAATACCAACGTGCAGCGCCAACAGATCTGCTGCACATGGATGGCCTGGAGAGAGGCGCAAAACCGCCGATCGCTGCGCTGCGTTTTGGTTGTGGTTGGCCGCAGTTGTATGTATATACTGTATGCACGCAAATCGGCGTCGGCTTTGCCCACTGCGCGCTCACTGTATCTCCGTCCGCATCAGACAAGATGTTCCGGCTCTCTGGGGTTGGCCAGGTCTGCCCCTGTCTGCCCTGCGAATCCCAAGGCAAGGTTACATAGGTGCAGTTCGACAGTGCAAGTAAAATCCGAAAAAAATGAATCCTACGACGCGCGCGGTGGGCCCTCCGTATACTCCGATATTTGTCCAATTTCTAGTCCGTGTTTGAGTCCCGCCTTCGACCAACGTGCATGGCGATGATTCGGCGTCTTTGATTCATGAACAAGAGTTCCGTTCCCATATTTGTCTGGGCGCTAACGCATCCAATGACGCCGAGCTCGTGGCTGTTCGTGGAGTCCCTAGATGATGCTACTCTACTCCGTACCGCCATTGTTACATGCTAGTCCTCACCGATGGAAGTTCGTGCTGCTGGCTGACTGGACCCCCAAAGGCCTGGCCGCTTGCGCTCCAGACGACCTTGTATGCATTATTAATTTTTACTGTATCTTGTTTGTTATGCTTTTTCCTGCGACCACTCGCAGCTCTGTGGCGGATACCGTCGTATCGAGGAGAGTCATTGCGAGGCAAGTCAAATTTCACCAGCGGCGCTTGGTCTCCCCGCTGCAGTTTGTGGTTAGCATCATGCAGCCAGCAAAGTCATTTAATTTCACCTCTGTATTTTAGATTACCTAGCCAAGTGCCTATACACTCGCGAGCCCATTCGATCCTCGCACCACGTCAGATCATTCTTGAGGAGATGACCGGGGGATCGTACCACGCAAGTAGTGGTTGGCATGCTGTTGACATGTGCCCTTCAGACGTCCCTCGTCTGATCGCCATTGCAACTGTGACGCTGCGTAGAGACGAACCAGTATCATCTCTTCTCGTTCTTCTCGCATTCTCGAAATACGGAGTAAAGCCCAGAAAAATGCTGCGAGAAAGAGCATGGCAGCGCGCGATTCGGGCCGCGACGTGTCGAGCCCGCTATCAGCGGCTGGCAGATCTGAGATCCAGACGTTCGCAAGCGCGTCTCCTAGGTAAGCTCCGCATCTTCCGGTCCCTACCGGTGTGCTACCTTGCGTGAAATGACCAAAGCCCCCTTTTTTTCGATGGAGTCTTTCGCAATGTCACTAGGCTCTGCAGAGTGGTCAGAATAGGTACTGTACGACCTAAGATAGAATGCAGCCTCCATCCCCCGACGGGGACAAAGCCAGTTGAGCCATTTTAAGCTGCCGCGCGACTGATGCCACTCGCTCCGGGACCACGTGTTGCGAACCGAGAAGTTGAGCTAGCATTGACGATATTGTCGTGGCGGTTAATACACGCCGTCGACCGCTATTAAGAGCATTGTCTAGATGCATCTCCTGTCTCTAGAGCAGTAACGTCGACTTCTGCCGCTTCTGCTTCTGCTTCTGGCACGACCCGACGGAACGGCCGATGCTCTCCTCGCTCAACGGCTAGCGGCATCTGACCAAGGCCCGAGGTGGAGACAAATTATTGGTGCTACGGGGAGAAAAGAATGTGATGAAAAATCCGAGGCGAGCCAAAAGGGCTTACTCTCGGCAGACGATGGGGACGAAATTTGGAGCTGCCCGGCTCCGGGGAAATGACAATCACGTGGTTTTTTAATTTATTCCGGCGCTCGGCACTCTCCACCTGGAGGTGAGATGATCCGTCAGGTAGCATTTGTATGCAAAGTACAAAGCACGAAGCGCTGCAACGCAACGCAGCAGTCTATGCATGGATTAGCTGTCTAGCACTACTCCCCAAAGCATTGAGAAGAGTTTCGCCTATCTAACTAAAGCCAGATTCAGCTCTTTTTATGCATGATAGATGTGCCGGTGACGGGCACCTTTTTGGCAGCAGCGGTAGCAACACTGCAGCCTCCGCGCCCAGCGTCGATAGGCCCTAACCCGCAGGGTTTAAGCTTACTTGTAAATACGCGATGAATCATCCCGAAATCGGCGAAGGTCCTTGGGTTGACAAGCGTGCTTCACATGAAGTAGCTATTTGAAGCCTAGAACTGGGAAGGGTCTTGTGTATGCATAAGACACTTAGAGTCCAGAGCCTGGACGGCAATACGTATAAAGGATGGTGAGGATGCGTATACCATAAAGCTGAATTGATGATGCTACTCAAATAAGACGGTATATCTATCTAAATGTACTAAAGTAGAACAGAATGAGTAGAATGAATAGAAAACTAATAAAATGATGTGAGTAATAATCTAATTGTGTGCTTATAGCTATTAATTTCCCTATTAATTTTTTTTTTCTTTCTTTTTTTTTTTTTTTTTACAACAGTCGTCTTATGCGCATATAATGCCCAACCCGCTCATAAACAATCTTAGATAGGCCAGCTTCGTCAAAGACACTGCCACTACAGAATTTGCCATCCCTAATATACATAACCAAGCTAAGAAACATCCTCAATCCCTCACATAACCTCATAGGCAGAATGTCCACCAGGCATAGAAACAGAATACTCCAGCGTAAGCTTAGCCGCCTTTCCGGCATTCAAGCTCACATCCCAGCTCAGCCGGCCCTCCTTCTTGAGCTTCGCAATAGCCTTACCCCAATTACCGTCGTCCTTGCTCTGGCCCTCCTTGTCAGCCGCGCCAGTAACAACCCCGTTGTGATTGTCAACGACCAAGCCACGCGGGTACAAGAGTTCCACGCGCAGCCGCTCATCCTCCGAGACGGGCACCTGATCCTGCACGAGCAAGTCGACAGCCCGGCCTCCCACGGCACGCGTGTTGTGAAGCGTTATCGTGCGTATGTACACGGCGCTGTCTTCCTTGCTGAACAGGCCGGATGATGTGCGGTGCACCTCGGGCTTGGCATACGTGACCTTGATGGCAGGGTCGATGCCGAGGCTGAGGTTGAAGGACTCTCCGGAGCTGCAGCGAGGCAGCGATGTCTTGCCCATGAAGGTGCCGTCGAGGGTGAGGCTCGCGTTGCCCTTGAGGAGAGCGACTTTGCTGCTGTTCTTCAGCTTGGCGTTGAGATACGCTACAGCCTTGTACTTGGCAACAACGGTGTGGCTGAAGACGACGTTGGAGAAGGGGATGCGGGCCACGCGCTGCTTGGAGCCGTTGTATTTGGGAGCGAGGGTCTTGAGACCGGGAAGGTCATAGGTGGTTGTAAGGCCCGTCTCTTCCATGAGGGAGGCATCATAGATGGCGTCTTCATCGTTGGAAGGCTTCTCAACCTCTGCCTCTTGGACGGATTCTGGTTCGACGATTGCTTCCCTCTCGGCTGCGCGACTACCGAACTGACCTCCAGCTGGTGCTGCAGGCGTGACGGAACCGAATAAACCTCCGCTTGTCACTGCTGCACCAGAAGTGTTGCCAAAACCTGTGCTTTGGCCTCCAAAGAGAGATGAAGCTCGTTGAGTTACTACTGGCGCCGTTGGAGGAGGAGGAGGAACAGCATAGCTAGCAAAGGCTGATTGTTGGAAAGAGTTTGCAATATTGCTGGTTATCTTCTTTGTCTTCATTTTTGTGCTGTTGAAGGCGGAATTTTCAGCTTGCAGCATAACGGCCTGATTCTTGGCCTGATTCTTAGCCCGATGCGTAGCTACCATTTCTTCCCTGCTCCAGGTGATTCTGTCGTCATCACGGCGACCGACGTATCCAGAGGTGATGCCGATGCGCCACGGCTGGAGAGTGGGAATCTTGTCATCAAGCGCAGAGAAGGTCGCCTGAGAGGTGGAGAGCGTGATTTTGCAGTTCTTCCACGTCTCGCTGGTTTGGTTGGTGAGCATGGCATCAAAGAATAGTGATGCAGATGCATTGGTCGTCGAGAGCTGAAGGTCGTAGTTTGGCACCCAATAGGCCGATGAAGTGACATACGAAAAGACCAAGTCGCTCTCAACAGAAGCAGTCTTTTCAACGTCATCATGAACGTCGGCAGCTGAAACCACTGAGATGTCAATATCGCTAGCCGTAGAGCCTCGGCGTGAAGACGCAGGTGTAAAGGCCGCAACCTCCAACGTGATGCACACGCTGTAGACTTTGAGGGGCCAGAATCTCTCCTGTTCTCTACGCAGACGCGCTCTTTCTCGTCTGGCTTCGCCCTTGACTCTGTCTTTCAGTGCCTTCTTCTTTTCCTTCTCTTTCTTAGCCTTGGCTTTGGCCTTGTTCTTCTTTTCGTTCTTCTTATCTTCTTCACTCTGTAGCTTATTGACCTTCTTTTCGGCCTTTGCAACGTCCTTGGTGAGTTCTGTTACCAGCTTTCTGTTTTCAACCATGTCTTGACAGGCCTTTGCGCGCTGCTCCTTGTAGTGGTCGAGGGTAATTTGGATAAAATCGGGGGCCTTGCGGTTGCCGAGTTTGCTAATGTCTTCCAAAATCTCGAGCCGCCTCTCCGCATTGCAGACGCCATCGCGGGCCATGTCCAGTTTATCCTTGAGTTGATAGAGCGCATGCTGGGCGGCTGTTAAATGAGAGCTTTCTGGTTTCACTTCGTCATCGGACTCTTCATTGTCGTCCGATTCAGATTCAGATTCCGATTCAATTTGAGGGTACACTTCGTCGAATAGTTGACGGTTGGGTACCTCTTCGACTTCTAAGTTGGTGACAGTGGCACTGCCATTGCTCTCAACTCTGATTGAGTCTGGGTCAAGCGTTTGACTGAGTCCAACAATTGTTATCTGGTTTGTGCCATGCTATAAATTTGTTAGTTAATTGAGATTCTGGTGAAGGCTATGAATTATGGGGTTTACCTTGAGCTGAACAGCCTTGATCTCTCGGCGTACTTGAGCTCTGGAGGGAAAGAGAGTCACCGAAGAAGTATTGATATCGCTGGCTAGATACTCAACCTTGTGGATAGAATCCTCTTCGCTAAAGGTAGTCGAGATTGCCATTGTTAAATTTTGACTCGCAGCCAAATGGGAGTCGATTTGGGGCTATTTGATGAGCAGAGTCTTGAAATGAGCAATCTAGCAGCTAGAATTTTCCAACTGAAACGTCAATTGCAATGCGATTATTGTGATGATGGTTGTTTTCCTATATGAACAAAACTGATGAAGCGCAATTGAAAGTAGGACGTTAGGCCCTTTTATCTGCAAGCAGAAGCCTCGCCAAGAAATCCTTCGTGGACGATATATAATGTGTTTTCACTGGCAAGCCAATAGATCAACGCCAATAGGCCCAGGCACCGATAGGCTGCAGCTTCAGGCAAACGCGGGGCTGGTGCCTGTGCTAAATTGTATGTTAGTTACACGCATACATGCATGTATGCTCAGACTACACAGGTTACGTATCTACCATTTATGACTCTACTACTACTGCCCAAAGTATCAGTTGTTACGTGTCCTAAACTCAAGACGAGATAGCATGCCGCATATACCCACTATACTATAGCAGTCATGACTTTGACAGGCGGCAGCCTTGCTGTGAGACTTGAGATGTATTCCTTTAAACTCGGCTAAAGTGGCTGATGTATCCAGCACTACGGTAGGCCGAGAACTAGTTGTGATCGCTCGTCGTCAAGCGGGGCAAGTCCCGCATCTGGCCGAGCTGAGAACAAGGATTCGTATTTTTGATCAAACACAGGCACTCTCATTTATCCTTGAAAACTGATATGCTGCAATGGTGTTGAGTGGTCTATTATGCTGCTTGAGCTAGAACTGATTATAGAAATGCTCATACGCCATATATGTGTCCAAAGATGACGTTTAATATACGGATGCCAAACGAAGATGGATACCCATTTCGGGAAAGACTATTTCTAGCTAGAGCTACATACATGTAGATTGTTGTAATCGCTCTCCTTTTCTCTACAGAGATAATCCGCCCATACGTTCAACACATAAAGCATACTATCCTCGTGTAGTATTCTTTCTTTCTTTCTTTCTTTTTTTCCCTATATTAATTAAAAAAAAAAAAAACATGTCATCGTAGGCCTCCCATCGCTAGGCTGTGCTACGTGCTACTGCGCACTTCTGATTGCTAGGCGGTGATTAGTATTGACGCTAGTCTCCTAGCTATCATGGCTATGCCCAAGGTGCTTCAAAAGGTATCTGAACACCTTATGGGCTTGGATGCCAATGATGATGGTAAAATGTAATGTTAAGGGGCAGACTTTTATGACCTCCTGCACGGACCATAAGGAGAGCCTTGGGAAAAGTAAAGGAGACGAATTACAAGATGTCGGTGAAGCACCCATATGTGGGCCATGTTAGAGCAATGGGTCTTGTTTGGGTATTCATATTCATTTATCTAGGTCTTGTATGATGGAATGGAATGAACGAGAAATCTGAAAAGTATGTCGAAAGCTTGGGGGAGAAAGAAGACCCATGTATAGATTCAAGGAGCAACATAGCATCGCAAGCTACAGACGTCAACCAATCTTGGGAGACTCTGTCGATCAAACCCCTCTCCGCCACTAAAGCAGAGCTGTGTGCCATTCTGGGTCATACTCCGTCTATACGCATACGAAGATCCCTGTTATTCCTCACCAGCTGCTTCGATAGCTTCGATGCATTGCATATCGACGGCGCAATATGCAGCATGAGGCCAATCCCCCACTTTTAACCGCCTTCAGCTTCTTGCTGCCAGCCGGGCTGTGGGATAAATGATGCAAACGCGCAGGTCCTTTATGTGAAGCTTACCAGCCACCTCCAATTTGGCAGCGCTCACAAGGCCCCCAAGCACCGTCAACGAGTCTCCCAAATCCTTCCAAGCCGTGATACCTCTCATCTCATCCCGTTTTCGCGTGACATAGAAGGTGCAGATATGGATCCGCATGCGCCGCCGTTGAAGGCGCTGTCTCCGCAGCCGATTGATTCACCCAGTCCCAATAGAGCCTTTCCCACCTCAACTGCGCCGCCGCCATCTTCAATACCGGCGCTGCCTCTGCGGCCGGCGATGGACCAGCAGCTGCCCGACCGCTCGGTGAGCATGGACGACATGCCTCGAACGACATCGATTCCGCGCGGCGCCGACTTCCCCCAGGCCGGCGACTTTCCTCCAAAGCCCAGCGACTACTCCAAGCCCAACGATTATCCCAAGGCCACTGACTTCCACCCGAGGCCGTATGAGTACCCGGCCCAGAGGCCGATGCAGCAACTCCAGTCGCCGATGCAGCAGCTCCAATCTCCGTACAATCCCGTGATCCCTCAGCTCGATATGAAAGATGTCAAGTCCAGCTGCCAGCGCAACCTTAGACACCTCATGTACCTCCAGAGCCAGCGGCGCGGTTACGACTACGCATCGCAGGTTGATCTAGAGTGGCAAATCCGCAGCCAGACAGGCATCTTGATAGGTGAGGTGCGGACGCTTCAGAACGAGGTCCGACGGATGGTCAAGAATGCGAAGAATCACCGGTGGCGACGATGGCTGTTTGGAGGGTTTCTGTAAGTCGCCGCTGATTTTCATACATACCCTCTCCTTTTGCGGGCTTGATTAAAGCTTACACCAAACAGGGCGACTTTTATCCCGATTGTGCGCAAGCTGTTTCGCCGAGGCTCGGATCACGAGTCGCTGGCTTCGTCCAACAACACCGAGTACGCATTCCGCAAATCAAAGGGCCTTCTCCAGCGCATCAAGGATTCCGTCCTGGGCCATCACCGCCTCGCCAGCATCGCCTTCTTTGTCTTTTCGGTCATGTACGTGTTCCAGAACGAAGTCACATTGCGGGTGGCCAAGACAGTGCAGAAGCGCCTCAAGAAATTGTCCCAGCGGCTCGAGTACACCAGCCAAGAGGTCGATGAGAAGGACCTCAAAGTTCTAGAAGGCTGGAGGTGGAGAGTGCTTTTATGGTAAAAAGTAGAGTTTGCCGCTTTTCGATTAATGGGCGACTCTGGAATGCGCGAATGGACTTTGAGTTTGAGAATCGATGATGACGAACATATCCTACTAAAGGTGCATGATTGTAACGAAGCTTTTGCACAACTCGCAGCTCAGCTTTGGGCTGCTGTTTTAATATGTTTCAGCCTTTGCAACTTCAATACTACTTTACTATACTTCAAACTAATAGATACTTTATCATAATTTACTTATTTACACCACAATTGAGACAGTAAATTCTAGCTGAATGCCAGTTTTATCTTTCCCCCATCAACGAAAATGGCTGAGAATGCTTCGGATCGAGTTCAGCAGCGCCCTCACGCGGGAGCCAGGGCTGGATCTCACAAAGATCTAGCCAGAGGACCCAAAGATGCCTATTTCCGCAACTTGTACACAAAGGCCCCTGACTTTCGAGCGATGGCGCTCAATGATCCGGAATTTGCAGCTTTGTTCGTCTTCGCGTCTCATGGTGCTCCATTGTTTTGTAATAATGCCGATGCTAACGTGAAGATCAGCATCAAAGGTCGTGGACGTGACCTCAACTTCAGCGACCCTAAAGCCGTCATGCAGCTGACCAAAACGCTACTCAAGGTCGATTTTGACCTTCACATTGAGTTACCAGAGGATCGATTGTGCCCTCCGGTAAGTTAGACGAGCCTTCTTTGAGCGTCAATGTGTGAGAACGCTCTAACGGAGATGAGTGAAAAGGTTACGAACAGACATAATTATATCCTATGGCTCAAGGATTTGCTAGATACAACATCATATGATGAGCCTGGCCGGAAAGCGGTTGGATTAGACATCGGCACGGGTGCGAGCTGCATCTACCCGTTGCTTGGATGTGCGCAGCGCGAATGGTCATTTATTGCAACTGGTGAGTTTGCCTGACTCGAATTCATCCCTAGATTCGGTTGCATGTTGTATTAAAACTGTGAACAGATATCGATGCAAAAAGCTTGGAATGCGCAAAAAAAAATGTCAAGATCAACGACCTCGAAAGTCGGGTTCGGGTTATCGGCCGAAAACCCGACGATGCGCTCATTCCGCTCGATGATCTCAAGATGGAATCCATCGACTTCACAATGACAAATCCTCCCTTCTATGAATCTGTAGAAGCCATGTTAGGTAGTGCAGCAGGAAAGTCACGCCCGCCGTTTACCGCCTGCACCGGCGCCGAGGTAGAAATGGTAACCGAAGGCGGGGAAGTTGGCTTCATCAGCCGCATCTTTGAAGAGTCACTCGTCCTCCGGGGGCGCATCCAGTGGTATACCGCCATGGTCGGATTTCTGTCTAGTCTCACAAAGATTATCGATAAGCTGTGGGAGCACAAAATAGACAACTATGCCGTCACAGAGTTCACCCAGGGCAACAAGACGAGGCGATGGGCGATTGCGTGGAGCTTTCAACCTTTACGGCCAGCGCAGAGCGTCGCGAGAGGAACGAAAGCTGCGCTGTCGAAGAATATCTTGCCGGCTATGGCGGAGACCACCGCGTTTAGGATGCCCCTGAGAGGAAATATCGGCGGCTTTGCAGAGAACTTGAGCAATGCCATTGCGGCGCTGGAGCTTATATCCTGGAATTGGAACAAAGAGAAGCTCGAAGGCGTTGGAAGAGCTGTGGACAAGGTGTGGAGCCGACCTTGGCGACGACAGAAGAAGAGAGAAGCGGAGATGCAGTTGGGCGAGAAGGCGGACGGTGGAGGGAGTAAAGAGAAACTATCGCCCGAGGAGCAGGTTTGCCAGTTTGGCTTCAAAGTCGCCGTCCGAGTAGCTAGGGACCACGTTTCGGTCGAAGCACGATGGTTGGAGGGACATGATGAGGTGGCCTTGGAGAGTTTCCGAGGATTCTTGAAGACGGCGTCAGAAAAAGCAGTAGAAGACCTAGAGAAGGAGTGAAGACGACAACAAGAGGGTCGTATGAGGCCAGCTCATCCAGTCAATTCCGTTGATACCATTTCATCTAATATTAAAGCCCAAGTGATCCCTTCTGTGAAGAATTGCTCTTATATACTTTATAGATAGCTTTATGTTCACCAATCTAAATGCTTCATGGCAGATGCTTATCAAAACCCGCCTTCACAAGTCTCTGCCCAGCCTCCCAAACCTCCTCCGGAATCTCCTGCTCAATCTGAAATCCCCGCGCAGGATACTCACGAATTCGAACCAGATCCCCAACCATGATGCTCGTTACGAGTTCCCTCGTATTGCTCGCATCAGGGTACTCATCAAAGCTCAGCTTCGGAGACGAAACCGTAAAGAGCGTCGTCTCATCCGGCCACTGCTTCCTAAACGTGGCATACGTCCTCCTCTCCATGTACGGTTTCTGCACCAGCACCAAATTCTTGAAATCCAGCCCCCTTTCCATCAAGAGGGCATACGTAAAGCGCACATTCTCGCCCGTGTTCTTGGCACGAGGCTCCACAATGATCTTGTCTTCGGGGACGCCCATCTCGCGGGCAATGGCGGCGAAGACCACGGCCTCGGGCTCGTTGAAGAGGCCCTTTGTCAGGGCGCCCGAATCGCCAGAGTAGATGATATACGGTGCCAGGCCGTCCAGGTAGAGCTGCGCCGCGTGGGCGGCGATGCGCGTGTCAAGGCTGCAGAGGCAGAAGATGGCGTCGGCGGGGTGGAGGGGCATGTTCATGCGGTGGTAGTTGTAGACGAGGGTGGCGTCTTGGTGGACTTGGTCGGTGTTTTCTACAGCCATGATGGAGTTGTTGTTTCTTCTTCTTCTTCTTTTGATGAATTTACTTGTATGAATCGGCGTGAGTCGTATAAAAAGCTCATGGAGAGCTGGATGAAGTGAGGCCGCAGCCGTTATACGAGGTGGGGGTCATGAGCGGCCATACGAGCACGCCCTGCGTTCTACGAGAATCAACGGAGTATCCTAAACAGGAAATTCTGTGTCGTGTTAAAGAAAGTCTGATGCTACTATTCTCGCTGTTTATTTCATCTGTCAAAAACTTTGATCTTTTCTGTCCAGTATCCAGAAGGTCAATGGTGTTTGTGAGTGAGAATTTATGGTAGTGGAGTTTTAGACAAATGCGAGTTCCATCCTCGAATAGCAGTCAGCAAATGCACCTGCAATTCGCTTCCACATTCCCCGATTTGGCAATTATCTAGATTCAGGCATGCCATTCCGTTTCATTATGAATAGATAAAATTGGAGCAGCTGGATGAAACTTGGGATATATATCGTTGCATCAGATCTCCTTTTTATTTGAGCTGACTTGCATGTACATGCCCCGTCCATATGCTACGTCAGAAGAACTCCCAGAACAAATCTGTGCATCTCTTTCTTATCATAATACCACCTACGAGGTCGTGGGAGGTTTTTAATCAGAAAGCGATATAGACGGGCCAATATCCGGAAATATCTCTGGTCATGGTTTTCTGACACGAATATGGTTCTGCCCTGGCTCGGTAATGGTTATCAAAAGTCCAGCTGATTGTAGAGTCTGGATTAAATGTAACTAGAGACACCCCCTTGAGCTCTTCAGCGAAAAAGGAAACGCCGTCTGGCTACAGTAGTCTAAAAATATATTTACTATTTAGTAAACAAGCATGTTATAATATATGATAAAATTTAAAAATGAAAATTATTATTTCAACTTGTGGATTTTTCATTTTTTAGAAAATACATATGTACTTTATGGTTTAACTGTATTTAATATAGGTCTTTAATAACTTAAATTAATGCTCTTTTTATTCATAATTAACAAGGATATTAAACTTGCATAACCGATGGGTCCCCGATCCAGAGGACATCTTCCTAAACATCGGTTCTCATGCCAGGTTGGTTAACTGTGTTCCAGCTCCGCCACTCCAGCTGTTCGCTAGGACTTTCAGTCTCTCCGAACCCAAGCAACAGACTGACAAGGAATGTACCCCATAGCAAGGATTCTCTTCCTTCCGCAGCCTGGCTCTCGATAAAGTTAGCCCACCAAATCTGGCTTACTCTGGGAAACCCGGCTACTCACCCCCGCTGCGAATGTCAGCAGCCTCTGAAAACCCCATGCTATCGGGCGGCGATATATTTATTGTTGGAACTCTTTACTCAAACAAGCGGAGGGGGTGAGATTAATGAAATATTGATTAGGTACTAGTTTGTTTTGTTGAATCTTACTCAGACCACTGGCTTGGCAAATAGTCTCCAATCAACAGCACTGAACCCTGAAAAGACTACGTATACACCTGCTGACAGTTGGAGGGCAGGCTCAGAGGATGTGGGTTCGATTGCAAGAACTTCAGCTAGGTATGTTTGGTGGCTGTCAGCCGCAGGTACGTGTAAGAGACAAGTACATGAAGTTACTGGGCATATATCAATTCTGCACGAGCTGCTTCTGACGTGCCTTTACGTTGCTCTAAGCATCTCTCCCCCATTCCTCTCCGTTCTCCTTCACCTCACCAAAGTAACAATCTTGAGCATTGTATTGCGTGTATTCAGCTCCAAACTCCAAGATGACTTCTATTGCCCCCATCATTGATATCTCTGGCTACCTTGCAGGCGACAAGAGCCAAATCCCCAAAATCACCTCAGAGATTGACCGTGCCTTTCGCACATCTGGCTTCTTCCAGCTTGTCGGCCATGGCATCCCTCAGTCCCAGATTGACGGCATGATCAAGCAGACAGCCGAATTCTTTGCCCTGCCTGACGAGACCAAGAGAAAGATTCACGGCAAGATGCGAGGCTACCAGTCTCCCGAGCTCCGAGAATCACTCTCGTCATTGGCTAAAGAGGGCTTCTTCATGGGCCGCCACATGCCCGGCAGAAACCGACCCATTGTGGAAGGCAACCTCTGGCTAAAGGAGGAAGATGCTCCTGGATTTAGACAAACAATGGAAGAGTATTTTGCTGCCATGGAGAACCTGGCTGTTATCTTGCTGCGACTCATTGCGCTGGGCCTGGGATTGGAGGAGACATACTTTGACGATTTCGCCAAGCAGCCAGAAGGTGTGCAGATTGGTCTCTCTGATTTAGCATACTCAGCTCACATGTGTCTTTAGGTGCTGTTCTATGTCGGTTCCATCGATACCACCCCACTCTGCCCGAAGAAGGCGACGACGTGGTAGGCCTAGAGGCCCATGCAGATACATCTGCTGTCACCATTCTGTACCAGGACGGCAGTAAGTGTCTTGTTGCTGGAATGCTTTGAAGCTCGTGTGGCTAGTCAGCTAATCATTTTGTAGTTGGTGGACTGCAGGTCAAGAACGAGAAGACTGGCCAATTCGAGACTATTGAGCCCATCCCCGATGCTTTCGTCATCAACCTGGGCAACATGTTTGGTAAGAGTTTCGCCCGCGTTGCACTGAGCTGAGACACAGTGTGTCTGCTTGCAGGACATGAACTAATCAGCCTTGGCAGCTCGCTGGACCAACGACACATACCTCGCCGCCGAGCACCGAGTCCTTCTGCCCACAGACAAGTTCCGCTACAGTGCGGCGTACTTCATGGCCGGCTGGCTGGACCAGGTCATCGAGTGTCTCCCGCAGGTGCTCAAGGCCGGAGAGGCTCCCAAGTACGAGACGTGCACGGTGGAGCAGCTGGTGACCAACTTCAGAAAGGAGATTTACGACATCCACACGCCGGGCGCCACGGCGTACGTTACCGTTGAGGAGTCGTGAGGCAGGGGTGAAAAATGCAATGCTTCCTTTATGTGTCCAGGAGCATTCAATGTTCTCATGTTTCTTTTCCGTTTGCTACTTGTTATTATGCCCTGTAGACAGCGTGTGTCTCTCATCATTCATTGATTACTTTTTACTTGACGTGCCTAGCTACCTGGTAGACAAGGAATAAGGCCTTGCCAGTCTCCATACTGCGTGACAACCCCCGCTATGTGGTTGCGAACGGCGGGGGTGGAGACAATTGAACGCATGTAGACATCAAAATATACTACAGTCCATACAGTCCATGCAACCTGCGCTGGAGTTTCAGGGCAACGCGCGCTGAACCCGTCTGCTGGAAATCGCGCCCCGCCCGCAGCCCGCGCGTCCAGGCCCCGGCCAGACCCTTTGCTGGGCTGTGCAGTTTCATCCAGTCGCCATTGATCCCTATTGACCTGCTCGCCTCCTGCGGTCAGCATGCGCCGCCTCCACGTGTGAACCATGCGGCTTGCTGACACAGAATTTGCTCACACGTTGGGAGGGAGGAAGTATTTGGCCGGCCGTCCCTACTGCGGCTCGGCACCCTCAGCTCGCCGGCGCTTCCCTTTTCCTCCTCCTCGTGCTCTTTAATTGCTCTTTTAATTGCTCTCCTTTGAAGTGCCGTGTCAAATCAGCACGTCGTCGACGCTCGGCGACCGCTAAAACTTGCCAAAGCCACGTTTACTGTGGGCTGTCCGCCACCGGCTGCTGGTTAGCCACCCACCATCTCATCTCATCTGCAGACGGCGCCCTCAAGCTAAAGCAACCATGCGGGCCGCCTCGGAGCGAGCCTTCAAAGGCCAGCCCGACATTGAGCTCGACAGCAGAAGCAGCAGCATTCGCAAGCGGTCGCTGGATCGCGATGGCGGCGCCGCCCACGACTCGGATAGCGATGGAGAGGGAGATGAGGACCTGCCCCTGTACGAGGGCGATCCGTTGGCATCGCCGGCGGCAGTGCCCAAGGCGGCGTCGGTGTCGGCGCGATACGTCGTCATCATGTGCTCGCTGTTCATCTTCATGGTCGAGCTGAGCATGTATGTCACGGATCCGGCGCTGCAGATGATCATGGAGGATGTGGCCTGCCACGACCACTACCCGGACCACAAGATTGGTGATTTCTCGGGCGAGGACACCCGCTGCAAGAATGCCGACGTCCAGGGGACCTTGGCCATGTCCAGATCGTGGATGATGTGGGCGGCAATGTTCGTGCGTGAGTCTCAATTCGCTTCTATAATCAAACTCTCCGGCTGCGTCGACTGACTTGCGCGTAGCTCTTCTTGTGCAGATCCCCTACGGCATCGTCGCCGACAACTATGGCCGCCGCCTGGTCCTGTTCCTGGGCCTCTTGGGCAACCTGCTCGGGTCGTGCTGGACCGTGATTGTCTGTAAGTTTGGAAATACTCGTTTCCTCTTCAAGTTGCAGCGTCTGATTGTGGCTCTGCAGTGCTCAACCCCACAGTATTTTCCATATGGTATCTTGTCCTAAGCGCTGTTCCAAACTTGATTGGAGGCGGCGGCTCCGTCATCATCGCCATGGTTTGGACCATTCTCACAGACGCCATCGCGCCAGAGAAAAGAACCACTCTCTTCTATCAGATGCACGCCATGATGCTTATCCTGAGCACAATCTTCCGTCCCATTGCTGGTTGGATGCTGAGCATCAACCCCTGGCTATCCATGTGGACGGGTCTTGGTTCTCTCGCTATAAGCACCGCCCTAACCCTCCTCATCCCCGAGACTCTGCATCTCACTCAGAGCTCCAATGGACAGCAGGTACACGGCCATGCGCCGCATTTCCCTCCGCTCGGACCCAAACAGAGCGTCATTCGGACGGCATGGGAGACGGCAAGAAAGGATGCTTCGCGCGTCTGGCAACTGCTTCACAACTCCAAGAACCTCTACCCTCTTATTCTTGGCTTGGCTTTCTACACCCCCATTCACACTGGATTTGAAATGAACATGCTTCAGTATGTGACAGCGAGATTTGAGTGGGACTGGTCCAAGGTGAGCCCCCCCTTAACCTAATTTTATCAGCGAGTGTCAGACCCTAATCATTAGTCGCAGGCAACCTACTTTATGACCATCCCCAAGATCACTTCAGTCATCGTGCTACTTGTCGTCTTGCCCGCCATCACCTGGGTCATCAACAGACGCATGCATCTTGACATTTTGACAAGGGACCTTTACTTTGCTCGTGGGTCTATCATCTGCGTCGTAATAGGCAACGCGCTCACAGTAGTCTCGGCAACACCCTGGCTGCTGGCCATCTCTCTAATCGCTCTTGGCTTCGGCAACGGCCTGCTGCCGCAAGTTCGGGCTATACTCGCCTCACAAGTGGAGGCACATGCCCTGGCAACGGTCAACACGGCAATTGCATCTGTAGAAACAATGGTTGGCCTGATCGGCACGCCCGCACTAGGTTGGCTGCTAAGCAAAGGAATCGCGCTTGGCGGGTTTTGGATGGGATTGCCCTATTTGGCGACCACATGCTGTGCCATTGCCAGCGCCGTCGCCATCTTCATGTTTAAATTTCTTCCACAGAGTGCCAAGTCTGATGAAGAGGCGCTTTACGATGCACTGAGAACTGAGGAGGACATGTAGACGCATATGCCTCTGATGGAGGAGGTAGCCAACATAATTGCAATGTGATCCCATTCGTGAATTCGCACTTTACATGTAACTACTTGGTACGCACAGCAAACTGTGATGTAAGACGTAAATGTATTTGTCTATTTTAACTATTCAAAGGAAACTATATCTAATACTATTAAAATCACAGATCCATGTCATCAACACCATTTTTTACAACGCCCACTGCTTCAACCACAGCTTCATCCATTCTGGTCCCACTGGATCCAGAGACGCCAGAGTCTCACTCTGGCGCTTTGACAACTCTGTCGCAAGAGTTGGCATGACACCCTGGCCGTCTTCCACGCCGCCAAGAGACTCAAAGTAATCTAGTAGCTTAAGGCCGGTGTTCGCCTCTGGATCTTCATTGCCCTCCGCTGAAGAACGCAGCGCGCTGACCCATTCCGCCCACGGCACAATCTTGTCTGATGGGATGTGCAGTGCGTCTGCGACTGTGGGGACTAAGTCTGCCCAAGGGATGGAGTGAGGGTTGGTTGCGTGATAAACGGTGGCGTGGCTCTTGTATTCTGACTGTTTGTTTACGCCGTTGACTGACTTGCCGCTTGGCAACTCTTCTGGCTTCTGGATGATACCTGCAAGTTCCAGGATGACATCGGCGAGGATGTCGACTGGGATCCAGGAGATGCTGTCCAGAGCTCCGAGGTCCGACGGGAGGAAACCAATGCGCTTTGAAGAGGCAATCATCTACAGATACATACAATATTAGCCCATCTTGATGCTTTTTTTCTCTCTCTCCAAGACCATGGGGAAGTTAAACTTACGGTTGGAACCCATTCCTGTTTGTTCCACACGCCGCCTTCCTTCTCCACCGGCCCTGAGACTTGTCCCACGCGGCAGATGGCGGCGTTGCCCTCACCAGTCGACCTGACCTCATCTTCGATAATCAGCTCGCTGATGAGCTTTGATGCGTTGTAGCCGTTGAGATCTGGCGACAGGACATCGCAGGGGCGCTCTGGAACAGGCTTGGAGGACGAGAGATGGCTGACGCTGCCGGTAGTTGAGAGGAACAATAGCTGGGCTTTCTTGGGGCTGGCGTGGGAAAAGTCCAGCAGACGCCTCACGCCTTGGATGTGTGGTTCGAAAGTTGAGAGGTCCCAGTTGAAGTTGACTGGCCATTGAGAGTCTGTAACACAAGCAGATTAGCCACCAATTGTAACAACCTTTTTTTTTTTCTTTTTTTGTGTGTGTGTGCCCCCTTCAACTCAATGAGGTGTATGTTAAAAACTTACGAATAATATGTGTCGTCCTCTCAAGCATCTCATCATACTTTATTGGGTTCAGGCCAAGATCCGGCTGCGACAGGTCTGCGCGCAGAAACTCGATTCTCGGCTCGATCCAGTCCGTGTCCAGACCCCGCGAGCCGCTGGCCTTTGTCTGAGCGGCCTCGCCATCTTCGGCGCGGTTGAGGCAGTAGATCTTGCGGACGTGCCACTGGTCTAGAAGGGCGTCGAGCAGGTATGAGCCGATGGAGCCTGTGCTGCCGGTGAGGATGACGGTTGCGTATTCTCCGCCGAGAGGGTCTCTGAAGTCTTCCATTATGAGATTGTGTCTTTGTGTATGTGTTACTTATTTTGTGTAAAGTTTTGGTGTTTCACCAGTGTCTTTTGAGAGAAGAATAGTAAAATTGTGTGACAAAAGCTTAGGAAGTGGTGCTGAGAGAGTGGTTGCAGAGAGAGACAACTGCGTTGATTCAGACACGTTGGATACCTAGTAAGTATGCTAAGAGGACCCTGAACGCGTGAAATGTCGAATTTACTCTAGATAATTACGCAAAAGTTCTCAACAAGGCATGCTAAGCCGGCTGTGCCTGCGCCCACTAGTGCCTATCATCAAGAAGGGCCCATGTGTCTGCGTCAGACGTAAGACTCGCCCATAACCCCCCCTTGTGAGAGTCCGTCTTATTCTAGAATACATAATCACCACATAATCAGATTATAGAGTGGTTATAGTGGTAAGGAGGTGTGTTGGGGCAGGTTCGCACAGGGTCGAGGCTGACATGTGTCTATCTTGTCTGACGCTATATGCACGAGGGCGAAAAAAAAAAAATAGTATTTCCAGGCTAGAGGCGAATATATTGTAGCGTCATGTGCAGAATCTTCCGCAGATAGTGATCTATTTTTCGGGGAATTTGTAAATTATTTGCCGTGTGCGATTACAGAGCCGAAGCTGTTGGTTGTTGGTTGGCGCGGCTCTAGCCCGCGTGGCATTGGCAAACCATGGCGGCTTCTTGCGTCAGCCCGCCCGCGATGTGCTGCCAAGTTACCGAGAGTCTAGTTGAGACAGACGATGGCTCTAGTTGGTCTGGGCAACTTCCAGGGTGGGCAAAGTGGCTGGCTGGATGATATTACATGTACCCAATGACTGGAGACAATACAGCTAAGCCCTCACAACTAGTTGCAGTCATGTGAAGAAGGGATTGAGTTGCCGGCTGCAGAGTCTTCCGTAAATGCGCGTGGGCGGGGCGTCGGAAACCTCCAAAGGGGGGTGGATGTCGACTATCACGTTCTAATAATAACGGGCAATAATATTCCTCCAACAGGAGCGAGGAGCTGACATGATTGCGTCCAAGATGATATAGAAAGTGGATATCTCCTAGGCTGCGGGCGAATGGGCAGTGTCTCATTCGCAATTGTGGTCCAGTGATGAAGCTGAGACTGAGATAGGATCGAGGCTTACAGGGAGGTGGAAAACATTATACGAAAGGGGCAATAGAATCCTTGCACCAGAAATGGCAATGGCACCCGGTTGAGAGCAACAATTGAATAATAATGATAAAGTAATAATAATAATAATAATGGTAATAATAATAACGTCTAGGCAGGATCTGAGTCTGACATGTAGGGATGTATGAATCTAAGATTATGCAGGAGCAGAGATAGTGCCAGACTACAGTTGAAAAGAGCTTAATGGTTATTCACAGTGACAGTCTAAGACATGCGATGCCTAGGCCAAAGTGGTGGTTGCAGGGATGCCAGAGGCCTGAAGCAGTTAAACAGGGGGCAGCCCAGGGTAGCGCCGAATAAACTTGACAACCCCCGCCCCCACAGCTAGGGCTGACGTTGAGGTAACCTTCGGCTGTGCCAGTGCTACCCTTTAGTTCCCACTTCTAGTGGCTGGCGATCGCTGTTCTAGTTCTGTGGGCTAGGATGGATGCAACGTCTAGAAACACAAATCGTGCACGCGCGGCCGAGGTTGTATGTAGTAGCTTTTCCGTGATTTTTCGCTCAAAGGTACCTATTGTTTGCACTTGGTTTGCTGAAAGCCTGCTTGTATTATGACTCATTCAAACAACGCTGGGCTTTTCTTTCGTTCTTGTTCCAGTAGATTAAAGGTACCTTTCTCTCTGTTGATAAATAGGAAATAAAATTATTACTTTTTTGTTTTATTTACTAGTTGAAAAAAATTACTAATATTTTAGTATTATTATTATTATTATTATTATTATTATTATTATTATTTTAATATTATTTTATTACTTTATTATTAAATATATATATATATTAGCTTATACTATATTTAATACACCAATAATAACTTAGAAAAGAATAATATCCAAGATGTCATTAACTGCATAAATAATATATTCGTATAGTTATATTATTACAATACCACTATATTATACCCTTTCTGCAGATCAATCCATTTCTAATAGCACAGGCTGTCCTTATCAGTTTCACTTCGCACACCCCCCACCCCTTCATATGCCTCGTCCTTCCAAATCCATCTTTTCACGCAGCATTCCCCACGGTCACGTTCACCTGAATGCCGCGCTCAGCTTGCAGCATTACGCCTCGTTTGCCGCACAAAAAAAAACTCAAGAAAAAAAATTCATGGTGCCGATCTGACGCACGGAAACGAAAATACCATCGGCTTGGGCTCAGGTCCGTATGGGAGTGCTGGCATGGGCTGCCCCAGAAGCGCAAGCAGGCAAGTACGACGGCGCACATGCTTGTTTCTGGCACAGCCGCCGATTGGACGGCACAGGCAGCTAAGAGAGACCCACCCAGGCGGTGAGTGAGCACATTTTACCGGGGTTCTGGATCTCTGATTAGCCACCCCTTCCGGGCGTTAGCCTCATGGCTGGGGCGGGCTCGGTGTCTGTCATTTGCAGCCACGTTATATGCAGTTACCGATAGGCTATTGGGTATTCAATATAGTAATAGGTAAGCGATATAAAGGTAGAAGATTATTTTAACTACAAAGGGAATCGTTATTGGTTTAGTAGCTGTAATAATATTACTATTCTTGTAGTTTTTTTTTGGGGGGGAAACTACCATTATAGCACAAAATAATACAATTATATTCCCTGTTGCAGAAAAACATACATACAACGCATGCAAGGGTATACTCCTTTCAGCCTGGCAAAACCGGGTCAGCGAGCACTTTTACCAAGCTAACAAAATACAGCATGTGCTTGTGGGCGTGTGCATATAAGCATATGCAAGTTTTGTTTGATGAATGAACCATCCACCACTGCAATCCTCCTCATGGCACCTCAGCCGCTTGGGGGCGATTCCTGTGCCGCTGCTGCTGCCTATCAGATATTCCAGATCCCGCACACGTCTATTGTCTAGTCTCTGTTTCGAAAACGCGGCTTACGACCGAGCCCGGGGGCGTCACTAGCAACTAGCAGATACTTAACCTCTTTTGATGCCGTCGCAAGTTTTTTTTTCTCTATAGCAACGCCTTGCAAGCACTTCCTAACCCAATTTCCAGTCTACTGTATCTTCCCGCCTTTGCATCATGTCCCGCCACTCTTTCCTCATTACCGGAGCTTCATCCGGCCTCGGTCTCGAGATTGCCCTCGAGGCCCTCAAGCAAGGCCACGTGGTCGCTGCTGGTGCTCGCAATCCCGCCGAGGCCGCCAAGCAGCATCCTCAAGTGCAGGAATTAGGGGGCAAATGGGTCGAGCTTGATGTAACCCGCGCCGACACCAAGGAGTCGGTAGCCAGGATAGTCAAGGACGCCGGGGTTGATGTGTTGATCAACTGTGCCGGATACGGCATTCTCGGCAGTCTTGAAAACACAGAGTACGTTGCGTCTCGTATTTCTGTCCATCCTTACTAAATACCCGTCTTACTGATCGTCTATGCTAGTGAGGACGAGTTCATTGCTCAGGTAGATACCAATGCCTTTGGCACCATGCGCTGCATCAAGGGAGCATTGCCACACTTCCGCTCCCTTGCGGAAAACGGCGGAGCCACTATTGTCAATATAGGCAGCCTCGTCTGCTACGGACACTTTCCTGCATGCTCTGCTTACGGCGCCTCCAAGGCAGCTGTCGAGGCCCTAAGCGAGACCTTGGCCCTCGAGGTTGGTCCAGCAAAGGTTCGCGTGGTCCTGATTGATCTAGGCATCTTTAGAACCCGGTTCCTGCATGCAGCCGTCAAGCCAAAGAGCGGCCTAGACGAGGCATACGTCGGCGGGTCCGTCGATAGCACCGTCTCATTCCTGGACGGCATTGCTGGTAAGCAGCCTGGAGACCCAGCCCTTGCCGCTAAGAGAATTGTTGAAACCGTCGACGGCACTGGCATGGCCAAGGATCTTGCAGCCCAGGGCTATGGCAAGCTTTTGAGGGTGCCCTTGGGAAGCGATGCCTTTGATGCTCTCAAGGGCAAGGAGGCTAGCTTGGCTGAGATCCGGGCGCTAGAGACACTGGCACGAAGCACAGACTTTGCCAACTAGAATATGTATCCGTACATAGAGACAATTCAGTTACCGTTGCCTTGTTATTGTACATAGTAAATGAGACCTAGTAGTCGTGGTGTTATAATCGACTTTATGCGAGACTGTATCTTCCGCCGTGTGGTATCTAGTCTGTGCTGTTTCATTCATGTCGCCAAGATGAACATCCCCAATGTTACAGTTGCATTGAATCGTCGTATATCTTGCTTACCAAGTTCTTGGTTACAGAACTTCCAAATGGAAACAAGATGCTTACCTGACTTGGCAGAACCAATCGAACCACTCTCCAAAATGAGACGCTGCAGTGAAACGCTGCAAAGGAACACCTTGTAAAACTCGGTAGGGGTATCTCCATATTTCGTTTCACAATCATGTCAATGCTTTGCGCCACGTCGTACCATACTGAGAGCAATGAAACAAACGTAATACTATCTTGAGAAAAACACTACAATAGCACCATTCTAGATATATCAATATCAGGCTATCTAATAAACGAGCTGGTTATTATATGTGGACATCTACTATCAGGTTGGAGAAGGAATACAGCATAAACTTATCTGCCATGTCCTTGGTATGCCACGTAAACTTTGGAATATACCCAAAATTAATGGTAAGACGAATTTCCTTTTTTAATAAAACGGTTGTGATCATCACAGCTTAACTTGTGAAGTTTGCGGCATAGGACATAGGCCTTTCAGATAAATTCACCCTAGATTAGACCACTCTCTGAGGCGAAACGCTTAAGAGTAATTTCGTAGCCCATCCTGTACCTGTATTCTAGCACAATACTTCACAAAGACAGAGCGTCTAATTAATAAAAAAAAATCATAAAATTCGATTATTGCATTCTATATACTCCGTATGCCTATGCCTTGTCGCGAGCGCTTCTAGTCTAAACGACATCACTTTTTTGTAAAAAAACAAACAAGAAAAACACACTAGTTGCTAGCCTCCTCCTTCACCTCAGTCTTCTGCCTGAAATAGCTGGGGCGACCATCCTCCTCGACTATCTCCATGGTGGGGTCGTTCTTGTAGTATCCCATGGGGGCGCTCTCCCACTCGCCGTCGGCCATCAGCGCGACTGAGCAGTGCCAAGGGGTTGTGAAGCCGGTCTTGGAGTTGAGGAGAGCCATGGACAGCTTGTGCTCACCAGTAGACTGGTGGATGGAGAGACGCAGGTGGTCGGGGAAGGCGTTCTTGACGGCACCAGCAAAGGCCTGTGAAGAGATTCTTGGTCAGTAACTATAAAAACTGTTTATGAGAAGTGGTGAAAACGTACATATCCTCGCAGCAACATCTCCTTGGCAAGGAACTTGACGCTCCTCTTGTATCCATTGCTGGTTCTTCCAGCTTGCAGAGGGAAAATGTATTGCAAATCAGACTCGAGGAATCTGCAGTATCCGCGGTAGGTCATGAGAGTATCGGGCTTCTCCGCAATCTCGCTATCAATGTCGTGGTCCTCCTTGCCATACTTGTTCAAAAGGACGCGTCGGAAGTTGGTGGCATTGGCCACATACTTGATCTCATCCAGCTGATCTGGGAGAGGGAAGTCGACCAGATCCTTGATGCGAGAGAAGTCGATTTGAGTGAAGCCCTTCTGGAGGACCATGGCGCGGAGAGCCTCGCCGTAAGCCCAGGTGTGTCGGTCAGGAATGCTCAGCAGGTCATTGTATACGAGACCATCAGAGATGATGGTCAGCTTGGCACCAGGGGCGTAGATCTTGCCAATACGAACACACATGGTGTTGAGGCGCTCGACGGCAATCTCCTCTGCCTTGTCAGGCAAAACGCCCAGGACCTTGTACTGCTTGTTGGCAGACTTGAAGGGGAAGGCAGGCAGGCACATCAGTACTTGCTTCTTGGCCATGACGAACTGATCAATGACAGAAAGGAACTTGGGGATACCAGCTCCGAGTCTGTCCATGCTGTCGTCGAATTTGTTAAGGGCATACTCGAAGATGATGGCCAAGATCTGTCTGGAGATCTCAGTGGCTTCCTGAGTAGCCTGGGCGAGCTCAGTGCTCTCCAGGGAAGTGAAGGCAGGAACTGAGGTAAGAGTCTCCATTGTGTAAAGATAGAAGTTGTTATGAAAGGGTATCTAAGAAGGGAAAGAAATGAAGTGCTTGAGAAAGCTATGGATTAGAGAGGAGCTGTTGTTGGATTTTCGAGAGACTTTGAAGCAACTTTATAGACAGATGATCACCGGCATTGATCAGTGTATACGATGTACATGTAGTCATCGCTATACAGGCAATTGCTGGGGTCTCGATAGGGGCTTAGACAAAGAGGTAACATGTATTGAAGCTCCATCCCAAACTAGTTTCTCACGAGACAAGAAAAAAATGATGGCATTTTTTTCTTTCCTTTGCATTCGGTACATGTTTGATATTTATTACTCAAAATAGACTGGACTGATTTTATTTATATACCCATTTACAATTATTTACTATGTACAAAGTGGATTTTGATACAGCTTTTTCTCACAGGACTTCTTGCCTCCGTTACAACCACCCTGGTGTACATGGCGTGTATATAACCTCCAGTACTTTTTATACCTCCCACCTTGGCGCGCGCGCTAGAATTGCGCTAGGCCCGATCCTTCGGACCGCTACCCCATAGTGGCTATGACCCTAGAACGCGCTAAGCCCTTTGACTAGCCTCACCTTTTCCGTCAGCTCAGCTTTGCCCTCGGATGGTAAGAGCCATTTTTTCCAGCAAAGCGGAGTTACTTATAAATAAGAATCCTAGCAATTAACTAAACAAGGGAAAAAGCCAAGAGAGACAGAATCACATGTGTATGCACACGTCCCTCGCTTCGACACAACAGTCATTTGGAGACTTACAATGGCACAACTTCCAGCGCTGTGCATGGCAGACACAAGGTGATTCTACTTCATCATTCCCAGAATCAACAGGGAGTATTATATTAATTCACTTCACAAAAATTATGCGTCCTTACAAAGCCTTACGAACTAGACAAAAAACCACAAGGGTAAGAAAACAAGTGCGATTAAGCTAAAGCGTGAAGTAAGAGAAAAGTGGAACTAACAGGGGCGAGGTAGAGAGAATTATTACATAAGAGCAAGGATTCAATAATCCCGTATTATGAAACAAAGGGGTGGAGGGGGATGAAGAGAGCTAAAAGATGTTCAGTAGTTAGTTTACTTGATCTTTCCCACAGGCATCTAGCAGCAGTAACTAGGTAGTGTAGGATCATTAGCCTCGTGAAGCGAGAGGAAAGCAGCAACCCAACAATACAGCATATATGCCACACAAATCTTCAAGTTTCATTATTTTTTATATAGATATTTTTTATACTATGGTGCTGTGTATAGTATATATATAATGGGTATCATAACCTGAAGGTCTTTGGTATAAGCAGGGAAAATAGATACTCAGAAAAAACTATATGTAAACTGGTAAATTGTTATAAAAATATAGAAAAATAACCAACCATATCATATTAAACAAAATAAATATTACATAAAATAATTTTCTATATATTTTAAAGGGTTAGCTTATATGTATATATAACCTAGAACCAACAGTTTGTTTACACTCCTCACTGTCCCTCCCCCTCCTACATGGACTAATATAAATGTCTATTTTAAACACACACCTAAGGTTGCAACATGATATTGTAATACTGTAATATTTTATATTAATATTCCTTGTTAATCAGACTTATCTTTTCTTGTGCAAGTAGGAACCACGGAGATTTAGTCAAACGCCTATGGAAAAATGGAGATTAGTATTCATTACCGCTAGTATTAGCGTTCGTGACTATGCCCCAACCCTGCACCTGCATCATCCGCCTCCCTCTGATGTAAGACGGTAACTCCCAGGACGCTTCTAGGCTTCATAACATCCTACAAGGCTGGCTGAACAACCCACATCCATATAGGGTGTCGTGCATGGGGGCAGGATCTCGTTGATTCACTGAGCACAGCCATGGGATTAGAGCTGACAAGTCCAACGCTCAATTCATAGCCCCCCCACCAGTCCTAGGACCGACTCTCTCGGTCCCGCTGTTTTCGATGACGAAAGTACTTATTAGATGCATATGTAGGCTTTAGTCTTTTGACAGCCACTGTTGTTTTCCTTCGCCTTTTGAGATAGAGCCGTTGCACGTTGCAATTCTCTTGTCAAAGGCTGTCAATATGGCTTCCTCAGAAAACTACGGGAAGCGGCTCATTCCGCAGATCTTGGATAATGTAGCTGCTACTGATCCAGATCGCATCGTATACTCTATAGCAAAGTCCGCAGACATCTCTCAAGGTCTGAAACACATCACTGCAAAGCAGTTTGCTGAAGCTGTGGACAAGACGGCTTGGTGGCTGCAGTCAAAAGTGGGAAAAAGCACAACGCTTGAGGCTCTTGGTTATATCGGACCTCGTAAGTTTTTCTCACGAAACTTTGTTCAGGACTGAATCTTAGACTGACTATGTGTGTAGATGATATTCGACATGTTTTGTTGACATATGCCAGCGCCAAGGCCGGCTACAAGGTGAGCTCAAACAACAGCATCAAAATTGGAAGTTTGTCACAGCTAACGCGAGTTTCTCCGACTTCAATAGCCCCTCTTTCTCTCTGCAAAGAACAGTACAGAAGGTGCTCTCGCTGTTCTCAAAGCCACAGACTGCAACATATGGGTGCAGCCCACAGAGCAGCCATTTGGCCCTCTTGTCAAAGAATTCCTCAGCCAGCGTGCCATGAGAATCCTGCATCTTCCTGGGACTGATGAGCTCTTGGATGCAGCAGGAACAGAACACTATGCCTACAACAAGACTTTTGAAGAGGCCGCGTACGACCCATTCTGTGTCCTACACACGTCTGGCTCAACAGGTTTGCCAAAGCCCATCGCTTGGACTCATGCTCTCATCGGTACCATGGACGCCGTGCGATTGTTGCCGCCTGTCGAGGGCGACCAGGGACTGGCTCCCTGGACGAATGACTGGAAGAAGGGAGATCGAATCTACTCATCGTTTCCCATGAGCCATGTACGTTCAAACAGCTTTTCATATCCTTTGAAAACATTATCACTAATCAAGATTTCACTTCTAGGGCGCAGGAATCATTATGGACATATTGATGCCATCGCTTTTTGATTTGCAGTGCATTCTGGGACCCGCTGGGGTTATTCCCAACATGAATCTGTTGGAATCTCTGGCGGACCATGCTAAAATTGACATCTGGAGTCTTGTTCCGTCTCTTACAGATGAACTGGGTGAGACCTCAGACGTCTTGGCCAAGTTTAGCTCTTCGAAATTCATCTGCGCATCTGGAGGACCTGTTAGTCCGACCAGCGCTGCCAAGGTTAACAAGGTGATTCGTGTGCTCAACCTTACAGGCACAACCGAAGGTCTCTTCATCGGCAACCTTGTCGTAGACAGGGAAGACTGGTTTCACTTCTCCTTCCACCCATACTCTGGCTTCGAGTTCAAGGAGATCGAGCCCGGTGTATACGAGCACTGGGTGCGCCGCAATGAGCATTGGGATCTGTTCCAGGGCATCTTCCACACTTTCCCTGATAAGGATGAAATCAACCTGAAGGACTTGTATGTCAAGCACCCTACGAAGCCCGACCACTGGGCCTACAAGGGAAGGAGTGATGATATTGTCGTTTTGAGCAATGGATACAAAATCTCCCCGCTAGACACGGAAGCCTTTGTCACCACGCACACCGCCATCGAAGGTGCCCTCATCGTAAGTCTTATAACACCGCTGCTTGATATGAGCAAACCAAATATCGGCTTTGTGACTAACCGTTCTCCAGGTCGGAACAGGAAAGAACCAGGCTGCTTTGCTCATTGAGTTGAAAGACCGCTCGGCAGCGAGTGACGAGCTCTATGATAGCATCTGGGAAACTGTAAAGAAGGCAAATGCCATGTCTCTACACAAGGATCAGCTTCATAGAGAGTACATCATGTTTGCTGAAGCGGACAAACCATTCATCCGTACTGACAAGGGAACAATCAAGCGACGAGCAACGCTGGAACTGTACGCCGACTACATTGACCGGTTTTACGAGTCGCGGTCAGAGGAGGTGGATGCCGAGGCTTCCAACATCCAAGTTGACACAACGTCAATCGAATCCATCACAGCTGCGGTGCGAGAAATCTTTGTCTCGCTGTCATCGGCATTCAAGGGCATCCCAGACGACGCAGACTTCTTCCATCTGGGATTGGATTCTCTTGTCGCCTACCGGGCTGTACGCTCCGTCCAGGCTGCTATGGGCTTGAAGGATCGACTTGCTCCTAGGCATCTGTACGCTTATCCCACCATTGCTCAATTCTCTGCCTGCCTGAAAGACCTTGCCAGCCAGACACTTGCAGGCGGCTCAAACTCCAAATCTGCTGAAAAGTTGAACAAGATGAAGGAGCTTTTGAGCAAGTACAAATCGCCGCAGGCGCTCAAGATGAACGGCGTTGATCTGTTAAATCCCGGTCTATACATAAAGCTCAACATGTACATCCCACTCCGGCCCGGAGTGAGCTTTGATCAAGCCTTCTCAAGACTGCAGCAGGGTTTCGCCCGTTTGATTAGTCTTTTACCAGTGCTCGACACCAAGATGGTAAAGTGCTCAGAGCGAGAACCTGGCTACAAAAAGGGACAGCTAAGGCTGGAGTATCCAGAGCAACCATTCGCCAATGGTCACACCAACGGACACACCAACGGCCATACCAATGGCCATACCAATGGCCACACCAATGGCTACACCAACGGTCATACCAATGGACACAGCTCATCTCCAAGACAGTTAAAGTACAACGACCTGTCAAAAGTGCTTCCCTCTTTCCAAGATTTGCGCAAGGACGGATTTCTTGCCTCCGCAGTCAAGGCCGATCAGCTCTTGGATGCCCCATGGTTCGCCACGCTCCCCTCAGACATTGTGGTTGCGCAGGCCAACTTTGTAGAGGGCGGCTGTCTTTTGACCTTGGGAACGTTGCATCCCGCAATGGATGGAGTAGGCATGGTGACTCTTCTCTTGGCCTGGGCAGAATGCTGCAGGTATGTGGAGGGAGACAAGTCGGCGGACTGCAACTGGCTGGACGCCGACAGCATGAACCACAGTCTGCCGCGAACCCTGTGGGAAGAGAGACGGCGTGACCAGCCGGCTCGAGAGGTCGATCCTGCCACGTGGGATTATCTCGGGTTCGAACCAACTGGAGAGCTCAGCAAGGGAGTGAGCGGTTTGAAAGTCCAGAGTTTCAAGCCAGTGCCTGCTGGCTTCCCTGGCCCTGGAAAGCAACCGCGTGACTTGAATAGCAGCATGTTCTCCGTCTCACCCGAGAGCCTGGAGCAGCTTAGAAAAGACGTTGCTGCCGATCCAGAGATGAAGGGAATCAACCTTACCGACAGTGATATCCTACATGCTCTATACTGGCGAGCCATGATCAGGGCACGGCACCGCGCTGCAAAGGAGTGCCATGGCGAAATCATCGGCCCTGAAGACGAGTCCACTTTGGAGCTAGTTGTAGATGCCCGGCCCTATTTCAATCCTCTGCTGCCATCATCGTACATGGGCAATATGCTCGTTGTCACGCGATCTTCCTTGCCTGTGGATGAGCTCTGCTCGCCCAAGACGAGTATCGGCCGCATCTCCTTGCTTATCCGCGAGGCAGCCTCGGGAGTGAACCCGTCAGTCGTCAACGACGCCTTTGGCTTGTTGGAGGGAGTTCCGGACTACACTGACTTGCGGTACGCATTCATGCGCCTCGACGGACTCGACGCCATGATAACCAACATGATGCTGTTCCCAGCCAACGACGTGGCATTTGGCGGTGAGTTCTTTGAAGCCGGCGGACAGGCAGAGGCGGTGCGAATTGTACATGACGGCTTCAACACGGGATTCAGAATGTGCGTCATCCTGCCTTATCGCAAGGACGGTGGCATTGAGTTCCTGTTTGGCACGTTCCCTGAGGAACTGGAGAGACTGAAGGAGGACGAGGAGTTTATGAAGTATGCCAAGTATATGGGATAAAACAAGGACGGATATTTGAGGTAAATTAATTGGCGTAATCGATCTAGGACAGAAAATAGAAATCTAATTAGTACTTTGAGTTTTGCTTTTGCTTGTGGGATGTTCCGTGATCCAGTCACTGCATGTACCCAACAGACTGGACTCGGCGATATCAAGGTGAGAGTTTGTCGGGAAACACGTGCAGCATCTTATATCACATTGAAGGTTGGCGCAGATGCGCTGTAAGTTGGCTATCGCGCACCGAAGAAGCTGCCAGCAGCGCGACCTCTGCTGAATGCTACAAGGGACTGGAGCGTATACCTCTTGAGTCATTGCAATTCGCTTATACATAGGTAGTAATTCGATTTAGCATACATCCACATGTGGCTTTATACGTGCTATTGCATTTATTTTGAAAAGGATTAGACAGGTAGGTGGATGAAACTCAAGATGTATATCGCTACATAAAGTCTCCCCTCCATTTTTGGCTGAATCTGATCTGCACATACCCACCCCATCTACATGCGACCCCCGCAAATCATCTACAGTACAACAAAACCATCACATCCCTCTGGACATTCATGCCTAGGTACATGTACATATAGTCTATGAAAAAGCAAATAGAAATACTCCATCATGGCCAGCAACAGCTCCCACGCCAATGACCGCAGCAACCTCACCAAGCGCATCCTCCCGGAAATGGCCCTCGCGCCAGGCCGCAACGCCGACTTGGAAGCCCGCGTCGACTCTCTCCACCCCGCGGCCCGAGACTCGGCCGCCGGCCGCTTCAGCATCGCCGGCAACGCCATCGTGACGGGCGGAACCGGCGCCATTGGCACGGTCGTGTCGAGGGCAATGCTCCAGCATGGCCTGTCCGGGCTGATGCTGTTTGACCTCAACATTGGCGCATCGCGGGACGTCGTACAGTCGCTGCGGCGGGAGTTCCCCGCGGCCAAGATCACGGCGCAAGAGGTTGATGTCACAGACGAGGGAGCCGTTGCTGCAGCTATTGCGGAGACGGTTCAGTTATTAGGCTCGGTAGACATGTTGGTATGTCTTGCTGGCATCGTCGGGTGTGCCCACGCATTGGACATGCCCATCAGCCAGTGGCGCAAGGTGCTCGATGTCAACACCACGGGGGCTTTCATCTGCGCTCAAGCCGCAGCACGGCAAATGGTCGCTCAGGGGAACGGCGGGCGAATCATCTTCACGGCATCTATATCGGCGCACAGAGTGAATTTCCCACAGCCGCAGGTCGCGTATAACGTGAGCAAGGGGGCGCTGCTGATGCTCAAGAATTCGCTGGCGGCGGAGTGGGCGAGGTACGGCATCACGGTCAACAGCATCAGCCCTGGGTACATGGATACGGTGCTAAATGAGGGTGAAGGGCTGGCGGCAGCGAGGAAGATTTGGAATGAGAGAAATCCGTCTGGCAGGATGGGCTTGCCGGAGGAGTTGGCTGGGGTGGTGGTGATGATGCTGAGCAGGGCCGGGACTTATATGAATGGGGCAGACGTTGTTGTGGACGGAGGAGGACATGTATTTTAACGATGCAGTTTGACGCAAATTGCTAGATTCTTTATCATGAAGAGGCGAATATACCTAGTTTAGTAGTTTCAAACATAGAGAATGTATACATATTTATCGAGTACAAGTCAATTCAAGCTTTTTACACCGGATGGTACATGTAATTAGGCACCTGTATGTACCCAGCATCGCCTTCGAGAAATCTAAATTCATACAAAGCGTGGAAAATACAGGATCCAGCATCGCTGATCATATCAAACTACCTATTCACCGAGCAAATTACCCTTTCTAGCCTTTTTACCCGCATATCCTCACTCGAACTTATTGTCCTTGTCCACCACTCCTGTGGTCTAGCAGACGGCGGCGAACACGTGGGGTCCTCCACGTCTCCTACAGGCTAATACATAGTAAGATCGCCTCTCTTTCTTTGCCAATGCCAAATGAGACTTGCCGCATGGGAAACGGCGCGCCTGTTTTGGCTTTGTCTGGATAAATCCGATTTATGCACGCAGGGTCTCTCCGCTGGGCGAAAATGCAGCTCATTCCCCAGGCGCTTAATGTCGTGCGTTAGCGAGGCAGCCTCTCTCTCTCTAGTCTGCATGTCTCGCTGTTTCGGCTTCACCCTCATGATACATGTACTTACTCCTCAGAAATTCAACTCGTCGAATATATGTTTACAGATGCAAATATTCCATCAAATTAACTTGATACTCGGATATCAAAACGACCATCAACCTATCTATCTATCTATCCATACATACCTTCACTCATCACGCAATCGAGATAAGGCTGTGCGAGGCGACCTCCACCATTCACCGAACCACACCCCACGTGGGCCTCACAAAGTATCTCCGACAATCCATTCCACCCATCCGCCCATGAGCGGTTTATTCATCTCGCCAGCATGCCAATGCAGATTATTAGCACAGCACAGCAACGAGTGAGGTGCAAGAAAGAGAAAATGTGCAAAATTAGGCGTGTCTCGCTCTCGCAGGCGCTTATCTTTGTGTCGCGAGAAATCGGACCTTGGCGGCCAGCATCTGCTTGATTGACGAGCGCTGGTTGGCTCGGGCGCTCAGAATTATACTTTTGGGTTGCAAGACATCTGTTGATAAACTGGGGAGGCAATTTATTAATCTCGATAGCAACGGCGGCATGGCTGACGGTGGCGGCTATTCATATAAACATAAACAACACCCACCAGGCATCTCTTTCATGCTGCCGCCCGATCGAGAGCGCTCATGTCCATGCTATTGAATTGAACTCCCTTCTCTCCCTTCGCCAACATTCTCCTCGTCAGCGTCCCTTCCGTACCTCTGACATCAATAATAATGGACAAAGTCACGCTCCTCACGGCATCCCGGCTCGAGCCCACAGTTGCTCTTCGGCCCCACTCAGCTCTGATCGTCGGCCTTGGCAGGGTGTTTGCTCTTTCGCTTCAATTACATCATCGTTTTCTAAACGTTTCCTTACTTATATGCCTGCAATCTTACTTCATTTCCTACGCTCTTCTCGCAGCAACCTCATATGCCTGCAAACATATCCTCTTCTATGCCTTTATCGCCTCCGCATTCGTTCTCAAGCACGCATTCGCCATGTCCACCAAAGCCATTTCCGACATCTGGGACTCCAGAAGCGTGCAGAAAATCCGCGCCAGGATCTTTTACGAATTTGCCGTCTTCATCTTGGGCTGCGGAAACGCCATGTTTCTCATCATCTTCTGGCCCGGCTGGCTTCTTCTCGGCGGTGCCTGTTTCGCCGCATGGCAGTTGGCTGGCTGATTGATTAAATGGCCCTTGCTTCTGTCTGGAATATCCAATCAAGGGAAAAAAAAAAAACAGCAATCGACAAACAAGATCCCAACTCTCCATATCTCAACCAGCAAGCGACAAGCCTTATACTAAGCCGAACATTGGTCGCTCAACTTATTGCTTCTGTGATTCATATTCCACATACAATCTCTTCATTTTGAGAAGAAAAATGTGTTTCCACCGGTATCCTTGCGGATCTGCGACGAATAATCCACCTCGGGGTCAAATTCTTGCCACGTGCTGGCCGGATATATGTGCTTGTGTCGCTCATACCACCTACGATCCACCACCTTTGTCAAAGTCGGGTCTTCGCCGAAACCTTCCAACGTGGAGATATCTGGCTGTCGCGCCCTAGCAGCTGCCGCCTTGGCCGCCGCCGTCATCAGGACGCCGGATGAGGGGTCGGGGTCTGTATCCGTTGAAGCTGAAGCTTTCGCAATCGGTGCTTCGGCGCTGTAATCGAAGAGGCGAAGACCTCGAGGACCGGTGCTCTTGTTGACGACGAAGTAATAAAAGTCATAATGCTAGCAACAGAATTAGCATCTCCATATACATATACATAGAGAGAGAGCGAGAGAGAATAGAATAATAGATGAATAGATGATATAGAAACTTACATGAGGAATAATAACCGTCCCTCGCACCAGCATCAAATCGTCCACCCCAACTCTTGCCCAAGCTCTTTGTGCATTTGCCTGCTCTCCAACACCAAGCTCCGCGCCAACCTTGCGGCTCTTGTCCAAAAACACCCATATAAAATCGCCCTTTTTCATGCGGACGGTCCCGCCAGGGATGTTGGCACCATCGTAGAACACAAACGGTATCGCAATCTCGGTCTCCTTGATAGCTTCCTGCAATGCGACAAACTCGCGCCGCAGAGCGTCTCGCTCTGTAGCCTCTTTGAGAAGCGCCGCCTTGGTCACTGCTTTGGGAGCCGGCCCAACGGCAGCATTTGCCTTAAGCTTGGCCTTCTTCTTCTCGCTTAGGGGACCGTCTTTGTCGCTCGGCGTTTCAGAGGCGGCGCCGCTCGCATTCTCGGTGTCGTCTTCCTCGTCGTCGCCGAAAGAGAGAAGCTTCTTGCCAGGGTTCTGCTTGCTCTTCTTCTTCAGCTTCTTCTTCAGCGGCCCGGGGCCAGCGCTGCTGGCGGATTCACTGCCAGCGTTGTCAGGAGTGCCTGTCAGCGAGCGGTCCGGTTTTGACGTGCCTGAGAGCGCAGCCTCGCGGGCTTCGCGCTCCTGTTGCTCGAGGACTTCGGCGCGACGCTTGCGGAAGTCTGAAAGGGCGACGAGGCCGACGGTGTGCGTTGAGAGTCGCTCGTTTGTGGTTTTGTTTTGCGCTGTGAAGCGCGAGGCTTGTTGATCCGACATGGTGCCGAATGTCGACGCCGAGATCCAGCGGTGATATTGATGATGGAAGGATAAAAGAATGGGTTTTGAAGTTGAGGTGACGCTTAGCTGCTCCAGTATCCGCTATCCACGACCTGAGTGCATAGAAATATTTATTGACACTGTATCAATGTGGTTTTGCTGGTAATGCAGCACAGTGTGTTCGTTTTAGGCTTCCATTACGTAGAGGGATCTCTAACCTAGACTGGAACTTGAAAATGATAAGAAAGAAATGCTAGACGCCAAAATCCAATTTTAGGAGCCGTTCAATCTCTCATAACGCAGATTTTATCATTTCATAAACATTAATCAGGAAACCATCAATCATGGAAGCTTGCTGCCCTCTCTCGTTGCCTTTCCCACCAGCGAGCTTGTTGTATCATCCGCATATCTCTTATAGACTTCGATAAATTTATCATCGTCACTCCAGGTGTTCTTCACGCTCGGGTGATTCTCCACAGCCTTGATCCACGAATTCCATCTTGTCCACACATTGCTTTCACCTCCCTCTTGTGGTATCTGAAGCCCACCCGGCTTATAGTAGTCCAGCAGGAATAGCCGCTTTGCCCAAGGCGCCAGGCTTATGTCCACCAAGCTGATATTCTTTCCCAAAAACCATGGGCCCTCGGGATCCATCTGCGCCACGAGGGTCTTGATATGTCCGTGAAACTCTTCTCGTGCTTGATCAATGGTGAAGCTCTTATCGGGAGTGTGCTGCAGAAATTTGTAAAAAGCAGGAACGATTCTGGTGCTGATGTGGTCTATCCAGAGCCGAGCCCTGGCTCTTTGATATGGATCTGACGGCAGCAGGCGAGGGCCGTATTTGGCCTCATCTGCATATGCATCCTCAAGATACTCGATAATGACAGAGCTTTCATACAGAGGCTTCTGTTCTGTCCCAGTAGCGTTAACAGGCACAGCGAGAGTGGGCACCAGGCCGCGAGGATTCATCTTGAGAAAGTCTGGCTCCTTTTTGTACGGGTTGATTTCCACATATTGATGGGGAATCTTTTTCTCCTCCAGAGTGATCCAAACCCGCTGTACAAAGGGACAGAACCATCCTCCGTATAATTTGAGGGGTTGTTCGTCTGCGTGAAGAGCTGCCAACTTCGCAGCGGCGCCGCTGGGGGCCGAATGAATTGAAGTGTCTATGCTGGGCATTTTTTTCTCCTCTGGCTTTTATTTCTGATGGAGGCTGATATGATGGTGACAGAAGATGAAGTATTTCTCTAGATGAAGATGATATTGGAAACAATAAATCCAGGTCAGATGTGGGCAATCGAATGACGTTATTGACTGCACCCCGCCAAATCGAGGGGTATTCCTGTACAGGCTACAAGACATGGATATAATGGGGAATCATCTACATGGAAGACTCCTTGCAATTCTAGGAGATTCAGCCGTTTCACCATTTTTTCCTCTATCTATTCAAAAGCTTGAAGTCCGCCAACGCTTGCTTCTATGCACCGTCAAGAGGCAGAACTAGAACCGCCAATCGTCGACTAGTACTCTTTTGAGTGATGAAAACAATTTCCATGCTCGCTGCTGCAAAATGAGCTACACAAGAGCAGAAAAACTAAGCCAATAGAAACATTACAATTTAAGGGGCATCTTCAAGATGTGCGTGGCCAGTAATCCTTTTACAACAAAGCTGGCCGGCTGGCCGACGCGTGCATAGTGTTGTATATGTGTATATGGATATAGCTAATCAAGCAGGCCCAGTAGTAGCAGCAATGACTAGTAGTTATCGGCAACTTGCACTTTATCTTTCCTGTTAATTACTCCCTACCTGTTGATTCACCTAAAAGCTGTCAAGGCCATTCACTGGTCTGTGAACCACCAATGTGAATGCGTCGAGTTGAACATTAGGCAGTGTTACATCCACGCCTTTAGGCACCAGCCGCAGGCAGCTGCTCTTATCTAAGAGAGAGGACCAAGTTACTCGGTTGCCATCTTCACCGAAATTTCGAAATTAACAACATGCAGCACCGGCCCGTGCACTGTGGGCCGCATCGTCACTTTCGAATGAGAATTCTATCCGAAGTTGAGTCGAGTCAAGTTGCTGGCCTCCCGCATTCAAGACATCTTGATAGTTCGCCCTTGCGTAAATACTATTGAGATGTGCAGTATATAAGCCTCTGGCTATACTATTCTTCTACCCTTTGTTGCTACCTCATCCGCATATCTATTCTATCCTCCTACATTATCGGTGCATTTCATTCTATCAGTCAAGTCCTTAGCCAAGTTTCCCCAAAGAAATTAGGATCATGAGTTCTGTATCTTCGTCTTCGGGAACCAACTCATCTTCAACAGACAACACTGACTCAACGCTAATTTTACAGATGAAGCTCTTCGACTTGGATGATGGCGATGAAGATATAGAAGAGCTTGCCGCCTCCCCGCTGTTTACCCAACCTGTTCTTCAATATGGAGCTTCTTTAGAAGAAAGTCCGTTCACCCAATACGGGCTACTTGGGCGCGTGATTGAGAACAACAGCATGGACGGACTTAGCGACGACGATGCTGCAAAAGACCGTATGCTCTTTTTCAATGCAACGGCGCCGTCAAGTGTCTTCATATGCGGAAGTCAAGGTTCTGGAAAGAGCCACACCCTGAGCTGTCTCTTGGAGAACTGCCTCATGCAGTCAGAAGCAAATGTTTTGCCGCGTCCGCTGACAGGTATAGTCTTCCACTACGATCCCTGGGTATCTGACTCTAGAGGTTCGCCTTGCGAGGCAGCCTATCTGGCTTCCGCCGAAGACGTCTCGGTGAGAGTTCTATGCCCGCCCACCAACGTGCGACAGATCGAGGTACGTAAGAGCACGAGACTATGAAGCCATTGAATAGTTAGCCACTTCTAACTTGTTGATTCTGTTTAGAAAATTTATTCCAAGCTGCCAAGTGTCAAAGTGGAAACACTACGCATCAACCAGGCCGACTTGAATACAAAACGGATGATGGATTTGATGGCAGTCAGTTCCGTTCAGGGCGGCATGCCATTATATCTGCACGTTGTGCAGCGTATTCTACGAGACCTGCGCATCGAGCAGCAAGATAACAATACCACATTCAATTATCGCAAGTTCAAGGATCGTCTTTTGAACGAGGACCTGGCCGCTGGCCAACTCGCGCCTCTTCAGCAGCGACTCGATACGCTAGAGAGCTTCATGGTAAAGGAGCAAGTAGCCAACTCGTCAAATAAAAGCGCCAAACGCAATATGGGTAAAGGAATTGATTGGGAGCCAAAAGTAACCCGTCTCTGATCCCACACAGCGTCACTGGACCCACGAAGCTAACAGTGTCACTCGTGATATAGGCGGGCCAGCTCACCATAATTGACCTCTCATGCCCTTGCGTAACGGAGGAGACAGCATGCTCTCTCTTCAATATTTGCCTTGATCTCTTCTTGGAGCAGAACCCTGATGTTGGTCGTGTAGTGGCTTTAGATGAAGCGCACAAATACATGACAGGCACGGATGAGTGTGAAGTGCTGACGAACTCACTTCTTTCAAACATTCGTTTGCAGCGCCACCTAGGCCTCAGAGTGATTATATCGACCCAAGAGCCTACCATTTCGCCAAAGCTGCTAGATCTGTGCTCCGTTACGATTGTGCACCGATTCACCTCTCCGGACTGGCTCCAGAGTCTGAAGAAACACTTGGCTGGCGCATCAATCTCGCTTCTGAGTAAGGATCCGTCACCGAGCAATGGTTGCTCCAATGGCGAATATGACAAGAATAGCCTTGTTGCGGGCCTCAACCCCAATGATTTTGCGATGAAGCTCTTCAGCAAGATCGTAGCTCTTCGGCGCGGCCAAGCCCTCTTGTTTTGCCCATCCGCCATGATCGACGTGCACACAACGCCACTCAAACCGGAGAACGGATCCTCTGCCAAAAATGGGTGGAATGATGATGAGGGGGAATCTGTGCCGGAGGAGGTGAACCCACAGCTTGTGAAGCTGTCTCATGGCCACATGAAGATTCGGGTGCGGAAGAGGGTCACGCAAGATGGAGGAAGAAGCATTCTTGCCGTATAAATTTGTTTGTTCGATCTGGGTGTTGGATAGGACACGCGGATCGGATGTAAACCAATTTCATGGCCCCTTGGAGATAGTTTATTAGACTTGCCGATTAATTTTCATCTCAGTGGCTGTGTTTATGCCTAATACATTGCATCACCTTGCCCTTTCAACCCAGCCTCTTTTCACTAAATATCCGCCTCTACCAAGCAATGCTCGCTTGCAAAGGGAAGAAAATCCGTCTATAACCAACTTTTTCACTCAAACCTTGAATCAGCCATAAGCGCCGTCATATCGAAATTAAGCATATTCTGCAACACCATATCGTCCATCATGAGATCCATCTGATATACGCCCGCAGGCTGCTGCTGCTGCTGTCCCATGTACCCCGCCGAATTTTCCACGATAGATGCATCCACCACGCCATGGCCACCCACCATATACTGGAATCGAGAGTGTGAATACGTAGAGCTGTCCATAGATGTCGGCGTAGCCTTCTGTTCCGATATTGTCGACGGCACCGAAGTGTCACGACCCCTAAGCCGTTGATTTCGAGATGCCAATCTCTGCAAATAAGCCTGAGCAGCTTGTTCTCCGCCAAAGATGAAGCCTATATCCGCGACCAGGTCCTCGGTATCTTCTGGCACCGGAGCCCCATTGTTCCCCATCTCCACCAAGCTCAGCATTTTAGTCAAAACTTGTCTCCCGCGGCTAGCGACGGGGGACACGCAGCCTTCATCTTCCAAAATCTTGAGATCGTCTGCCATGTTTCTGATTTGCTGCCAAACATTCGGTATGGGCAATGAACCTTCTACCAAAAGCAGCGCCGTGACTGTCACGGCAACAGAAAACATTTGATATGCCTGGGGAAGGAACTTTTGAAGGGAAGTGCTTGATTTGTTCCATCGGAGGGTTCTGTAGACTGCCATGGCGTCCTCGGCTGCTTCGATGCATTTGGCCCAAGAGTCGCCGATACGATGCGATATGAAGGGACGATACATGCGAATGCGCTGAGTACTGATACATGTGCGGATAATGTGATTTTGCCAAGTAAGTATCTCCGCCATTGGGTGTGGCAATGGAGGCGGTCGGCCCTCTTGATCGAGCTGAAAGAACCAAGGGTAGGATCTTGTAATGTTAAGGACCTCGTCATCTAATTTGCAGATAGCCTCGTAGGAGTCACCGTCGTTAGGATTACGGTAACAAATATGATTGTTCATCAATTTGAAGAATCGGGCTCTGAATATGTTTAGCATCATGACAGTTGGCTCATCATGAGGACGTGGCCGCAGGAATGTCTCGGTGATGTCGTCGTCGTTGCAGTTGAGTGGTAGAGGGACTCCCGGAGTCTCCAAGCGTATCAGTGGAGAGCGACCCAAACAGATGGATTGGAATCTTTGAAAGTTATTAATTTGTTCAAACCAAGAATAAATCGACTTCTTACGTGTCCGAATCAACGAGATCCCACCAGATACGGTGTCTCATCTCATCATGCAATGTTTGAGAAGGAGCTAGGTCTTTATCTAGTCCGAGAGTTTGAGCGGTTCTCACAGCTTGCCCTAGCCGTCTATAGAGTACAATTGTTTAGCTTACCCGTCACATTAACTATCAATCTCAAGAAGGGCTTACGAGTTTAGTGTATCAATCTTGTTGGTGGAGTACCAATAAAACTGCGTTATGGAAAAGGTCTGAAGTTGCACAATGCACGGCTTTGACTCGTAGTCTCCAGCCCGCAACGCTTGGTGAGAGACCTTGTGCCATACATGTGCAAGGTCCCGGATCGACTCCTTAGGACATCCGAATATCTCAGCCGTCCCAGGAGGTATGAAAAGGGCGCTGACTGAGATGATGGTGAAGAGGAGTGCCGTGAACATGAAATCCATCTCCTGGCCGTCCTTGGCTTCCCAGAAGTCTTCATACTGGCGCCGGAATGACGGCACGTGAGTGATCTGGAAGATCCAGTTGATATGATCGAGGTAGTAGTTCACCATCAGGTCACACATAGACCGCGATGGCAGGGCCGACTGCAGCTGCGTCTCCCAATACCGCCTGTTGGCGTCTCCCTCCATCATGTTCCACAGCAGAGACGGCTGATTAGCACGCTGAATCTCTGCGAGGAGCTGCGGAAGCGAAGAGACGGGTATGGACGTGGTGTTGGCGTCTAAGCCGAGAGCCCGGAAGAAGGACGGGACATCTCTGGTCTCAACAGCAGCGTCAGCCTTGGGCCCAACAACAGCCAGCTGGCTGTTCCGGAGCGAGAGCAGGCCCACGCCGGTAGAAGCATCAGTGATGGCTTCTCGGACCGAAGAATCCACGTTGGAGGCCCCCTCCGGCGATGCGGCATCGACCTCTGCCGCCGTCTGCTCTCTGCCCCTTGGCCGACCTGGCTTCGGAGGCGCCGGGTTCAGGCGGCAGAACTTCTCGCGACGAAAGCGCGTGCAGGTGCCGCAGGGGACTTTACGGTCGCACTTGAGCTTGTGGCGCCGACATGCAAGGCAGCTCAAGGGCTTCCGCCCGCCTTTGTGTGGTCGTTTGGCCTGACGGTCCGTCGCCAGATGCTGCTCGTCAGGGACCGGAGATTCGGACATGGGGCCGCGATGCTTCGGAGATGGGCGCCACAGCCTGCAGAGTTGGCTAAATTAAACTGCACCTGCACCCAGCTCTCGCAGATTAAGACCAAAAGAAATGGAAGAAAAATAAGGTTAAAGGTAAAAATGACAGCCAAAAAGGAGAATTGGAAAGAAGAAATCATTGCTAATTAAGAATTGGAAGTCGGCTTGTTAGACTTGGCGAGGGAAACCAATTGGAGGTGTTCCCAACCGAACTTATTGCGCCACGCCACTGGACTGGGTTGAACGGAGCTGACTATTGACTATGAGAATACGAAAGGAAATAGTAATCATTTATTCCTCTCTTCAGCTTCTTTTTCTATTTGCGTGCATATTCTTCAAACTTGATGTTGAGCTTGTAAGAAAGTAATATATTCCAAATTAACAATTGATTGGCAGTTGGCAAATCATACTCGCTACATGTATTCTACATTCATTCTTATACTTGTCTTTATTCAACATGGATTCCTCTGCAAGTCGCTATTCTACAAAATCATAAAGATGTCACTATTCTATATTTATAAGAAAATACATGTGATACTTCATGCACTTAGTTGAGGTAGGACCGTCTTAGTTCAATTACCTAGTTGAACGGCTGGCTCAACAGCCCCTCAAACTTTTCAACTATAGCCACAGCACCTCCCTGAAAAGATTGCGCAACGGCTTCGTCTCGCTCTTTGCCTCTCTCGGCACCGACAGCCACTCGCTTTTCACCTAAAGCGCGAGCTCCTTTCACGAGAACCGATGTTCGCGGCTGGCGGGTTTCTGCAAAAGGCCGGAAGATGTCCGAGATGGAGCCGAGGACCGCGATGCTGCTCTCAAAATCTTTGCTGGAAGAGAGATCTGGGAGTGCGGAACTCAAGTGGTAGCAATCTTCCCTGTTGACGAGTCAGTAAGTGTTAGGCTTCATCAAGTATGCGGAGTTCCACTCACATAGCTTGATTGGCACCCTGTCCGAGATGAGGGCTGGTAGGATGGGCTGCATCCCCGACTAGCACGCATCGCTTAGAATACCACTGCTCTGGTTTCAACTCGTCACGATCGAAGAGACCGAATTTGATAATGCGTTCTGAAGACTTCACCCCCTGTATGATGCTGTCATCCCATCCCTCAAGCAGCTTACATAGAGCATCTTGCTGGGCTTTCATCTCGTCAGCTGTAAAGGGGCGCCATGTCTCTTCTCTCTCCTGGGTTTCACGCTGAGTGAGAGCCCATGATGTGGTCTTTGGACCAACTGGGTAAGCAATGACGTGCGTTCCATCACCGTACCAATTGCGCATAGCTGCCAAGTCTCGCAGAGGCTCTGGGGTTTCTGAAAGGAAAGCGGTCTTTGTACCTCGTCGTTAGTCACTCCTCTTAGTAGATTAGGGATTCTCGAAACATACTTGTGTGAGACCCGTAAACGAAGGGGCACCCTCTTCAATCCCCCGTTGCTTTTGCAGTATCACTCTTGCTGCTGATTTGATGCCATCACATCCAATGAGAAATGATCCCGTGACTGATTCGCCGTTGCTGAAGGTTGCTGTCACTGAATTGTCATGCTCTTGAATATCAACCAGTCCCCACCCTTCTCTAACTTCGATGCCCTCTTCCAATACCTTGTTTTTCAGTAATAGATTTAAGCTTGTTCGCCTGATGCCGGCAGCAGGCTGCTGGTATTTCTCGGCAAAGGTGGCCGGTAAGTCGGATTGCCCCAAAACCTCTCCTGAAGCTTTGGCATCCCAAAGAGCTTTGAGTGGCAGGGACTCGGCCTTTATAGCGTCTGCAACCCCAATCATGTTAAAGACTTTGAGCCTGGAATTTTAAACATTAATACTTTTTTTTTTTCAATCCATCAATAGAATTCATGTTTGGCATAGAACATACCCGTTGGACATCACCATCAATGATGCTCCGGCAGTGCCCAGCTCTCGAACCTTTTCAAACACAATTGGATGATAGCCCTTGCGCTTGAGGAGAATCGCAAGCACAGGTCCAGCTACACCGCAACCGATAACAAGAACGGTAGGAGAAGCCATTTCCAATGATACAAATCTCTGGATATAATTGTATTTGTGTGAAAAGAGTGTGTTAGTGTTGTTGGATGAGTCTGATTGATTTCTCTGCCTTGTGCTTCACTTTCTCCATTCCCTTCTCCATCTATATATAAAACAAATACATGACGATGATTGATTTTTTACACTTTATAATTGCTCTCCGGATGACTCAATCGGTGATGCCGCTGCAATTGAGTTTTCAGTATTGCTTCATGCGCGTGGCCATATCCGAATGGCCTGACCGGAGAACAGACGCCATCTCCGGTCGCTGGGCGGCGCCAGATCTGGGACCCTGAGTACATAAGCTGGGCAAAAAAACCGGGACTAGAGAAATGTTCAGCACACAAAAATGTGCGAGGCGCATATACCTGCAGCGCTAAAATCTTTGAAATAGTGCTCTTATTATTCTTAAGTATGTGTATATTTAATTTGGTGTCCTTTATTTTTTTACAGTTTCCCTGCCGGGGCCCAGAATAAGCACCACATCTGTTATTGTAACAAGGGACGTGCTTCTATTGGCCAAACCTGCTGATTAAATGCTAACTTATCCCTAACTTTTATACCACTAATTCTCACCATTAACCCAACTTACTCATTGACCGTAATGCCTGATCAAGATGTCTTATTTTGTTTTGAAAAGAATACTGTTTATTATTACTAATTCCTTTCTTCTTCTTTTTATTTCTTTCGAGAAAGAGAATCACGTAGGTGGAAGTAGATACTGCTAGTGCCGCTAAAGCCCCATTCCTTTCGAATCAAATAATGCGACATGGTGGCTTACACGTCCTTTTAACAGTTGGGAAAAGCAAATGGCAAGATTTCCGAAGTGATGAAAAAGAAAAAGGAAGACCCTAAATTTCCAAAATAGCTGAAACTGAAAGAGAGGAATTCGTCATTTCTATTGGTAGCCAAGACACTCTGCGCTTGCTCGTTACAGTACATCAACGCCAACTTCCATATCCAATTAGCCAGAAAAGACAACCATTGAGCGCCAATTTCCTGCACAACAAAATAGTCACACAACTTTTTTTTTTCCGTCTCCGCGTTATGATTACGACCCCACGCTGAATCCAAATGATCCGTCAAAGACGTCGAGCTTCTTGACGTCGTTATCGGGACCGCGAAGGGATTTCAAAATATCGATATCCGGAACTTTGTTTGCGGGGTAGAACAGCAAGAGGTTTTCCAAGTCCTCTTCTGTGAGCTGGCTCATCTCTTCCCACTTGTAGGCTTCGCTGACTTTGGACATCCTATCCACCATTTCAGTCAGCATCTCCTTGTCGCGTGCGCCTAGCAAATGCGTCCAAAACTTACCATCGCATCCGCTTCTGGCTGTCTTCATGGTTGGGCGCAACCTTGCGCAGCCGTGATCTCAGCTCTCCAATTGTCTCAATAGCATTCCCGACATTCTGCGGCAATTGGCTCGCTATGTGCCGCCGTAGAGATGCCGCCAGTCGCGGTCCCTTGCCGTTGGTGCTGACCATGATCTGCAGCGGCCCATCGCGATGGACGCTGCCAAAGTAGAAATCGCATTCGTGGGGCACGTCCGCAATGTTGGCCGGGACTCTCTTCTCCTTGCACAGTTTCCAGATAGCCGTAGAGGCTGCCGGGTCGTCGATAGCGACCAGCACCATGTCTGTCTTGTCCAGATCGGATGGCTCGAACAGCCTGTCGATATGTGTAACTTGCTTCTCCGCGATTCGGTATGCGACCTCTTCATTTAGCCCGGACGCAGGGCAGACGACAGTGACTTTGGCATCCGCGTTGAGACAGTTGAGAATGCGGCCAGACGCAACCTATCGATTGGTTCGCTCGTTAGTCCTGCAGCCTTTTTGCCAATCGCCAAGAGCCCAGAGAGCCTGTGTAGCCTTCAGACGTCAGAGTTTCGAAATGCAATCAGGCCTACCTCGCCACCGCCCACCACCAAGACATGCTTGTCCTTGATGCGCCAGGCGAGAATCAAGCTCCCTCCAGGCTGCACTTGTGGGAATGATTTGCTCATCGTTGAATTTCGTATTAAAGTAGCTTTCGATGTGTGGTTTGAGGCGATAGGATGGTGATATCCAAATCCGATTCAAATATCCTCTTCAGTCAAGGTTCAAGCTATGGTTGGTTTGCCTTTCACAGTGGCGGAATTGGAGATTTTTCGGAGTCTTGATAAGGCAAACGCAGCGATAGGTGTTGAGCAGAGCTCATCGATCCACCGCTTTCGGCGCGCTTGACGCTTCCCGTCCGCTGCAGTAGTGTCGGCGCATGCCCTTTTTAGCGCTCTAATGGGGACTGGAGCCTATACGTCAGCCAGCTGCACCCCTGTAGCAACGCCCAGCTTGCGCTAAAGCCAGCGAATCGCGGCTGGCGGCTGAGCGACGCAACAATTCCGCACAGCCCCCTCTTGTAGCCTGCCTTAGCCTTGCCTTGCGCTTTGGTCTGCTCTGCTCTGCCTGGCTCTTTCAGCGATGCAGCTCGAGGCACAGATCGGCCTGTCCCGGTCGTCTTGCTGTGCTCGTTTTGTTTCTTTTCCGTTCTGACTGTGGTTTTCTTTGCTTCGCTACACAAACCATCGCCATGTCTCGCAGGCTCGGCGGCGGCAGGATCCTGGGCAGCGGGAAGGGCCTTGGCCCGACCCCTCCGGCTCGATCATCCAGTCCCTTTGCTCCATCCGAGAGCACCGTCTCTATGGCCTCATCCTCTATATCGCCACCTGCGAGCGGGAGTCTAGCCGACCTAAGCCAGGATATCGGCTCCAGCATCAGCGTAGGGGCACAGCCTAAGGGCAGCACGGCGGATCCGTCGAGCCTTTCGTGCCCCATCTGCAGCGAAGAGATGGTATGAAGCCGTGATACTCGAGCGCCCTTCTTTGCCGTGACGTATTCTTACCATATTGCAGCTCACTCTGCTCCAACTCAACCGCCACATCGATGATACCCACCAAGAACTCCCCGCCGAAGAACAGAACGAGGTCAAGACATGGTTCGACAAACAGGTCCTCAAAGCGAAGCGCTTCCAGCCGCTGTCCATGATCAACATGAAGTTGCGCGGCCTCGATGTTTTTGAATCGAATGAAACCAACTTTGTTACGCCGCCGCAAGCCGCAACAGCATCCGCTAGCAAGCTCCCGATTGAAGCTCCCATCGACCCGGAGGAATTCATAACGAGACATCATTGGCAGCGCTCTACAGGATATGACATGTGCACGGATCCTACATGTGGAAAGGGGCTCGGGCCTATAAACGGAAGCGTTAATTGCAGGAAATGTGGACGCCTTTTCTGCGAGCAGCACACCATGTACCAGATGAAACTGAGCAGAAGTGCGAACCACGAGCCTGTCCGCGGTTACTGGGCTAGGGTATGCGAGACGTGCTACAAGTCTAGAGAAGGATACAACGACCACAACGGAACATCAGTAGACCACACAGACATGTTCAAGGCCATCAGGAGAAAGAAGGTCGAAAGACAGACCCTGGAAATCTCGCGCTTGGAGAAGAGGTTGACGAAACTTACAAGATTGCTAGCGAGTTCCCCAGAAGCGCTTACGAACGCATCAAACGGATCTATATTAGCTCCTGTTCAGTCACTAACTGGCCAAAAGAATCCTCGGAAGTTGATTGAACAGTCAGTAGTGACATGGGAGGAGGACGACAAGGTGCCCGAGTGCCCGTTTTGCCACCAAGAATTCGGCTCCTGGACATTTAGGCGGCATCATTGCCGAATCTGCGGCCGCGTAGTGTGCGGAGACCCTCAAACTGGCTGCTCGTCTGAAGTTAGCTTAAGCATTGCTAGTCGTACGTGTTGCTTGTCCGTTGTGAATGTCTCCCTGCTGTAGGCTGACCTCGAATATAGCAACCGGTCCTGGCGCAGAGAAGCCTCCGTCGACAAATACCGCCCATATGGCTGTGGATATTAGAATGTGTAAAGATTGCAACAGTACAATCTTCTCTAGCCGTGACTTTGCAGCATCCTTGGCGCATAGACCTCCAGACCAGCGAGCCTATGAAACCCTTCGGCAGTTTGAAAGAGGTATACGACAGCTCTTACCAAGCTTCCATCGAGCTCTTTTGGCCTTACAGCCAGAGATGAAGGAAAACGGAGAAGTCGATCTCAACAAACCTCCACCTACACATGCACAAATCCAAGAAGCGAGCAAGATACGAAAACGCCTCATAGACAGCTTTACCAAGTACGGATCTGCCGCAAAGAGGCTGCGCGACTTGACTGCGGATAATCCAACTCAACAAAGACTCCAAATCGCAGTATATGCTTCAGCGAGCACGTTTCTACACACCAACATGCTGCCGCTTAAAAACCTGCCGCAGATGCTTCGTCACCGATCTACACCATCCACCTCCTCATCACATTCACATTTGCTCCCCTCAACAAATCATTCGGCGTCAAGCCTACGGCATTCGGAGCTGGCCGAATCAGAAAATGCTTCCCAGGCGGCTAGTGAGACCAGCACGGTGGTCAGCCTGCTGGAGACGGAAGAAAAAGACCTAAGAGAACGCCTCGCTGTGCTCGAAGAACAAAAGTTTATGGTCGAAGAAATGGTCAAATCGGCCACTGGATCGAGGAGATTCGAAGAAGTCAGTGCCTTGTCTAGGAACATGGACGAGTTGAACGGCGAGATACAGGGGCTGAAGAAGAAGATTGGGGACGTGGAGAAGAAGTGGGAGGTGGCTTATCGGAATGGATCATGAGTGGAAAGAGAACCACGTCTTTCTGCCCTTTTTACAAATCCTAATACCTTGATGCGAAATTGTTCCTATTCATGCTGTTTGGACTGGGTTTTGGTTATTATCCGCATTTGTATGGCGTTTCTGGCGGTTCAGCAGATGATGAATGATTTCTTGTTTACATGGGGAAACATGGGAAGCGGTTCTCTTTGAAGGGTTTTGATTAGAGGCTTTATCTACGATATCGTTAGAGTACATGTCGAAGTAATATAGGTGCTAGACATTGATCAATCGCCTTGCCCACTTATCTTCACACATTGGTTGCGTCGGGCTGTACCAAATTAAGAAGTCATCTAAATTTAAATGTTGAAATCAAGCCTTTTCTTTTTTTTCTCTCTTTTGAAGCTTTGATGTAAAAAAACCGCGTTGATTACATTACATGCAATAAGATAGAAACATATAATTCGCTATACAATGACGTAGAAATAACGTAGGAGAGAAACCAAAAAATCCTCCCGCCATTGTAGGATCTTAAAAACATGAAAACAGTAAAATGATATCCATCCATCCATCCAATGATCCTAGAAAGCGTTTAAACAAAACCAAAAACACCATCCACCTCCGCCTCCGCCTCCGCCCTCAATAACTGAGTGTACAAGAAAGAAGCAGAAGCCAAGAGAAAGATTCTATATATCTGAGCGCATGCATATATATATATATATACATGTGAAAAAAGAAGAAGTGATATTATAACCATCCCATGAGACCAAGACAAGAAAAGAAGAAAAAAGCTGTCCAAAATGAAAAGAGCTAAAAGACAAGGACACAACTTTTCCAAGGATGCCAGACTAGGAGAGTGTCTCGCATATGCAGTATACAAATATACAAGGAATTCGAACGAGGAATAGATAACAAGAGAGGAGGAGGAGGAGGGTGAGGGAATGAAAAAGGGCGGCGCTATTACTAGTGCACTACACTTTCAACTCCCCCAAGAAATCTCCTCACTCTCCCTATTTCTAGCTCATCCTTTTCGCTCTCAACAGCCTTCAGGAGACCGTCCACGACGGCATCGACCTCTGTCTCAGGGACACCCGTGCACAACGCAACGACACGCCGGTATTTAACCTCAACATCGCGGCTTCGCCCCTTGAGAGCCATGACCATCTTGCGCGTAACTTCCCTTCGGCTTTCGATAGCGCGGATACGTGCTCGCAGAATCGTCGCAGAGGGCAGCATTCCCTCGCTGGCGAAACCGCCACTGCCCGAAGTTGAGGCCTCTTCGGCGGCTTCTAACATGGCGGCAAGTTCGGTTTCCCATGATGACGATGGGTTTGACTGGGCGGCGTTGGACTGTTCGTTCATGATCCTGAATTGGTCGTCTTCTCGGGCGTGTGTGAGGTTGGCGACCTTTTGACGAGCCAGCTGCTGCTTTTTGAGCGTGGCTGTGATCTGTTCGATGCTTCGACGGGCTTCGCCTAGCTGGGCTGATGTTGTTCGGAGGGTAGAATGTAGGTTGTCTAAGGAAGCTTGTTTGCTCTTCATTTCCTGCTGGAAAGTAGCGCCGGTCTCATTTAAGAGATGGGTAATAGCTGCTCGTATAGCGTTAGAAGACAACAGAAAAGAAGGGAGTATAACTTGGGAAGAAGTAAAAACCGATGGACGAGATTCCAACTTACATTCAATAATCTCATCACTGCTCTCTCGGCTTCGCTGGCTGGATCCAGGAGCACCGTTCTTTTCAGCTGCGGCATCGCCGTTGATCTTTCCATCGGCATTCTCACCGCCGATGCCAAAGTCCAGAGGCCGTAGACCGACACGATTAGCAATCTCTGGATCAGCTCCCACCTCTAACAGCTGGGAGATTATACTTCTGTTTCCGATGCGGGCTGCAATATTGAGCGCTGTATCTCCTGAGCTATCCTGGGCGTTGACAATCTCGGACATGAACCGCGCAATGCCCATCTTGGGGATGGATTGTGATCCATTGATGCCATTTCCATTCAACTGCGTAGCTTGGCTATTCGGGACACTACCTTGTCGCACCACCCACTCTAATAAGCTCTCTAGGTAGTATCTGCTGGCGGCGTTGCGACCCTTGACGGCGCTTGTAACTGCAATATGATGCAAGACGGTTCGTCCTTTGTGATCGCGGAACTCAATTGTGCCTCCCAAAACCTCGAGAAGGTCTGGGAATGAGCCCTGGTCCATGGAATTTGTAACGAGACATGCTCGCATGAGGGCCGTCTCTCCTGATGCGTTTACTCTCCGGGGAGAAGCACCGACGGCGATGAGAGCCCGTAAAAGAGGCATTCGTGCCAGTGTAGCTGCCCAGTGAAGAGCGGTATGGCTTTGAGGGTCGATGGGCATGTCAAGTTCGAGAGGTGTAAGAGTTTGAAGCATCTCGTGCGACGACTCCTCCGTGACCGAGTCCATGAAAAGGCCCATAAGCATACTGCGTTTCAATTCTACGTCGGGAGATACCTCGAAGGGCAGAGGGGGGGACGGGCCGCTGCCTTCATCTATAGCATCACGTTCATTAATCGCACTTTGCGTGTACACAAAAGATTCGTTGGGCTCCGTTGGTGATCCCGGAAAAGCTGTGGCATAGGCATCCATATTCTGTCCGTAGGCACCAAAGCTATCGGCGGGGGTTATGGTGACTCGTGCACGTTTTCTCGGAGGCTCGTTATCGGGCATGCTTACATTGCCGTTCGGCTGTTGGTGTTGGTGCTGTGACTGCTGTGACTGCTGCAGCTGCTGTTGTTGTAGCTGCTGCTGCTGCGTTGAGTAGGCAGAGTCGACAGCTGGGTTAGTATAGTCGGAGGTATAGCTTTGCTGAGAGTTACCAGGGAAATCATCGCCATTCTGCATCGAGGGCTGCCGGCTGAAGCTTGGAGCTCGCGATGGCCCATTGCGATTTCTAGGCCCGGGAGAGCCGAATCGAGCTTTGCTGATGGCGGCGACGGCATGGGACGCTGTGCTCGAAATGTTTTTGAAAAAAGTGCCCGACAAGCCATTGGGTCTCCCGTCGCCTCCAGCGTTGTACATGCGTTTTCTTTGCGCGGCCATGGCTTGTTCTTTAGTCGGGGTGTTGAAATCGCCGCGGCCTGCAACGCCTCCATCCTGCCCCATGTCGTACGTCAAAAGCGGCCGCAGTAATTCCTCCACACCGTATTGGCGGCAGACTTCAACGCCTCGGTCGAATTTTATCCAAGTGCCCTGGTATTTGCCGTAGCCTCCTTGGACCTTTTCGTGTTCACCGATCTGGATCTCCTTCTCGAGAATCTTGGTGCGCTTCCCCTTGTCGACTCCGGCGACTTTGAGAATCTGCGTGGCATTCAGCCAGGAGTCGTGGCGGCGGCGCATAACAGCAACGTTGTTGACTTCCATTTCATACACATCGACACCCGAATAGGAGGCCTGTTTCCCATAGTGTTAATCAATGGCCGCACGATGGCTCTCGATGGCGACGAGCGCTGACGTTGGCATAAGGCGGGAATACATACCGAGTATATCTGCGGCCCGTCGACGCCGCCATTGTAGCTCCGGTTAAACGAGGCAGCCCGCCCCGTCTGCGACTGCTGGCTCATTGTGAACGATTGTTGCGACGTCTGCGACGCGGATGGCATGGCCGAGGGTGTGAATCTGGTGAAGAAAAGGCTGTCGCACGAGACTGGACACGACAAAATAGTAGTGGCACTAATAGCCCGGAGCTCTGCCTGCCGATGCCAACTCAAAGTCTAACCCATGCACAAAACACAAGGGGGGAAAAGAGCGAATGCGCGCAAAGGCTTTGGGTTCGTTTTCGTTACGCCGCCTTTTCCTTCTTTTTCTTTTCTATCCTTCTTCTTCTCTTAGTTGCAGCCTCGTTGATCGGCCTGAGCGCTCTGGAGGTCCGAGTCCTGTGTCGGAGGCGAGCTGAGGCTTCGGTCCGCGTGGGCTGCTGGCTGGGTAACAGCAGCAAATCTGCAGCAAAAGATTGTGTGCAAGGTATAGCAACGACTACTTCAGCCGAGGGGAGGGGGTCGACGATGGCGTCTCCGCTTTGCAGGATAGCAGCGAATTAGACAACGAGCAGATATGGCGACGGCAAGAAGAGGGAGAAGATATGCAGGTCCTGGCTGAGGCTGCGCAGGAGGAAAACAATCTGGAGCAAGGGCGCGAGCTTGTGAGGCTCTGGTTCCTGGTCTCAGTGATCTGGATCTCGAGGGCAAGGTTTTGAGACCTGACAGGCACGGGTTGACTGCACAGCAAGAGAAGACAATTTCAACTACGCAGAAAATAGGAACCGGCCGTGATGCAATCGGCCAAAAGGTGCGGTGGGGATATGCAGCCGTGGCATAAGGCTTCCCCGTATGTACATCAGACTTGCGCTGCAGGAAATGTTTGCCCGTGCGAGGTACGAGGCAATGCGATGCGCGTGCCGAGTTGGAGTATGGAACGCCGTTAATTGAAACTCGGTCATGGACGTGTCTGTTTCGTGATTTCGTGTCGGGCGTGTCGCGCACCGCGACTTAAATGACCCTTTTTTTCTGTGCTGATGGCGAGACAGGCCGTGGTGGGGTTGAATAGCCCTGGTTGGCGACCCGAGACACGGCAGTTCCGCTCATTTCTGGCGACTGTGATACGCTGAGACGCTATTTGGGGGCTTTGGGCTTTGAGAGAGTTTGTTTATTCTTTTGCCATCAACATTTAGCCTCTTCACCAATCAAGACGAGAAGCCGCGAGTTGCGGTGAGAGCTTGTCCAGCTGATACTGCCTGTACTGTAGCAGTTGTTGTAACGTACTATCACGAGGATGATGCATGAGCGCAGCAAATCAAGAGCCCGATGTAAGTCATCAGCTCTGAACATGTGCATTTGGAGCCTTTCAGTTTCTATTTCCACCTTTTACTGTGGCGTCTTCACTGTAGCATCCTGTAATATAATGCTACCATACAACATGAAGTAACTAAACGAGAACAACATGCTAAAGCAAGCCACTAGAGTCGGCCGCAGCCATTACAAAAAGTAGCTGAACGGCTCACATGATGCAATGCATAGCTTGTCCAACCCCACGTTCCCAGATCTTCCCGCACCACAGCCGAGAGCATCTCGTGTGTGTGTGTGTGTGTGTGTGTGTGAGTGTGTCTGAGTGTATGTGGAAAATACTTATGTAATCAAGCCAACAGCTCATTATTGTCTTTTCCCTTGGGAAACTTATGTGTGAATATTCTAGTCCAAGGAAAAACAAATAGATGCTCGCTAAATACGACAACTTTCTCTATATAAGACAAGCAAAGGCGAATCATCTACGGCACATGTCGTGACACAAACAGTCAGAACGACCTGGTTACATATGAATCTGCTTGGCGTCTCTTGGCAGCCTTTCATCAAAGGACCTGGACGAACCGAAACTAAAAGCTATCATCACCACACACCTAAGGTTTTGTCTACAAGCGTTGTATTGACTGGTAACTGTACAATTTCTGTTGGGCCTATAGCTAAAATATGTCCTTGTATAATATATACATATATGTCTTAACACGAAAACAGAGTCGTTAATCCTCGCTGCCTTTTGTTAAACCCATTTTTCTTCTTATATACTTTCATTCCCGCTTGTTAACAGCTTCATCTCATTTTCGCCAGATCTCGAAGCATCTTGATTGCTCCCGGTGTCTCATACCACGCAGCAAAGGTGAATGCGAGTATTACCAAGGCTTCTTGTTCCGATCTCTGCGCATATCCATTATATTGTGGTGTCCGCAAAACACATGCATCCGGATCATTGACCATCAGGTTCCAGAAGTACGGGTTGTATTTTCCAACAGCCTTGTATAACTCTCTGACTTGGCTCTTGATTCTCTTCGTCAGCGACGCCATCTTTTCCGGCGTGCTCAACAGAATTTGATGTCGAAACATGACATCGGAGCGGACTAGTTTACCGCAGATAATTGCAATAATTTCAGGCGGTATCACGCCAGTGAGGGCAATAAAGGTGTTCTGGATGGCATAGAGGTCGAGCAAGACCCGCACTTTGATCAACAGCACTACCACAGCGTGGCTCAAATCCAAAAACGAAGTGACCGTCCACGCTCGCTTCAGTGGTTCCTCGAATACGTTCGCATCTTTGGTATCCAAGAAAGGTTTATCCACGTTCCCCCATTCGTGATCCGGGTCCTCATTAACAGCAGCAAACCACGTCATGAAGTCGTAGGCATCTTGGTCTCTGCCCAGTCGAACATATAGCCCAGGGATAATCTCACGCACACCCAGATCGTCTGAACGGCTCAGTCGCAGCATGTCGAAGTAATGGTCTAGGATGATCTGTACAAGATCCACAGGGCCACCAGGGGTGCCGTAGCTGTTTAGCATTATGTGCGCTAGATCAAGCCGCGCAACCATATATGGACGCGTTGCCATGTTTCTCCAGAAATGGCCAACGTCCTGTTCAAAGGCGTTTGCAGGTGAGTCGAGATCTCCCGGCCACTCACGCAGCTTCTGCTCCTCTAGCTTGTAGCGATCAAGCGCCTTTTTGAGCAACTTGCATGGAATCTTGTGACATTCACGGTCTTCCACCTGGCAGTCTCGCCCACAATAATACACGGCCTGGCAAGCTGAGCAGCGGAAGATTTTGTCCTTTCGGTGGCATACTTCGCAGGCACGTGGCGCTAGACCATCGAGGTCGTTGATGTCTTCAACGTTCATAATGAGAGGCATCTTGCCCCGCAGTGTAAGCAAGCGATAACGGTATGGGAAGTATTGTCGTGTCAAAATGAATTGAAAACGGGTCGAGTGCTCAGGGGATGAAATGTATAGCTAAAAGGAATTGAAGATATATCTGATTGTATTAGAGCGCTGTTTGCTGCTTATGCGGCTGTATGAAGCTGAAAGAGCGGGCGGAAGTAAAGCGCCTCTATAATGTTCAGCCCAAGTACGAATGGCGAGCGGTCTAGCACCCTGCAATTTGGGCCCAGCAAACAAACGAACAACGCAACTCCACTTGAACCGTAACTGGGCCTTTAACTCAACAATTCGCCGAAATGTGTTTGTAAGCACCAACCCAGGAAGTTATTAGCAAATGGCGTACATCTGCTTGACTACCTCACACACATGGATTCACTATGTAAGAGACGAGCTCATTTATCCATACTAGTGTTGCAGGCAAATTTTAGCATTCTTGTCCCGAAGGTGCAGTGATATCAAACTTAATACCGCTATACTAAGGTGGGTTATTTTCACTAGATCATGAAGATTGCAGTCTACCAATATGAATGCTCATACATATATCTCTTAAGAGGCATGAAGAGTTGCTCATGAAGCGCCACCAAGACTGTCACTGTGCTATTTTTAGCCGACTTGCCTACAAAATAAAAATTGAGAATAGCCGGAGTTTAACCAATAAGAGCAGATATCTGTTGAAGCTGCATTTGAGATCCATTGAATTTGTATTCGTCTTGCTCTTTTGTCAAACAAATACTTGACATCGCTCCAATCCTTTTACGAGAGAGCCTTTTTGGCTTTACTCGACCAATACGACCCCCGATCTCGGCCACCCAACATGCCGGCCCCATCATATCCCCTCCCCGTGTCGCCATCCGCCGTCCAGCTCTACCGTCATCTACTCCGAGAATGTTCCTACCTACCTCCAGCATTCCGCGCTGAGATTGCCTCAGTAATTCAAGATCGCTTTCATAGACATCGAAAATATGACCCGCGTGCAAAGGCCCATCTCACAAGAGCTCAGACAGCTCTGCGAACCCTGCGAGCCGCCAATAGTGGCGAGCAATCCGCCATGGAGGGCTTAATATCCAAAGGATTTGGCAGATCAGGAAGCAGGCGAAGAGAACTGATGGCGAAATTTGTGATCCCGCAAGGTCCAAGAGATACGGGGGCTCTTGAGGAAGCTCTCGATTCTGCCAATAGAGGAAATAAAGATGCCAAAGACTCTGCCTCGTCAGCACAAGTCTCGGAAGAGAGAGGTGCCAAAGTTAAAAGGAAATTCTTTGATAAATGGGACCAAAAAAAGCTTTTGCGGCTGCTATCGTCACAGCGGCAGCAACAGAGGGATACAAAGGGGACAGCCAGCTGGCCGGGAGCACTCGTCAAGACGATTGACCCTGATCAATTCATTCCTAAAGAGACCATCTGGGGAAAACCACCTGGGGAAAATCTAAGACAAACGAAAAGAGCTCACTGGTGGCGGCGAAGCGCTGAAAAGATCATGCCTCCGCTAGGCAGGGGTGAGTGGGAGATGCTCAAGCAGCTGAGTAACGGAGGCCAGGAAAGAGGCGAGTGGAAGATACCAGAGAGGCGGACACCAGCAATACCATTGACAACATCGGGAGCGACTGGCGCGCAAGCATCTTGGAACTGGGAAGATTTCGCTCTAAAACCAGCGGCAATCGTCGAGAAACCAAAGTCCCTTAAACAACAGCGGCGAACCGGCCAAAAGGATGACAGCCCGTACGGCGTCAAAGATCGGGATCGCAAACTATCAGCAAGATGGTTTCAGAGAGCCTACAGCAGAGCATGGCAGCTCACGCCAACCATGTCACAAGACCCCAACACGCTCAACTATTCGTTCACATGGGGTAGCGTCCAGTCAAAACTGCCTCCTGCAGCTGAGCACCAGCTTGAGGTCTTCAGAGATGTTGATCAGAAGGGCCGCAAAGTGCACAGTAAGCCATCGTCGTGAAAGATATCATTATCATATTTTTTTTCCGTCCCTTTTTATATACTTCTATGGGGACATATGGATGTATATATAAATATTTTAGGCAAGCTTAGCAAGCTTGCCCAGCGCCTCCGGACCATCCATACGCATACCTACCCACTCGCTCATTGGGGTAGCTCCAATGATCTCATAGAACTTGATGCTGGGCTCGTTCCACTTCAGCACAGACCAATCCAGACGACCACCGTCCATAGCAAGAACCTCCTTGGCCAGCGCAGACAGCAGGATCTTGCCGTATCCCTTGTTGCGCTCTGATTGAGAGACATAGAGATCTTCCAGGTAGATGCCGGCCTTGGATCGCCATGTACTATAGTTGTAGAAATAAAGTGCCATTCCTACGGTCTTGCCTTGTTCGTCGATGAGGAGGAGGCATCGTGCGGGACGAGTAGCTGTGATGGGCTCGGTCACGGGCAGGTGGTTTTGGGGGCTGACTACGTCTGCTGGCGCAAACGCAATCGTGTTTTGCAGAGTCTCAACGGTGGCCTGCACAGCGTCGGATTCTTTCTCATAGTCGGCAAGCTCCTGGATAAAGTCTAGGATGGTTTTCGCATCTGCAAATTACACCCTCCGGTCAGCGATTGAATGTCACACTTGCGCAAAGGAAATGGCGCCCGCGGGACAAGAGAAAATGGCCTTACCCTCGCGCCTTGCGTGTCGAACAGTTGCCATTTTGTTTGTTGTGTGCGTGTTTGAGCAATTGGGATCACCAGGATCGCTGTTTGTACGAAATGAGGAATTTGATTTGATTTGACTGATCAAGTACAGAAGCAGAAACGCCACGGCTTCTTATATAACATTCGAGAAATACTGTGGGGCAGTCGCAAAGCAACATTTTACCCAACTCGGCAACCAATGCTGGATTAGAGATGAGGGGCAGATGGCGGGGCTTCGCAACTCGCTGCGAGTAAGCCGCCGCAGATTCTTTCTCGGCCGGGCCTTGCGCCTTTCCAAATGTCGAAATCGCCCTTTGCGTCGCTTTAGCCCACCCACTATAGACACGGCAGTTCCATTGAAAACGTATAAATCCACTCTCGGTCCACTCGACGCCTGGCCATGACTGATCCAAGGGCGCTGCCGACTTCCGTCACACGGACGAGAGTTACTATTTTTACTATTTGGGGAAAAACCAGAGAGTGTGAGACGGGAACGGGATAAATCGACCAATCAGTTTTAACAATCTGAGTTGCCACCTGCCGGGATTGAGACTTGACATCTTGAATTCTAAACTTTGAGCTTTCCTCTTGAAATAAAGAGCCACAACAACAGCTGTGATCCAAATAATGCCAATGCTACGGGCTGAAGCACTTGTACGCCATAGACCTGTGCGAGTGCACCGGCTGCGAAAGGAAAGCTAGATGGGAAATGAAGTCAGATCTTTGAGATAAATTGAAAATGAGATGCACAACAGAGCTTACATGGATGACCCGGACACTGCAAAGGCTGTGGCAAAGCCTACGGAAACAAGATGCTTTTCTGGCGGCAACAGCTTGGTCATCATCCGGATTCCCTGAAAGCCCGTTTGTTAGCGAGTTTACTCGTACCGGGTTTTAGGATTCTCTTGACAAGAGGATGGCAACTCACTGATGGCATAATCATTCCAATTGACACCCCAATCAGCGCAGCCATAACTGCACTAACTGCAAACTTCTGGCCAAGCCAGAAAACGAGCTCCAGAACAATTGCGATGATGAGATACAAAGACACCATAATCTTTTCGCCTACATAGCCGGTGATCCAGCCCAATGAGAAACGGCCGACTGTGACGCCAATCCAGAATCCAGAAGTAGCAAGCGAAGACGCAGCAGGCGAACCCTTACGGACGTTCATCAAGAACGTCAGGAGCCAGCCTCCAATTGTTACTTCAGATCCAACATAAAGGACCATGAATGCAGAGAGCGTTAAAGTGACCTATTAATTGTCAGCTCTGAATGTCCCAGGCTGTGGGATAAAGTGGAATATTACACGATTCTTCAGGATTTTGATGGTCCCCTGAGCGTTAGGCAACGGTGTGACAGGCTGTCGGCGGAATCCTGTGCCGACATCATCCCAGAACGAAGAAGTGACGCCTATGCAGGCGAGACAAGATAATCCAGCCTACAGAGATACAAGTCTGTGAGATGGCGAAGATTCTGCAACAAGAAGGGCGCTAAACTAACCATCATGTCTGTCCTGTGTCAGCTGGATAATCAGAAACTATGCCCTTTCTACGCTGACACTTACAATAAAAGATCCACCAGTCTTCCACTTTGACCACAATTCTGGATACCTGCGATGATATAATCAATACGAATAATTGGCCCTATTCGGAGACGAGTATAGCAACATACCAGGATAGGTGCCAGTGTTGCACCAAGACCCCAAAATCCATGAAGAAACCCCAGCACTGTACTTCCTTGAACTAATCCTCCAAACCAGCTGTTCCAGCTCCCGTTCATCAACCCGCTTCCAAATCCCGTCAAAACCAAGAGACAGACGACAACACCAAAGGGAGGATGCTGCGAGAGCCCTATATATGCAAGCATATACGCACCGGTTGCAGTAGCCGCAACGCCGCGCCTTCCAGCCACTGCATGGAGACGATTTGAAGTAAAAGAAGCGAGAACGCAACCTATCATGGGGCTGAGGAATATGAGAGAAATAATTGAGTGTGGCAGATGATAGTATTCTCCAAAGAGAGGCACCATGGCACCTGGGGCGCCATCATTCATGCCATACACGATGAACGTAAAGAAACATGAGAACACACGATACTTGTTCCTCGGAGGGTCATTCCATCTCTGAGACGTGGAGACGGCAGTTTCAGGCGGCAAGGCCGATTCGGTGTCATGGACCGAATGCTCAGAGAATGAAGCTAGAACATCTGGATCAGAAGATCGGCTCGGGATGGAAGCTATGGGGGCCGGCAGAGAGAGGGGCTGGAGGATGACTGTCTCTGCTGTAGTGACGGCAGTTTTGGACATTGCGTGTATCTTTGATTAAAAATTCTCTATGCTTTGTATATGAAGATGGGAGCAGTGATGATACAGTACTGTTGGTTGGCAGATTATCTACAACTAAAGTAAGAATTCGAAGTAATCTGGCCCAAAACCAGGCGATCCGCCGGACCCTTTTAAGCTCCCATCGTTCCATTCACATCATCTCATCAGTTAGCCCGAACATCAGCAGAGCCTTTTATCCGCACTATATTATCCCAGCTTATCTCGGTCAAGGCGGTGCTACCGATTCTCCGGCGTCGGTAGATGATGTGCAAACATGATAACGCCGACACTCCCCGAAAAGGTTAAATTCTACTTAATCAACATACATCGCTTGCAGTAGTTTGGGATCCTTCTATTTAGCACGGATATATCGCCAGGTGACACATCGAGAACGATTGTTAATGCCGAATAGTTGTTGTAACTTTTAGGTAATCGGGGAAATTAAAGGTCGGTGTAGAGGAATTGCTAATTGGCTGCGCGATTGCTTGGAAGTGTTTAGAAGGCAATCAAGTTGATGTTGGTGGTGATGGATGGATGGCTGCCTTGTAGAGAGTGACGTATGGGGCGGTGAATATTGCAAGTGGCAAGCAATTCGGCGGGGGATAGTTGTGCATGCTGCTGCATGGAGTTAAGTAATATCACCGAGAGTTTATGGCGATTATTGATGTTGGCTGCAGCAGTCTTGGTATTTACTCGAGTCTGGCAAGAAGCAGCCGGCCGTAAAATGGCCATGTTGCAAAGCTCACGAAAACTCATTGATATATCTGATGTTGGCGTTACTCGTTTCGGATAGAGTAACTTTTTCAGTATTTTATTGATGCGCCTAGTTGTGGTGCCTTTTTACCAGGGAGATAGATGGCGAAGAGTAATAATATTAATTCATGGCTGTGCTATAGAATTCCTGTAGTAAATCAGGATCAAGTGACAGCATATGAACTCAAGCTAGCTACTAGTAGTAGAAGATATATCTACTATTTATTCCATATTCTAAACCTCATATTTCCTATTCTCTTCCGAATCGTGCCGTTCAACCAAACTAGTATATGAACAGACAATCCAATCAGTAATCCTCCAAGCCTGGCAGCAGCATATTAATTGACACGGATAAATGTACAATATCGTTTCAAAATTAAATTGCTCACGTGGAGAGTACATGTAGCCAAGCCCTATAAAACAATCTCAAACTAGCTCACCTGCAGAGATTCAGGAGCGATATGCGAAACAACGGCCACTCCTATTCCTCCCCATTGCAAGCTGTAACTCTCCCCTCTTCTTCTTTTTACACTTCTCTCGCACCAAGTCACGCAAAACAAACCAATATCCTCTTCCAAAATCTGCAATTGATAGAGTTATAGAATAGAAAAGCCCAGCCCGGTCCAACCATGCAGCACACTCTGCTCTCCTCCAAGCCCCAGAGAGCTCCATCTCTCGCCACCGAGATCCAATTCGGCATCCAAGTCGAGTTTCTCGCTCCTCCCGTCTGTCCGAACCAAACATCCCACAGCATTTCTGACCGCAATCGCATCTTCCACTACTTTGCTTCGGCACTGCACATGTCCGGCCTCCAAGCCGCCTTTCTCCTCGACCACGGCAACGACAACGACAACGATCAAGCCTCAACAGAAGGAAACCAGCTCCGCATCACAGCTCCCAAGGGAAGCATCGTCAAAACAAAGCACAATCCAGACATGTACATCATGAACCCCCTCTCCTCTGCCCAGTGGCTCAACGCAGACGCTGCCCAAAACCCGCTGTGCAGATACTGGCTCATCAAGGCCGGCAGCGACATCGGCCACGGCAAACACGCCGCAGGGCAGCCCACCGAGCTCAGCAGCCCGACTTTGCGTGAATCCGAGGCCAACAACTTGTTCCCAGGCATCAACACGGCTCTGTACGGCGTCTGGACCGCCCATCCGGCGAAAGTGCACATCGGCAGTGATTGCGGCCTGCACGTCTCCATCAGCCCGGTGTCTGCAGAGGGACTGACTGTCTTGCAGGCACAGCGTGTGGCAACGCTGGTCATGGTGCTTGAGAACAATCTGCTCTTCCACTTGTGCTCGCCTGTTCGCCGCCGAGTCCATCAGCAGCTCATAAAGGCCTCTGCTCTTGTCTATTCAAAAGCCGGAACGACTTCGTCTCCCGCAGCAACAGCCAATCTCCCGCTCAACATCCTCCACGACAACAACATGAACAAAGCATTAAACATTCTCTGGGACGCCTCCGACCTCAACCAAGTCCGCCAGATGCTCGCTCACCATTCCAAGACTCGCAACACTACAGCATCTACGGCTCTACACATGACTACGCAAACTCACGAAGACGACAGCACCACCAATTCACTCGGATTCCGCCACGCGCAAGCATCATTCAACCAAAGCTTCGTCGACAACTGGGTGCGTCTCATCCTGACCATCTGCAAGGTCGCCTTCCTCCCCGCCGAGAGATACAAGCTCGTCGTGGCCATGCTGTAGGAAACCATCGTCACGACACCTCGCCCGGAAGATTCATGGAAAACGCTGCTGAAGTTGCTCAACGACTTTGCGCCGGCGAATTGGCACGGCAGGAGTAGCGAGCAGTATTGGATTGGCTATCTGGCGGTGCAAGACAGAAGATGAATATCGCAATGGCCATGTCTTTTTTCAATTACATCTGAATTCCAGACATGGACGGAAAGTCCGCGGGGATGGGCAACTGTCCGGTGATCGCTAGTGCCAGTAGATCAGATGTGAGTTACAGCGACGAGGGGAGTAATGAGCTGCCGTAGAGTTCTCGATAATAATTGGCAGTCCTTTTCAACTATCCTCACTTTCTATATTGTCGATTTCAACAAAAGATCTGCTCTCTCAAAGGCAAAACATGGTGAGTCTGCACGTTGCCCCATTCTGATAGTGAAATAAGAGAGTTCAAAACACAGAATAATCCAACGCCGTACTAGGAAATACAGCACCGAGAGAACCCCATTTATTCGTATCTACTGGGTTTGCCTAGGAGCTTTCTCATACGTACTCCTCAAATCATTCCCAGATAATACGCACTTGGTACCACCTTCAAACATGCACGCGTTGCCTTCTAACCAGTTAGTTCTTAAACACTAGTACCACGTCCTCAATGCACCTCATTTCCTCATTTCCTCACATCATAAACATCAAAGGCAACAAACAAATAACACAAAACAAAGAAGCTACTCCGCATCAGGAATCATGATTGCTCATCTTTGCCATCCCAAAAAGAAAAAAAGGCGAACGCGAAAGCCACACTGGAGCAAAACCTCCACGATTCATGACCCTCGGCCCAAGTCTCCACCGAGGAAAAAAACCACACCAAACAACTCTAATAAGAAGACAAAAGAAATAATCGTGGCTGGCTGGTAGTACATCTCCTTTCGTCCTAAAGGGGCCCATATTTTCTCCGCACCCCCCGGAAGGGATCCTGACTCGGACTTACGTTCTGCTCCGGTCCAGGCCTTCTTTTTTAACTTCTGGGGCCTTGTGGCTGGGACGCGCCGCGGGAGAAGATCTTGGCTTGTATCTCGTCAATCTCGTTTGGAAGCAAGTGCTAGATAAGCTACGGTGGCATTGAGGTGGCTTGGTGGCGGCGTCTTGCGGCGAGAGGTCAACATCGCATATTTCACATGTATTCCGCGTGTCCATTTGACTCGGTTAGCCTATTTATCTCGAATCAGTACTCGTAGCAATAGAGCAATGGTTTGGAGCTAAGTCGTTGATATGGGGTGCCTGTACAGCTCGGCAGCCTAGCTTGGGTTTAAGCGCCAGAACTCGCTGAAGCGAGGTCACAAGAGACTAGCTATTCAGACATTGTAAAGTAGGCAGCAAAGGTTGAATTGATACTACTGGTAATAGTCAAGTGCCCCGTTCAGTTTTTACCCAAAAGATAACTCCGACCAATCATTATTATACTGTACTTATATACTTCATAATACTACTGCATTCCATCATGACTCATAACCCAGGTTATAGGAGGTATCGATAGTCTGGGGACAAGTCGCCCAACTCCGTCTTTTCCTCTTCTGTTAGGTTAGGAACATCCGTCATGCTATCTCTCTTCTTATTCGCCGCCCAGCATCCCAATCCATAGAGTACTGATGCAATCATGGAAAGGATGGTAAAGGCAAGGCACACGCTGTAGCCGGTAGTGAACTTGGGGGCGTCTTTGGTCAAGAAGATGAAAACAGCAATAATGCCACCAAGGTTTCCGTAGCCAACTTGCCATGCGCTACCGACGGCACGGCGCGTATGGTTACCCAGATTCATGTTGAACCAGCAGACAATGATGGGCATAGCCGTATACGCGCCAGACGTGATGAGAAATAGTGCACCGTACTGAACATTGTGGTTACTGTGCTCAGCGAGAAGAATAGCAAAGCCAGCAATAGCAACAAACATGGCGAAAATAGCAAATGCGAATCGATGTCGTAATCTATCAGACAAGGTAGCAAGGAGCAGAGAAAAGCCAAAGGCAGCAGCCCACGGCGGAACACTGCGCAGCTGAGTCTCAATGGGACCATATTGAAATGTCGAGATAATTGTAGGAGCGAAGTAGGCATAGCCGTAGGCGGGGACGATAAGGCCAAAGTACATGAAACCGCCGGCAATGACCTTCCAGTCCTTGAAGACATTCAAGATGTCCTTGATTGTCATTGATCGCCCAAGACCAGAGCCGGCGCCTTGGTCAACGCGGAGGCGGGCTGCGACGTACTGGCGCTCGTCTTCCTTCAGCCACTTTGCCTCTTCCGGGAAATCGGGGAGCAGGAAATAGAAGAAGAAGCTGACAAAGACTGTTAGACCACCCTCAATAAGGAAGATCCAGCGCCAGCCGCTGTAGCCTCTCATTCCGTTCATCTTGCCAATGGCGGCAGCGAGAAGACCGCCAAAGGCACCGGCGAGAGTCGTGCTGTTGAAGAAGAATGAGTATCGTCGCTGGGCTTCAGATCGCTTATACCACATGCCAATGAGATAGAATGCTAAGAAATTTTATGCTGGTTAGCTTTTGAACTAGATGATGAACATTTTACTACAGAATACACGAGACTCACCTCCTGGGAACATGCCAGTCTCAAATAGGCCGAGGAAGAAGCGAGTGGCTAGTAAGCCACTGTAATTCTTGACCAGACCTTGCATCATGGTGGTAAAGCCGAAGAGGAACATGTTGAGCGAAAGCCAGACATGGGGTTTAAACTTCTTGAGGAGGATATTGGACGGGACTTCGAAGATACAATAGGGGACGAAGAAGATAACAAGAGCGGTATTGTACTTGTCTCCAGTGCCGAGATCCAGATCTTTAGCCAGACCAAATAATTTTGCGTTTGCGATGTTAACACGATCTAGTGAGAGATGATTGTTAGCAAACAGTTGGCCGCTAGACAGGTACAATCGAAGACCGTATTTCGCATTATGCGCCGTCGACTCACCCAAAAATGCAAGCAAATACATGATACAGAGAAACGGAACGACTCGCATGTCGATTTTTGCCATCAATTTGCGCTCAGTCGTGTGCGACGGGCATTGAACCTCTTCAGCCGCATATTGAATCTCTGCATCGCGAAACTCGACCGAGTTGCGATCCGAGCCGCTGTGCTTCTCGTCTATGGCACCCATTGCGGCTATCTATTGTTGGCTGGCGCGTAGGATGCGCTGCAGCTTTCCAAGGTATAATAAAGACAGACGTCAACCTCGCCGCGCCTTGATTGTCTCTCCCGCGTCCTGTGAAGGGCGAGAAGGGCCAGACAATGATTAAAAAATTTCCAAGTATAAGAAGAAGGGCGAGGGCCCACGTGAAATAGTGGAGGAATAAGAAGCACAGGCTTCGATGCTGGCAGGACAAGAAGCAAGCGAGCGGAACACAAAAGGTGCAGGTCAAGGGATCTGCCGGACCCTATTTGTACTCGGCCTGTGCTGTGCTCCTCATGCCCCCAGACATGCTTTCCTTGTACTCTATTGTCCTCGACGATGCTCGTGGCTCGCACTAGGCGTCAGCGGGTGGGTAATGGAGGCAGCCATTGGCATCGCCAGACAAGCGAGCGACGGGGGCCGCCAGGGCCTTTCCAATAGCAGTAGCTGAATTATCACCGGAGCTTGCCAAGAGCTCGCTGCAACTGCGACCATGGCCGGCCGCCTCCAACATTCGGATGCCCCAAAGGCCAAAGGTGCGCCGCGTACGGAGCGTCGTAGTGCTAGCAGAGGTGTTAGTGCTGTAATGCATCCTTGCAGATCGTGGCGCCAGTGGATCCGTCTTCTCCAGAAATCCCAAGCTTACCACGGCTTTCTCCACGAGTCATCTCAGCCGTAGCCGGACTCCCAGCAGGCCGACTGCCGACCAGCGGTGCAGCGACCCTGTGGAGGAATGTCGTGCGGAGACGCTCCTCCACTTGGAACGCGGAATTATGAATCATCGCGGGAGTCACACGTAAGGGATGGAAGCCCGCCAGCTGAAGACTGTCTTTCAACATGTCCAGCACTTGTAGAGCGTAGTTAAGACTGAACGGACGGCGTATAAATTTCCCGAGGCATCTTCTGCTATTGGCCATGACCGCCTTGCACGCTAGAACCCCCGCATCGAGCCACTCGCCAGAAGGAAGATTCGCCCAGCGCCTAGGCATTCTCTACGCCCCAGATTTCCCCGGGTTTTGGCTCCCATATTGGTCGCGAGAGCTTAAACAACGTGCTTATGTCCGCAGTCTAGCAGCCGGCCTAGCACTCCCTAGCCCCCTTGGCCGCTGGTTGGAGTTGGCGGTAGTGCGTTGGAGATTTGGAGAACCTGGCAAGCGGTCCGAACTTCTTTTCCGTGCTCTCATCGGTTATCTTCTCGGCTTTCGAGCTAACCTTGCCTCCCTCCGCAGGTTCGTCACGATGAGAAATCAATAAACAGATGCACAAGACGCACGAGTGGAGTTTACTCATGAAGTCGAAATATTGCCTGCGATGAACGACTCGCGCGTCTTGGTCGTCCATGGTCCACTTCGCCGGAGCACTTTGTCAAGCTTACAAAGGCACAAACTTAAACAACACAAGATGGCGAGAGAACACCACGTTGGACCGAATCTTTGCGCCTCTTGATACCCCAGAAATTCCACCCCCGCATCATCTCCACCAATTGCTACCTGAGTCAAGAGCAGCAGTCAAATGGCATTGGCCTTCACGCAGGTACGGAAGCAGGCTCAGACACTACTATCCGTCTGCTACCCCATGGGTTGCAACCCTTCCCTTGTAGCACGTGGGAGTGGCGTCTGTCGATAGCCATCCCCAGACTTGGATATCACTACTAGCCCGACCACCGTCACTACCGCCAGCACTGCTGCTTAACATAGAAACGTGAGGTGGACCAGCCCCTGCCCGTTCTCCAATCACATATGCAATAAACAAATAGTTTGACGAGCATCCATGGTCCTGTATTGCATGGTTAGGTTCCAGCCATCACCAACACTAATTAAACTAACACGCCCAATCCGACACTCCGGATCTTTGCAGCCAGAAACCAGAGGCTAATCACGGCTTTGGAACTTCAAACACCGACTCCAGCCGTGATAGCGGTGATAGTGGAAGATACGACGGTTCGAATAGTCATATACGATGGTCATGCTTGAAAGACATCCAATTAAGGAGCCCCAGTGCCCTGTGTCTGCGTTCAGGGATGTTGAAGCTCTTTGACTGCCAAGATGCTCATGGAGAGGAGAGGTCAGGGAGAGGCTCCATCGCATGGTTCTCACAGAAATCCAGCTAGATGACAGAATTTGTCTGACAGATTCAAGCAAGCCATCGTTATGTAAACGGGGTATAGGGGATGCTAACGCGTATACGGAGATGCCAGAGTAGAAAGCAAGCGGTATACTGCGTTCTTCAAGGCTTGCACCATTCCCATCTCATCAAAAGCATTAAACTGCGGCCAGCCTCAGTGTCACAGTGTCTTGATGCGCATAGAAACACGGGTAGCCGCCTATACCAAGTGACAGCTGTCAGGGGCGTGCGCATGTAGGCTGTTTGAGGCTGTAAATGGAACGGACAGCGGTTGACAGTGTTAAGATGGCCAGTTTAGTAAGGCATGTATTCTGTTTCAGATATGCATCTCATGAGTCTTCCATGCATATGGCTTGCACATGGCGTGTGTTTGCCCAGGCAGTTCAGCCGATTATGCACGTTGACGTTCGTTGTTCTCGATATGGGCTTATCGCAAACGAAATCCACGCCTCTCGCCCGCCCCTACACTCACCCACCACCCACCAAACACGCAAAGCTGCAGTAAAACAGCATAAAGAATCCACAGCTTTCTGCTGAGCTTTGCAGTTTCTCTTCTTCTCTTAATTCTTCTCCCATCTATCTTCATCTAGTCTCCAGCATCTCCTGCATCTCCTGCAACCACCTCTCCCTGTTAGACTTCCACTTGCACTTGTTACTATCACACAATACTGCCCCCTTCTCCATCTGCTTGGCAACAGTATCAGAGTGTTACCTAAAGGGCGATGGACTTTGATGAAACAGAGAACTCGCTGCTCCTTGCGGGTAGCGGATGCTTCACAGACATTTACAATGCAGGGAGCAGCCCTGTTACCACCAACCCAATGACAACAGACTGTGCTCTTACATATCTGCCCTACAACGGCGGCGAGTATTCAGGATCCCCAGAGACGGTTTACCAGCCAAGTAGACGCCTCTATAATCATGAATATGCTCATCAGTTCCCCAATCAGGGGTTCTATAATGATCAATCTCATTCGTAAGTGATTCCTATAGCCGAATTACATTTGAGGGCTTAGGCTAACGCCATATCATATTCAGCAGTCTAACCAGAGGAACCTCCGACGACTCCTTTTTCGATGCCGCTTTTTGGCCCCCTTCGTCTTTACCAGTGCTATCGCCATCATTAGCGCTGATTGATGAATCGGGAGCTGGACCACCGCCGTTTGGGGAACACGACAATAACGGTTTGGACAACGAACACATAGCACAATTGCGATCCGCACCGGATACACAACCCTTTTACTCAAATATCAGCAATATCGATTATGGCGGCAACCCCTCTGGCATCAATTATCCAACCACCGGTATAGATGGTCTCTTTGGCAGTTTATACCACTCGGGAACAACTCTACAGCCTGTAGCGGATGCAACTGCAGCGAGAGTTGAAGTGGGAGCAAACGCTCTTACCCAGAGCCCAACGTATCAAGCACCATTGAGTGACTACACGACCAAGTTTGAAAATAAGCCAGGATCTCAGGGACAGCCAGCCCCGTTCGCCATGCTACTCCGGACATCAGAATCATCGCGGCAACCAGTGCCAACGTTTATAATGCCACAAAAGCCCGGTCATACGGCGAACTCATCGGCTTACACTGCCATGTCACCTCCATCTTCCATCAAATCCTCACCTCAGAAGCGCAGTGCTGCGGTGGCTGAGATCGACAAGAGTATTGTGGCTCCAAAAAGAAGAGTCATTAAGGCTCATATGACGGCAAAGGTTGATAACAGCGAAGATTTTGAAATAAAAAAAGAGAGCGAAAAGTCACCCACATATAAATACCAAGAATATTTCAACTCGCCTGAGGACGCCAGTATGAAGCTTAAGCGTCTTCTCGAGCTGTATCGAAAGCCCGATGAATGCTGCAGCAACCCCTCTACAGACTCTACGTTCCCTCAAAGCGATGAAGACAAGAAAGAATACGTCAAGAAGCTTTTCGAAGCCATCAATGAATGGGAAAGTATAAATGAGTGGTCACAGACTCTGAGTGCCGAACAGCGGAACCGAGTGATAGACGGAATCCGGCGTATGAAAGAAGAAGCCAACAGCAGAACTCCAGACAAGAAGCCGCTTGAAATTTCGTTGGACGAAATGCGGCCGAGCCGGGACAAACTCCCACCTGTTGCGATACAGCAGAAGAAGATATTGGGCCGGCAGCTGAACGACCAGACAGTTGAATGGCTCTGCTGGGAGCTCATTGTACGTGTCTTGTTCCCGCCCTTCCTATACTGCCATAATGGCCACATGACGACCAACGGAAAGCTGACTCATTTGTTGCTCTTTTCTTAGGGAGCCGCTATACAATCGCAGCAGGGAAATACCCAGATCCCTTACTGGTGCGGCGCCGATGGAGCTTAGGAAGCTTACGAGACGTTTGCACAGCGTGTCGACGCGATGTGTTATGCCTTGACGGTGAGATTTAATCCTCAACAAAGTTGTTTGCCCCCCCTATTGACTCGTCTCGCTCTTAGAAATCGAAACAGCTCGTCAAATCTCTTTTATCTGCAGGTGACGGATGGAAACTCCGCATAGCTAACAACCCTTTTGGGGAGCTCGGAGTAAGCTTTTGCCCCCGAATCAGTCCCTCTTATCCTCCTTTGCTCTAGTACACCAATAATAACACATGGCTAGCACAAAGGGAACAACATGAAAGTGAATATGAACAAGAATGACCGGCTACGGCAGATCACTCTCATGAAGAACGCCCCTGGAAAGAATGTCTTGCCAGGAGAGGCCAAACGATCGACAGCGGCGGCCAGAGCAGTGGCCAGCAGTTCCGGCAATAGACTTTAATGCGACGCCATGGCTCCATTCACACCGAGAACCTTTTGGATCCGAATATCTTTTTCCTCCCCTTTGTCATCCTTTTTGCCTTTCATCATAAAACATGCATATAGATGAGCCCAGTTGAAGTGGAGATTGATTGCCTACCACTCTCATCTTATACCGGCGAGAGCATTCTCTTTTATCTGTTTTACTTGTTATCTTTTTTTCCTTTTATTGTTGGATATTGAAAATATTGGATTTGTTTTCTTCTTTTCTTATTTTGGCCTTTTCTCTTTCAGAATGGTATCATGAGGTGTACTTGGAGAATGTATTTATTAGCAGGCCACCATAAGATTATTGGATATGAACTTTGGATAGCTTATTAGCGGTTTAACACATGTCATTTCACGGAAATTGTATCACTCAAGGTTTCGGCATATGTATCAATGACTACATGGTGATTAAATGTTCAAAAGCTATCAGAGTTTGAGTAGGGTTCAAGAATTCAAGAAGAGATAAAAAATTAACATTACTTCAATCTATCGGGGTATCCTAACGCTTTGTTGAAAAACACAACCTTATTATCAACACACTTTTTCATGTCCATGACTCCTCTTATGTTGATTTCAGTGATCTCGTAGTAAAGTAGCTCCTCTCCCATCCATCAATGGGGTCAATGGCAGTCTCTTCCACCAGTTCGTAATTGCCAACCCAAGGCATAATCTTGGCCCAGAGCAGCCAGTAAAGAGCACCGACAAAGAGGACACCGAAGCCAACAACGCAGTGAATCCAGTAAGGAAGGTGCTCGTAGACATTCTGGCCATTTTCAGGGGGGACAAAAGGTGCAATGACGAGATAAATGTTGCTGAGGAGGAAGAAGATGACGACGGGGTACGTGGCTTTGATAGGAGGGTTCCAGTTCCAGCTGGCACGGTTGCGGTAGAGGTGGATAAGGGCGCCGGCGACGAAGACGTTGATGATGGCAAGAGGGTAGGAGATGAGGCTATAGCAGAATGGTTAGTAAATCTTGCCTCCATCTTTCCATTCATTGTAAGAAGAAGAAAAAAACACTTACTTGAGAACGAAGTTGTAAGCATCACCTGCAGGTGGTGCAAGGACAGTAATCATGGTAATGGCCCAGTGCTCAAACAGACCGGCCAAGGGAGCGTTGAAAGGACGGTTGCTGGCGAAGAATCGAGAAAAGGGCAAAACACCCTCACGGCCAAGCTCCTGGACAAGACGGCCCTGGGAGAAGATGACACTCAAGACGTTGCCAAAGGCAGACAGGGCGACGAAAACGGAGAGAGCTCTCTCGGCCCTCTCACCAAACATGTTTCGGAAGAGGGAGGCGGCAACAAGTCGCTTGGCTTCGAGAATCTCCTCCTTGGACACACCGGCGAAATAAGAAACGTTGGCGAGCATGTACAGGATGGTGACGGAACCAACGGCCAGGGGGGCGGCAATCTTGAGAGTTCGGGTCGGGTTCTTGGTCTCGCTGAGGGCGTAGTTCGCGTTGCTGTAGCCGATGAAACTCCAGATGACGTTGTAGAGAGAAGTGACTACACCATAGGCACTGCCGGTAGTTCCCTGAAAGGCATTGTGAAGACAGTTGATCTCCTTGACCTTCTTGATGTTGGCCAGGGGCGCGATGATGACGATGATGACAATGCAAATCTTGATGACACCCAGAAAGTTCTGAAGACGCAGCCCCCACTTCAAGGCAGTGCCGTGAATCAAAAAGGCCGTGGTGATACAAGCCACGGCAATGCCTCGCTGGTTCCAATCCGTAACCTCGACTCTGGCGGCGTTGAGAATGTACTCGCCAAAGACGACCGAGTTACCGGCCGCCCAGCCCAGCAGGATGACATAGGTGGTGTACATGCCCGTCACGAGGAAGCGCGGCTTGCGGTAGACGTATTCCAGGTAGTTCTTCTCGCCGCCGTTCTTGGGGAGGCCAGTGCCGAATTCCATGTAGACTGCCGTGCCGGCCCAGGCGATGATGCTGCCGGCGACCCAGAGGAAGAGAGAGAGACCAACACTGCCAGACAGGGCGAGGATGGAACCTGGGGTTGCGAAGATTCCGGTGCCGATGATTCGGTTGAAGATAAGCATAGAGGCGGAGGGGACACCGATCTGGCGCTTGGCCTCTCGAGCGTGTTCGAACTGAGCTAAAGGAGAAGGAGTCAGAGTTATGGTTATATCGCGTAACCAGCATCAACCACAACATACTTTCAGTTCCATCCTGAACAGAGGCGGCATCATCGCTGCCAGCATGCTGAGGATTCAACTTTGTAACATCCTCGCTGCCTGAGGTGAACAGGCTCTTAATGGCCGACATGTTGTTGTCTGTCGTTTCAAAACACCAAAATGTCAAAAAGAAACAAGGACAAAACAAAGAGCAAGCCCAGCCTCAAAATACCAAGGACCAGGCAGCAGTATATATAAAAACACAATGAGAAACGGGATGTCGAATCATCAAACAAGCAGAGCGAGGCTCGGTCCTATTATAAATTTATACAACCCTCCCAGGCTGTGCCATATCATGGCAAGTGGACCAAACAGCGATCCCATCATCCCTATCCCCAAAAGCGCGGGAATGGTCCCAAAAAAAATTGGATCAGAAAACTAGCAATTACACGACAGAAACAGCTTCATTCGCACAGAAACCAGAGGCAGAAGAAAAAAAAAAAAGCTTGTCTTGAGCGGGGCCCGCCATGGTGCCATCGGGTGCTAAACGAACGCAAAGAGCTCCAGGCGCCCCCCCTTGTTTTCTAGGTAGCAACGATGGGGACTTGGAGGTGGCGGATTTTCGAGAAGAGACGTGGTCTGGGATAAAGAGGCCGAAATGATGTGCCATGCCAAGGAAGGATTGATTGAGCGCGTGAGGCTTTGTATAATGAGAGTGGTACGTGCTTGATGGGCACTTGGCTTTTAGAGATGATTCTATGATGCCATGTTATACAGACACTTTGCAGAGTTTTTTTTTTTTTTTTTTTTACCCTTCTCTCTCTCCTATTCTACCTCAGTATAGATACTTGTAACTAAGTACCATTAGGAGTAGGTAGTAGCAAGGCTGACACTCCAGAAGTGGTCCATGAGTCGAGAAGCTCGATAGACTAACATGCAGTTTGCGAGTAAGTCGCCTCACCTAGCCAGGTACATGAGCCCCTACAAAAACCCACTAGATAATCAACTATGGAGCACAAAACAGTTTATTAGCACTACTAGTATGTAATATTTAGACAGAAAAAGGACAATAAAGATACATACATACTTACGTGTAAGTTGTATCGCGAAAACAAACAGGAGACTACAAATGGTGCAATGCGACGGGAGTCACCACAGTTCCGCGCCGCAGTAGTTTGCAAAACAGGGTCAAATGCCGACGCTATCCATTGCCTTAATTCACATGCAAAGCCTAAATCAGGCGTTAGAAGCCTTCTCGAAACGAGGTAGAAGCACAGCAAAGACAAGCCAGAAGCAAAAGAACAACCACCCAAGGAGAAAAAAAAAATGGAAGGGCCCCGTTTTGGCCGCGCCGTGGTTGATCACGACATCGGGGCCTTTCCCGATTCTGTCGCGCCCGGACCCGGCGTGGGCCGATGACGCGATCGGAGCTTGTTCCAATCAGAGAGTGCCGGGCGCCTTGGGAGGGAACCAAAAAATTCACCGGACGACTTTTTTTTTTTTTTTTTGTATTTTTTTGTGAATTGTTGCTGTGCTGTGTTGTGTTGCGTATACACTAAGTAAAACTAACAAGGGCTAACGACTTGATAAATGGAGAAACTAGAACCTGTTCCCGCTCCCTAGCCTCATACTATGTATTCCGAGTCGGTCAGAGAAAGCTGTATCTGAGCCTTAAAGTTGGGCACGCCGTTTCATTGGCAGGACATGCCGAATACGGCGTAATACCAAAGTGGATTCATTTCTCTCATTCTCTGCCATGCTTAAGGCTTAGCTCCTGCCGCAGCGAACGGTTTTCCTTACGTGATGGATTGAATGCCAATAAATCACAGTACTACTAGCAACCCGCTCTGGAGTATGGGACGACTAACAGAGGTGCCCATGGGGATTGGATTGAATGAAATGCGGATGACGCCTTATTCTTTTGTTTTTTTGCCAAGCGAGAAGGGATAATGCCTCGTTTGTTATTGATGGCATGACTCAGAGAAGCTGATGCTTTTGAGCTAGTTTCTCGAGGGTTCGGTGGTTTGATTTAGATGATGAGGTTTGAGCGTTTTTGAAGCTATTGCAAAGCCTGGACCTATGGCCTCATGGTGAGGCTTGCTTGCGTTGAATCTTTGACGAAAAGAGATCGGATTAGATGAGTAATTATGTACAGAAGAAACCGAAATAGGTGTCCTGCTTTTGTTTGTTTAGAAACTCTTTCCGCATGGACCTTCATGTAGCGTACTACAGTGCACGCCGCAGCCAGCAGTGCACATTTCCAACCTAGACCTAACATTGCTTAATAATCGATTTTGTTAGTAGTGCAAATTCAACCTTGTTCCTAAGGCATAAATATAGTTAAAACCAAAATAAGTATCCGGTTACATTCATGCTTAATCTCTTCCCGCATAGACCAGTTTGTAAGGCTTATAGCTTATACAGTGTAAAGAATAATACGATATGAATTACTCGAGCTATGTATGTATATACATGTTACAGGTTTGTTTAATAGAATACTTCCGGAGTTTAGTTTTACCGTTTGCAAATACCCATCAAGTGGAGCCCAGCTGTTATAGATGCTACCATACAAAATGCGGAGTAGCATCTCGACCCTACAGTCAACTTCCATACAGTAAGCCTATAAGAAACACCCCATACGTAAAAATATTTCTATATATACACACCATGAATTCTATACGGGCAGAAATGTGAGTTAAAGTAATCCAGGATATGAATATTAAAGGCTAATACCTACACGTAGCATTGCCTCATCACCCCCATTCCGATTTCTAGTGGGCCCCAATCAGCGGGAATTTACCATATATTCTGCTCTCTTTGCACACCAGTCCCCTGTATTTGAGAAATTGGTAAATGGTAATTTCTCTGAATCTACGGAAAAGTGTGTTCAATGGAAATCTGTGGATGAAGATACTTTCATTTGTTTTTGGCAGTATACACATACTGGGAGATATACTGCTGCTTCTCCGGTTATTGGACTAAAATCAGAATCCGAAGCCACTTGTGCTCCACCACCACCGCGTCCGCCATCACCAGGCCTTACAAGCTTATTTGGTGGTCCTGTGGCTGCTAAGAAAGACGAGACTCCTCCAAAAGAACTTACAAAACGTGAAATTCAGTGGAACGAATTTAAAAATCAGCGAGCTTCTGCCTATTCTGGCGCGTTTTGTTCTGCTGGTTTATTTGGTCCATGTGTCAGAAGCAACTACGCGCATGAAGATTATACAAATAATTTCATCTTACATGCACGAGTTTATGTTTTTGCAGAATGTTACGGTATTGCTGGGCTAATGGATCTTTCACTTAATGAGCTACATGGAACCTTGGTAAGATTTACGCTATATAAAGAAAGAATTAATGATGTAGTGGCGTTAATACGTTATTGCTATGAAAATTTGGTTCCAGAACCGCTAAGAGAGGTTGTTGCTCTATACACGGCCTGTAAGCTTGAGAAGTTATGGTTGAGCGAGGAATTCCACGCGCTTGTGGAGACCTATGGTGAACTATCGAAGACTTTATTTGGGTTGATAGTGAAGGTATTATAGATTGGATCAACAATCATATACTCTCCTGCTAGCTATTTCTTACTAGTATTTATTATGAAGCGTAAGCGTGAAATAACAGGACTCAGAATCCATTTCTGGATAATGTTACGCCGAGTTTAACAATGTACTCGGCGTCTCGGCGTCTTCACTGTACAAGCCATACTACGCCATATAGATGGTCTGTGCGGAAAAACTTTCGTCAGTGCGAAAACCGGACATTTATTTCGGTTTCTACTGTATATGATTTTCGGCAAAATATTATTTCTTGCTGGCGGCTGCCGAGGATGGACATTGAGGAATTAGGTGAGATATAAGCCACGTGGGCGGCATTTCAGCTATACTGTATAATACACTACACAAGGTTGAAAAGATAAGCCTAGCAGGTTGATCTGTTCACTCCAGGGCAGCAGTGTCTTTGAATCGATTTAAACCTTGTGGGTTGCATCTCAGCTGGAGCCACAAAGTCAGCGAGGTAAGCTTTGGCTGTTGATTTGTTCACATCACTTGGCGGCCGCAGTCAGTATCTTTGAATCGATTTGACATTATATGGGTAGCATCTCGGTTAAAACCATAAAGTGAACAAGGTACCCAGCCTCCAAAGTTCATCATCATCGGTTTCCAGTACAGTTTTGTGTTGTGCTTCTGTCGTGTCCAAAAATCCATCATCGTCCGAGTCAATTCATCTAATGTAGCATGAGAAAATACAGCCCCTTTTCGGTTTGGCTCAGTCAGTCTACCTCTGAGGAATCAGCTTATTACTGAGCAGGATTCGGGTCTCTCAGATCTTCAAGCAATCGGTGAGATTGTAAATCATAAAGTCATCGTGCTAGATCAAGGCATTACGGTTCTGCATGATCTTGTTCATGCAAACATCCCATTTCTGCATCCGTTGGGATATTTTAGCAAGTTTGTGGGAGACGTGGTCCAGGCGGTCGTGGAATACTTCATTAAAGCTGCGTTTCCCCTGCTCTTTGAAAATCCCTTCAGGATCACTTCGTTGTCTATGGCTCGCTGGGCCCATTCACTAGTTCAACACCAACGGAGTGTGCATGGTGACTCAATTATATCTCATGAAGCTCTTTTTCCTCTTTTAAATCGATGTATATGTAAAAAGGTCTTCCTTTACCTCGATTTTCCACCCCTAGTATTACATTGTCACCGGCTTCAACGGCCAAATAGTGGATAAGTATTTTGTTTATACGGCCGAGAACATTCAGCTTAGGTAGCGTGATGTTGTAAAGCAAGGTAGCGTCCGGCTCGTTGATTTCCGCCAGGATGGTGTGGAGAATATCTGCCAGCTCAGCCTCAACTTCCTCGCGAGTGAGGCTGCTTATATAGTAGGTTGATTTGTTTACATTACATTTCTCATCAGCAGCAGTGTCTTTGAACCGATTTAACATTATTTGTACGTTGTGTACTATAGTACAGGCAGGTTTTAGTCATGTCATGAATTCCACGCTTCCTCCATTACCCAGCCCAATTATTTTCCCCCATTATAATTATAAAGAACGTTCGTTGATCATCAAAGGAGTGACTCGCTCGTAGTCGACAAAAGACTATCATAAAATCGACAACATACTCCTCGCAAGAAAAAGGCGCCATAGCATACCCCCTGTTTTCCAAAGAACATTATATATAGTAATATGTCCCATTCATTGTCGTGTTAGAAACCCTCTTATACACACTTTTCTTCATTAAAACGTGACGGACAGACTTGATCCTCTGCGCCGGCGGAAGCATGGTGCTGTTTCTGTCCTACAGAACAGCGCTCATCTCTTCAATCGTCGCAGGGACGGTGACCTTGCCGCAAGTGACGGTGCGCGAAGAGTAGATCTGGCCAGGCTGCCAGTTGGGGTTCTGCCAGGTGGTGTCACTGCAGTTGAGGTTGAGCTGGACGCCTCCCTGGGCTGTGAAGCGGCTACCCTCATCAGCACAGTGCCATGTCTGGTTGATAGCCAGCGTGTTGTTGGGACGAGCAAAGGTGAAGGAGGCCTTGTCGGCGGCGGCTGAGTCGGGCACTTGACAGTTGTAGACGAAGTTGCCGTAGAAGAAGTCGGAGAGCTGGTCGGAGGCAGCGCTGCAGACGGGTGTGTAGTTGAGAGCTGGGTTGCTCAAGGTGAAGTTGACGTATCCCCACGAGTTCTGGTGAGCGGGCGTTGAGAAGATGTATGAGGCGTGGAAGTCGAACTCGTCGACTGTCCACTGGGAGACCTTTGTTGAGCTGGCGGTGCATCCTGTGGTAGCCGGAGGAGGCGGATAGTAAGTGTTGTCATCTCGAGGAACGACGCGAGAGGGCAGAGCCAGAGCCGAGCCGGCGAGGAGGAGAGTAGACAGCAGGTTCAACATGGCGATGGAGATGGTTGAGGAGGAAGTATGGATAGCTTCGAAGACAGAGAGTAAAGAGATTGTAATAGAGAGATGGGTTGAAGAGGGGAATGGATAGACAGAGGCTATATAGAGGGAGGTGGATAGATATAAGACTATGTCTTGAGTCGTATCAGCTTATTGGTGATGCCAGCAGCAGAACAAGCAGCTTCCAGTCGGATCACGGCCGCCTCTTATACACAAACTCCAGGCCGCGCCTGCTCGGGACAAGCTTGAATCGCTCAGTCCTGAGGTAACATCGAGTCCACGATCAAAAGCCAAAGCCGACTTGGCACACGCACATGGTCTCTCGACTAGACCGACGATTTGCTCTGTTGGCGATGCACAGGAAGAGGCTGGAGACTGAGCACCGGCCCAGCCATTCTTTCATGACGTAGCACGGATCTCGTATTCCCAGCGCACGGAGAAAAAAAAGAGGGAATCGGGTGTGGCGGTTGAAGAGCCGTCGGTAAGTCGGGGTGGCAAGGTTTGAGGTTCTGAGTACTTTATCAATGCTGCGATCTAGAGTGAAAATAGATGTACTATATACCTGAATCAGCGACAAAGAAATAGGGAAAAAATAGTTGCTCTCCCGGCAGATGCACCTGTAAGGAGGCGGCCCAACAAGGGCTGGTGCATGTCAAGAGGGGCTCTGGCTCAGCGCACAAAAAGACCACCTGTAAACGGCGAGAGCGCTGGAAGGGACCTTTTCAGCGCCTGCAGAAGGGATGTCTAGCGGGCCCTTTTAGCGGGCTCGCGGACGCTAATGAAGCGCACGTCTCTCTGTTGGGCGGGTCGAGTGGCACTGCCAGCTGCCACACCTTGTGCGGTGATCGACAAGGCCGTGACCTCGTATTTTCTGCCGTTTGCATGAATGTCACTGTAGCTAGCAGTAGCGTAGATGCGCTGAGGAGTTGCATTGACTCTTTTTTTTTTTTTTTTTTTTTTGCTGCCGCTGATTCTTCAGCTGAGAGAAGAGGGGCTGGAATCTTTATCCGATGAGCATTAGTGGCTGAGGAGGATGCGGTGAGCCGTTTTCTACAGCAGTGCGACGACGATGTTGAAGAATCTAGAACGAGGACACGGCATATCAGACGCTATTATTAGACAACCCAGGCGAATTGATGCATACCTACTTTCCTTTACTGGTTATCTGTCGACGTGTGCAGAGTGGCCACATGGAGATAATGGCACGAGCACTTCGACCTGAACTGCATGAAGACAAAGAGAAATATCGTTGGTTGTGACATTCAATGAAGCTTGGCTCAGGCTCGACGCATTGACTTTGTTCCCCATCTCTAGCATTCACCCTATCGTCCAGGGCGGAGAAGTCAACTAAAATCATATCACAGCTCCCTCAGCCTCGGCTAGCAGAGCAAAAACATGCTACGCATACTATGTACTTACTATTCAGAGCAGACAGCGATGCTACCCAGCCATCCTTGCCAAGGGCATGTCACGTCGTGATACCACATCAAAGGGAGCTTCCTCCATCCTTGCTGAAGGGTCCCCATCCGAGCCCTCCCTCCAGCCAGCCGGCTCTGTACCGGCGTCCCGAAATCGTTTATGCTTAGTCGTAGGATTGATTACACGAACAGTCGACCAAGCTATGTACCAACGCACAGCTCCGGTTGGATCTTGGAATGCAGAAGAAAGCTCGATACCCTTGTCCAGCGGCCTTTGCACCTTGCATGCAATGCCACGTTGACGGAAGTGGAAACTGTCGGTTTTTTCTGCAGAGCACATGCTCGGAATATACCTACTTGTACAATACGATTACAATTTGGTGCTTTTGGGCCCCAACGAAGGAAGAAAACACCAAAGGGTCGCCGAGCATCCGAGCGGTTTTCCCATCCGGCATCAACGGTGGCGCGGAGCTCGTTCGATTTTCCTTGCCAGCGTTGCACATCAGCTCACACAGACTTGCAGCGTAACACTGTCATGGTCTCGCATATCTCTCTCACTCTGGTTTCGCAGGGGGCTATGTAGATGGGTTGACAAACATCCAACGGGCAGTCTCCGCCCCCATATGCATCTCATCGGCCTCTATGGACCTCGTATAATTCGTTCAGCGCCATGGTTGGTGATGGAAGAACCCAACCCATGCCTCATGTCCTAACAAAGGAGGGATACTATCATTAGTAGTGCCTAGTAACGTCATATTTATCAAGTAAGATGGCGTTGTGAGATATCAGCACCAAGCTTGCACAACGATAACCGTCAGGGTTCTCGTCATCCGCCGTAATCATCTTAAAAAGATCGATCCGTCTCGTGCAATCTGCCGGCCAACTGACCGTATCCGGGATCCTTTGAGTCCTTTGTCCCACGGTTGCTCTCGGACACAACGGTGAAGCCCTCAATTTTTAGGCTTTGCTGCGAGCCGCGAGCTTCTCTGCTTTCTTCTTTATGTCGTGCTTCCTGAGGCTAGAGACTGAACGTGGCTGGGGTCATACAAACGACGCAGTTTTTCACTGACCGCTTGTGCTGTGCAAGCGTCTATAGCCTTGGTTGCAGCCAGGTACAAAAGCCGCAAGATATAGCCTGCAGAGGCAATGTTACTGTGTATCACGAGCGTTTGCCTCGGTATGCTCACCTCTGGCCGGCTATAGAGACATGGCGAGCATTATATACCTACCTAATTGTGTTGATGGAACCTCACAATAGTGAAATACGAGAGGACAACTGGCAGCAGCTCTCGATATAAGACGCTAGAGAGAAAATCACGCTGATGAAGATCGTTTCCCCGGTCGTAAGTCCAATGCTTACAGACTTGGCTTACTAAACACGATCTGCAAAGCATATCCAGCGCAAAGGCACTTTATATTATGCATGTAGTCATGGTGTTTAATGAAGGCTGGGTCAGCAAAAATTAGTTGCAACAACACCAACATTGTCCAATTGGATGAATTCCGCTATTGACGCAGCTAAACTATATAGTTCTTTTAATCGTGCAGCCGAGCAAATAGCCGTCCAGGAACCAGGAACCAAGTCAGGCATGTCCTTCCTAACGATGCGAGAGAAGCCACAATGATGTGTGTGGCCCACGCTTGGGGGGATTGATTAGCGGTGCATGATTGGCACGCATGAAAGACTGGGTCACGCCGCCGTCTTTGAGGCAACGATATGTCACGCGAAACCGCAATTGCGACGATCGAAAACTGGGCAAAAGATGGGAATTCCCCTCATCGCGACGCGCGGCAAGCCATTGCCAGACATGCGTTGATGAAATTATATGAATTGACGGGTTGCTAAGGAGGAAGTGCCCGACTTGGACATTTAAATGTATATCGTGATAGTGCTACACTATCAACAAGAAATCATAGCAGATATCCAATCGAAATAGCGCCAAAGATGCCTGATGTTCAGCCTCAGTTTCACGACTCGGAAGAGTATCCTCGCCCCGATTTCCAGCGCTCGGGATCGCGCTGGCTGTCGCTCAACGGCCCCTGGGACTTTCTCTTTGACGACGACGACGTCGGCTTAACGCTCCGCTGGCAGCAGTCCGGCCTGCCATCCGAAGTCGCCGTCAAGAAGACGCTCGCAAAGAGCGAGGCAGAGAACCAGTCCGAAAGCGACGCCATCACGCAGCGCATCGCCGCCGGCACGCAGGACCTCCTCAAGAACAACGTCTTCACGCGGGGCTCCTCCGCCGCCGCCGCCCACCACAAGCGCCCCATCACCGTGCCCTTCGTGTTCCAGTGTCCCGCCTCGGGCATCAACGAGCGCGGCATCCACGAAGTGCTCTGGTACGAGCGCGCCATTGCGGATCTGCGCAACGCCAGCGAGCGCGACGAGGGCCGTCGGGTGCTACTCAGGTTCGGCGCCGTCGACTACGAGGCGTCTGTTTGGCTCGACGGGAGCCTCGTCGGGAGCCACCGCGGGGGGCATGTCCCCTTCCAGCTGGACATCACCGACGTGCTGGACGCACAGAGCCGTGACACGCATCGGCTGACGGTCCGGGTGTATGATTCGGCCCACGACTTGACGCAGCCGCGGGGGAAGCAGTACTGGGGGGCGCAGCCCGAGAGCATCTTTTACACGCCCTCGGGAGGCATCTGGCAGTCTGTGTGGCTGGAGGTGGTGCCGGCGGCCCGAATTGCGGACAGCAGCCACGGCACTGTGGTTCGGTCGAATGACATCCATGCGGGAGACGTCTATTTCGACATTGCGGCACAAGGCTTGCAAGCGGGCCACAAATACGTCGTTGAGGCGGACATTAGTTTTGCAGGCCAGCTGGTCTCCCAGTCTTCCAAGGTGGATGTGAAAGAGGCATCGGGCAAGTTTCGTCTGAGTGCTCGGCTGTCCAAGGAAAACATTGCTGCTCTCGCCGAATCGGTGCTTCAAAATGCACCCCTGGATGATGCTTCCTGCTGGCGGGATGGTGTCGCTCTTTGGTCACCGGAGCATCCTCAGTTGTATGACGTCTCGATCAGGCTCTTTGATTCGTTTTCAGGGAGACAAGTTGACGAAATCAAGACAACCACGGGCATGCGATCCATCCAATGGTCTGACGGTCTGTGGAGGCTGAACGACGCTCCTTACTTCCAGATGTTGAATCTGGACCAAGGCTATTGGCCAGAATCCTTCTTGACTCCCGAGTCCTCTCACAGCCTAGAAGCAGATATTGAATGCGCCAAGAAGATGGGCTTCAATGGCTGTCGAAAGCATCAAAAGGTTGAGGATCCACGGTTTTACTACTGGGCAGACCGAAAGGGATATCTGGTCTGGGGTGAAATGGCGAGCGCCTATCAGTTTAGTCGGGAATACGTTGATCGTTTCAACCAGGAATGGACAGAGTCTGTCAAGCTGGCAATCAACCATCCCTCAGTGGTGACTTGGACGCTGGTGAATGAGAGCTGGGCGTATACTTCGCTCAAGGATGACGTTGAGCAACGCAATCACATTCGCTCTCTCTATTATCTAACCAAGTAAGTTTTATTCTTACGTCAACTCGACTGCATTTCACATGTACTCATGACATTGTAGGACATTGGATCCCACGCGGAGCATCAACGACAATTGCGGCTGGGAGCACGTTTGCACCGATCTTACCACCTTTCATGACTATAGCGATGCCCCAGAACTAGAAAAGACGTGTGCAAGTCTGGACGCCATTCTTGGTCCAAAAGCCGGGCGAGACATGTTTGTGGGCGAAATCGCAAACGCAGACAAGGGCGCTGCTCACAACCCAACCGCGCCAATCATCTGCACCGAGCTTGGTGGAATCAACATTGCCTTGGCAAAGACGGATGCCGATGGCGAGGAGTCTCGCGACTGGGGATACACCACCGCTACTGATCCTGATGACCTCTTGAAGAGGATAGAGAGGATGGTCAAGGGTGTTGCTGGAGGTGGCCATTGCTGCGGATTTGTTTATACACAGCTGTGAGTTTTGAGCATCAACGCCTGTGCTTGTATATGTTTGGTACTAACTGGAAATCACTAGGACGGACATTGAGCAGGAGACGAATGGGCTTTATTCACAGACTCGGTGCGAGAAGTTGGATGCGGCAAAGGTTAAGGCGGTTTTTGAGGAGGCAGCGCAGATTTTCTATAAGCGGGTTAACGCGTGATGGATAGACTTTGTGATTTAACGACTTGATGAGGCTATAGAAGTATTCAAAATGAAAAGAATGGTTGTGTGAACGATGATAAGAGCTTTTAATGCTGCGGTTATAACTGGCAGCGGACATATAGCCGCCGAACTAATATTCTATGGGATAAGAATGAGAATCCAGCCTCTAGAAATATAGGGCTCAAAAGTACGTTGATGTATTTTCGAGAATCATCTGTTTCTTAATTCAAATTTTACTCAATCTACTCGAATATACCATTTCTACATTCTCCTACCTGGTAGGCAAAAGCGAAGCTCCAAGCACATGCATCTCAAAATAGGCTAAGCGTTTGTCTAAGGCTAACAACATTAGCGCATACCGTAGTCCCAGATAGTACTATAATACTCAATATAACGTACTAACTTTCAACGAAGGGGATATGGTGTAGGGGTATCACGTTTGCTTTGCATTGTTCATTCAATACAAGCCTGTAAAAGGTCGGGGGTTCAAATCCCTCTGTCTCCACGTGTTCTTTCTTTTTTGCAAATTTATTTCAATCTCTCATACAAGACTCTTTCTTGTATGCAACCGTTTGATTTGATTTGATTTTTTTTTTCTTTCTCAAGCTGTATCTGGTCATTCCAATTCATACTATCCGGGAGCAAACAACTTGACGCAATGGCGGAGATGCAACAGCTTAGCGATGCCTCCACTCAGCACTCAAGATCGTGGACGAACCGCAAACTGGATCGCCGTCTTCTTGTCCTACCGACTCGCCACACCATTCGGATCATGATGATGCAGAACACAAAGCACAATGGATGGAGTGTATGAGGCCTCTCTGAAAGTCCCGACGGACTCTTTATTAATGGCGATTAGTCTGTAACTTTATGGACAAACAGGCTAAGGAACGTCCTTATCCCGAGTATTTATACCGAGCTCATGTTCACGGCCACCCGTTTCCCCGATTACTAGACGTTTTCATGAGAGAATATGCTGATAGCTTCGGTTCCGACTTTCATATTTGGGCTGAATATGACGCACAATCGCAAATATTCGTCCCCATACTTGATCCGATGGAGTCCTGGACCGTTGATGACGTCTTCTCGGAGCTGAACCTTCATCCAGGGAAGACAAGTGTTAATCTCCAGCCAAATTGTGATGGAGAGGAACCATTCTTATCTTCTCTGGTCTCTCTTAGCAGTGACTTCCGTTGGACGGCGCAGAGAATCTGTCGGGTTGGGAGGATGACAAGCAAAGATCAAATACCTGGCTTGGCTATCTGTAAAACGTCAATGATCGACCCTAGTGTGGTGCGTATCTGGCGGGTAGCAGAGATGCTTTTATTTCGTGATACAATACTTTTGAATAGCTCTGTTCATATTTCTCCACGCCTCCGCCGCTGGGCCACCAATGCCCAGGAATTTGTTTGTTGGCTCTTTGTCCCTCAGGAGGCATTGATTGCGTTTACTCCTTTTCCTAACCTAATCGAAGCGTCCAATGGCGGTGAAAGGGCCTTCTTGACGAAACAGTTTGTGGGCTCCAACTACCTGGGCGATTTCATGCGATGTCCTTATGTACATCTCTCTCTGAGAGAGTATGCAGATAGAGCATCAGAGTTTGTACGCAACATCATCACTGATGTTTACTCTTTCGAGGAAGCGAAACAACGGGTTATGTATATGAAAGTGGTGCTGTCAAACCCCTATGCATGGGGATACGAGGTTTCCGGAGTTGCAGAAGACGTGGAGGAAGCAATCATGTTGTCCGTTGAAAAGGCACTGGAAACGACTTTCATGATAAAATGACTAGGGGATCCTCGATTCTGATGCAGGGAAACTGTTTGAACACAGATCTTGTGTGTTGCATGCCGCTGCAACTGCGCTTGACTTACTCTCTTTATCTATTACTTGCAGATCCTCGTCATTTCGTTTGCTCGAATAGGTTGTGCTGTTTAAATGATTTCAACCATTTCTAACCTGCAGTTTGAATTTAATGATGTGATGACTCTATCTCTCAGATTCATCTCTTCAAGTGACAATATTATCTAGTACATCCCAAGCAAGGCCTCTAATACCCGTTGAAGGCTATGGGCAACTTCATTTAGCATTGTAACTCACAATTTCACCCCGGACTTGACTGTCTAAAATGTACCTAAACTACCGATACTCATTACATGCACGTATAAACCCATTATCCCCAGCCCCCCTGACTTTTGCTTCGCGGCGCGCTGACCAGTATCAGCATAATGGCTCTAACCTTACTGTTGCCAACGGGAACTAAATCGAAAATCATGCCCCTTTATATAGAACTATCCTCTCATGTAGTTCATTCTCATCATAGAACACTAATCTTCTGGTGAGGGCGAATGCGTATTAGGGCTGCTGGGGCACCTTAATCCGACCCCCTTACCTAGCAGAGATTTTTGATCGAAGCCATTCTAACTCACAAGAATGAGCAGATAGATAATAATTGCTTACATCTTTAACAGTAGTTGAGTTGAACTGGGGCAGGATCATATTGGTACGCTGAATGGCGCGCTCCCCCTTTTAAATAGAATGCGAGTGTGCCTTGTGTAAGCTTAATGGGGGGAATTGTCTTCTGTCCTTAACCTGGAAAGTATGTTTTCTCCCAAAGCACAATCATCAACAACGAGGCGTTCGAGTTGGCCATGTTTACAATTTAGATGACCAGGGTTGGGATACCTCATGGTAGGGTTACAGTCACAGTGCCTATGTATATTTGCTAGCGGCAATGATATTCACTGCGTCTCCTCAGTATATTCTCCCAACGGCAGAACTCCACTCTGCCTTCTGCTGGTAATTTGAACACCGTGAGACGATAGAAGCCATCTGTGCATGAACAATAAAACCATGCATTCATGTTCTGTGCATTCTGTATATACGCTGATATCTTAGCGTATCCTCAAAACTAAGAAGCGACCAGGAGAGTTCTGTAATAATACGGCATCTACTGCACTAATTCAGCAAGTGATACCACAGCACATGTATCAATTTAACTTACAATGCATGTACTTCGAATCCCGTCAGACAATAGCAGCCATCCGTGCATGACAATAGAACCGCATGGAATTCTCTCATTCCTGCTCGCCGCTCTCCCCGAGCTTTTGCCGCCACCGCACCCCGTCCATCCATCCGTCTTACAACCCACCACCGCCCAAACCTCGAAGCAATCCTGCAATCCGCAACCTGGCGGGGCATCCTCTTCGGCTCATACCTAGGCACCGCTCCATCCTTCCCCGAACATACCGCTCTCCGAGGTAGAATAGTCCGACTCGGTGCTCTGTTAGCGCTGCTACTACTGCCACTATTAAGCTCGCATTTCCCCCATCGCTGCCGGATCGAATCCCGCAAATCGCTAGCTTTCTTTTACTGCTTGCTCCAAACAAGGCTATCAAGGCAAAATCCATCACCTTCACACTCCGCCATGGAATACGTCGAGCACCGCATGAACGACGAGGCCGCCAAAGAGGCCGTCAGGTAAAAAAACACCCTCACTACTGTACCCAAAAACCTCAAAACTGACAAAATCTCCCTCCCAGCGCCGGCCTCATCTCGCCCCTCAACATCCTCCTCGTCTCCATCATCCTCTACACAGCCTACTCAACCTTCTTCTCCAAATCCGCGCCGCCGCAGCTCCCCAAGCCCCCGCCCCCCGCCGTCTTCAAGATCTACAACCCGCACACCCTCCTGCCCTTCAACGGCGTCGACGGCGCCCCCGTCTTCATGGCCATCCGCGGCGCCGTCTACGACGTCTCGCGCGGCCGCAACTTTTACGGCCCCGGCGGGCCCTACCAGAACTTTGCCGGCCGAGACGCCAGCCGCGGCCTGGCCTGCGGCAGCTTCGACGAGGACATGTTAACCAAGGATCTGGACGGCCCGCTCGACACGCTGGCCGACTTGGGGGCCGAGGAGATGGAGGCGCTGAGGGGGTGGGAGGAGAGGTTTACGGAAAAGTATGACATTATTGGCAAGTTTGTGTCGATGAAGGAGTATGAGGAACTGAACAGGAAGGAGTGAAATGGTTGTTTTTGAGAAATAACTCTTCGTTTTTGATTTTGTTTTTTTTTTACGCGTATGTAGCAAAATGGGATAAGCACTGCAGTTTGCACAAGGAAAAAAAAAGATCCTTTTCAATATCAACATGGACATCACAGAAGGAGATACGCACATAGAAATGAGAGAAGCAAGGATTCTATTTGTTTCAAAGATGGGTATTTTGGGATGAGATAGCTGAGCCCTGTTTTTGCTTTCGATTTCAAGGAATAAAGCTATATATGAAAAGAGTACATTTGGGCCCATTAAACTCCATTGCCATGCCGTTTCTCAGCTACGAGAAAGCATCTCATAAAAAGACAAAAACATAAAACAAGAATAATCCGGTCAGGAGTTCTGTGCTCCCGGCCCAAGATCCGACATTCCTTTTTGCAACACTCTTTCCACACAGAGTTACAAGTCGACAAAAGATAACAAATGGAAAAAAAAAAAAAAGGTAGCAAAAGCAGCCACAGGAAGGCTTGGGTCAAAAAAAAAAAAAAGACAAAGCAAAAAAAGCAGCATATCCCACCAATAAAGCCCATCTATCATTCTTCCCAAAAGGCCCCAACTTAATCTCCTGTACTCCTCTCTTGAAGGGCTCTGTCCGTCTGTCATAAAAAATAGGGGGATTATGTATATCGAGAAGTGGTTGGATATATGCGTCAAGTATGATATGTATGATATGTAGAAGGGGGGTCAAAGAAATCCGGGGGGAGTCGGCGGGCGTAGTTTTTCGATGAATAAATCCGTGGCATGGCGCCGTGCTGGAAATCGAAAAGATTCGCAAAAAGAGGAGATAGATGAAAAACTCATGGGAAAAAAAAAGGAATTGTAGTAAGTAAAATCCGTCTCGTTATATCTCCAAAATCGATGCCGCTTCCTTCATCAGAGTCGCTGTTTTGTTGATATATGAATTGGCCCCATCCCACAACTCCGCATCGACAAGATCGCGGATGGCAGGGAAAAAGGCCTCGTCGTAGCCAGACCACAGTTGCGGGCCATATACGACGTGCTTGAATTGTGTGCGATTAGGGATCTAAAAATGCCCCCCGTTAGTAAAACAACCCACCAGTTTTTGAAGAAGAAAAGAAACAAACTTACACCGCCACCAAACTCCAAATCCAACAGCATCGACTCAAAGTAGCCCATCTTGTTATTGTACGCAATCCGCTTTCCGCCCAGCTCTTGCGTCTCCCACCCTCCACTTCTGTGAACCGTACGGTCCCACTCAAGCTCCCACTTGGAGAACTGCTCTGCCTTTGCTGAGACCGTGGCAGCCGCATCCTTGAGGTCGTCGAATTTGAGAAAGTCCTTCTTGTTCTTCTTCTCTTCCTCCTTCTTCGCCCACGACTCCAAGTCGCCGATCCAGGCCTGGAGACTTCTGCCGTAGTTGACCATGTCAAAGGGTAGAATAGGCCTATCAGCCAGGTCGAGGAGGAGAAGGCCCACAACTTGGGCCAATAAACCGTGATAGGTAAAGTCGGGATCGATGACCTGCTCCATCAGGTCAAAGTTGTCGTAGCTGGAGTGGTAAGGGAATGGCTCGCCGCCAAACTCCAGGTCCAGCGAGCTTGTTCCAGCGATATCCTGGAAAGCGACATAATCGCTACCTGCTCCCAAACCATCGAGCTTAGCACCACGACGGTCCCAGAGATCCTTCAAAGTGGTGTTGAAATTCGGGTCAACGACTCGGTTCATGGCGCGAAACAAGCTCTTTTGGAGCGGAGGAGAGCCAGAGGCGCGGAACTCGGGCCCTGATACTACAGTATCCAGGTTGATGTAGGCAAACGCATTCTCCCGTAGAGAGTCCACATTCTTCTCAACAAATTCTGTAGATCCAATAAGGTTATACTCCTCTGCATCCCACGACATGAACTCAATAGAGCGAAGAGGCCTCCAACCCCGACCAACCAGGTCGCCAAAGATGCGTGCCATTTCAATCATAATAGCCGTGCCCGTGTGCGGATCAGTCGCACCAAATGACCACGCATCTCGGTGGTTACCCAGGATGATCGATTTGGCCGATTGCTCCATGCCTATAATCTTTCCGTAAACATTCCAAATGGGTTGCTTCTCATTTTCATCCTGCTCGTTCTTCAGACGAACAATCGGCGACGATGAATTTCCGGTCCACCACTCGCCCACTTCGGGAACACCGCCCTTCCAAGCATCCGGCACTTTTTGTCCGAAACCTTGGAGGTGCTGTAACAGAATCTGTGCGTCTCTCCAGGCAAGCGGAAGACTAGGGATCTGGACAAGTCCATTTGCCTCGTTTACCTTGAGGCGAGGCACCTCTTTCTTGCTCTCCCAGCCTGGCGTCAGGACGTCGCCGACGACCCAGCTCATCAGACTGACGGCGCCTCTCTGGACACCATCCTCTGGCATATACCGCCCACCAGGGGCGACATCACCTTTGAGGAAGCCGTCGTCTGCGGGATCGCTATAAATCAGACATCCCGCGAAGCCCGCCAACTCCGCTCCCTTGACTTTGAGAGCCCGATCCGTCTGCGTGCCGTAATACCTAACGAGCGCAATTGCACCTTTCGTATCGATACCCATATCCTGAATCTTCTTGTAGTCCTCCCTTGATCCGTAATTTGCGTAAATCAGCGGGCCTTTGACATCTCCGGATTTGGAATGTCCATGGAACGCTGGTGTCTGCTTTCCAGCAGTCTCTCCGCCACGCTCAATCTCCTCCAGCGCGGCCGTCCAAATCGCATTTTCGCCCTTGTCGTCCATAATCTGCACGGCTCGTCCGTCTTCGCGCGGGTAGTTGAGGTATACATAGTAGTCGTCCTTCTGCACCGCATCCAATCCAGCCTTGTTGAACATTGCCTCCACGTCGAGTGCCGTCGCATAGTCGCCCTCGGTGCCGGCAATATGTGCGTAGCTCGAAAAGATCTTCACGGCGGCGCGCATTCTTCTGGGGTCGACGGTTCGCTGTAAATGGACGCGAAGGTCCTCGGGGTCGAAGCGCAGGCCTCCATTGTTCACACCATTCGTCAGGCCGGTCAGCATGCCGCTCGCAAAGAGGAAGTACATGAAGCCGATGACGAGGGCGAGCGCTAATAGTCGCGCAAACGTGACCAGCACCATCATACTATTGACCTTGGGGAAGGCGAGATCCTGCATCCACGACCTCACGTTTTCGAGATCGTCTCTGTCGAGAGCCTCATCGTCGGGAGAGGAGCCCGCCGATACCGAAGCCCGCTGCGGCAGCTGGATGCGGAACCGAGGAATCCTTATCCGCCAGGTCCATTTCCATGTTGGCAGCGACAGCTTGAAGCCTATCCGCTTCCCCCATAACGAGCCTCCTCCTGTGCGGTTTGGCTCTTCAATCTCCAGCTCTTCCATCTCGCGGCGCACCTGGTTCGTCTCGTCGGCATCGCTGTCGCTGTTCCACAGGTCATCTTCCTCGTCTGACTCTACCGTCGGTGGCCGGTAGCCATTAGGCCGTCTGGAGCCTTGTGAATTTTCGCCGGAGCGAGGCAGCAGTGATTGCGATTCGGTCTCGGTCGCGTTGCGCTCGTCAATAGGGTCTCTCGTGGGTGCTGGTGGCGGCACCCAGTTACGACTGCTGCCGGCCAGTGCCTCATCGTACGTCGGTGGCACCGGATCGTAGAACGGTACCTTTTCCGAAGGCATGGTGGGCTAGAGTAAGAAGAAGAAAGAGACAAAAAATATCGTCCACAAGCACGACTGCGCACTCATCCGCAAGTTGTCGTCTACGGTTAGGCGAGCTGGAATGGGTATGGGCGAGCACGCGATGTCGAGGTGGCCATTCAGACTGGTCAGGCTCAAGCGGGCAAATCAAACGAAAACGAGTGTCGAGAATGAGAGAGAGCACGCTGGATTGGTCGAGCAAAGATGTGGAGAGAGGTATCAAAGAATGCGAAGAAGAAGAAAAAAAAGTCCGGTCAAGAATGCCGCATATCCAAGAAGAAGAAGAAAGGGCGAGCAAGGCTGGTGATGGTTGCGCAGCCACTGCTGGAAAACCGCTGGTTGGAGATGGAAGAATGAAGAGAGGCGATGGCGGCTTACGAAGCCCAGCCAGACGGGCGATAAGGGATGACGATGCAGCAAAGCCGGGGGCTCCGCTCTGCTTCAAAACTCGGGTTCTGGCACTGCAGCTGCACCGCCTACCGCTGGACATGCACAAAGCAAAGGGTCCCAGTAACAATGCGGAGTAAAATTGGTTCAATAATAGGCGCAGCGCGCGCCCAGCAATGGCACCGCAGAAGAATGCTGCCACTAAGCTGTGGTAATTAACTGCTAGTATTAGCCGCATCGCCCTCCCTGAAAGACTCCGCCCCTATAAATTTGCCTCCTAGACAAACCCCTTCGAAACGTGACGGGTTACATTAAAATCCGCGCTTGGCAATCCGTTTGGCCAAGTTGGGAACGCCACCATTGCAGAGAGCGGACTTTTGTGCTGAGGAGAGACTCAATATGGCTGCAGAACAGAGGGGGAAACGATTTATAGCGATTAATTTAATATGTGCACCAGCCGGCGTGAGTTTATTGGCCGCAACATGATATAAATCACTGCTACATGGCGGTAATCAATATTGAGATGGGCGATTCTACCGTCGCTTGGACCCCGGACCTGAAAAAGCCCGCTCACTGTCGCGCTGATCAGCCGTGGATGCCAAATCTGCCACCGCGATCTGTCAATAATTACACGTACTCGTACAGCACAGTCAGACTACCCCAATTAGCGGCCTTGGCCTGGCAGCAATAATACCTCGACATACGCATCGGGGTACGGAGCTAATGGCGTCACGAAGTCCATCTGTCAGCTCCACCGTCGTATTCCGCAGGAATGGAGCCTTGGACAAGTGCCCTACTGTACATCACCACTGTCCTAAGCGCCTGTATAAGGATATAATGTTCCAATGATCGCAATAAAGAGCATAAAAGACTGCATTCAAACCACCGACTTCCCGATTATTTCTAGCATCTTTCTCTTCACCAAGTTTTCAACAGCCAAAAAGTGCCTTTCGCGACCAAAAAGTGTAATATGTAATCGAATAAAAATACATCAATTGTCATGCCATGTCCTCATTTGCTCCGGCTGCTTCTTGGTGGTGCATTAAAACATCTATACGCTCTTTCGTCCCATGACGCCTTTACTTAACCCCCTTCTCCAGAGCTTTCTTTATTCTTGAATCTTGTTTTGTATCGCAGAATCATTTAAGCATCCCTGCGGCTTTCGCTGACCAGACACCCCATTCCTAGCTTGGATATAAAACAACTCCCTCATACTGCCTGGATTTGATATTCTCAAGAGTTTGATGAAAGTGTTTCTTGCTGGTTTCGATTGAAGCCGATTCTTGCTGATTGCCTGCTAGGTTTGAGTGAATCAACTCAATAAGACCATTCAGGTATTTCGTAGTCACCTAGTTGAGAAAGCAAGTGTTAGTACGATATCTGATAGAGAGACATAGAGAGACCTAGAGAGAGAAAACATACTGCTTCATTCTGTTGATCAAAATAGTAGACGTAGCGGTCCAAAATCTCAACGAATAGTTCAATCGAGGTCGCTGTCTCCATGCACGAATCGGCCACACGAAGAGCCCGTTGTAAGCACTCTAGAACTCGCTTGCCGTCACGGTAGAGCTATGGGTTTAAACAAGTTAGCATATGATACAATTTCTTTCCTCTGCATTTTGATTCTAATTCTTCATCTTACCTCAGTCTCTTCTGTTTCGCCATTCACAGCAACGGGAGTTGCCCACCACAGATGACTAGCCAGGTACACTGCTCGGCATTGATCTGGCTTCCGCAGCAGCTTGCTGCCGTGCTGCGCGCACTTGGTGATCAACGTGTCGTAATTCTCCTTGCCAAAGCCTCGGGTTTGGTGAAGTGAGCTGGCAATGACACAGACAGCCTGGAACTGGGCTTTGGAATCAGAGATGGACTCCTCATAAGCTGTAAATGCCTGCGCATAAAACTCATATGCCACTTCCTCAAATCCTGTCAGGTCTGCGGTCTGCCCTGCAGAACAGAACAAGCGCAAAGCCAACTCAGCCACTCCCGTGCTGGTCACGCGAGTATAGAGCGTGCTAATCGCAGAGTGGATAAATTTGAAAAGGGCATTAATCTGCGTCTCCCAGTTGTCATCAAAATGCTCTCTCGTCTTGAATTTCCTGGCTAGTTTTAAGCTTGCTGTTATCAGCGGCGGCGTTGTTGTTCGAATGCGGTCGTTGCCGTCCGAAAATGCTTTGCGTGTCAGCTGCAGGAGCTTGAACTGCGTATCATTGTCCTCGCCCTGGAGCAAGTGCACCATTCTTGCTAGCCATCCTTGCTCTTCAAGAGTCTCATCAGTCTCCACAGCTCGTCGCTGAGTAGCTCCGGGGTAGCCTTGTGGTGATTGTGTTCCCTCCTTAATAAGTACCGATAGGACATCGAGCACGTGTTCCAACTGGCTCGTCTTGGAAATCTTGATCTGGTCCTTCAAAAGGCCGCGGATGATACCACCAGCAACGGCGCGGCGAGTTGGGTATGACTGAGCTTGGAAAAGAGGCACGTACGTTGGGAGGGATAAGGCGGTGAATATTGATACGTAGCGGTTGAGGGGCGCCTGAAGCAGGGCAAGGAGGCTCTGCTGAGCCTGAGCGGAGTGAAGATCAGCATTGTTGATGTTTTCTTTCGTTTTCGCCGTGGCGTAAGCCAAGATCTGATCCACATAGTCAAGTCGGTCGGGATAGTTGTTCAACGCCAAGTTGCAGAGGGATACCAACAGCGCAATGGTGTCTTGGATGGGGAGATGCTGGGCTTCAACAAGATTCTTGACCTGTGCGAAGAAGACTTCGTAGAGCTGTACGTCCTTGGAAGAATCGCCTTCTTGTCCATTGACTGCCGTTGTTTCCGTCTCGGCAACTGAGGGCGCTGTTTCTTCTGCCGCAGCGGCAGTATCCGCTTCGCTAACTGCGGGCTCGGCTGATGCTTCGCCTCCCTCTGGTACTTGTTCTTGATCAGCCTCCTCGGCGACCTTGTCACTTGCCTCCTCCGCAGGCGGCTGCTCGGGGGCTGGCTGAGCGGCTGGCGGCTCGGCCTCCTTCTGAAGCTGCACTTTCTCAAGCAGATTGGCCAATGCCTCAGCCTCAGCCTTCTCTTGATCAGGGCCCTTCTCACTGGCCCCCTCACGTTCAGCATATTCGGATAGACGGTCCATGAGACCAATGACAATAGCTTTGACATTCACGTGGGGGTTCAGCCGTGATACGGCGCCGAGGAACTGGTCCAGGGTGTGTAGGTGGAACTCGTCAGGGAATACCTGTGTGATGACCTCCAAAAGATATTCCTGGGCCAAAACGTCTCGGCATTGTACAACCTGCTCCAATAGAGGCGCAAGAATGCCCGTCTTGTAAGTTTCCAGATCAACCAACTGGCTCAGGCGGACAATGTTGCTCCCCACAAGAAGTTGTAGTTCCTGTCTTTCACGGATCCTCTGCTCCCTCTCGCGCGAGTGTCCTTGGTGCTGCAAACGAACCCATAATTTGTTCATTTCCACAAAGTTGGTCAGTATGAAGTTGATCGAGTCGCTCAGATTACCCTCGGGGCCGTCGCCAGTGCCAGTAGGGAGAAAATCTCTGGCCTGTCCAGACATGTAATATCGGAGGAACAGTCCGCGAATAGGGTGTTGAACACCGCGGCTCATGTCCATCATATCCTTCATCAGCTCCTTTACTGGCGCATCGGGGATGGACATGTATGCTGTTCCAACAGTGACCATGAGGTACAGCCTTGGGATGATGTTTCCGGCATATTGAACCAATTCGTAGAGATCGGCCAAGTGGTTAACAGGATGGTTTTCTCGCAGATGGACCGCCAGAAAGCGTAGGGCATCGAATATGGCCATGTAGAGTTCATAATACTGCTTCGGGCCAAGGCTGCTTGTCCGAAGCTCGGAGACCAGCGTCGAGCTACAAAATGAAGAACATGCTTGCGTCAGCCTCTTTCGTTCTCTCTTCCCATATATGTCCCTCGGTCAAAGCCGCGGGGCGTCGCAACGGCGTAACAGCGGCACATACCAGCACTTCAGAGCGTCCATGAGCTTTCCGGGCGTATCGAGGCATTTACGCATGAGCGATGTCTGCTGGCGCACGGCCACCAGGGCATCCTCAAGCAGTCGAGCCTGATCCTCCAGGGGGGCCGGCGTGGCCATTGTCGATGCGATGCAGCAGGCGGCGGGGTAGCTTTAGGGACGATGCTTGCGGCCAGAATCGAGCCTTCCACTAGGCATTGACGAGCAACAGAGTGTGGCGATTGCGCCGGTTTAGATGGCGAGTCGTCGGATCTTCTTGGAGTTGAGCGAGCGAGACAGGGCAAAAGACCAGCGCAAAGTGGCTCGGCGGCCAGTGACGACAGCTTAGCAGGCGAGGCGGCGCTGAGGTAACGGATGGAGCTCCCCAAGAAGCTAGCCAGAAGTGCCCAGTACTTGGGCCTTGTACCCGGAAAGCGCAGAAGACGCCAAGGGTACATGTACCTGCCACGTGATGTCCAATATATGTGCGTACCTCTCAACTTCAATACATACCAACTTTGTTAATTCTACTATTCTATCTATCTAGCATTGATGCTTTCATTTATTCAAATTGTCCCTCCAAATAATTTCATTCTGGAGACTGTTCTTAGAGTGTCATTACTTCTACTTCGCGTCACCCCCACGAAAGACTAGCATACGCGCAGGACGCCACAAGCATCAATACTATGCCCAGTACGACAAATCCTTCAGAGAACAGAGATACAGCACACAACATGTAACAGCGATGCGTCTTCATTCTTCGTTTCACTTCTTTCATCGTGTGCTCAACATGTTCAAGGCTTCGGTAATAATATTGATCAATTCTCGCTGTGGCCCAGGAGAAGCTGAAGCCCTCTATCAATTTCCCCGCTCCTTAATCCATTATCATACAACAGCAAAGAGAAAAAAAGAAAAAAACATGTCCAATCCATTATAACGCCCGCTTAAGTGCAATTCCGCTGTTTAATCTACCACTTAATCACCTTTTGAGGGAAAAATTCATCAATAAGCTCCATATAGTATGGCTTGAGCTCCTCCACGCTGGGAACATCGTCACTCTTACTGTACAGGTCATACGGGTTAAAAGCCTGAACAGCCTTGAGCATCTTCCAGTCTTTCTCGCACATAAACTCCCTGTAAGCTCCCTCGCGGTGCCAGGGATAGAACGAGTGATAACGGATCATGGCGAGTGCCTCATCCGGTAAAGTCGACTGGTCACGGACAACATGGTACAGATACTCATCATGGCCCCAGCTAAGCATCATGTTGTCCAGGCCACAGCCAGGAGAGTAAATGCCATGCTTGGTCGAGTACACAGGGTCCTTTGTGTCAGGATTGCTGGCAAAAGTATCTGGCAGAATGATGCGCTTATCGAAGGCGCAGCCAACGGGAAAAGTATCACCAACGACATCCCATTGGCCCTGAGTGCCGAGCTCATCAAAGAAAAGCATGAGCTTGCCGAGGTCATGTATCAGGCCAGTGACCTGCATCCAACGTGGCTTGCCATCGCGACGAATCGCCTCTGCAGACTGAAGCAAGTGCTCAATCTGAGACAGTGACGTGTCAGGGTCAGACTCATCAATAAGAGTGTTGAGCTTCTCCATGGCCTCCCAAATAGTCATCTCCGGGCGAGCTCGAGACGCGCTGTGGAAGCGGTTGCGAGCAGCAAGGTTGTAAGCGACTGTCTGCTTCTGGTGCTGTTCCTTGTAGAAGTTCTTGACCCGGTCGCAGGCGTCCTCATACTGGCGGAAGTTTGCTTTATCTTTGTTGGCATCGAATTTGGATTCTGAATCGTACTTGATGGAGTTAACCTCGTCAATGTCGTCGGAGAGGTTTTCTAATTTCTGGCCGACAGAGTAGGCGACGGTCTCGCCGAGATCAGCAATAGCCGTTGGTGCCATTATGGACGATAAAAATAATATATGAAAGGCACCCAGATGGTAAAAGAGGAACAATTATGCTCTCAAGCGAAACGTGGTTTGAATATCAGCGACGAACGTTTAAAAGTAATAGCGCTCGCACTTTTTACCCACGTTCTTGTCGTACACCACTGCTCTTGAATGTCTCTTGGATGAAGAAAATATATCCTCCCTGATGAGGATACCATTGCCTTAAGTATCTCGTCCACATCCCATGACTTACTCCCGTTTTTTCCAGGCTATCTTTTTACGTCATTTAACAAGATCCTCCAACCCCTCAATAATCATCGCCTTGTGCGGGTTTGTAGGTTGTACGATGGACAAAAAGCTGGATCCTGGTGGAACTGCTCGCGGCGGGATTTCCACGTTTGGCATCAGCACAAGGCTAGCGCCGCCGAGAGATTCCAAAACAGGATATCCCCAGGTTTTGCTCCCAGCGTGGGCGAATCTAAATCTCAGATGGCGGGCGCGGTTGCTCATTCAGGCAAATACAAAATAAGAATCTGTCTCGTATATCAAGCGAAAGAAGGGGAGCACAAGGTGGTGCTTAAAAAATCTGCTATCCATCTTAGATCTTGTTATCGCGTGGTTGATCATTCGTTCCTGAGCGGATCTTGGCAATAATAACCATGGTCTCCTCTGCCTTTAGTGAGCTAACGAGAGAACTCTATACCCCATTCCCGTGCTATCACGACAGCACATACATAGCTCATATCTCCACACTTTCCCCAGAGGACCTTGTGTTCGCGAGACCTGCCTACATCGGCAAAAAGCAAAAAAGGGACGCTGGCCAGTATTCCTAGACATCTCAAGTTCGAGACCACCTGCAAATACCGTGGATCGCATATGATCGGCTGACTGGCAGATCCACAATTTACCGCCGATTTCGCCGTGAAATGTCTTTCAAAATGTAGGTGCCTACTCAGGCAGATTTGCAACGAAGTAGATAAGCAGTACTTGTCTTTGGTCAGCGGAGATGCTTGCACCGATCATACGACTTGAAGAATCTTTCGGCAACGTCTCTGAAGTGAAGATCCGCAAACTCTATTCCTGCCGTCAGGATATCCTTTGATCAGAGTCAACAGCTTCTAGCAGGATCCAGGTGTGGTAACAGCCGGCGTATTGATCCATTCTTTGAGATATAAATGCACATCGAGGTTATAAGCGTTTAAATATAGGATTTAGTAGAGTATACATCTTGAAATGTAGCTTGTAGAAAATTTCAAAACGGCAATCTTTCGGCATCAGCTATTGCGAGACCTGCCCCCCACGGACCCATATACCAATCGTCTAAGACTTGCTAACTTTTCAAGCCCCAATGAAAGATTCAAGCATGGTGCAAAGAAGAAGCTTGATCATAATGATGTGTAGCACCCATAGTATCAGCTACTAAATAGTATACGGCGAAGCTACCTCAAAATTCTCGAGTCACATACAGAGGCTAGTTGATTCGGCACAAATACACTATGAAAGGTGTGAAGCTATCTAAAATTGAACGAAATGGTGGCACTAAACTCATACATTACGACACACCTTTGTCACAAGCGATTGTTTGGCAAGTATTCAGGTTATATGCAGCTTGGGGGAACTATGGACAAATATCTCCGGGAGAGCGGTGGCTGAGTGGGACTAAAGATGTTCAATCCCAATTCCGATAGAACCCCCTGGATTTTTTTCCATTTGAATCCCATTATCATGTCCAAATGATACTAGTAGTATATGTAAAAGCTAATGAATCCATTGGTCCTGGGGCTACCTAGGCTCATTTACATACAGGGCCCTATATCGACGTTTCATATAATGATATCAAACCCTTGTCAGTCAATTCCTTCATCAAGTGGCAGATCGCAAGAGAATCTGGTGATCTTAGCGCCAAGGATGTCAAGGGAAAGTATATCTAAACAGAGCAAGGAAAGTTAAGCGTCTCAGATGCTTATTTATTGCTAGAGCATAGTAAGAGCACAGGCATACAATAGTCGTCTCCGGTTTCCATTTTCTCTGTCATAAAAATACTTCAATTCATCTTTATAGATTGTCATTTAATGGCAACTATGTTCAAACGGAGTTGGGGCCAGGGGCTATCTTTTTTTTTTTTTTTTTTTTTACTTGACAAACTATCTTCAATATTCCTTTCGTCAATGTTCATCTGCCTCTGCATTTAAAAAATATACTGCGTGTATCCCAAATATTGCACACTCCGCTGTTCAATGGTAGGTTTTTAGGATGACTGTATACAGAATTCCACCTCGATCAGTGAGAATCTCGGTGCCCTCCGGTCATTATACTCCACACATCAATAGCATTTATCACAAACACTGGTGGCAATGATATCTAAATGCTTAGAAAATGGTATCTCGCCGTACCGCCAGTATTGATCCAATATTAGTGAGTAGGGAGATATATATCGACTCGTTAGATACAGGCTTATCCGCCCTACATATCTTTTATACAACGCATCAAAGACCATGGAAGGATGCTAGAAATACGAATCCTTTGAGGAATGTAACACAAGTCACGCTCTCATCAAGATGCCTTGACTTCTCGATACAGAGCTTCAGATCATGGCCATACTATTGTGCCAAGGTTTGTGCGCAGTGTATACCGAATTTCATTTTGATAAACGGACAATGTTAATGGAGCCTATATCAGCGTCTGTCAGAATTTGAATGGAGACCGACTGTTCTTAGATACTGTGTTTGTTGTGTTGAAGGTCGAGAGAGTATCCCTGATAGAATTGTCCTGGAGTGTCAATCGAGCGGTAGGAGGTATTAATTCTCCACGGTTGAGGTCGCGGGAACAAGCTGGTTCAACGAAAAGTACCTGCAATGATACGCTCCATTTGTTGGTTCTAACTTCTTGTCGGTCGTGGCCGTGAGGAATTACTACCATATATGCAATCGTTAAATGTAGCCGATGTCTTTCGTCTAGTATCCTCATTACAGAATAATGATATCAGATTGAATGGTAAACAATGGCTTGATTCTTCGATCTTTGTGGGATGTAGGACGTTACTAATATACAGTATAATATATCTCATACAAAAGTTGAATAACGTGCAACTCTACTTAATTATGTAGATCTAGAAGAATGATGTTCTAGAATATCTCAAAAACTTACATACGTCTGGTATAAACGCATCTCAAAAGGCAAAATACCCTATAGTATTATAGCCTCAATTAGAAACAATTTATTTCTCATAATCGTTGAGTTATATAAGCTGGCTTAATTTTTCATCATGTATTATAAGCTTTTTTCTCCCCTCTTAATCGGTTCGCTGCGCTGTATGGCCTATTCCTCTAATGTTATTACTCTTGCTGATATTTACTGCTTGTCTTGCTTGCCTCCAGTGAAATGCGACATCAGCCTCTGTAATATTGACTAGTCCGGAATGTATGTGTGTACAATTTCTTTCGCTTTAATTAATCTTTGTCTCTTCTCTTAAAGCAAGTTAGTCGGCAGAGCGCCGCCCAAGCTCTCTCTACAAATTTTCTTGTACTTGGTATAGTCTCAAGTGGAGATGGAGACGATTCAAGGATGTGCATCTGCAAGGGGGGTCAAATGGCTAAGCGTTGGGCACGCAGACCCCGGCAATTCACTAAAAGATTAAAAAGCAGCTCCCCACAAAGTAAGCCAAAAACAAAAAAAGAAAAAAAAAAAAACGATTCGGCGCGGATTTCTCATCTACCAATGAAGATGCAGGCATTTGGAGGGTGGTATTGGACTCGAGCGTACAAGTGAGATATCGGATGATCGAGCAATGGATAGCACTGGCATGGCTAACGCAGTGCAACTGAAGCGGAATTTTCGGTCTCGGGGGATATAACAGCGTTTGCTTCTCTCTCTCTCTTACTTGGTGTCACCGAAACCCGTCACATGGGGTGTGCTACAGTATACATAGGTGACGCTACTCATGGAAGTGGATGTCAAGCCAGCGGCGATATCTCTGTCCTACCCGCCTTGCCGCCAGACCCTCTCGGTGCCCAAATCGCTAAGCGGTGAGTCCCCGTCGCCCAGTGGATTATGGAGTGACAATTTGGCGTGGCAAAAGGAACGAGAGATGGAGTCTTGTCCTATCTCTTGCTGTTCGTTGATTGCTCTCTTCGTGCTTGAAATGTAAGGGTTGCCATTGTGCCGTGCAATCATGTAAACGCAATAGGCGAAATAAATGCACGGCTAGTACCAGTTGAGTTGTTCTACTAAGCATGAAGGAACATCACCGAGCTTGAATGCGGCAGTACGGATTACTTACGTAGTCGTGCGCCTGCATCTGCACAGTGAATCTAGTCTGGCCAAGGGTGATTCCCATGCCACCATGCGTCCTGCTGACAGCGAAGGATCGCCTTGGGAGAAAACAGCTTGCATCAGCTGGAGCGTTGAATAGGACTAGTAAAGGGAAAAAGACGGCTGTATGTGGAGCATGCAATGCCAATGCATCGTGGAATCCATTTTCCGAAGAGGCAGCCCATCAAATCGGTGCCATCCTACGGACACATCAGGTTGTCAGCCACTCGGGTGCGTTTCTCGCTGTGGGTTTTGTATCCTTGTCTTGTGCTGTGCCCACACGGATTACGTCTCCATCTCTTTCATTGTCGTTGGACAAAGTATCAAGTGTCACTGTCTCAGAAGGAGAGAAACAAAGAGAGAAAGTGAAAGAAAGAGAGTGTGGCACTTACATGTAGAATGCTTTGCTGGCTGTATGTAGTGGGCACGCTTGCCAAAAGTTATCCGTACGTGTCATCCCCTCAGCTGTCAATCGGTTGCATATAATAAGCAGCTTTGATGCTAATGTAGCGGTTGCTCGTGTGCCAGCCGCTCAGTCCGAAAGCGATGCACCAATAGCTCTCGTGGAAGCACTGGATGCTCCGCGGTGGTGGCAGGGCGAGTTAAGGAGGGTTGATTCAGTGAACTAACTTCCAACACGAGAATCCAGAACTCATCGAGTAGCTTGGCAGCCATGGATAGGTAGGCATTGACGTGTAGTTTATCGGAAATTGCTAACCTCAGGCAGTGCTACCTCACTGGTGATAAGAAGCATTCGACTTTGCCTCTGCCGGTGGTGGTGGTGGTGGGTTGGTAGCTGCAGCACCACACCACACCATCATCGCGGACAAATAACGGGATTGCTGCTTGCTAAACGTGGCTCATGGTGATAGCTTACTGCCATGTCAATTGGGAATTGCCTGAGTCATGGGCCATCAGAACCGGATCTTCTCTCATCAATGCGGTGATTCTCATCAGAGAAAATGAAGATGCAGAGCCGTTGGCGCCTGGCGGCGACATCTTACACGTACTCGCACCCCTGCTGCGTCTATCAGGCACAGTTACAGGCCACAGACCACTCAATGAGGCCTTGCATATGCAGACAAATATGGAGCAGGAAGATCTCGATGTCACATCCGACAAGAGCGTGTCTAAAGGGGTTTGGTCAGACCCAAATAGATGAATCAGCATCCAACTCTGCTCTCCTCATCTGCGGGCAAAGCGCAACGATTGGATCAAATCGGACGCTCTGGCTGTAAGGATGAGGAGCGGTAACATCGTGTGAGGGCTCCGAGCCGTACAAGATCACCAACCGATTGCCTGCATGTCATCTATTTTCTGACTGTCCTCGTTTTGCAACCTCTCAGCTGTGGTCTTGACGTGACCTAGTCACCAAAGAGGCCGTATTTTTCGCTCTCTCAGCCCCCTCAGCTCTCTGATTGCTGCTTGGAGAGGCCATCCGTATGCGCTCTCGCCATTCCCAGCGCATTGATTGCAAGGCAGCCTTGGACAAGGGGTCTGTACGCTGGATTATCCCAGCCTCCAAGCTTCGGAGTCTCGGTGATCATGGGCCACTAGGGCATCCTAGCCTGACTCGACCGGAGCTAGAGAGGCAGGCTCCTCGTAATAGCGGCCGCAGCGCTTTAGAGTTTTCGGGATCGAATGCTGTTCACGCCGGCGCGTGCCCGCTGAGGGAGGTGAGATTGTGGTGTTGGGGAGCAAAGTGCGAGGTACGCGATCATGGATGGACGGCAGATGGGCAGTTCCAGGCTGTTCTTCCGTCTTCCGTGCCACCACTGCGCGCAGTAAGTACAGCCCGTACAGAGGCAGGCGCTGTAGAGGACCCCCAGAACCTGGCCTCAGCTCGGCACTTGCGAGAAGCTCGACCTGGATGCAGTGCAGGCTGGAGTTGGGCAGTGGTTGCAAGGGCTGAACAGGCGTCTGTACAAGTAGGCATGTGCCTTATGTATCAGCCCAATACAGCAGCCCAACCGTTGAACGGCTGAGTGAACGTCTTGGCTCTGACTTGTGCCATCGCCGTGTGGACGCTGGCACGGCGCTCGGGTAGCCGCCTATCGGGTTAGCGGGCCGTCCGGGTGAAATGCTGGCGCTGCTGTGATAGGTGGGAGAGGCGTGCATATACCACATGCAAAGTAATTAAACAATAAACTATTACTCCTGCTAGGCGGTTGGTGCACCCACCTCGTAGCTTCGAAGCCAGAGCCAGAGCCACAAGCACGAGCAGCTAGAGCACACACGACGCTGCTGCCATGGATGACGGGGCAGAGCAGCAAGGGCAGCCTCAAGTCCTCCCCACTCCATATCGGTCCCGGAGCTGGATCGGGAGAACCTTGACGGTGCGATTGCCAGGGGCAGAAAATGAACGCGATGAAAGCGAACAAAGAGGCTGAACAAGACACAAACAAGCAAAGGCTCAACCAGGAATTGGACCGACGCAATACAGTCTGGCCGTATCAAAGAGGCAGGTCGAGCCTCTGCCTATAAGAAGAGCCTTGGAGCTGTCGGCCGGGCCGAGTTTCTCGTGACTTGGTCGTATAAACGCCTGCAAGGCACATGCCTGGCTCTATCCATCCCTCCTGCGTCCCAAGCTCGATCGTCGACCAGTCTTTTCGCTCTCGCCAATAGCAGCAGCAATACCAGGAGCTGCGTGGCCTCACGCCTTCCAATCTCCTGCTTCGGGCCCTGCTGCAGCCATTGCATACAGCACAGCAGAGGAAAGCTGCTGGTGGAAACCGTCGTCCTCCTCCTCCTTCTCGCCCCTTGCTCTTCCGCTTCAGCCTCATTTCCAGCCCACCACAGTTCCCACCTGGCAACAGCACAACGCAGCTTTGGCCTCTCTCGCCGTATCTTCTCGCTTATACTCGACCAGCCAGTGCTTTAGTCTGTTTCACGGCACGCTACTGCAGACCTCCTCGCCGGCTCTAGCTCTGTTTTGTCTCTTACAAGGCCTCTCCCTCTCTCTTCCGCTCCAAAGCCGAGCGTTTCTCGCCTTCTCACAGCCCTATTGACATCAGCTGCAAGATCGGAGATCCCTGTCTCTCCCACGCCAGCCAATTCCAGGCCCAGCCTTCGACATCCATCCTGATCTTGATCTTCGTCCCACCCTCGATCTGGATCTGCAACAGCGCTAGGCCACTTTCATCGGTCAAGGTCTTTGATATCTGGCTGCTGGCCCAGCATGGTCCCCGAGGCCAGTGAGGGCGCGGTCCTGGTAGCCCTCAAGTACCTGTATCCGGCGACTGTCTTCCTTTATTTCTTTGCCGCATCTCTGCTAGCCTCCTGCACTCTGCAGGCTCTCAAGAAGAGCCAGAGTGCTCGGCCAGAGCGGCCCAGCCGACGGGCTGTCATCATCTTACTCGGATGTCTCCTGTTGACATACGTGGCCCAAATCACCATTCTCGGCACACAATCAATCATTACAAAGTCTGCCCCCATTGAACATGCCCTCATCAACTATCTATCATGTATTCTCGTCTTTGGTATCTTGTTTATTCAGCTGATTGAGTCCGAAACCGTGGTGTGGTATCCTTTTCGCGGATCATGGTTCCTTGCATTGTGTTTTGAGCTCTCCATCTCAATTTTGACAGCTTTCCATCTAAAGCGAAGGGTACTAAGTCGCTTTGACGTCCTCCATATTGTGTTTATCTCCCTGAGACTTGTGTCACTCTCCACTCTGGCGGCATGGACTTGCTTGGGCCTATGGTCGAGAGCCCCGCCGGTGTTGGATGGAGAAAGACAGTCACTTCTGCCAGAACCTAATGGCGACCAAACTGAGACTCAGGGACGCTCAGGGAAACTTGGAAACAACTCCAGCTATGGCTCGACGGCGCAAAATGAAAATGCATCCAGTAGCAACTCCGAGTCCCCGTGGCAAAGGCGACAGAGAGAAGGCCGTGAAAGTCTGGAGAAGAGGCTGGAAGAAGAGGGAAATTGGTTTGAATATGCCAAAGGCTTCACGGTATGCATCTTTTCTAATTATATTTTCGTTCTCAACATAGCTTCTATTAGATTTGCTCTCGGCTAACGCTTTCAGACCTTGTTCCCTTATATTTGGCCCGTGGGAAATCGCAACTTGCAGCTACGAGCAGTAGCCGTTATCCTATGCCTTCTTGCCTCAAATGCGCTTCATTTGCTCATTCCACGGCAGACTGGTATCATCATGGACATCCTTAGCAAGTCTTCTAGCAGTCCTTGGGCAGCCGTTATCTTCTTCGCAGTTCTTCGACTAGCGGCTTCCGAATCTGGCATTGAGCTTGTCCGCTCATGGCTATGGATACCTGTCAGATACTACTCTCAAGAAGCCTTGACTCGGGCTTCTTATTCTCATATAATGCACCTATCCGCCGATTTCCACGAGTCGAAGACCCCAGGTGATATGGTAGCGGCCATTTATGGTGGAAACGCAATTGCAAATGCAATCGAAAGCGTTTTACTCCAGGCTGCTCCTATGCTGGTCGATATGTGTGTCGCCATTGTCTATCTTTCCATTACCTTCGGCCCATACGAAGGTTTAATTACTGCGGCTACTGGAACTGTTTTTATGATACTTGCAACTCGCCTTGTAGCCGAATCCAAATCAGCTAGTCGCAAACGTATGAGTGCCTGGTTTCGAGAGAATAGTATTCGAAACTCCGGTCTGACTGGGTGGCAGACTGCCAGTGCCTTCAATCAAATTGGCTTCGAGGATAATAGACATGCCGATGCTGTAACTAACCGATGGCTTAAGGAGCAACAATACCTGTTGGGCTGGTCTGTGTCCGTTGCCTTCCAAACTGTCGTTCTCACTGTAGGCCTCATGGCAAGTGCATTCCTCGCCGTCTTCCGAATTCACAACGGGCAAGCGACGCCTGGGCAGTTTGCAATGCTCCTCATGTACTGGGCACAGCTTACTGCGCCGCTGCAGTTTTTCGCCAACCTTGGCAAGAATATGAGCGATAATCTCATTAGTGCGGAACGGCTCTTGGCTATCATGAAGACCAAGCCCTCGGTAAAGAGTAAAAAGAACGCGCGACCATTCAAGTTCATCTCTGGAGAGGTCAAGTTCAATAATGTGCGCTTCAGCTACGATACGAAAAGAAACATCGTCGACTCCGTCAGTCTAGATGTTCCAGCGGGCATGACAGTGGCCTTTGTGGGTAAAACTGGATCAGGAAAGTCAACGTTGCTGAAGCTTTTAGCCCGATCCTACGATGTCCAATCGGGCAGCATCTCCATAGATGGCCAGGATGTTCGTGATGTTGAGCTCTTCAGGTACATGTCTATTCCAATATCTGGCGCCTTTAACAGCACTAACTCGTAGTATACAGTCTACGTGAACGCATTGGCATTGTTCCTCAAAATGCCATTCTTTTTGATGACACCATTATGAACAATGTGCGCTACGGCAGAATCACTGCAAGCGACGAGGAAGTGTTCGAAGCGTGCCGAGCCGCCAGTATCCATGACAAGATCTTGAGTTATACTGAGGGTATGTGATAGCCTAAGATATACAGCTTGAAATGTGTATGCTTACACGATGCTTATAGGCTACGAGACGCACGTCGGTGAACGAGGAGTGTAAGTAGTTCCGCCTCTCTTTTGTTGATTTAATTGGCCCTTTTCTTTTCTTCTTAGTATACTAATAATACCAGGAAACTCTCTGGAGGAGAGCTCCAGCGCGTGGCAATTGCCCGAGCGATACTGAAACAGCCAGATATAGTTCTTTTAGACGAGGCTACCAGCGCTGTTGATACGGAGACTGAACAACAGATTCAGAGCTCTCTCGCGAAGCTCTGCCAAGGACGCACCACACTCGTTGTAGCGTAAGTTCTCAACCAATGCCACTGCATCTACTCTTCTAACCACTCTTGATTCAGTCACCGGCTTTCTACCATTATGAATGCCGACCGTATCGTAGTTATTGAAAATGGCAAGGTTGTCGAGCAGGGTTGTCATAGTGATCTCATTGCCGCCGACGGGCGATATGCAGATCTATGGTCGAAGCAGACTTTCTTAAAACCGCAAGATGAGGTCAACGCCGCGGACGAACTCGACGATACAAACACTGCTGCCAGCGACTCTTGCTCTGAAAGAACCACTACTGAGACATGCGAGCTACAGGATGAAAGTCAGAGTAGCAGCGTATCCGGGATGAGCAATGGCAAATCAGCCACTCAGAAGAAGTGTCAGAAGGAGGTAGATTCTGACATGATTCATAACATTAATTCAAGCTCTTCAGAGGATACTAACAGGTCCTCTTAGGGGTCCCGCTTGAATCCTGTGGCCCCTGAATTTACACCTCGGGCGACAATGGTGACAAAGTCTCAATCCAAAACGACAAATGATGTTCAGCAGACTACTTCTTCAACCGCTAGGAAAACCGAGACTTAGGCGGTCACCGGTCACGCCAGCAAACTTCGATGGTCTGACGAAGTGTCTATCATAGATGAACGTGGCACGACCAACACGCCGATGAGCCTGTCGACTAGGTCTAGCCACCTCTCCGAGGGGAATACTACTACCTCTAAGAGCAGCCTTAATATACCCGAGCACCATGAATTGAGAAAATCACCCATAATGAAAATGACCCAAGAAGCTGCCGGCGAGCCAGCTTCAGTGGGTGGAGGCGGCAAGGCAAACGGTAGACAAGGCCATTCAAGCAACACACAATACACACTACAGTTACTAACAATTCTGTAATAGGGCCTTCTACAAGTACAACAGCCCACTCTTCCAAGTTAAATAGTGTCACTTTCATGCGACCGCGATACTCTCGTCGTGTGCATTCAAAGAGCGAGCCCCATCGCACGTCCCCTACTTCTACCTCGGGCTCTACCGCATGCAACGAGTCTCCTACAAAGAGCGCTGATGACAGTATCACATCTGTGCGTATAATCAAGAGTTCGTAGTGATATTTCAGCGTGATTAACTCATCCAACAGGAGCAGCGTCGCGTATCTGCCCCAGTAGCCCAAGGCAGTCCAGGCTCATCTTTGATTCCTAAACTTGGCATCAGGGGCTCATTTATCGCAAAACAACCACCAATCCCTCCACGTAACTCTAGCGACGGCAAATGCGGCATATTCCCAACTACAGCCCCGAAGGAGAACAGCAAAGGAAAGCCCGAAACGATTCCCCCCACTGTTATAAAAGATATACAGGAACCAGCCAATCTACCAACAGCCCCTCCTGGCAACGAAAATCAACCGCCGCCAAAGACGGGCGAAAATCAATCAACCATAATAGCCTCAACTCGGGGTATTCGAGGCCTTCGACGCCTACGGGCTGGATCTCTTCGTGGACAGAGAGGCCGTGCTTTCCACGGCGCCTCGCCACATAAGAGCAGCCAAGAATAAGAAAGAAGGGGGTGAGAGAAAATACTATTAACAAGGAGTCGCTTGGAACTGCATAGGCGCCTATTCACGCAACATCATTTTGGTTTGTACAAATATTATCATATCATAATCTCATAGCACGACTAGACCATTTTACGACATGCATTATTAGGGAGGCGTTTTGTGTTGACATTATAGGATGGCTCTCACGGCATAATTGCGATGCGTCATACTTGGAGACGAAATAATGAAAGGGTAGTCGGTACAAGAGCAAACTCATGCTTATCATGCGAGCGGTAGCTCAGATATGTTTTTCTTTTTTTGTTTTTTTTCTCTTTATGCGGTACATTGGTAGTGGAACACGGAAAATGTAGATTAAGTAGCTCCGAGTAATACTAAGACAATCAAAAGTGAAAATTGAGGGCTCCGTTTAGCTCTCTATATTTACAATTCATTAACTACGCTGAGGTCATTGCGCCTGATAGTCATATCTAAATGAGGACGTAGGTCTTTTGTTTCTGTTTGTTTTGTTGGGCATACAGCTGTGATGCCACACAGGCACACGGCTAGAGTGGCCCTTGATGACGAACTCTCTGTCTCTTCATACCCTCTCTTTCGCTGTATGAAAGCCAGCCTGTTTACCGGCCAGCACCACCACCAGGGGCACCACCAGCGCCGCCGCCGCCGCCGCCCATCATGTTTCGGGCCCTGCGATGGGATGATTAGCAAAGTTTCTTTTATCATCTTCAAATTCTTCTTCATGCTCTTGAGGGGGGGGGGGGGAGGGAATAACTTACAGATCGGCAATGTTGGGGTCGGACATTATGGAGCTAAGATCAGGCATACCACCTCCGCTGCTAAACTGGTTGGCCATGTCGCGGAGACGAGGGTTGCTCATCAGGTTGTTCATGAGGTCGGGGTTGCTCATCAGGTTCTGGGCCATGCTGGCGAACATGGGGTTGCTCATGATGGAGCTGAGATCGGGCATGCCGCCAGCGCCACCGGCGCCGCCGCCGCCGAACATGGAGGCAAGGTTGCTGAGGTCTGGCATGCCGCCGGCACCGGCACCGGCACCGGGTCCGGAGCGGGCGAGGTTGTCCTGGGCCTGCTGCTCCTCCTCGACGCGGCGCTTGGCCGTCTCGAAGCCCTTCTTCATGGGCTCGGAGCCGCCGTTGCCCTCGTACTCGATGCCCTGCTGGTATGCCTCCATGGAGCCCTTGGGGTCGCCGAGGGCGAAGCGGGCAAGGCCCAGGCGGGACCAGGCCTTGGTGTAGGTCGGGTCAATGGCGACGGCGGCCTCGGCGTCGACGCGGGCGGATTGGTGGTCGCGGGCGGCGGAGTGGGCGGCGGCGCGGTTGGAGAGGAAGACTGCGTTGGAGGGGTGCAGGGCCAGGGCCTGGGTGTAGAGGTCAATGGCGGAGGCGTAGTCCTTCTGGGCCATGGCGGCGTTGCCCTTGGACTTGAGGGATTCGGCTTCCTTCTTCTGGGCGTCGGAGGGCTCGGGGGTTGAGGAGGCGGGCGAGGAGGTTGAGGCGGAGGTTGCTGCGGGAGTGGACGCAGAGGCCGAGGCGGCTGCTGAGGATGAGGAGGAGTTGGAGGACTCGTATTTGCTGAAGACCTGGAGGAGGGTCTGGGGCCCGACGGCGCTCTTCACGGCGGCATCGTCGGCGGCATCGACCTTGAAGGACTCGGCGATGCAGTTGATGGCCACGTCGATGGAGTCCTTGTCCTCGGCGGTGAGAGTGCCGTCGGTGGTGGAGGTGGAGAGGAAGTCGCAGATGGCGAGCGCGAGGCGCTGCTTGGGGGTTTGTTGAGCGGCCTGGAGTTGATGCGTGCGAGGTTAGCAATGGCGATTCAATTCTTCGTTATGCAAAACAATGTATTTATCGCAATGCAAAACCATTTCCGAGTCAGAGAGTCTGGGGATGATTCGGCAAATCGAGAAAATAGAGGGGGAGGGGGGGAAAAAGAGAGAAACGGCGGCTTCATACCATGTCAGCAGCTGAGAATTAACGCCTGAGGCTCTAGGTTTGTTCGTGATGGCGCGAGAGCTGCGTGAACCTTCAACGCTGTTTTTTTTATACAAGGGACAGAGGGGGATTCCTGAATCTTCGATGTCCACGGAAGGCTGATCGGCGAAAGAAAAAGCAGAGTCTAACGAGAGGGAAGAGGCTGGCTGGAAGGAGACCCCGCGGCTGGTGCATCGCCTAGTTTAGGCTGTCATGGGTTGTCGTGGGGCCCAAAGTGGCAAAGCGCTTGCGCGGAGGGCTGGAATATTCTATTTTCTTGTTCTTTTTCTGCGCCGGCGCTGGCTGTTATCTGCTGCACTGTCTTATCAGTATCGATATCGGCATCGAGGCGTTCATGGGAGAGGCAGAAGTCCTCAGACTGTTTTCATGTGAAGCCACTTTCAGGTGCCACGTAGAAGTGAAGCGCAGAATGATATTATCAGCCTATTTGCCGATATACCTACAGTATGTGCTTGCACAGAATATGAATACATTGATAGAAAAGAACAAGTCCTCTGCCGCAAACTCTCCAACTCATAGACAACGGCCGGGTCTAATTTGAGCGAGAACGCTTCGTAACACTTGAAGGTGATAAATAGCAGTAGCAAATTTGCAGCATTTCCGCCCCATAAACTCCCATCCCATATGCCCGCCCTTGATGTGCTTTCCCATGCTTCGCTGCAGTGCCTGACGCAGAAATCGAAAAAGGAAAAAGAAAAAAAAAATAGAGAAAATTACTGCTTCCATGCACTTATTTCTTCCGTCGGGGTCTATCTACATTCTTCACCTTCCGGTTCTGCATGGCTGCCACCCGGCGAGACTTGCTGTACACCCTGAGGATGTCATTCAGGACGACGTAGAGGCATCCTCCTACTAGACTGCGACCCCATTGCTGCTGCAGCAGGCCAGGGCGCCCTGAGGGCGATGGACCAAACAGCCAATGATTCCTAGCAAACGGCGCCGTTGTCCATGACCGCGGGAGTATCAGCCGCAAAGCTTCGCCCATGGCAAAGGAGATGCCCGGCAAAAGGAGGGCTCCCACGATGGAATTGGAAACGCTGGACAGGAGACCGCCGAGTCCCATTCTCCGTGCAGGCGGTGCTTGAGGTGCGTCACGCTGGTTTTCCTGGCGATGCCCGTCTGCAAGGTCGCCTTGGGCTTGGTCCCATTGTGGATGAGCATCTTGCCCATCGTTGTCTGCTCTCGGTATCTCGACCGCGCCCTCTTCAATCTCCTGGATGAGAAGCTCAACCCTGATCTCGTCGCCCTCTTCGTGCTGCTCTAGGCGAAACTCATTACGAGCTCCTGGCCGTGCTTCGCGACCACCATTATTGGCCCCGGCCGCTGGCTCCTCTTCATCCGGATCCAGTACATCAAGGATGTTCTGGAGCAGACCAACAAACCCTCCCTCTCCGTTGCGATCCAAGTCTTGTCGATTATGAGCACCGTCACCATTTTCGCGCGGGTCGAGAGGTGGCAGCCCTGAGATCTGTCGATTCAGCTTCACTTCGTAAGGCATGACAAAGTCTCTCCAGAAGCTAAAGTAGGCTTTACGTATGATGGGCAGCGCCACCATGGCCAGTCGTGGAGAAGGCGGCCACTCCAGAAAATTGTCGTTCCGAATCATACTATAGATTCCGTACTGCGCACAAGTAATCATTAGCATATGCCACATTTCTTACGTTTTGCGCGGATGCTTGTTGCCTTGCGCACTGTCATGGGTAGACTCACGATGGAGGCAGACTGCATAAAGTATCTGTTTGTGAGACCAGGTAGCAGCTGGCTTATGAGCAACGTCGGCGCAACATTCATCAGAATCAGCGCATTCACTATGCGCTCCTTGGCGAATCTGAGCGCTCCAGGGGATCGTCCGTCGATGAGCATCTCCGGGCCCAAAGCGAAGCGAAGCAGAGCTTCCTTGCCCGCAAATGTCCACAACGCCATCGCGCCATACATCTGCAGACTAAACTGTACTCCCACCGATACGCCCGTCAGCAGGATGAACGGGCTTGCGCGCGTAAACTTGCGATGTATGACATCGTGTATGTGGGCGATGGGGTCCCACGGGCCATCCATCTGGATGTCTGACTTGCACACGGGGCATTTGAGAGGTTTGTTAGATCGCTCGCAATCCGTCACCCACGAGAGCATGCAGTCTTGGTGCGCTTCGAGCGTACATGGGCACGGATCGACCCAGGAGCCTGGGGGGTCCGTAGGTTCCTCGTCCGTTAAGCAAACGAAGCATCGTCGCGGGGTGTCCATCGAGTCGTTGGCAGGATCGGCAGACGATGAACGAGGCTGGGATGCGGTCGTGGACGCCGCCGAAGGATCCATGCCTTGGCTGCTAACCCTCTCGTCTTGGCAGATATCCAGGTCTCTCGAGGCCGTTGTAAAGTTCGATCGTGATAGCTATGCTTGGGACCGTTGCATCTTCTGCGTCAAGCTTGACGCGCGGCAGAACAGCGCAAAGACGAAGGAAGAAGGGCGCAGCTTCAGGTTGCCAAGACTAATACAAATAAATGTAAAGCGTATACGTAGGGGGTTCTTTCGCGAAAGGATTTTCGTCGAGCTGTTTATGTCGTACAGGTCGTGTGAGAGACCAGTCGCAATCAAAAGGCCGCAAGACAAAAGAACGTTGATTGATGTCAGAGTCCCACCCAAGCGCAGCATGGCCCTATCGGACATTCCATATATTCCGTGGGTACGGTACCTACAGCGCTTAAATGAGCGGCTTCCAGGGACTCGGCGCATTAGTACTCGGCAGATGCACCACTGACGGACGCTACCTGCAACGTTATAAAGCGATGGATAATGGTCCCTGGGTGCTTTTTGTCTTGTTTCTTTTTTTTTTGTGGATATTGCAGCATCATAATTCAGACAGCGAGACTACAGAGTACTCAGTCAACCAGTACCTACTATGTCCCTAGCACTACCAGTAGAAGGCGCTGATAGGCTGAAGCTGTTCAGGTGATCTGGCCTGGCTACCCTGCACCTTGGGGCCTGAAACCTGGCCAGGTCTAGACGACGTAGCTACACCATCAGTAGAGAAGCCAGATTCACACAAGATTTAATGACATGAAATCATTTCTTTTTCTCGTTCAAATTTAATACTGTCTTCTGTCTCCGTCTGATAGTCCCTCCACGAAATCACAAGCTTCCCTTGCACACAGATAGGTACAATCTTTGCATCTTCAATGACAAGAAAAGAAGAATCGCCACTTGCCCTTCCGAGTTCAACATTCCCGTAGTCGAAGAGGGATTCCAGATCGGATGTATTTAGCCTGAAGAGGCTTTATTTGGTGTGCTGTTGCAGTCGTTATCAGTACGCAATCTTCATCATCTTCTCCAATAAACTCCCCCACAGAGAGGTTACACAAAGAATTCGGGGAGACATACGGTGCTGCATCCCTGGCAGGTGCAGTCAGAACCGCAACCGCAAGCACCGCCCTGAGCACAGCCGCATCCAGACATGATGATGTTGTTGGTTTGTTGGTTGGTGAATATATGGAAATTTTTGCTGACGACGAGTTTGCCTGGTATTTGATGGAAAGACTAAAGGATCTGCTGGAGAGGGGGAATGGGCGGTCAGCTTTAAATAGTCCCAGCCCAAGGGCCGCCCTGCTGCTGCTGCTTCTGCTAAAGCCTAACCTAACAGCACTGCTATGGTCATACCGTTGAATCCTGCTTAGCACCGGTAGGCACAGCTGCTAGTTGTTGTTAATGCAGCTCCGGTGGCGCCCCCGTATCAGCTGCTGCTTCCCCTCATCTGGAACGATTCGTGTATCCAACCCTGGAAAAACCCTCTCAAAACCGTCCATCGGTGCGCTGCTTAGCAAAGGAAAAGAGAAGAAAAGCCCTCAAAATGACTTGATTGGCTGTTGTTCTTCGCCGTTTATATGCAGGACTGTCAAGAACAGCGAGGATCTCACCAAGCAGCTCAAAACGTCATTTTTATCTAGTTCCCCCCTCTCCACCAGTACCTCTTATCTAAGGCGACGTCCCAGGGGCACTGCGAGATGCGCTGCGGAGATTAAAGATTCGAGATTCAATCTCTCAGACCAGCCAAGGACGCAGATGTGGACACAGCAGCTCTAGCGCGAGATCCGTCGTCGGAGCATCGCCCAAGTCGCCCAGACTTTTCTGGATGGCGGTGCGACTCTGATGGAGCAGGTTTTTCTCCAACGGCGCCACGTCTTGTATGGCATGCCGTGTGCGACGCTGTACTGACACCGCCAATGACAGCGGCATAGGTATAGAATTAGAGTAGGTATCACCAGTATGAGTATGACAGCTCTGTCGTACAAAAACTGCCAACTGCTTGCTCTGCGTACTTATGGTGCTGATGCTCCTCCATCCGATATGCTGACCACCTGCAACCTTTTCTCTGCTTCTTCTACTTCGCCTTTCTGTTCCATTCTCTTCCACTTCTGCACCCGCCAATGTCGCCGCATTCTCGCTAAGCGATAGAAAAAAGAGAGAGACGAAGAGAGACAGAAGAAGAGACAGAAAGAAAGAAAGAAAGAGATAGCCGCCAAGAGGTCAGATATCATCGGCGATCGAGCAGAACGATCTACACCCGCCCTCTAGGCCATGTCCGCTGTCCGTTGCGCTACACAGCGTTGTGATATATTTAACGCAGCATCCTTGCTGCACGTCCACGTCGTCGCCGTGTGCTTCTTACACACCCATAAGGCATTTTGCTGCTGCCTGCTAGCCACCTAGACAAAGACCATGCCTTGCTGAGTTGACCTCAAGCAGTCTGCTCTGTATACAACTGCCGAATATGCAAATAACTGCCACACGCCTCAATAAGCTCTTACCAATCGCCTAATGCTGGGTCATCTTAATATAGTATCTTGATCGGCTCATGCGCCTTTGCTTAGAATATTCGCCGTAGAGGGAAAGATGAGCTGATGGACTAATGAGCGCTGCTTGTAGAAGGCGCATACGTCCGCAACGAGGCCAGGATGGTGGCCAAGACATCGGTCTGCTGATATGCTTTCCACCGGCTCAGTTGAAGTGAGCAGCACAAGGATTTTGACCGTTCACCAAGCAAACTAGGAAAGTGATCAAGTGCAAGACAGAAAATAAACCAAGAACCGTAGGACAACGCCGTATTCGCAGTCCAGTAGCACAAGGCAGCCGTGTAAGCCAAGGGCTTGTTTTCAGAGACTGACAAATAATATCCCGATATGGGTTGCTGAAGCAATGATTCCACACATTTAAGACATGATTCTTCTTTTTTACCTTGTAGCTTGGAAAAGCTTATATATCTCCGTTTAGATCTAGGTACAACTACTGCCTTGCATGGCATATTTCCGCATTCTGTTTCATCTCTAGGAATATTAATGCCTACCACAACTGACAGCGGATCACATTCCGTTGAATAATCAAGAGGGCTTAATATTGTCACAGACCACCAATCCCTTGGACATGGAGGGTAGTTAATTAGGCCAGATTGATTATTACACATGCTTACACAACCCTGAAGCTTTCTCACCAGTTGCCGGATTTACGAAGGGTTTACAAGGGTGGAAGCACGGACAAAGTTGCAGGCATGTATTTGTTATCAACCCTTGACTGCGCATACTTATACGATATGCGACACTTGAACCTTGCTCGCTGCTAAAAAAACTACATGCACCTTAGCGAATATCACTGCATAGGTCCTGTCACCGCATACTCGTACTACTGCTTAGTGGCACCAGGGAGTACCAACGGGATGGGTTTCAGAAATAGTAATCTTCTTCCAACAGCCAGCACACGCCCCCCCTTGTGTTCAACGTTCTCGCACCCCTTTCTCCAAGCTTTGGCGCCCTGGTAGTACCGATGGCGTGTTTTCACGCTGATAAGCCGATCGAGATGCTATCCGCGGCATCCAACCCCATGTTTTGTTCCCCTACCAGGGTGCTGCTGTTGCTGTCGTCCAAAGACCCTGCTGCCGAGGCTGAGCGCTGATAGCCAGACCCCCGTTGACATTCTTCGGCGGCAGATCTGCCGCCGGCATCATCGTCGTCGTTGACATGCTCGTGTAGTACGCCCACGGCCGTCTCCGTTGCGGATACGGCGGCTGCTGCTACTAGCTCAACTCCAAACGCAGAGGCCATGGTAGGTCGTGGCAGTTGGCCCGCGAGTCCGTACCAGACCTCCTTGTACGCCAGGTGCAGGGCCTCCTGCAGGAACCCCTTCGTATCGAACAAGAAGTCCGTCGCAGCCGCATCGCTTCTCACGGTGCCGTGCGGATGGTCGGCCGACAGGTGACGGCGCGCGCGGAGGTACATGGACGACGCCCAGATGAAGGACCTCGTGGCGCTGGATGCCGTCTGGGCCGCCAGCCAGTCCAGATAGGATGTCAAGCCGGCGGCCAAGGGGCTCGGTGCTCGCAGGACCCTGATCAGGCCGGCTACGCGGGCTTGCAGACGCGGCGACTGGCGCATGTCCTGCCTAGAGAGAGTGTAGAAGGGCATGCTGCGAGATGCTGCTGCCGCTGCTGTTGCTTTGGCACCATCGCCCGTAGAATTGCCAACAGAAGAAGTGCCACCCATGCCTGCTGTCCCCATGCTTGCGTCGATCGAGCTGCTTAGCCGGCGGAGTCCATACCAGGTACCATTGCCATGGCCTCGGTGCAAGTAGACGCCCCAGTCGAATTCCTCTCTATCGATACCCTTCGCGCAGGAAACTTCGTAAGATGCCAATTCCAGATCGTGAGGGAGGTAGGGCAAGTAGTGGAAATCGGAGAAGGGACCTTGGAGCTGAGGATTCGATCGAGGGACGGAGATCGTGATGTACAGAGATCCGGGCTCAAGGGTTTTCAGCTCGCGGCTGATGACTGAGCGCTTCTCTTTGAGCTCCATGTCATGTCCTCTAGGCCGATAGCGATGCGAGGCTGAGAGATGCGAGGCTGAAATCGATGATGGGTGGAGCAGCGTCATCGAGCAGAATGCTCTGGCTGGTAAAGAGGTGATTGATTGATGCTTTCCCCCCTCCCCATCTTCTTTCTTCTTGTAGAATTTCACTTGATTGGAATATTCTCCATTGCCAGCTGGCGAAGCTTGGTCACATCACGGCCAGCTGGTTGACAAATGTCAAAGACCCGTTCTTGCGCAAGCATCATCTTCTACTTTCACGGCACATGAGTTGTGAACTCCAGAAACAGCTCGCAGGTTTCAAAGCATTTCAATAGTCTACTGTCTTATCATTAGCTACCATTTATCAATTCTGTTTATATATCAAAATACACTTTTTTTTCTCTCTCTCCTCTCTTGAGGCTATCGATCACCTCATCGCCGAATAATTTTCCGGCCTGGGTCCTTTACTGCAACATCGCGCTCACCTAGAAACATAACAATCTGCGGCACGCAAACTCATCGCGGTTACTTTCGGAGCTAGGAATCGAGAAAACCCGACATAATTCCCACGGATTGCGCCACCAAGGAGAAAAATACTGAGTCAAAACTTTTATGAGAGAAAAACAATCCTACCAAATCTCGCGATACGACTATCGAGGCTTTTGCAAAGCTTCCAGCGGCTCTGGAGCTTTGACGCAACATCACTCGCGCGCTTAACCGTCGCTGGGCTCCACGGGGAATTTTTTGGCTCATTTAATGCTCCGTAGCAGTACCCGCAAAACCGCCGACGATATCAGCGGGGCCAGACATAGAGTCGCGCCAAAGGGATCATCGTTTACAAGAAAATATCTATATCTCGTGCTGCATCTGGTGCTTTTCGCTATAGAGTCTCGTGTCGCTCTGCTCTCCCTTTCCCCCCCCATTTATCATCCTTCTCCTCGCCTGCGCGCTTCTGAGACATCTTCATCCCTTCTTCTCCTGCATTGTTTTGGTCTATTCGGCTGTTGATGCGCCGAGCAGTCAAAAAGTCGCAAATTCGAGTTTCTGAAGCTCTGCAATACGTCATAGAGAGCAAAAACAAGAACCCCTGATTTCCTTGCGAAAAACCACTGCGGGGTACTATTCTGTCGCGGGGCATCTCCAACTTCTAAGCGCAAACAAAGCCTGCTACGCCGAAAGACTATTCGTTTGCGCCAACCAGCTCAGACAGCTCATAAAAAGCGTCAGCAGGAAGCGGTATTGTCAGACAATAGAAGAAGATACGGCGCAGCTCTTACAAGGGGCAGAAAGAAAGAAAAGCTCGCCCAGAATGTCTGGCCCAGTCCCAGTCGCAACATCCCTGGCGGATATCTATCCTACCGCTGCCATCGCAGAAGAGACGCCACGATGGAACAACCTGCTCGCCACGTTCGCGCACGAGTTTGGCCACCCTGCGCAGTTCATCTCCCGATCGCCCGGCCGAGTCAACATCATCGGCGAACACATCGACTACTCGCTCTACTCCGTGCTGCCCATGGCCATCACCGCCGACGCCGTCATCGCAGTCTCTATCACGCCCGTCGCACCGGACGCAAAGACATTCAAGGTCCTGGTCCGCAACGTCCAGGGCTCCAAGTTTGCCCCCGGGGAGTTTGACGTCCCGATTGGCGGCGACGTCGAGATTGATTCCACAAAGTTCGAGTGGACAAACTATTTCAAGAGCGGCCTTCGCGGCGCGCTCAGCCTCTTGTACAAGAAAAAGGGGGCCGACTTCCGGCCGTGCAACATGGAGGTGCTTATGGACGGCAACGTCCCTGTGGGAGGTGGGCTGAGCTCCAGCGCCGCCTTTGTATCCGCCAGCGCTCTGGCCGTCATGATTGCGAATGGCGAGAGCTCAGTGGACAAGAAGGAGCTAACGGAGCTCGCCATCGTCAGCGAGAGGGCGGTTGGGGTCAATTCCGGAGGGTAAGTTGATTGAAGTAAAAAGAAGAAGAAGAAAAAAGACCCCTAGTTTACCCCCGTTGTGCTGCATCCTCGATGATTTTCCTCGCAGGTGGATACAAATATGCCTGCAGTATCCAGCAAGCTCACGCCACCCTGTCCTGTCCCCTTGCCCCAACAACACACCTTCTCTCTTGCAGATCTACCTTGTTGAAAAATGCGCATGATGCTGACAATAGCCTTCACAGCATGGACCAGTCTGCCTCAGTCTTCTCAGAGCAAGGATCCGCCACATTCGTGTCCTTCACCCCTGTTCTCTCTGCTCGGCCGGTCAAGTTCCCTCCAACAAGCCCCGAGTTATGTTTCATTATCGCACAATCATTCGTCACTTCAAATAAGCATGTCACTGGGCCCATCCACTACAACCTTCGTGTTGTTGAGGTCAGCTTTGCGGCTGCTTACCTCAACGCCGTGCTCAACCCACCCGGCACCGAGCTCCCACAGGATGCAGGTCCGCTCGGCATTAGCCTTCAGGGGTTCCACGAAGCGTTTTTCTACCACAACGGCGGGTCAGACTATGCTGCTGCAAGGAGCCTTAGCAAGGAGGAGGAGCTACGGAAGCTCATTGAGGTGACCAAGCAGACGCTGACCCGAGAGGACGGCTATACACGGGAGGAAGTCGCTGCCGTCCTCCAGATGTCCGTGCCTGAGCTAGAGAAGCGGTTCACGTCCGTATTCCCGGTTCGTGCCGACCGTTTCAAACTCAGACAGCGAGCCTTGCATGTGTTTACGGAGGCATTACGAGTGCTCGAGTTCTTGACCCTGCTTGAGCGCCCCCTGCATACGGGGGCAACTGACACGACCCAGTACAACAACGCGCTGGGAAAGCTCATGAACGAAACACAAGACTCATGTAGAGACCTGTACGAGTGTAGCTGCCCGGAGATTGATGAAATCTGCCGTATTTCACGTGGCGCTGGGGCTTACAGCAGCAGGCTGACCGGAGCTGGGTGGGGAGGATGTAGCGTGCATCTCGTCCCAGCCGACAAGGCGCAAGCTGTAAAGGAAGCGCTGGAGGAGCAATACTATTCTAAGCTGAACTTGACCGATGAACAAAAGGAACATGCTGTGGTGGTGACCCAGCCTGCTCGAGGGAGCGCCATATATGTAGTCAAGGAAGGCCAAGTAAGCTGAACAAAACAACTTGATATTTCAAAGCTACGCAGTCATTCCTTTTTTTGAACCTTGCCACTATATTTGGATAGACATTAGCCATTACAATCAAAAGAAAAAAAAGAAGAAAGAGAAAAGAAAAGGACCCGGCATAAAGAACCAAGTGTAAAATGATAGTTTCAGTTATGCATACGCGCATCCCCTGAGGAGGGGAATAGAATCATCGCCACCCCCCCCTCGACTTTGACAAATTTCTTGCCAAACATGCGTTCCCAAACACGCGAGAGATAGAGTGAGATAGACAAAAGGGCCGCTCATGCCGCATGGTGAATAATGGCCGCAAAGTACATAGAAGCCCCTGTGAACTCATGCTGCAGGCCGGCACTTGATTAGCAGCATGCAGGGAGAGATGAACCCTTGAATGATTCCATCCACCCGACTCCCCAATCCACACAGGCACACACTAGTACCTGGGGGGGCCTTTGTATGGTGTTCTATTCCTAGTAGCAGCCCATCATCTTGCAGCCATCATCTTCTTATTCGAGAGGGGCGTTCAGTCCCTCCCCCCCCCCCCTTCAAAAGATGGATAGCCTTGTCTTACCACCACCCTCAACAGGGCAAAAATTTGATTCTGCAGCTTCAGGTCTCACACCCCTCCCCCTCCCCAAAGCCCCCACGTATACTATTTGCAAAAGACCATTCAATCAGAATTCATGAGAACTATTGGCTGCCTTGCAAATACTCCACATAGAAGTCTATCTGAGAGCCAAGTTTTTGCGAAGAGGAGGGGATAATTAGACAAGGCAGAAGGCTAGCAAGCGAGGACAAGGCCAATGAAAGCAACACCATTAGTGTGAAAAGTGAACTAAGCAACTTCCAAGTTTGTCTTTTTTTTTTCTGTCATAAAACTTAGGTACTGAGGTAATAGAGTAAGGAAGCAACTCGAGGAATACTCGTGCGACGGCAAATGCGACGGCAAACTATTCTGATATGGCCTATAAGATGGCTTTTACACGAAATTACAACTGCCGAAAATGTATAAGCGAGCGAAAACGCACTTACACACAAACCAACGTACCGACTAGTACGTACTTACTGTATAATGGTACGACTACTAGGAAAAATACAAATGCCTCTGATGGAGCGTGTCAGAGTTTAAACTAGCTTGGCAAAGAGCTGCTTATTATCCCCTTTTGCCTTTTTACCATCTTCTTCTTCTTTTTATTTTTATTTTATTGTTTATTTTTTATTTTTTTTTTAGGTTGTAATTTTTCTTGGGCTGTTTTTGCATGATACAAATGATTCAAATGATACAACTTAGAGTTACCACTTTGGTAAAATTTCCTGGAAATAGAACGGGCCATTAAATGTGAATTAGTTCTTGCAAGGATCAAGCTATTGCTGTAACTAGCGATCTCAACTCTCATCCGATGGCGTACTATTGGAGGAATTACTCTACTAATCATGCAAGTGTTCAAGTGTAAACCCAGAGTTGCATCATCTCATCTCAGGATATAAACGTCTAGCCGAGAAAGTCGCTAGGGAAATAATGGTGCGGTACTACCAGCACTGGAGAGTGGAGATGGCGGGAACGAGAGAAACCTGCTACTGGAATAGGTATCTTGTTCGAACATTTGATGACCGGGCATGGACCAAATTTGGCCAATAAAATAATAGGAGTGAGGGAGAAACAGGCCGGGTATAAGATTTAAGACCTATTCTCCCCGTAGCCAATAAGATACATGCAGTTTCCTCCTGGAGGGAAATCTAGGGGAGCGCGCCCCCCTCAAAGTGATGTCGTTACCAACTCACCCGCCTTGCTTCGACCCATCCTATTTCGATCAATGACCGTTGAGCCTAGCCGCTGTTGATAGAGCAGCTGTTCCTAGAAGGGTCTATAAGGCTTAGCAGACCGATTTAGGAAGTTGTATTCCTGCCAAAGAACCTGTCGTTTGTTTAGCGGATCTTGCGGTCGGATAATGCGGAGTATGTAGTGCCATCTGCAGGGAGGGCCGTGTCCAGAAAACAACTACGGCAAGAGGTAGCGAGCAGAGTCAAGTAGTATAAGAAGTACGGGGTAGTATGGAGAACGGAGTAATCACTAACTGGCGTGCCTCCTTTCTTGTTCGGGGTCGATAGGCTAGCTAGATGCAGTTAAAAGACCATTCATTACTCAGCCGCGCAAAAGAAGGGTCCTGTTATCGCTTTCGCAGATGATCCCCAAAGACTTGAGCCACACGTACCGAGATGAAAAAGAAAACCCCTGGCAGAACTTGTTAGAGTTGTACAGTTATGCTTCAAACGGTTACTCACACACGCCCTGTACCGCCGTCGAACCGCGCCGAGAGCCGGCGGTGGTTTCCTGATTTGCCTGCCGTGGACCGTTGAACGGCATGGCACCGACGCAGAAGGCGGCCCTCGAGTCTTTCACTCCCTCCTCGGCCGGAAAGCGGCAATTAAATCATTATTTAGACACCCTGGGGCGTATAAGCTGATGCGGGCACCAAATGTTTCTAGGAGTTACTGATTCTCTCCTGTTCATCTTGAGTTGCATGGGTTTGTCTCTTAGCTTTTTGGGTTAACAGAGTCGACTGGCCAAACTGGCATTGCTTGTTACATGTCACTCATGGTCGGGCTGCCCGCCAACGGCGGCAGTTGAAATTCAAACTCCCTTCAGAGTTGTGTAGCCTTGTTTACGGCTGGTCGCGGGCACAACTCTTCTCTCATGCCATTGGTCCAGCTAGTTCTCAATGGGAAAGAAGGGTATTCCAGATCCGTATGTGCTTCCGGGAACAGGACACGCAGTCGTCGTCGCTCACACTACCTAGCCGTAATCGCAATTGACAGCAGCTATAGTGTGTATGTATTGTAGGTTAAATAGGTCCTGGCCACTCCAGGCAGCAGGTGTGCTATTCCTTCGTATTAGACATTCTGTAGCATACCTAAATGCTAATCTGATCTGCGTTACCGATTCAATGATTGTAGGCCATTGCTAGCTAGCGTACGCGTAGGTTGAAAAGCTCGCCCGGATTCTAATTCAAGAAGCCGTCCACACATCCTATACCATATGCGGTATTACTGTACCGGGCTACCACGAACTAGAAACCCTGGTTTCTCTGATCGACGAGGATCAATAGGCTGCTGGTTAGCAGATATCCCGAAAGTAAAGAAGTCACCCCCTTGCCCCCAAAAATAGAACAGGTGTATCAAGTCGATTGTGTTTTCTTGCGCCAATGTCAAGGTGCCATCCACGGAACGGAGAAATTCTCAGACCAGAGTGACGGGTCAAAGAGATGCAAGGGTTACCAAGGAGTCGAGAGCCGTCACAAGCTTGCGAGGTACCTAGAGTTCAGGAGGCGCACCTCTCCTCACTCTTTTAAAGCTCTGTGTCCACATAGAGCAGGTTCCCTTGTGAATAACATGCTTTGCTCTTGATATGCTACTGTTTCTTTTATAAAAAGAACGCCACCGGATAGAACGCAAATACTCTGTCAGCTGTGGTTGCTAAACAAGGATATACTGTATCTTGGTATGGGGTGCAGAGTGGTGCAAGCAGACATGCCAAAGCAGCTACTGCTGTATGTAAGATTGGCATGGTTGGCTCCAGCCTAGCAAAGTGGGTTAAATTCGCCTTCTTTCTTTTTTAATACCTGCGCTATGGAGCGGACTAAATACAGCCAGCGCGGATTGTCATCTGGCATGAATAAGCCTTGGTTGCGATTTGGCGAGCTAAGAGCTTGCTAGCGCGATCATCTCAATCCTAGGTACTCCCAATGGAGTACAGAATCTGCTATTTGTCCCATTTAAACCCAGCTTGTCAAGGAGAGCTAGTAGCGCTCGAAGTGCTTACAAGTATGATAACGGAAGTTTTCCGTACTACGAACGGCTTGCGCATTCTTCTGGTAGCATTATCGAAGCCAGTTTAACCGATCGCGTTCAGCGCAAGGGTTTGTAATTTGTTCTCCGTAGTGCCGATGATTTCAAACTGTAAAGCCGCCGAGTGTGGCCGAATGCAATGCGAAATGTGAGATATGCCACAACTAAGCTGGGCTTTCGAATACTAACAGGTTTTGCGGCGCGCATATTTGGATGCAGTATACTTTTTACAGGCCGATAATACCACAGAGGCAGCGGTACTTGCCGAACGGCGCTGTAGGAGTGTAGCAGTATAGGCGCGGTTCAGACTCTTGCGAAGGTGACTGATTCGTGCACACGGCCAGGAGGTGGCCAAAGCTCCGCCCTATGAGTGGACCATTTGAAGATGATGGATATTGCAGTTTTAAGCGATCTGCCTGGGCTGCGGGTCCATGTCAGCGTGCGTCTGTCCCTGCTTGTCCTTGCTAGTCAGTCTGGGGCACTTGTCAAGCGCACTACCACTCCTCGTAGCACTACAGAGGAAGATCAACCCACCGTGATGGCTCGGTCATCTTGATGCCCTTCTCCGCATGGCGGCGCTGAGATGGTATATCGGCTCTTCCCAAAAATGGGAAGACAGATTTATAATTACCTGTTTAATTCGAGAATATCGCTAAGGCTAGCACAAACTAGGTGCTTACTCGCCTCAGATGAGCAACGAACGGGTTCGGACATTGGAATCAATTACGGGGCTGGAATCCATACGGCGGCCTAGGACCATTTGAGCGAAAACTGAACTTTGTCTTATTCTGGGGGCTTGGGTTCGTCCTTAATTCTTGTGGGTGAGCAATCAGGAGGGGTAAGAATCTGATAAACGCTAGACCCTGCAGTCAGAGACAAACCTGTGGCACCATCGTCGTTGGCTCGTCTTGCTAAAGCCACGAGGCCTGGAGGTGAGGCTGGCTAAAACCCGGTGTTCTGACCGCACTGGAAGCTGGAAGATCATGATTTTTGGCTTTGCCTTAGCTTGTCAGGTCTTTTGTTGGCTGGCGGGAGGACCGGGACGATCGTCGGCCAGGGGTTGAAACTCAAACTCACGTACCATACGGACGAGCACCTCTTGTGCAGACTGTCACAGAGCATTGCAAGGTAGTGGTGCCATCACATTGCCGAGAGAGTCAAATGGAAAAGTAAAAGAAATGGAGGTGAAATTAGGTTCACGGTAAGGTAGCAGTGCCTGCCTGTGCCGTCTGTGCTCTGCTCAGAGCAAGTGCGAGTGTAACGGAGAAATTAGATGCCTCCCCTCTCAGGCTTTGAGTCGGTCTTCGTATTATTCCGAAGACCCTCCACTTGCTCCAACAGCAAGCTCCAGCAGTTCTCTAGAACCCTGATCGTGTTACACCGCACCGCTTTGCATTGCATTGCATTGCATCTCATCGTGGTAAATCGACTGACAATCGCGTCTCCGTCGCTTCGCTCACATCACCGCCGTTTTGACACACCCGCGGCCTGTCCACCGGACTGCCTAACTTGATCCATACGCATCCATGCTGCTACAATTAGTGAGCCCTACAGATCCTACATCCGCTAGATGACCAAACGACGATTTGTTCCCCCGAGTCTAATATCTTTGCAATGGTGCTGACCGGCCAATAGCATACGATACCAAGTTCACGGGTCTAGCTGTGCCAAAGAGCGTTATATCCGCACCTGGGTGACAGGTACCCTTGCCTTATGTTCTGGACAGACAGGGCAAGCAATGCGAGCTACTAACGAGATATCTACTTAGAAAGCTGACAGAGTACATAGCACCACGGGTCCTGTTGTGGAGAGCATCAAGTACTTTGGTAGATACGGGATGAGCGTTTGCCAGTTGAATTTAGCTTCAAGTGGGATGTGACCCGAGGCAGCATTACTGCCGATGTACCCATTAGACCATGGGTGCTGTACGCAGCGCTTGCTCCCTTGTGCGAAACTCTTAACAGCGACAGTGCCCCGTGCCGCGCGGATGATTGTCTCTGTATGACACAGGGCCAGACCCTGCCCACTGACCATCTCCGATGGCCCTGCTCAGAGTCTCATCGATATGGAGCATTGAATAGCCTAGATCCTAGAAAGGGGGGAGGGGCTGCTATGATGACGGAGCACACAGCCTTACGGTTAGCTCTATAACCGCTCATTACTTGCAGGAGAGGATGCTACCTACTCCGTACTGCTATATTTGAAAGTTAGGGCTAGGCAGAGCGCCACACGAGATTGCCAGGGTGTGCAGAAGCCGAGTTCGTCCGTTCGGCTGTCGCCCCTTGACTGGCTACTACATACTTGTAGCAACTCCGGTCTACTGTAGCAACTCCGGTCTTTCGACTCGGAATCCAAAGCCCAGCTGAGGGGAATGTGATCATTTATGCGCGTCTAATCCTTCATTCTCAAACCATTACAGAGATACGAGCAAAAGTTCAGCAGAAAAAAAAGGAAACGAACCCCCCTCCCCCTCCACCCGCCCAAAAAAGGAAAAAAAGAAAAAGTCAGAGAAGAATGAGAGAAGCCAGAAAAAGAGACTCTTTCTCTCATTCCCGCAATAATATCCGCCGGCAGGCTATGCCGAAAGTGCGGTCGCCACGATCCGGGAAGTCAAGTCCGTCGCCGCCAATTGCACCGTTTTTCAAGCCCCATTTGAGAACTACTACATACTTGTTTCATAAGCTTGACTATCAAAACACTAAGACAGGATACTGCCATAAGTATTATGGGGAATGTAACGAGAGAATGAAACAACACGCATATCATCAAAAGACCAAAGAAAAGAAGAATAGTAAGGCCTGAGAGAGACACTATAGAGCATGCAGATTTACGCAGCGAGGCTCTTGACCCAAACTTATAGCCTCTGTCTCTGTGACGGCTAACCAACTGCTTATCGTTACGATAGGGTATGTTAATGAGCAATGGCAACTCAACTTATAAGAGTAAATAGGTTCTTCTGTCTTTTGTCTTGCAAAGACTTGACCAAAAGAAAAGGGGAAGAGGTTGTCTACCAAAAGGCCTATGTGGCTCAAATCATAGTTACTATTCATCGCAATCTGGTCCCAAGCGCACGGTCCTTTCGCCCTGTCGTTCACTAATGCTTTTGGGCCAGACATCCCAGTCGCTCCTCAGCCCTGCTGTCGGGTCGTGTGAGGGAGGGCGTGTGCGGAAAGACAGCGGGAGTGTTTGTTGGGTTGCACACCAAGGTGGGGAGGACACCAGAGCTGCATGGGAGGTACTTGTACACACGTCGAGACAAGGGCATCGTGCTGACTGCGGATACTAGTACTGCCTACTACCTACTTGGCTGCTCATCAGGACATTTTTTATTCTCGCTCAAGTAGGGCCGTCAAGCTCTGCCCTACGCCAGCGTGGAGACGACTGACGATGTGGCGCCCAATTTTGCCCATCTTCTGCACCTCTCCTTGTGCTGCTTCTTTTCGGCAATTGCTCCTCCAAGGCTAATTCATCTCGTTTAGGTGCGCCGCTGTTGCACAATTACTCGTGCGTGTTTAGTCTGAATATGGCATCTCCGTTCAATCTCAGCGAATCGTGGCTGATACACACTAGCATCTAGAAGCTCGGGCATAAAATTTATCCGTTTCTTAACCATCAGATGCATTTGTAATGGACACAGGGATGCTCGGGCGAAGGAAACCACCACTGCTACGATTTGTTGTGTGCTGGGGTTCTGCCCAACTTTATCCGCACAGCTGCCTTTCTGACTGGAGGATCCAAACCAATGACACGCGTTAAAAGAACGTAACAAGGTCAAGGGGAGTGGAATGAGTACTGACGACATGAGACCAACAAGGCTTGCGTGTCTCTATTCCCCTCACAATACCTACTCTCGACAGTGCTGCATTGCCCCCCTCCAGGGGATATGGCGTGTGCTTGACACAGGCCTTGGAAACTCATTTTGACTTGATGGTCCAATCCGTCTGCTAAAGTGGAACACTTGGTTCCAGCCCGCTGGCTTGGTGACCCCCGGCCTGATGGTATCTGGATGCATCGAGCCACACTGTCGCCCTACCTCACACCCCCTCTTGTGCCGCTCGCTCGCCAAGTACCATGCATGGGATGGGATGCCATGCCTGTAGTTGGTTCTCCGAACCGTCGGTACGGTAGCAAGCGGTCATGTTGGCAGCCTGCTGGAACTGCCTGCTCGGATTATCACTAGTATTACTACCACCACGCCCCGATACAGGCACTTGGCACCAAGGACAGCAGCCATATTGTACTTGCAGGCGAAATAAAGGGGATATAGTCCATCAGCGCCAGAAACTGCTAGGGTGTAAGAGGCTAGCAGGCCTTTGGATGCCGCAAAACTAATGCCTTTAGTACTGTATGAAGGCACATGTTCTTTGCAGCTCCTCCCTGCCGTATGCAAGTAGAGCATGAGCGCTGCCGACCTTTGCTATGTACAGGCTTTCGCTGGCGGGAGTTTCTTTGCCCACCGTCACCTGCCAGTCGATAACCGCTCCATCGCGCCTCTCTCGATACCCACACGCCCCCAGCTTCTCCAACTACTGTAGCGTCAGTCCCAAGCACGCGCTCTTTCGTTGCCGTCAGTTTAGTGGCCCACGGGTCGATTGCTCGGCTCGCCTGGCTGGGGGGGCGTTTGATGCTGGCGCTCGGCGACGCTCCGTCTGTGCTGCTGCTGCTGTTGCCATCTAATCGTCATCTGGCCGGGTTGGAATCGAATGCGTTCTGTCTCTGCGTGGCATTGATTTTCGTCTTTGTTCCTGCTTTACACGCCCGCACTAGTGAAGGTGCCGTGTCGACCGAGGCGGAGCCCTCCCTCAGATCACGACTCCATAAAGACAGACGCCTCCGGCGCATCTTAATTCTCTACCTGGATTTCTCTTTTCTTGCTACTGGATAGTTAGGCTCGACGGCTCTTTCTTTCTTTCTTTCTAAACGGTCTGAATCGTAATCGTCATATTCCGTGCTCCGTCGCTTCGTCAGACAAAACGGAGCTAGACCGCGCGGACCTACACGAACGCTTCGGTCAGCACGTGTTGAGTGATCCCCTCCCATCGCCAACCGGCATCCGCTTAATTCTTACTATACCCTGCTCGTCTCTCACAAAGTGAACGGATTTCTTCTCCGCGTCTTGAACTTTCTTGGCTCCCACTACTTATATCTGACTATCTCCTCACCGCCTTAACCTCGCCTTTTTTGACCTTTTTTTCCCTCTTGCTTATAACCAATTGATCCTGATAAAACTTGGGCCATCTCCCACGTCTCTCGAATCAGCTACTGCCTATTCTTTCCCTTAACCCAAGCCTAGCTTATCGTCGTGGCTTGGCACCAACAGATTTTGATACAATCTATCTCTGCGATCGACAGACTCTCGCCTCTTCTCCATATATGGTAACAACAAGACCAGTCTCGTTTACTATATTGGTTTGACGGCGGATATGGCACAAGGACTCTGGCCAAACCAAGAGGGCGTGTCGCCCGATCTCAATCTACCCCAACAAGAACGGGTTGATCGTCAAATGATTCGACATTTGCTTGGCAAATACTCAAGAGAAGAGCTAGGGCGATTGCTACAAGAAGAAGGACGTGTGTCACCATCTTCATGTGAGTATTTTCTTTACATTTACATTTATCGGCCGAGAGACAGATGTGGTCTTCGTAGTCTGGTATACATCCTTTCCCTTTTCAATTCGTCTATATATATCTTGTCTTCTTTGTTGTTATCCTCTTACTCGTATCTATGCGTCTAACAGACTATATCTTGTTTTGTAGATGAGGACAGATCCTTTATGCTCTCCAGCGGCAACATCTCCAGCGGCAGCTCGCACGACGATTCATCAAACATGTTCGATTCAACAAGCAGTAATAATGCATTCTCAGATACATCATCCACATGCGGAAGCGTCACTTCCAACGTTTCGCCCCGAGCGAGTCACCGTCGCAAGCCTAACGCAAGCCCGTCGACAACTCGCGCCAGCATATCTCTTACTGACGAATCATCTTGGGATGTCGAAGATGCTACAACTGCATCCACAGCAACGGCTCCGAAGCAGAAGGGCTCATTTACCTGTGGATTCTGTCTTGAGGAAGGCATTCAAAAGACATGCACACGCAAAAATGATCTGAAGCGCCATATGGAAGACTTCCACCATACAAACGCACAGTGGTTCTGCCGCCATCGAGGCTGTCAAATGGTCTTTGATTGGCAAACTGCTTACAAGGCTCACCTGAAGAACTCCCATGGGGGGTCGCGAATGAACCTGGACGATGCCAAGGTCCCGCTATGTCCCCAGACTGTCTTTGCATGCGGCTTCGAGAACTGTCTCCAAGTGTTTGAGGCGCCAAGCGATGTACACGCTGGTCCCACATTCAAGGAGTACGTGAGCCACGTTGTCAAGCACTTTGATGAAGGCGCAAGCAGTGGCCAGTGGAGTTACTCGGCTAGGATGCGGAATCTGCTCAGGCAATCCAGCGTACTGAACGCCTGGTCGCAGTCGCTATGGCCAGATGGTGATCCGAGCCGCCTGCGGTGGAACTCACAAACCAGCAGCGTCTTGCGAAAACGCCTAGAGACGAGACATCTTGGCGACCTCCAATTTCTCGTTCAATACGCCATTGCGCTGGGGTCAAGTCCCAATGGCGCGATTCAGAACTTTCGTGCGGACTTTGTGACCCCGATCCGTAGCGAGTGCCGGCTGGCGATCCATGGCCACAGTAGGGCCTCCGCGGCACCCGCCCCAGAAGCAGACCACATGCAATACAACATGTCAACGGGTGGTGCCAACCCAGCAATGATTGCATATTATCAGCGGCACGCGTACATGCCTCAGCCAGCGCAGGCGCAGCTACATTCCCCAGGCTACACTTATCACAATGCGCCTCCTTCTCCGGGATATGACGCCCAGCAACAAGCTTTACAGCAGCAGCAGCAGCAGCAACAGCAGCAATCCCAGCAGTACATGGGAATGGCCGATGCACCGATGGTTGGGTCTGATTACGGGCCACATGCCAATGGCAACCTCCAGACTATGCCTGCTGCTTATGCCACCAACGGCCTGCACAGTCCCGCACCTACGGAGATATGCGGAACCGCGAGCCCGGGCTCCAGCATGGAGCAGCGGACTAATACGTACGCATACAACTCTTCGCCGTATGCGTATTAAATCACGAGGTAGCAGCGCCTCGTACGCCAGGCTGTTTGAAGTTGCATGCAAAATTGACCAATGTGACCACATCCCGTAGTGGTTGCTGGTCTGCGGCGCCATGTACGATTGAACCATTTTTTCTTTTTTAACACAGAACGCATGTGCCCCAAAGATATCGGCACTGACGGATTGCACATACTATCACTATGCTACTACCACTACTACTACGAACAACAAGAACTGGCTCTGGCAGCGCGGAAGGCTTTTCAAAGAGCTCCTGGGAGGCTGGACGGTAGACGATTTACACAATAACGGCCGACTTGCATCATTTTCCTTTGTCCCTTTTGTTTATACGTTGGCAAATTTCCTCTCTCTCTTGTAATTCTTTTTTATACCCTCACAAGCACGCATTTCATTTCATCAGTAAGATTGATTCACAATATGAGAGTAAAAGCAGAAGAGCGACACTCATTGCGACTTTTTTTTTCTTGTTTCTTTTTGTTTTATAAGGAATGGCGGGGGGAGGGGGAATCAAACTTGCACTTCTTTTTTTTACTGATGTTAGTACACGACTATGGAGAGCATCTGTGGTTATGAAGTGGGCGAATTACGGGGAAATAGCTTGTCTTTTCTGTCTTATTATTATTTTACTGTTGATGGCTAATTCACATGGGAAAATGTCTGAACGGCCTCTTGGGATGAATCATTACAAGCGGGGGAGTAGGAGAAACAAAAAATATGGATTACTTGTTAGACCAAAGATGTGTTGAATGCCTACCTTACTAGAATCTCTTGTGGATGCAGCAATGCACGTACAAGTAAATACGCCCTTCCTTTTGTGTATAAGTATCAATGCAGGATTTCGGGACATGTATGTAATGTGACGGATCAAATGCTTATATTAAACAGACAGCACATACATACGTCCCGCCTGCAGCTGTAAGTTACGTAGGCAGCAGAACGGAGAAACGAAATGTCGGTACCGTAAAACAAACAAACACCCCCGAAAAAGAGCGCACCATTATCCAAACGAGGTAAGAAAACTAAAACGGGAAACCTTTATCCGAAGAGGAAGCTCTATGGATGTAGCGTAATACTGGTACAATAGAAAAATTACAAGCGAATGGATTTATGTAAGGATTATTCTATCTACTTTATGTTAGGTTATTTTTTTAAATAAGAGAGAGAAAAAAAAAAAAGTAATAGAACCGATTGATTACTATTACTGCTCCTTGGATTTAGCTTTCTTATAATAACGGGCATTAAGCCGAAACCTCATTAGCTGGGGAGGCAAATGAAGCTTTAGATGACGGGGGGAGGGGCCATTTAGATTAAAAATTCCTGCCAAGCTTGCTTTGATTGCTTGCCTTGCCTTGCTTTGCGTTGCGTTTCTCGATGATGGAAGAAGGGGAGAGTTGGGAAGGGGGGGGGGGGCCATTTTCAAAGAATGTAACTGGGTGCTAAAGTCTCTTTTTTGTTTCGTCGTTTCGATTCATGCCTGATTATTCATTGGCATTTCTTCTGATTTTTTATTTATTGTAATAGTAGTATTTACTTTTATGCAGCTTAGGCGTGCCGGGACGCGTGTACAATCCCGATCTCTTAAGATCACTCACTCTCTTCTTGTCTCTTTCTTGCTCACTCAAGTTTTTCGGAAATACGCCAAAAAAAAAAAAAAAAAAAAGCATGTACAGTATGTATGTAACGGCTGTCTTTTAGCACCGCTATAGCCGTGCAAGCAATGGGGCGCTCCCGTACCGTTCCATACCGTCGCATATCGTGCCGTACCTAGACCGAGTTAGGTATGTGCAAGCGTCGTTTAGCTCAAACAAAGAGGGGAGAAGAAAAGGATAACGGAGCAACAAATAATGACAGCATGTGTGTTGTTGGCAGTTGGGTTAATAATAAAAAACAAACAAACGAAAAGGTTCCATTGCAGCGAAGCGAAGGTTCCCTCGTCTAAAATCCTTCTCACAAGGTCCAGCCAAGAGGACCCATTACTGTCAATTTTTTGTCACTTTTTTTGCCCTTCATTTTTTTGAGTCTTCTATAAGCAGGGGCTGGGAAAAGGGCCCTGAAATGCTGTTGGTAATAATTATGCCGTTCTTGCGATTAGGCAGAGGCTTTTAAGCGAATCCACCAATCATTTCCTCTTCTTTCCTCTTCTTTCCTCTCTTTTTCCTTCTTTTTCTCTGGTCTTGCCGAGTGGGATTTTGGGTGTGCGTAGGAATAATGGGAGATTGTTGGGCGGTATGTAGTAATACTACCCTGTGATGCTTTGTTCTGTACAGCGATGTGGAATAAAATGGAGCAGTACTGCCTTAGTATGCTTTCACATACATGAGGGATTACATATTGTCGTCTGGCTTCTTCGGCAGTGGACCACTTCATCGCTGGGTACTACGCACAGCATAAGAGGAGGAGGAAATTGTTACAGAAGGGTAGCAGTGCTATCAAGTAGAGTGACAAGTTTTTCTTTCTCTCTCTTAACAAGGGGGGGTGTGCGAGTGGAGAGGGTGGGCAATATAGTTTCTCAAGCTTTTCGTTTATATGTATAGGTATATATATATTATTCTCAAGCTTCTTCTCTCTCCAGCAATGCATGATTTTCCTCAATCTGCTGATTAATAGTGACTTATCACATTTAACATTAGCTGTCAGAAGATGTCGTATGAAAATTTGCATATGCCGAAAAGACGGAAAGTGATTACTTTACAGGCTAGAAGAGGGTGGCAGTGGCGATAGCAAAGACAGAAAAGGGCCGGATTAGCAGTATGCATTCCTCCAAGCCAAGAGGGAATAGAATCCGCCAAGCCAGGCAGTGGTCTTGATTAGCCGCGGCCAAAGGAGAGGGAGCAAAGGTCGCTACCCGGTGGTCGGGTCTTTGGGTGCGTGAGCCCGGATGCTTGGAAGCCGTCTTGTCTCCATAGAGCAGCTGGGCAATGATAAGGTGCTGATAGGAACGTACAAGTGGGCACTGCTGAAAGGCTGAGAGAGGAGGAATAGATCAACCAGATGCACAGCAATAGCAGTACCTACTGTAGCGACAGTAATGGGCATGCTCTGTAGGAAACAGGGCAGTACTACTAGCACATTTGGCAGCATTTGTTGAATGCAGGCAGCCTCTCTTTGGTTGATCTTCTTCCGCACGCGCTGGATCTCAGGCGAAAAATTAGCGGCGTGATAAGCAGGCGCTGACGCAGCTTGGTGCCACTTGTTGTGCATATATCAAGTGCCTGCCAGAGCACAGCCATGCCCCCCTTCGAGACATCGTGAGAGTACAAATGCCAAGTATTTAGCTTCAATTAACACGACCAAAGGGGCGTGAAGCGATTAAAAAAGGTACCAGACTAATAATGCTAGCGCCCCAGATACATCCTGCCTTGATCCAGTCCAGTGGAGGAGCAGTCTCCAAGACGGTGCCCATGGGGTATCATGGAAGCTGGTAAACTGGGGCTGGGTTTCTTCTGGATTTGGAATCTTGTATAGTACCTCATTGCCGTTCTGGCGCCGAGAGGCCGCAAAAGGCCGCGTGAGAAAGATTCAAGACAGCAGCGAGCTGGCGGGGAATGCGTAAGCAATGGTCTCGCTCGCTGGTTGAGTAGGGAGTAGCCTACTAACTTGTAGTATGTATTAGAAGGCGCGGCTAATAACAGAGGCGGTGGCCCTGCTGCATATGCACATGCGCAATGGGTATTAGCATGGACCACGTGCAGGTGAGAATGATGGACTCATGTCAACCAGAATATGAATGGTGATAGTGCGGGAGCCAAGGAGTGGAGAGGGGCCATGGCCTCCAAGCAAGGTGAGTCCGCTGGAACGGCATACGAGCTCTTGTACCGCCGCTGCAGCTGCAGGCAGCAATATACATGGCCAGGTGCTGCTGCCAACCATGTACAAGTAAGCTGCCTGCATGGATGGACAAGGGACTCGCACATCGGCCCAGGCTGGCGGGAAACTTTGACGGCGAAAGAAGGCAACGGCTGGAGAGAAGATCCGCGGCAATGGGCCACAGGGCAAGCCGCTCAGCTGACTGGCGTCGAGACATGCAATGCCGGAGCACGTTGCCAAACTTGGCGTCGAATGCTACTCGGCGCAATCAACTTGTACTGTAAGTTTGACACAGGTGATTAATGAAGGACAGTGAGTGGTGATGGTGGGCAGCAGTGCGTCCTCCGTCCGTGGTGCTCCGTGAATGCATGCAATGCGAATCCATGCACTTATTAACTTTGTTGGTAGCACAGGCAAGTACGGAGCGAGATTGGTAGGTTTGTATGCATGCAACTTGGAGGTAAGCATCCTGCGATAGGTAAATCGGAGCAGACAAAGTCTATGTCGGCCGGTGGGCGTGGGGAAGAGCGCCAGGTAGGTTAATTGGATGATTTAGGTTTGTGGCTGAATGACTTTTGTGCCGGGTGAGAGACGGGAGTGGCAGTAGTAATACGGAACGAGATACGGCAGCACTGAACGAACGAATGACATGACGGATGGCAAGACAAGAGAGAAGAGGACGAAAAAAAAGACAAGAGGATAGACAACTGAGCAAGCTAGGGTCAACTCATTGGGCATTGACACCTCCGCAAGCAAGCAGGCAAGCGACGCCACATCTCGCCGCTCTTCCGGTTCTTGGAGAGATATTTCTCTGACACCCACACATCTTGTGCAGAGAGGCGGGAGGAGGGGCTGAATGTGTCGAGTAAGTGAGCATCTTCATGCGTGGTGCGCGTGTGCTATCAGCAGGCCAGACTGGCTGAGGTTTGCCACTTGGGAAAGCTGAATATCGCTGGGCGAACCAAACGGTTGCGACTCGATGCTGTGGCGTGCTGCGAGGACGTCAACCCCTATACCGATAGAATATTTCTGGAACCGAAGAAGAGAGCACCGCTCGGGGACGACCACGTGGCGGGCTGTCGAAAACGAGGCTTGAAGGAAAGAATCACGCCATGGCTTGGTAGTTGGCAGAAACAAGGTGTAAGTTGGTCGGCGCAGCCATGGATTTCCTTGGCTTGACACCGTTTCCGTAGGCACTGTCTACTGCGATTGGCATGTTGGCTAGCTTTTCTTCAGGTGGCGTGCTGCTGTGAAATGCCGGAAGAATTAAGGAAACGGATATTGCTCTCTATCTGGCTCATTTGCCCGAAACGTTGTTGGCTCTATCCAAAAGGCTGGGCCAAGATCTCCTTGTTAGGGCTGAGGTGAATTGAGAAGAAATCGCCAAACGGGAATATCGTCCGTAAAATCGGCACTGCTAATATCAATTGTCTGTGTAGTGCTTTGTGCAGTAGCACGCTGTTGCGGCTTACCATGATCCACTGTGCCTTCGCGTAGGATTGACAATTCCCTGAGATTGAGTCGTTGCAAAGACGGTATGAGCTCGTTTCATTACTCGCGAGTCTGTGTTTGCAGTACCAGGTAATACTACTTAGTACCTAGGTATTCCGTACTCTATACTCCGTACCATGCTCATTGATATCGCAGGCCTGAACAAGGTCTTACATGCTAGCAGTGCGGAGTGCCAGGGGTGTTGAGCCTTGTCCAGAGATGGCCGTTGAAGTTTTTTTCTTCTCTCGTTCTGCCCTGCTCATCCGCCAAATCCCGTATGTACACGTCTAAACAGAGACGGCATCTGCGATAAGAGGTAAGAGGGCCGTGCGCTTGGGGATCGAGGCACCCATGACGCTGACCCCTTGGCGATTGGGTTCTATTGTCATCATTACTCCGAAATCCGAGCCCAAGCATTCATCGTGTAACGCTGCCGATGGAAGATGTACCTCGTGGCGAGCACATCTTTCGATTTGTGAGATGAGCAAGCAGCAAGCAAATGCACTCGCACTTGCATAAGTAACAGCACTTGACATCGACAAGCAGAGGCAGAAAACAGAAACAGAGGCGGTCTTCACCGAAACATTCGTTCGGCCCCCTTGCAGCCGAAAAGAGCGGCGATGCCGGGACGGGTGAATAATAATCTGCAGCAGCAAGGCTTGGGCGAATGTGCGGATGCCTCGGTGAGGCAGGGCTGGCCACCGATGGGCTCGTGCGTGCCCAAAGCAGCAATAGTCGTTTGCTTGCAACTGTGATAACCGTGATAGCCGCCGCTATGGCCATTCTGGTGCTACGGCTTGGCATCCCATCGGACTTGTTACCGCATACTGCATGTTTGCCAGGATCGGCATCCCATCCTCCACGTGCGCGGCCAGAGTGTGGAGAGACCGCAAAGGAGGTCTGGAGGGAACCGGCGACGGCTGAGGCTGATATACCGGAGGTCGTGGCCGCATTGGGCTCTACCAGCTGATTTTCCTTCTGATTGCTCTTGTCCTGCCCATGCCTGGATTCCGCATAGAGCAGGTGTTGGAAGCTGAAAATCCTACCTGTCCGGTGCTAGCAGAACTAGCGGTGTTAGCAGCAGTGCTAGCCCCAAGAACAAGAACGGCGGCAACATAGCCAGCAGCAGTAGTGGTCGCGTTAGCCATTAGTGGTAGCAGTAGTGGGCTGCAAACTGTTTGCAGGGCTGCATTAGCGACTGGTTTGCCTGCTCGTGGTGGTGCATTAATAGCATCGCGAGCTGAACAATGGGAGGAGAAGAAGAGAAAGAAGGCAGAGCGATGAGGGGCTCTAAATATGGATCCCCCATTGTAATACCTATGTATCTAAACTTAGAACTGGGCTTGTAAGCGGTACTTTATGCCTGGCTATGGAGCCGCTGGTTTCGCAGTGTCTCAGCGACATTGATGGGAAGCCGCGCGGGCCTGCCTTATCCACTGCGGCGTCTGCTTTACGCTTTACAAGTAGGTGCGTGCCACGCAGTGATCTGCGGCGTCCTCATTAGCAGCGCGGCATTTTTCTAGAAGCCTCGGGCTGTAGCATTTCTCCACCCGCTTCACGTTTTCTTTATGCTTTCTGGCTTCTAGTCCAGCTCAGCCTCAGCCTTCTCTGCGCATCGTGAGATGCGAGTAGGTGTCAGTTTGATTGGCATGCAGCCCCCCGCGGATGACGATTTGTGCCGAAAAGAGCTGAGATGAACACACCTGCACCGACGAGGAAATATTTACGGAGTAGCCCAGCAACGCATCCCGGTCTTCTCGACTTGGGCGGCATTTGCACTAAACAACCCGAGTGGAACCATCCTCATCGTCCCGTGTTTGGCGTCATCTTATCACGTACTTGTAACTACTATTGCTTCCACTATCTTCAAGGGCTAACCGGTTCTATTCGTGCCCAAAGCGCTCTGCTAGGTTGATCGGCCAAGCCGAATTCCTTGGTGGTCAAGGGCGAGTACGAAGTCTGCTTGAACGAGTTACGGCTGATGCTCCATACTCCGTCACTGATTTGTATGCGCCAAGTAGCCATGTGGAGAGAACACGCAGGGCGCATAACTCGTGGCGACAGCGGCGTGGGAAATCCAAAGCGAATTCTTCATACTACATAGTAGTAGGTATATGGGCTTGTGCTGATACGAGGCGAGGTGCTCGTTGGCTCGTACCTGGATGCTTTGCCAAGTAGCATTGCATATGCCGATGGACACGACCAATGATCCTCAACGGTAAACGGTCAGCACTTGGCCGCTGTAATCAGAGATGACTGCCAGGCACAGGCTGTGGGTGGTATTATTAGCCCCATCCCCGGGCTTCTTTATTTTTGACACCTTGCAGGATTTTCTCTGCAGCGACTTGGCTGCAGGATTGGTGGCTGATAGGGCCAGCAACGCATTGCATGGCTTCGCGTGTCGCATGACTCTATCTATGTTTGGTTTTGGGCGTGGATTTGCCTCCTCCATGCCGCGGACTAGTACCTGCCAAGCGGCAGCGCTAGACAACTCCGCGCCCTCTCTGGCCTTGATTTGCCCTTTGATCTTATTTCGCTGCTGCCATCGTCGGCGCCGACTCCAAGCCGCCGATGTTCTAGCTGCAACACCGGCCATTATGCCGCTGTGATGATGGTCGCCAATCTAGGACTCTTGGACACAATGTGGCCGTCTCATTGGCCTGGCCGCCCATATTAGACCCCTCAGCACATGTCTCGCCTTTCCCTTCTAGAAGGACGGCAGAAGCAACTGGCCAGGGGTCCCTTCCCACGCTGTTTCCCGCAGCCATGGTGAGATGCAGGGGCCACAGAGCTGGTAATTTACGGCTGTCCCTTGCGAGGTCAGGCGACGAGGTTGCTTGCCCTCTGGTTGGCCGTGGACGAGGGCACCATTCAACAGCGACAGCCTTTTCCGGCCTTCGCGGGTCCCCACACCACCATCTAAACTTTACACAGGTCGCTCGAGTCGACAGACTTTGGCTGCTGGGCGCCAGCGGCTTTTTAGCTAGCCAGAGGCGACTTGTGTTTCAGGACAACATGGGGGCCGCTGGGAGAAATGACACTGTTCCTGAAATGGGGTTTGGTGTGTGGTGCTGGACAGGGGAACGCGCGACACTAATTCGTCGGATTCCACGACTTGACCGGGTTATGCCAGTCGCTCAGCAAAGAAAGGATTTGGGATTAGGGGGCGGATTCATGCTCCAAGCGTTGGGTCCCAGATGTGGCCCTACCGCTACATTGTTGCCCATCAACAGTGCCCCGACGCAGTGGGCTTGAATTTGCACGGGCTGGCGCTCTGTCTGGACTTTTCTCCGACAGATCTTCTAGAAGCCTTCCCCGGCTTTTCGACCGTTTGCTGGCTCCCCTCGCCATTTGTTTTCTCCCCTTGCTCGGCCCTGGCGACTGTGCCTCTTTCCTCTTTGTCGCTCGTTCATCCAATTTGGCTTCTCATTTTCACAAACACATTTCCTCACAGGCAGTGCCTTGACAAACTTCTCAACCGACGACTCAATCTTGAGGCGACGCTAATATTCATCCAAAGTCTGATCCGATTGAGGTCGTACTAACCTGTCAACTTCACACTCTTTGATTGTGAGCGTGAGCGGGACGCGAGACGGGGCTGGACTGATTTTTTAACGCTCATACCCGCGGCGTATCCAAGACTTCTTTCTGTCAACCCTCATCGCCGCGGTGTGCGGCGGTTATGCCATTTTAACGACGAGTGGTAGTACTGAGCTGCCAGCTGCTCTTTTTTTTCTTCCCTCCTCGCCTTCCGACACAGACAGAGTAACGCACCGCGCACCGGCTCCAACGTGCCTGTAGGTGGTGGCCTTTACCTATCGGCACAAGCACTATTCTGTGCGTTTTGCGGCGATAGCTGGTCCGTGGTTTGTTGGTTTTAGCGGAACGACGAACGCGATTTAATTGTCTAATCATAACAATCCTTTCCGTCATGTTTCCATACGGAGCCGCGCCCGAGGAGTCCACCGTGCGCCCATTGGCGGATGAGGACCAACAGTTACTTCTCGGACTTGTTCACAAATATGGAGCTTCGAGTGTTTTGTACGCCTTGACCGGCTATGGAGAACCATGTAAGTCATTAAATATCTCAATCAAATATCAATTTGAATCTGACTGGATTCAGCTCGCGCATCTGCGTTTTCTGCAAACACACTTCTAAGCAGCGCGAGCGCGTCTTCAATAGCATGGACTAACTCAGAGGCGGCCTCACAATGCCGATCAGATGAAGCCTCCATTCACACTTCATACACTTGGCCCGATGTTCAGAACGACATTCAACCAGTGCATGATGGAGAGGCTAACAAAGGGACCGAGCGATCATGGCTCGACTCGCCCGTAGCAGTTCCGTCTCCGATGATTCAGCCTCACGACGTTACATCACACCCATCTCCGCGATTAGTAACACCAACCTCCAAAAAGTATCAGTGTCCTATGTGCTATTTGGATAACAGCCCCGTCGGCTTTGGCCGAAAGAGTGATTTCAAGAAGCACCTTCACAACTTCCATGGAGCCGACGTCGTCTGGATTTGCCGAACTAAAGGATGCCATTTATCTTTCTCAACTGAGCGTGCTTATGGTACTCATGCGAAGGAAGCTCACAGAATGAAAGCGCTCCCTAATAGCGCTGCTCGGACGGAGATGTGCCCGCAGCTTGTCTTTGCTTGTGGATTTTCCAACTGTCGCGACCGGCTGTTCGAGGCCCATAGCCCCGAAGATGCCTCGGCAACACGCGATAAGCATTTCGAGCATATTGCCAAACACTTTGAAGACGGGTTCGACGTTGCCAACTGGGAGTACCGGGTGCAGATGCAGAATCTTATGCGACAGAAGCAGGTGAAACAAATCTGGAAAACGTGCGTATGGCCCAAGGAAAAACGACAACAGCTTCACTGGCGAGCCAGATCTTCTGGAGATTTGAAGCGTATACTTGAGTGCCGCCACCTGGGGACCAACATCTCCAGCCTCGTCAGACTGGCTTTCATTCTGGGCACTCCTCCGTTCACAACCAACACCACTCCGCCGCCGAACGAAATCGACGCCTACTTTCAACTTCCCTACAGGAGTCAATGCTTATTAGAGTCATCCGGTCACTCGACCCTGCCAAGCACCGCTTCAAAACCGGAGGAGGGCTCGCCTACGCTTAGCGTCCCCAAGAGTCGCTCAGGCATCACGAGCATCCCTCAAACTATGCTCAAGCTCTCCAGCCGCTCACTGAAACGGGGTACGCGACCGTCAACACCCGCAAGTGTCATGAGTAATAGCGGCGATACAATCATGGGAGACGATTTAGCGGCTGGCCCGCACCCGGGAACTCCATTCCCCATCCCCAATGAGACTGTTTGGCCGGCGGATGCTCCAAAGTTCGCTCCGGATATTCCGACCTCCATGCCAAAGCAGATGAATAGCACGGCCGATACACCGATCTTTGATCATCAACAGCTACAGCATCAGCAGCACCCGCAGCAGCACCCGCAGCAGCAGCTGATGTACACCATGCCGCCACAGGACCCTTCACAGCAAGCATGGATGGCCATGGACCAGCAGATTCCGACATACCAAACACAACAGCAAATTTTTCCAGAACAGCCGGATATGATGAATGGGCTTTACGATTACTCGATGAACACGAGCCAAGCGTCCACGATGCGGCCAGGAACGCCAACACCACATAAACGACCAGCATCGTGGAGCCGAATGATTAGCATGGAGAACCTCCGACCAGCTAAGAAGTCGACACCTGATACGCCACCACCCGGTATGATCATGGGTATGTAAACGGAGATGATTCCGTATACCAAACTATTTGCCATTGTGATATTCTGCCGCCAATACGATCCCGATAGAGGGTCCGTTAGCGAATCGCTCCACTCTTTTATCGACGTTTATATGTCTCCTTTATATCCCTTGCTGCGGCTGATTTCCTGTATTCTCAAACATATATACCACTATTTATACCAACTGGACCGGGACGACAATGTACACTTAATGGGAGGAACTGAGGACGGGGAAGGGGCAAGGCCGATCGAATCGCTTTCCATTTTTGTCACTATACTGATACTGAGATACCATTTCATTTCCTTTCCCTTTTTTTTTCCCTTTCCTTTTTTTTTTTTTTTTTTTTTTTTCGTTTCCTTGTTTTCTCTTGTCTTTCTATTATGCGGTGGACCGGCGTCGTTCATGAATCATATATATTTACATAGACAAGGCGGGATAGGTTACCATGGCATTACGTGTAGCGAATATCTCTTTTTTTCTGTGTTACGCTATAGTGTACGAAGGAGGAGAGAAGGGAGGGTAGAGAAGTTGGCGGAAAAGCAAATCAAGATACGCATGAATACTTACTTGTACGGCGCAACGTCTGGTGAAAATGACCTTTACATAAGGCAGCAGGAAGCAACCTATAATTGACTTTTTTTCTAATTCATTCATTCATTCAATTTTTTCTTTATAATGCTGTGCCATTACTCTGTGCTCTGTAGAGATTTGCGAACTCGGGAAATATGACGCGAATGAATAACGGCATGGTATTTGGCGTGACTACGAAGTACACAGAAATAATATCCAAGGTACGGAGTAGTACTAGGAAGTCACATTCTTGTACTTCGTACCTTGGGTACCTGTATATCGGGCCGTCAGCTTACTCGCCTTGAAGCCCCGTGTCCGCTATGTAGGGAGACGGTGACGAAGAATAGACGACGAAGGGCTGCTGTCGGAATTGGGATCCATGTGTTTCATACGCGACCAAGAGAGGAAATACAGCCAGAAGTCGGTGAGAGGCAGAACACATGTCATGGTGTGACATGCGAGACATGAGGACCTGGGCTGCTGCTTGTCTGTGCGACAAGCGAGAGAAGCGAGAGAAGCTTTGGAAAGGTGATTGGCGGCATGTTGAGCTCCGTAGAGAACTATGCCACAAGAAAACAACCAGGGATATGCTGCAATATATGGAGCGGAGGAGTGCGTTTAAGATATCTAACATGGAACTGCTTTCTTGGCGGTTAGTAATATCATGTAGCAATGGCGGCTGCTGTTGAGAGAGCAGACTATAACGTTATTGGCTGAGATAGAAACGGGACGGGACGAGCAAGCAACAGAGACGTATTGGACGTGTTGGGCTAGGAAAAGGAAAAGGGATGGGAAGCTTCTCACGCACGCCCTGCATGTAGGTACTTTGAATCAACGTTGGAGTAAGTTGGCAATGAAAAGCATGGAGCATGGAGTGCTACACCGTTAGGTACCATCGCGTATACGCTGAAGATGGTACGGGGTCGGCCTGCCTTATGTGGCGCCAGGATCCTGGACTGTGCAAGGCATGGATGGGGCCTTGCCGTTGGTTTTTGTTGGGCTGAATTCCACATTATACGTATACCGCTTGAAGTTTATGAGAAGAGAAAAAAAAAAAATAGGTTGACTCATGCTTTGAAACTAAGGAAGATGCGAAACCTCTTTTTCCATTCATCTCGATTGGCATTGGCGATTGATTCCGGGATCTGGTTCGGGGTCCGGTCCGGGTCTGATATTCCAGAGCCTGCGTCCGCAAAGAAACAAGAGCTGCTGCCCCATTACACAGCAGTGCCCGTAAAGTCCCCAACTCCGTAATACAGTACTATGTAAGTGCAGTGTAAGGTGGCGGCAATCGTTCAATGAATGGCCTGGGCGGCTCCTAGTATGACAGGCCGAGTAGATGCAATAAGCGCTACCGACCGGAAGCAAGGCCATTATTGATTTGACATGTGCGCGCTCTAGTCTAGGCTAATAAACACAAGAGAGAGGGCATCGGATATCGAGCGCATGAGGCCTTCCGGGAATAAGGGCCTTTGTGCAGGCGATGTGAGTCAATGGTGTTCCTTTGCAGAGAACATCTCCGTATTCGCAATTGGATACATGTGTCCAGTACCCGACTTATGTTTTGGTGGGAAAAGAGGTTCAGTAATATCTACACATGCTTATATTACATACCTACTATATGAATATAGTGGTATTACTCATGTTGGAGTCGCCAGAAGCGACTGCTTACACTGGGCTGACAGAGAGATGCAGGGGAAGACCGGGATTGTTTCGCTGAGGAAAAAAAAAATTGACAGTCGGAAGAGGGATCAGCGCATTGGCGATTCTCGCAATAAGATATAAATAAGCATCGACAAGGTTGACAACCCAGTTGAGTGACCAAAGCCGGGCGTAGCTAGTTGTGTTCAGCCTCAATTTCAAGCCAGTAGCATTTAGCTACATTTGAGCAGGTACTTGGTAGCACTCGCTTAGCCTCAATAACATGCATGTGAATCAATAGCAGGGCTGGTCATATTTCCCCGCGTTGGCGATCAGCCATGACGACTTAGACTTCCAGAACTACTAAAAAAACATCTAATTTTTTGGTTTATGCTAATTTGAAACACTTGAAAGCAAGCGAATTTTATGAGTTTTTTGATATTTTTGATGAGGCCGTATGAGTGACGAGGATTCCACCAGGCCTGGGGAGGATGCATCGTCGCTGAAGGATTATGTCGTAGACGCCCAGGAGGGTATATGTATGTTGATTTGCTACTTGTATAATTGGGATGTTTTGTTTGCTAATGATGGTCTTTTTTTCTGTAATCAAGCTCTTCCTATTGAGCAACATGATGACGATGAAGACATTAGCAGCGAGGCGAGCACGCTGTTATCCAGCGCGGGGCATCACAATCACCATCCCAAACATCGGAGAGAGCAGCACCATCAACATGTCGAGGGTGATGAATCTAGTTCCCGGACGGGATACTTGACAAGGAATTTTGGAGGAGAGGCGATTTTGAGGATGGGATTGTGCGCGGGGATGGTGGTCGTGGTGTGTTTGGCGGTGGTGAGGGCGGTGGAAGGGGAGTTTTCGCCGGGGTTGGTGGCGGGGGGAGGGCTGATGATGATTATGTGTTTGGTGGTTGGGAAGAGGGATCTTTGGAGGGGGGGGATGGCGATTGGGTGAGGGGCGGGGATGATGATGATGATTTAGATTGCTGCTGTGTTGCAATCATGTATGACTGTATGGATGTTTTGATGTTTTGTTTGCTGAGCGGGTGGTTGAGCAGGGTAGATATATGTGACCCATGCTTGTGTTTTGCGAATATAAATGCGAGGTTCGAATATGGGATTGAATTACAGTCTAACTACACCGCGCTATTTCCCTTAACCGGCTTGGTTTTCATGTTGAACTCCTTGCGTACTCTACTTTAAAGATGAGCATATTCTAGTAATCGCACATGTAGCAGCGCGGCCACCAAATGCAGGGGCAACAACAAACGGAATAGTTTTAATGTAGAGCTATAAATCTGTTGGATCGAAGCAAAATGCGTAGTACTACTACGGCAACTTACATAGAGCGTTGTACCACTTGCAGGAGGGGCTGCATTCTTTCGTCCGGTGAGTGGTCCTCATAGCGATTGCCAAGAGTCTTTTGTATGAAATTCATTCTTGATGGAGTACAAGGACGTGGGTCTTGATGGGTATTGTTATAAATAGCTAAGAGTTGTGCTGGTAAAACGGTCCAGACCGCAAAGTGATGATGGTAGCACAAGGTGAGAAAAGGGGGGAGAAGAGAAGGAAGCTCGGATATTTGTATTACTGTGAAACTCTGATTGATTCCTTAACTTAACCATAGTTGCTTTTTCTTCTTCTTACCTTTCTTTGCCCTTCTTTCTTTTCCTATAACAGGCTGGCTGTCTCATGAAAAGCCGATACTATTTGGAAGATACTTGACAAGTAAGCCAAGATTGATAATTAGTAGCTATGAGCTCAGACTTGGGAGTATTTGTCACAGCACCTATAAGCTCAAACGTAGCTGCGTTTACCACAACGCCATTCTCGTTTAAAACCCTCTTTGGCATATTAGCTTCTTCACCTTCATCGTCATCAAGTGCAACCTCGGTTTTGGAAGCAACAGCCACGCCATCGCCGTCTTCACAATGCTATTTCCCCAACGGCCAGTCCATTGTGAACTTCGACTATACTTACCAGCCGTGCGGAGGCAGAAACACAACATGGCAGCAATGCTGCGATCCTGAAACGGACATTTGCAATGAGAATGGTCTGTGTACGCATCTCGCGGACAAATCTTCTGTTGCTTTTAATTATAGAGCTGGATGTGCGAATGCGGACTGGTCAGGATGTCCGCAAGTTTGCCTTGACGGTGATTTTCCCTCCCCCCCCCGAAAAAAACAAGACGGAAAATTCAAAGACTAATAGAAACCTTTACTTTTTATCCAGTTTTATCAAGTTCCTGGGTTCAAGTTCAGCATTGTGCTACGGGAGAATACTGTTGTAACCAACGTCTTTCTGATTCCCCTACAAGTGGTAATTGTTGTGACGACATAGACGGTCGGCAGTTTGATCTCTCCAACCATAACCCCAACGCGGAGAATACCACGGGAGCAGCGGGAGGTAGTGATGAAGGAAAGAAGAATGGGACGGATGTTTCTACTGGTGGTAGTAGTAAAAATACTACGCCGGTGGGTGGCGATGATGATGATAATGATGATTCTAAAACTGACAGAGTCAGAATCGGAGCAGCTGCTGGAGGTGCATTGGGTGGCCTTGCAGTAATTGGTGGTGCTGTCGGTGTATGGCTGTATTTGAGAAAGAAGAGGGCTAAGCAAGAGAGGGAGATGATTTCTCAGGAGGAGGCAGATGTTGAAGGCCCTAACGCAATGGAGCCGCTAGAGATGAAGCAAGTCTTGGAGGTGGGAACTGATCTGATGGCTGGACAGAAGTGTACTCCTGGATCTGATGTAAAAGTTCATTCTGCCGTGATGGAGATGGATTCAACGGCGGTCTATGAATTGGGAGGTTAGCTTGGATTCCGATGTCTTGACCGCTATCCTTGCTGTTGTATATACCATCATGTCTGGGATATGGTATATGAGAAATAAGTAAGAGGAGGAGAGACAGATACGTATATTTACACATATACAATAATGTATCATAACGACACCATCTATAGCCAGTTCGCCTCGTCTGATCCTAAAGGCTTCGGCATTTCCTCCCATCCAACCTTACATCCCTCAACACTAGCACTATGTCTTACCGCAGTCATTTTCCCAAATGCCGTATCTCTCGTCTCATAATACTCCGCCGGCACATCTGCCTGCGTCACGAAATCTCGAGTCTCAAAGCCCGTCTTGCCGGGATACTGCCCCAGACTGCGTAGATACTTCATCACACCCGCCAGCGAAACATCCACAACCCAAGATCCCCCAATCTGGGAGCGTTTATATAACGCGGCCATGACGCCCGTGGCGAGAAGATACCCGCCTGCGTGGTCGAGAGCTTGGCAGGGTAAAGCGCGGGCTGTTTCCCCGGCGCCAAAGTGCTCTGCTTCGGAAATGTTCATCCCAGAGCAGGTCTGGACGAGAGAATCGAACCCCCGGCGTTGAGACCATGGGCCCGAGGGCCCAAACGCAGATAAGTTGGCGCAAATAATGTTTGGATTGATCTTTTGGAGCTCCTCCGGCGAGAAGCCGTAGGAGGCGAGACTCCCTGGACGATACCCCTGGATGAAGACGTCACAGGTGCGAAGCAGCTCCAGAAGGCGGTCTTTTTCATCCGCATTGTGTATGTCTAGGCGGATGGTGCGTTTGCCGCGGCTGAGGTCCCTGTCGAGCACGGGTTGATTCGGCAGATTCGGCGATGTTACCCACAAGACGTCGGCGCCGTGAGCGGCGAGTGCCTTGCCGGCTACGGGGGCGGCAATGACGCGGCTCATTTCGAGTACTCTGACGCCTTGGAGGCAGCGGCTGTTGCTATTGGTCGTGGATAAGTTCTTTGGCGGGCCCTGAGCAAACTGCCTGACGAGAATGGGGTTGTTGTCTATGGCTGCGGATTGAGGATGGGCATCCCATTCGCTGTATGTGCGTAGGGCGTAGATGACGAGCTTGCCCTTCTCTGTGCCGGCGGTTTCGAGGTCAACGCTCTTCCATTGGGCTACTTTGGCGGCGACATCTTGGCGGGAGGCATCTGGGGGGAGGCCGAGGAGTTCAAGTGTGCCGAGTGCGTGGCAGGGGAAGTTGTCGTGGATGCGGACGAAGCCGTCTGCTGTTTTGTGCAGGCCACCGATGGACCCCCAGGGGTCTTCCAGGGGCTGTTTGTCGATGTCGTAGAGACGCTCTGATTTGAATTCTACTACGGCGTGCTCGAGGGGAACGCTCACTCGAGGTATTATGGATGATGGGGGCGAAGAGCGTGTGCTGTGTAGGAGAGATGCTGAGAGGGCTGAGAGGGCAATGGAGCTCTGTGCAAGATGGCCGATCTTGAAAGATGAGGGAGCGGCCGGAGCGGCTTGATGGCCTGGAAGGGTGAGGGATGAGAGGGCGTGAGGAGGGAGATGGACGCTGGTCCAAATTTCCTTGACGATGTCGGCTGCGGAGAATGAGGAGCGATTGATGAGGTTGTTTGGTATGGACATGGCGAGAGTTGAGACGTCTTATACGGCGATTGATGACCCAAGATTTGTCTTTTCGCCCTTTTCACCATATGTCCTAACGCCTTATATGGGAAAATGCTTTAGTATCAAATTTGTGCTTCAATAACGAATAGAATAAAAATGATTCAATGGCAGTGTTTTGTCTAAAAGCTGCGCCCTTGTGATGATCACTTCGGGCGGATCAAAGGAAGCAGCATGATGTCTAAGGATGCCGAGTGTGGAGTTAATTCCCGACGCTGAGCCTATTTAGCCTCAGCCGCCATCAGCCGAGGCTTCACGTATCACGTCTTTAATGCCGTCATCGAGCTGAAGTAAAAATCTCGTTTTCGAAATATTATCATATATTCTATTCTATCCAGACAGCATAATTCATGACTGCATGCTCTCTGTCGTCAACGCTGCGCAAGTCCACCTCTAGTAAATGCATGCCTTGTATCTCCTGAATCCCAAATCTATCCGTGGTATATCAATCCATGCCCCTTGCAATGCTTTGATGCAACTTTAGTAAACCAAATAGAAGAAAGAAAAAAAAAAATCAATCAAAAACCGCTTTCTCCAAACAATAATTAATGCTTCCACCGAAATTGTTCTTTTTTTTTTTTTAATCCAGATTATAGTTAAATAGAGTAGAGATGAGTTAGTTGGCTACTGCTTCGCGCTCTGCCTGAGCAGCCTTCTCATCAGCCGTCAATTCCGATGCTGCTTGGCCAATCTTGATGGTCAACACCAAAATCAATGACAAGCCGGTCATGGCAACACCGATCCAGAAGCCAATCTTGTACTGTTGCCGTAGGCTGAGCCCCTCCGGCAGTTTTCGCCTGTTGGCCTCGGAGATGGCCATCTCGGCAATACCCAGCCAAAACGCCATGCCAAGATACAAGAGGGTGTTGATAAGACCTCCGGCAGTGGCCTGGAGACGCCGAGGCATGGACGTGGTGATGAAGACGTTGGTGACGTTGTAAGTGATGTCCACGCCGATGGTGCCGCATACCATGGCGGGGAAGATGTACGCCCAGTAGAGGAAGCTGGTGGAAGGGTGGCCGTTGACGCGGTCGGGGATGATGGCGAAGAGGAGGACGGAGATGAGGAAGCCGACGCTGGAAATCATCATGAGGATGCGGTTAGAAATCATGTGCATGACGAAGCCGCCGCAGACGGCGAGGCAGACGCCGCCAATGGCTAGGGGGGTGAACCAGGCGGCAGTGAGGATGGGAGTGGTGTCGAGCACAGTCTCGATGCTGATGAAGGTTGTTAGTGATGTTGGTTGACATATTGGAGAGGAAGAGCACTCACTAGTAGCTTGAGTAAAATAGGTACAAGCCAAATACACCGTACAGGCAAAACAGAGCCAGAGACAGCCGCTTCATGTACTTGGGACGGAACAAGTCGGCCGGGAGAAGCGGCTGAGCAGAGACCCAGCCCTGCGTATAGACACCGGCAATGAGGAAGAGCATGCCAATGATAAAAGTCACATAGATGTAAGGGGTCTGCCAACCGTGCGGGGCATGGCCTCCATCTGTAAAGGCAAAGACAACCAGAATCAAGCCGGGCACAATGGTGCAGAGCCCCCACCAGTCCATGCGAATAGACTCATCCTGCTCGTGGAGGTTTCGTGGAATGGTCAGGAATCCGGTGACGGCAATGCAGAAGACGATGATGGCACCGATCCAAAAGTACCACCGCCAGGTCATGAAGTCGGCACACACAGCTCCCAAGAAGATGCCAAAGTAGAATCCCAGACAGGCAAAGGCACCCCAGATGGCAAACACCAGGTTCTTGCGGGGGCCAGGTCGGTATGTCTGTCCCAGGAGAGCCAGGCCCGCAGGCGTAAAGGCCGAAGTGCCGATGCCTTGAAGAGCTCGGCAGATGATGAGCATGATGGTGTTTGTGCTGAAGCCACAGACGAGCGACCAGATCATGAACCAGATGTGGCCGAACAGGAAGACGGAGCGGGCACCGTAGATGTCGCACAGGCGGGAGAAGGGCATCAGGAAAGCGGCGGTGGTCAGGTTGATGACGCCGGCCGGCCAGGTACGAGTGTTCTCGGGGATGTTGAGGGCGTCTGCCACGGGAGGCAGGATGATGTTGAAGCCGCCGATGAAGTACTCGCTCATGGTCATGGACATGACGACGGTGATGATGAAGCCGACCTCTGTGATCCAGGACTTGAGGACGGCTGGGCGGGCTCGACCGAGGCGTTCGAGCTCGGCCTTGTCGGGGAACTGGCTGAGGTCTGACGAGGTACGGCCGGAGATGACGCCGCTTTCCAGGCCGGCGAGAGGCTCTGGCTGGCCCATTTTGGATTTTGGATTTCGTTTCCTTCTTTTCTTTTTTCTTTTCTTTCTTGAGTCTCTAGTTATGTATAAGATGAGACAGATAGATGGTAGTAACAAGACGAGGAATAGTAAGGGGCTAGTTGAGGAAAGAGAGAGTTATCCACCCTAATGTAAATAAATGTTGTAAAGAAGAAGATTGACAATTAAGTTCCCACAACAGCATTCTCAAAGTCGATTTCCCTGGGTCTTATTTTATCCTTTTTTTCTCAAGCTCACATGTCCATTTGTCATTTTGATGACTCCACGTGGGAAAAGAGAAAAGAAAAAAAAAAAGGCGGTGCACAAAACCGAATATGAAAGAGAAAATATGGGATACGGGGGTCGTGAGAATTTTTGTGGGTTTTTTTCCAATTCTTTGCGGAGAGGCGTTGCTCGTGGTGCAATTTTTAAGCTCTATGGGTCTTGTTTCTATGTGAGTGTGGAGTCTTGGCTTCCGGTCTGGGATTTGGACCAAGTCCAATTCGGGGCAAAAAAGGACAACAAAGACGCCAAACGTATGAATCACGCCCGTTTGCTGGACTTGGTTTTTCTTCTTTTGCTTCTTACATGCTTCTTGTGGTGGGCGGTAAAGGAGGGTCGGGTGGGTAAAACAGATCTTTTACGCTGTGGCGAACGGACTGACCTCATGGGACGTTCCCGATAGGCTTAGAAGGTGTTCTACAACAGGCAAAAGAAAGACAATTCTCACTGTGCCTGGTTCACTGGGTATGAAGTGAATGCCACTACCGTACCGTACTGTATGTATTAAAGGTGACTCAACGGGTAGTATTTGGGGCAAAAAAACAGAAATCCTCTAGACTTATTCTCGGGAGAAGCAAAAATGGCCCATTGCGTGAGTGGCTCCGGATTTTACTGGCTTTATCGACGCCCGGGTTGCGTCTTGGCTTCCTTTTCGGGGCAAAGTCTGACAATCCAACGGCCGCTAAACTTTTTTTTTTCGGGCGTTAAACTGCACATGCTGCAGATGGCGCTTCTGCAAGGGCCGTTGACACTGATTGATAATAAAAAGTCGTGTGGGAATGGTGGATGCTGTCCAATCGGCGTGTTTGCATGATTGGGACTTGGGGAGCTTGAATAGACTGCACTGCCATTGTGTTCCGCGGACATCCGGGGAAGAGGATATGGAGAGAGAGCCTGATGAGGAAGTTGTTTGGCATTTTCTTCGGAAAGTTTCCATGTAGATGAGATGTGATGTGACATTGATGTTTGCATTGACAAGTCCAATCTAGGAGATCGAGACTCATTTGTCATGGATAATTTGATTACATGGATAATTTGATTACGTGAAAATCGATTACATTAAACGAGTTGTCATAGTAATCATCACAAACTATCGAAAAGCTTGATTCAACTCGAATCGGGTAGCTTCGGTAGATCTCCTTAGGGCAGGTAGTGCGTATTATGTTTTTACCAATTGAACGCCACATCTCTTTATGCTAAAGCTGAAACATCTAAGACGTAAACCAGGAATAGCCATACAGAGGGAAGCTTGCCTGCATTATATATTTCTTTCTAAACCCATGTCGTTGATGTTGTACAGCTCTTTCTCTTCTTTTCTTCTCCCCTCATCAAATCTCAAACTAGCATGAACATGCCATGAATGAACTCCTCTCCAATATGGTTATAATTCGTGATATGATGGTAACCTTGGAACATAGATTCCTGCTTTGAGAAGACGATATTCCGACAGGAAACAGGCAGATCGGTGGTAACACTGTGATACGTTTTTTCTGTTATACTAGGCGATGAAGAACGAATACGAGTCCGGCGATTGCCAGGGGAGCATCTACCCAAAAAGACCGGTACTGGCAGACGATCCAAGAGCCGGACCTTGATCTTGGTACAACTTGACGGAGAAGCATTTCCAATATCAATATTACCAGGATCACGTTGCGGCATGCATATTGTGATTGGCAGGTACGGCGCACAATATCCTCATACAGCTGAGACAACAGAGCACAGCAGCATCATCACACAAGCTCTCGAATGTCTCATCATTATTATTGGCTGTAGCCTATATATGTGCTTTATACAAATGCGCCAAAAACAACTTCGATACCACAGGGAAATTACTCCGTATTACGACCTCTATATCATATTATTCACTACATTACACCGCATCGTTTACAGCATCTGAGACAGAACAGCTAGCAGACCAACTCCAAAGATCAAGCTGCCCGCCGCAGGAGTCAGAGCATTGGCAGCCGACTTGGGGCTCGTTGAGGCAGAGGCAGACTTGGTAGGGCCGCTGGTGGTGCTGTTGGTACGGCCACCGCTGCCACCGCTGGTGGGAGAAGCAGTGGCAGAAGAGGTGGGAGGAGCAGTGGTGGTAGAGCTGGAGTTGGAGGAGGAGGAGCCGACGGCCTTTTCGTACTGGCTGACGACAAAGTTGACAATGTCGTCACCGTAGCGCTCAATGTACAGGTGGTGAACGGTGGTGTTGCTGCCGCTGTCGCAGTAGATGTCACCGGTGTCGCAGTAGGAGATGATGCGGCTGGAGTAGGACTTGCAGACGTCGATACTGGCCTCGGTGCGGTTGAAGATCTAATTATTCATGGGAGGGTCAGCTACCGCGTCTTGTGAAAGTCAATAGCTGGAGATGTTTCACTTACGCCGTCGCGCACGCTGGTGCCTCGGTCGTATGTCAGGTTGGCGACATGGCTTGGGTCTCCGAAGATGGCAACGGCGACGACTATTGGAGCGGGAAATTTCCCCTGTTAGCTTCTTCTGATTCTCTTTCTTCCCAAGATTGATAACCCGGCTAAACGAATATCCTGGCCTCGGCAAAGGGAGAAAAGGAAAGGCTCACCATTGTCCATGATGCTCGTCGACAAGGCCTTGTCGTCAATGAATGGGCTGCCACCACCGCCGCACACGGAATCCGAGGAGACTTGCGCACCCTGCAACGGCAATGAATCAGCATTTTGCAAATAAGCCTCGACCAAAATCAATCATACCTGAGAGTAGCCCAAGATGGCAATCTTGTTGTCGGGACAGGCCTGGCCGTAGGCGTTGAGCAGCTTCTGCATGTCCTGCACGCCCTTGCCCTCGGAGCCCTCGTAGTCGTCGAAGGTGGCCGGGTAGTCGACGGCGACAACCTGGCTGCCGGGCACCTTGGCGGCGATCTGGCTGGTGAGATTGCCGGTGACACCGGTTCCCGCAGGCTCTTCAGTGCCTCGGGCGACGACCATGTACAGACCCTTGGCGCATGTTGGTGCTGAGGCTGCTGTGACGGCGGATGAGCCCGCGGCGAGCAGGGCGAAGGAGAGGGCGAGACTGCGCATTGTTGCGGTTTCTGCTTTTTTTTTATCCTTCCTTGATTTTGATTATGCACCCAGCGTCGGATCGTGGTCGTGAGAGGTCCCTGCCGTGAAGAAAACTGCTTCCCCAAGATGTGTAAATGACAAAGAGGCGGAGATGGGACGAGGGCCGCGGGAGGGACCAGGGATTGCTATTTATCTATCGAGCAGAATTATGCACATGCAGACAAATAAACAAGCCGTGAACAAGCAGACCCAATTCCATTACGTAGCAGCAGCGAGAGTCGCAGCCGTGACGGAAGGGAGACGCCTCCAAGGATCCGCGTCTGGGGTCTCGCCTCGGGCCATGCCAGAATCGTTGCATGTGTGCGTCAATAGTTCCATGCCTACCGCTTTCAGCCACCAGCAGATGGTCCCTGCGGATGCGACCGTGGCAGTGAATTCTTGGGTGCTTAAGCCAGCTTCAGTCTAGCAGCAACACGAGCATCCATGCAAAGCCCAGTCTTTGTCTGTCTCCATCGCTCTCGGTAGCGCCGAGTCAACTGAGACGCTTCCCGCATGGAGCACCCAAAAGGTCCAGAAGGCTGATCGGTCGGCGTGGCTGCGGCGCGCGTAACTGTGTCTGGACAAGGGCGCAAATCGAAGTTGCTGCTAGTTCCTGCGCCTCGAATCGCTAGTCGGATAGGCGGCTTGCTGTGGGACGGCTTTTCTTTTTCTTTTCCATTTTTTAGTTTTTCTTTTTGCCCTTGTTCCCCGTCTCGGGGTCTTGATCTGGCCGAGGCACACGAGAGCTGTGGTTGGCTGCTGAACAAGGACAACGAGTTTTGACGTCCTGCTTGGAGATTTTCTCCAGATTTTGCGGAGATTGGAGCGCTTGGAGAAGAGCTTCCCCTCAAAATCGGCTTACATACAGCATGCATCAGCATACTTACTGTTAACTGCTATTACCACTGCCTTGGATGTTCCCGTCTTGACTGCTGACACTCAAAGTGCAACCACCTAAAACAACTGACTGTCAATGCGTTTTTGTGGGTGAAGCAATCATGAGACATGACAGAAATTACTGCTGCTAGTGATATTCGTATAAGCAGCATCACAATGCAGCGGAGCAACACCCGCCATAGCCAACGTAAATCTTCATTTACCACTTGGGAAGGTCAAACAACTCGGCTTCCAAAGCCGTTCGATGCCACCCCGAGAGCGGGGCAGCTCCGATCTTCATCATGGACTATTTTCGGCGCTCTTATGACTTTTGGGAGTAGGGTTCCGCCTCCACTGCCAGGCGTACGAGGAGTCTAGTTTGCAGTGGCATCTGATTATTGGTCTTCACAGCAATTTTAACCTCCCCCAAGGCCATCTCCTTTCATCTGTCCTGTCAGAGGACAGCGGCAGAGGTGCTGGTCTTGAATCCACCAGAGCCAATTGGAATTTGGCCTTTCACAGCATTTTTAATCCTCACCAAAGCTATCTCCTTACATTATGCACCTACCTTTAGGCAGCCGAACAGTTAGTCACTACAAGCCAACTTCCTGGCATTCCTAATCCCCTTCTATTTCGCCTTGTCGGCAACGGCTGGCTACAACCGAAGAACTGCTTTAATACTACTGGCACCTATTAGTGACCTCTTTGAACAGCCCAGAAGATCGTCCCGACGTACCAAACCCTCTTACTCTAGGCAACAGATCATCCCCTTTGCTTGTTTGATATCAGTTCCAGCTTCGCTCTCTCTTACTTTTTCAATGTGATGACGTAGATAACGAACGAAAGAACAAGAGCTAAACAAAGACCGCGTACATATTATCGAACAAAGCCATTTCCTCGCTATGCAAGCCCTGCATCGGCCAATGGTCAGCTAAATTATGATGTTTATTATCAAAGATGGGGAACAAATCGATGGGATGTCTTGAAGACATGCATCTGAAGAACATAAAGATTCCTCAATCATCTACCGTAGTACACCTGCAATTACCACCTAGACAATGATGCCTGCACGGGGACGTGAATTCACAATTGTAGGTACTTATTAGAGAGCTCGAAGAAATCATACCAATACCTAGTACCACACCTCCAGAGCTGTCTTTTTCTTCAAAAACTGCGTCAAGGGTAAGTGGCTCAGACCGTAGGCTGACATGGCCACAGCCTGGTGGTTGCAGCCATGGCCCCAGACCAGCAGCGCGGCTAGTGGCAGCTAAATCCAATCGCCGGCCAGTGATTCATTCTACGACTGCAACTCTCCTACACCGGAGGAAAGAAGGCCCTTGATTCACAATCTTCGATCCAGGCATCTCTACGTACCCTCGAATCATATGATTTTGTATCTTTATTGCTTTTACTGCCCCAAAGCAGGCCCCAGGCCTCCCACGTTGGCCAGCCTGGGAGTTAATTCGGCATATGCGACCACCCGTGCAGAGCCAGTGCCCATTCTGGCATCCTGCATCTGAGTCGCTTTGTTCCTCCAACATGCCGTCCTTGTTCTCAAAGGACACGCCAGAGCAGATCGCAATGCAAACCAGACACATGTTTGGATATTTATAGCACTGCTGCACCACCTTCAGCGCTTTTAATCTGCTTTTTGCATGATCTTGCGCCCGTCTTTCTGCTCGAGGGCCATTGAATTATCCTGAGTCATCCAATCCCAGCCTCGCTGTTGCATCCGCAATTGCACCAAGGACTCATATCATCAGCATAAAGACCAGTGAGTAACCATCGCCTGTGGACTTTTGTGGAACTGGATGTCACGATCTAAGAACTATAAAGCCTGCCGAATCGCCTCCCAGTCGCTGCCAACCAATCTGGACTCGAAACCCGACTACCGAGCTAGCCACGTCAATCACAGTACTCTATTCCACAATTGCTGCATTCTTAAGACCGTGTTATCACCAAATTTCCAACAACTACTTCGCAAGCACATTTTCAACATGGGAGGCCTGGCTTTTGCCTCGGGCGAATATGCACTTTATACTCCTCGAATGCCGAAAAAAGTCTACGAAGCCACCAAAGCCCGGTGTCAAGAGATCCTTCGCGGTCTTTACCATCATGTGGAATCGCCTCTTGATGGTCCAGGCAAAGTAGATTTTGGAGATATCGATATTTTCTTAGCGTCCCCAAAACCAGAAGCTTCTACTGGTCTTTATGCCATCAACATCATATCTCAAGCTCTAGAGGCCGAACGTGCTTTTGTTGATAACGGCGGTGAAGGAATTAAAGCCGCCGGAAGTTTAGCTATCCCGTGGCCCAAAGGTGAATCTAATGATGGTGAAGACGCAGACAAGAAACACATCCAAGTCGACATCCGAGTGTGCGAGTCGGAGGACAAATTACGCTGGATGCTTTTCAAACACGGCCACGGAGATGTGTGGCAGATCGTTGGATCGATGATTAGGCCGTACGGACTGACAGTCGACGACAGCGCGCTGTGGCTTCGAGTTCCCGAGATAGAAGAGTCCAATAAGAAACTAGCCAGGATTTTTCTGACATCGGATCCTCCCAAAGTTTTGGAGTTCCTTGGCTTGCCCATGGAAGGATGTTGGGATCACCCTTTTCCCTCTGCGGAAGATATGTTTGACTATATTGTTTCATGTCGGTTGATGTATGTCTCCCCCACTGCTCCAGAACCTGATGCGAAGAGTCTCAAATCAAATGATCGCCGGCGCATGAGGCAGCGGCCGATTTTCAAAAAGTGGGTGGATGAATTTATTCCAGAATGTCGTCAACTTGGTCGGTTTTCAGAACGAAAGTTTACCAGAGAGGCTGTTACCGAAGAGGCATTCGCCGTGTTTGGCGTTGAAAAGGAATACAAGGCCCGACGCAAAGAGTTTCTCATAAAGCGGCAGGAGGACTTCATCTGGAACAGCCTAATCAAGGATAGTATTCCTACTCCTAATCCCTCGGATCAGAGAGCTGTTCTTCACAAGTCGTGCAGTGTCAAAGCTCTGAAAGAAATCATTCTCGGGAGCGGCGAGGGCTATATTTTTCAGCCAGACAAAACTAGTCTCAAGGACGCTGACGGCTTCTACAACATCGAGTACATTAAGGAGTTTATCGAAACGCACAAGGATGATGTTGGAAAGGCAGCTCTCGTCAGACATAATGAAAAATACGCAGACCGTTTGCGCCAAAAGGGGACCAAAGCACAGACGGAGTCATCCTAAAATGTATTTGAAAGAAACTTGGGTCGGGGTTAGGTCAAGCGAGTGACTTCGAGAAAAACTTGCGCGTGGAAGAAGATATGCTTTTATGAGGAAAATAGGCAGACATGCGATTTAATTTACATCTTTGACCCCCTAGGCGTTTGACATTGGCCACGGTTTAAACAGGCTAGAACACGGCAAGCCGTGCAATTAGAGAATACCATAAGCATGAACTTCGCTGGGAGCATAGGCAGTAAACAATAAAGGTTTCTACATTTGGGCGTTGCAAAGTCTCTTCTTGCAGTGACAATTAATTAGGAGACTGAGTCTTAGCCAAAGCTTGGCGTTCCTAACTGGAGTATAATTTCATTTTAAACTATAGCGCCGAAGCGTTTTTTCTTTCTTATACTAGCTATGGAGAAGAACAACAATCAGAGTTGCAGTCGAAAAAAATTGGCTGAATGAGAAGATGGTTAAGCAAAGTTATTCTAATTTAGTACCTGGTAACTTTTTCCGGAGGTAGATCTACCGACAAAGAGTATGTGACGCCGCCAAGAATGATTGGAGAAAGCTTCATGCTCAAGCTGCCAATACGTATTGGCCCATCTGATGAATGATGTATTCGCAGAAAGAAAGGAAAATAGCACCTACGGCAATGCGTTTAGTAAAGCCAAATCGTCATTAACACCAAATTAAACATCTACGAGACGAAATTAAAGTAAGGAACGTAAACGAGCCGCAAAACCACGCATACGCCACTTTCGCATCTGCGAGTGCGTTACCCTGCCACTCCACTCCAAGGTGCAAAGTCATGAAATTTCAACAAAATTTTTCATCCGATCTGAAAAGTGAAATAAAATCTTCCAAATTATACCCCGCTTTAGAACCCATATTGCCAGTACCAGTCCATGCCGGTATTTGTCCATCTCTGCCAGGGACAAGTATATTTCATATACAGCTACTTTTTATATAAAACGGGGGAAAAGTTTGATATCTACTAGAGAAAGAGGTACATTCAATTGATTTTAAATTTTCCAACGTAGTACCTATTACGCAGCACTTGGTCTGGATGTTTTTCATGGCTCTAACTTTATCAAAGAGTGTTGCGTGGTCGACTCTTGTAGTCTTTGAAAACCCTAATACAAATGGCACTTCTGGACGCGCTTTGTCAATCCTCGATTTATTGTAGAATAAGTTTTTCAGTATGCATCTGGTACCAAGTACCAATGCGTAACAAACCAAAAATTTACTGTCTTATTTTGTTCCACTCCATTTTGTTTGTTTCTGTCTAGCCCACGAACCTTTTCTCCCGCTTCGACTTGTCTCCCACTCTATCTGCATTTTTCTTTCTTTTTTCCCCCCATCAACAGCATCAGATGGAAGACAATCCTATTGTTGTTTTCAACCGCAACCCTCTCCTCTCGAGCATGCAAAGAAAACATCTCGATCGACTCTGCCGATATCAACATGCCTCAAACGCCGCCCCTAGCTCCTCAAGACCGCAGCCGCTCGACTCCTGTTGATGACTCCTTTTTGCTAAGTCTTCTACAGACTCTTTCACTAACCTCGCTTTGTGAAAATACTTCCCATCAAGGCACTGCTCGTAGTCTGCCCGTCCCCCCTGAAAGACCCTCTGCCTCGAACCTTGATCCTCTATCCCTTTCCCTTCCTTTGCCCTCTCCCGTATTCCGTTCCGAATTCACTCCTCACTGGAGTAATGATAATCCTCACTGGAGTAATGATAATCCTCAAATCAGCCCCCGGCCTCAGGCACAAGTGCCTCCTCCCACTGAACCGCTTTCTAGAGCAGAGGCCTCTTCTTCAAGCCCTTCCCCACAAAAAATCCCCCCCTTAAAACCTATGCAGTCCCGGCCCTTCAACCATCCCAACCCTCTGGGATCGAACTCTCCTCAAGGGCCTGCCGCTACGATGGAACAAAACCCACAACCCCCCTTTGTTCCTTCGTCAGCGCCTGCGAGTCGAGTGCAGGAGACTCTTCGATCAGGAAATCCTATTCACGCCGGCATGCAGCGGAGGCCTGATGACCTGAGGCAGCCAAGGCAGCTCCCGTTGCCGCAAAGGCAACCTGATCATCATGCGCCGCAAGGAGGGCAGCAATATAACTGGAATTTTCCAGGTCGCGTACGATTTCCTTGATTTCCTTGATTTCTTTGATTCCCTTGATTGAGGAATATTTGCTAACTTTCTCTCAAACAGGAAATTATTCCTCCAGCGCGTAATAACCGCCCCCTTGATGGACAGTGGATGACAGGGTGCGTGATACACATTTATATTGCGACGTAAGGCTCTACTAACGCGACCAAATAGAGAATTTCTTTGGATTCGCGTTGGAGGCAAGCCTTTCAGACTGCCGACGCAGCTTTTATCAGAGTACCCGTTCTGGTCTGCCCTTACCGTCTTCGAGCCGCCGCCGCAGGGCTGGTCTATACCTGATGCCAACCCCGAGATTTTTACCATTCTACTTGAATGTGTGTATACCATCTCTGGCCTTCATGGTACTGAGAGTGGGTTGAACTTGGTCAAGCTTTGCTATGCAATCAATCTCGCCAAGAGATGGGGCATGATAGAGGACCGCAAGAAGCTTCGAGATACCGCCTATCGCTACATCGTCAGAAGAATCATGCACTATGACCCGAATGTGCCTGATGATTGCTGTGCTCTTGATCACAGTCACTACACATACCGATCAGAGGAATTGTATCGCACCTGGGAACTTTCTCAGAAGCATAACTCTATCCAAAGGATGCTCACTCAGCACGATTTGATCGCGTTATACTGCTGCATCGTTCCGCAAGACATTTGGCCGACATTGACAGCTCGTTTCAAGCAAGAATTTACAATGCTGCTCGATATTTCCGCAACGGCTCGCAGAAACTCAGCTGGCGTGACGGCCAACGCGGACTACCGTAGTTGGTGGCATCATTATTACCGCTTGGCAGGCTTTCGGGACGCAAGCTGGTTGAGCCCTGATGCGCAGAATCGCCTCTTTGGGCCGCTGGGTCGTGATGGGAATAATGCCTCCCGGGAGCGAGCAGAGTTCGAGGCTGCACGAGCGCGTGGAAGTGCGTTGGTGAATGCACTTGAGGCACAGCAAGCACAACAGCGGCCAGTCACACCAGCTACTCTAGGCATTCCCTCTGTTGTTGAGGAAATTGATGCCAGTCTTGAAAATAATCCTCCATCAGCGCACCGCCGTGAGACCCGGCGCGTTCATTTTGCACAGCTCCCGGAAATCATTAGATTTTCTCGCCAACATAGCGAAATTCAAATGAGTGCTCCTGATACAGCTCTCGATCCAGCTGAAGAGGAGACAATCCACGCAGAAGCAGCACCGGCAGGTTAATGCTGTTACTTCCCCTTAGTCTTACGCTATTTCAGAAGCTTTATGCTTTTCATTTCGCCTTATTTCCTCAAATGACCTTCATTATCGTCATATACTGATGCATCGGTCTTCCCTTCTCGTCCTATATTCTTTTCTCGACAATTTTAAAACGCAGATATCCTCATTCAATGCGAAAGCATAGCTTCTATTTTATCTTACTGTACAAGTTACGATTCAAGATTTACGTTTCACGATTTTCGATTTTCGATTTATAATGGCACAAATAAGCCGGCGTTCCAGGATCTCTCCTTTCTCTATAGGATTGCGAAAAGCTTTGTGTTATATCTTTTTCGTCTGCGACGAAATTTAGGTTTCTTTTAAAATCTACACAAGAAATCTTTATCATATTCGCACATTATGTCGAAATTTTCATCTCGATTTACAATTTACTTTTCTTTTTATACTCTGATCAATCTTCCAAGGTATAGATGATTTATCTTTTGACATTGCAGCAGCTGTTAGTAGGGAGAGAAAACTCCCGAAAACTTGCACAGTGTCCACGCTCAACTACAGGGCATATTTTAACATCCCAATGGTCTTCAAGCAGTTACTAGCATATGCCGCTTGGTACATTTACTTTCGACACCAGCAGAGTTAAGGAAAAATTGGTTTAGTGGATTGTATAGAGGGTGAGCTCAGAAATCCATGGATAATCGATCCCGCCTAGATTCGACGTGGCATAGCTAGAAGTACGGAAGAAATAAAAATGGCGAATGACGGTTATTATCAATAGCTCGAATTCGTCAACTCTCTCTCTCAACTACTAAGTTCAAAAGTACAGTTTTGACATGTATTTTCACAACAAAAATAGGCGATTTCTATTGCGCCAAACAACAATTTACTTGACGTTGAAAGACATTCTAGAAAACACTATCCCACTGACAAATACCTTGCGGAACTTCTGAAGGTGAAAAACATAGTATAATTGAGGAATATGGGTAAGAGAACAGGGAGAATGTTGACCTCTATACTCTGAACAGAATAGCTTCAACTTCAGTCAACTTTGTCTTCAATTACCAACTCTCGAATACATCTTAATCTACAGCAATGGCGTGACGAAATGTATCCACTTCACCGGAGTTCAGCTCAAACACAGCTGAACAATGTTGTCAACAAATATTAACGGTGCTGGTATAAGCTAAATGGGTCGTAGCCGGTCCCGGTATCGATGACTAAGGCCGTGATCCAATACATTTAATTAGCCAGCCTAGCTAATTAGCCAGTTACATTTAACTAGCAAAAATAGTAGATTAAGGAACTTATACTAATATAATCCTGGTTATAAGACTAAACTAAAACAATTAAAGAAGGCTATATTGCTTTTATAAGGCTTTAATGTTATTAGATAACCCCGCAAGGCTGAAGATAAAAAATACTTTAAAATATAAAGTTATCCCTTTATATTTAAAGTTATTATAAGTTAAATATTTAATAATTTATTATAAGGTAATGCTTAAAGAATATTAAATTAATAAAATAATGCTTAATTATTATATTTTTTTAATTTTTTACTTAAAGTAAAGAAAAAAAAATAATTAAATTTAATAAAAAAAATATATTTATAATAAACTTTAAAAAATATATTAATATAATTAAATATATAATATTTTAAATATTATTAAAAATTAAAAATAATAAAAAATAAATATTAAAATTTAAAAAAGTTTTAATAAATATTTAAAAAAGCTAAAGTATTATTAAATATAAATTATAATATTAATAATAAAAAGCTTTTAATAAATAAAAAAAATAAAGTAATAATAAAAAAAA